GCAGTGCTGCACACACAACTTTTAACTTCATGGTGAAGCTGCGTCGGAGTACAATTGATCCATGGTGGATCCCATGTTGCAGATCTATCCTTCGTACACCTCTCGACTCGTCACAGATTGCGTAAGGCATTTTTGTTTCCTGGCGCACCTTATTCATGGACCACGTAGCCAGCTCTCGCTTTGCCAACACCGTTGCTCAAGTTCTTTGGCTATTCGCATGCGCGTGCTCTTCCAAACTTTGAACAATCACCCACAATAGAAAGCAGAAGCTCTGTTGGAGACTGGCTGGGACTGCTCAGGAGCGTGCCTTCCCTCAGGCTTTCGATGCAGTCCACCGTAGACTGTAAGCTACTGTAAGGTGACACAGCCCCGATATCCATAGGTTTAAGATCTTAGCTTGGCTCCTCTTTTCCACCCATAGATGCGGGCGTTGCGCGCATTCGATCCTGAACCCTCAAATAGTATTCGTTTGTGGATGCCTCGTCGGTCGGTTGCTTATTCGCTGAGTCCTTGCCCATCCTGTGTCCACCTGACCTGACACTAGGCGTGAACCTGACTAAAAACAATTTAAAAAGTGTGTCTTCGTTCACACTGCAGCTTTTACGAGCCAAAATGTCATATTTCTCGATATACCAATTGATCGACAGCTCCTGCTGCTCCAGCTTTCTCAACGTTCCCAAGGCTTGCTGTTGACCTGATTTCGGCATTCACCGATGAGTCAAGGCGTGCACGAAGGCTTGGACAGTAGTAATTCCTGCAGACAGCCGCTTTTATCTGCATTACTTAAGCTGCATTTGAAGTGCTTTTCGCACCATAAAACTTGAACAGCACTCGTTTTTTTATCTGGAGGTTGCAGAGCGAGGTACATCTTCAACCAGTTGATGAGATAGCTGAGTGCTTGCACATCCTTACGGCCGCCATAGTTCTCAGGTATGTAAAACTCCCAGAACGGACCCATTAGCATTTTCGGCTGGAAAATCGTGGCTTTCCACCAGCTGTGGAGCTCCTGCGCTCACATGATCTTGCATGGCGTCCAGTGTCAACTCAACAGACGTTGGGCCACCGTCTACTTCCATCGATGTCTTTTGGCTATTGCCACAAAACATCAGATTATTTAATGGCCAGCTAGCTTGATCAAAACCGGTCAACCTTTAAAATCCTCCTACTGCATTCACAGCAAGATGAATGCGGAAAAGCTTCATCGAATCATCAGGCTTTATCAACCGCTCAATTTAAGCACTATGAAGGAAGACCATTGATTTAAGTCTTTGTTCAAACTCTGTGGAAAGCCAGTGAGTGTTTCTCAGAAAGAACACGTGCCTTTCCCTCCCCTCCCCTTACCCCTCAGAGTTCCAACATGATGGTAGAGTGACACAGGGGCTGCGCATTGCTGCACGCGCTTAACACTCCGAGCAGGCGCAGCTAGATGTACACAGCATCAAGTGAACACGCACCATACATTGTGGCTTTTGTATCGAGCTGACAGCACTCTGCAATTATGAATACCTACGAACAGCCAGGCTAATTAGTGAATTCTTCACTAATTCCTAAATAATATCATTATTGCAGTATAAATTGTTTAAGCGCAGCCCAGCCATCTACATCTAACACGTCTTTAGTCCCTTAAACACCAGTAACGAGGTACACAGCCTCTCTGGCCAGTGCAATCTTGCCGTTGTGAGGGCATCAAAATGCACAACTGCGGGGAGTGGCATTTCCTCCACTTGTATTTTCTTAAGAATTTGAAAGGAATTCTGCAGCTGGTTTTCCTGTTCACAATTCGTTTAGCCTGATACAGGAAAACGCAATATGGTGTACGTGCCGGCTAGGTGCTATGTGCAACTAGCTGTAAGAGCTCGCACCTCGAGGGTGCAGCGATGCACAGCCTAATTGTACCTCTTCCCTATTTCGGTGACTCTGAGGGTTGCTGCAAGGAAAGGAGGGAATAGTCTTTGAAACTATGGAGTAACTTTCTATCAGATTTGTACTAGATATGGAGTTAAGCAACACCCGACATATACTTTAGGTGATTCCTCACGCAAAAGTATTATATAGCACGCCATGGAGGCCCATGCAGACTCAATCCAGCGTGCAGCAACGATTTGCCTGATTGTAAAGTCCACTTGTTAAGTGCTGATCTTGTGGACAGAGGGCGAAGACGTCAGTGGCACTTCAGGGGTATGTCGCGGACAACACATTTTTGTAGGTGCCTGCTGTTTTCCCAGGTTTCTTGCCGTGCAGCGCTATGGCTAGGAAGTTAACGACACAGGGGAGAATCACCAGCCGCATTATGTTCTCCTGTAGTCCTTCAAGATTTTGCTAGGAAGCTCACATTTGCATGTTCAGGGTGTGGTCGTGGCAGTCGTCGCCACATACAACAGGATATGGGATGCCCCTCTATGAAAAGCCCTGCATAACCCCTTAAACATACTGAGATGTCATGGTGTAGGTGCTGTCTACCACGCTGAGCGCCACCACAAAGCTTTTCTCCAGCCCAGAAGACATAGATTATACGGGAGACCCTCCGACGGATCGCGGGAAGAGTGGACTTGGCCCCTCTCTCAGGGTCCAACACCAGAACAAGCGCTGCTCTATTAGCAGATCCAGTCCCACTGTGCAGCAACCGCAATGAGGCAGCGGTGTCACATGAGCCGCACTAAAATTTGTCGGCGAGAGGAAGCGGCAGAGCTAGGACAGGCACTATATGCCCCCCACAGAGGGCGGAGTACCCTCCAGTATCGACGCTCGAGATATTCTGAGTTGCTGTCTCTGCGTAAGCTTTGTATGGTTTCTGGTAATTAGAAGGGATTGAATTGGGAGTTGGTACCTAAATGAAGGGCAAGGGACAATATCCCCGTGTGCAGTTGCTGCTGATGGGGTGATATGCCGCGACCACCGTTCCAGGCAGTGGCCAGCCAGTTACTTAGGCGTACAGGCATCTCCATAGCTTTTAAATCTATCCATCTAACTAGTTAGATATATGTGTGCCACAGCTGCACAGTGTTACTAGTGCGTGTCCTCAGTACGGGCGGCACGCAGTGTGCTGCCTCTCCCGTCCTGTTCTGTGCTGCATTGTACCTATGGCCCGACGAGATTCAGTTCCTTCCTCAGCTTTCATTCTTTCGAGGCTTGAGAAACTTCCTGGCTCCGCCTGCAGCTCGATATAGGCCCCTGGGGCACAGAGGGCCAAGGCTGCACCTTCACAGGGTCACCTGGTGTGGAATGCCATGGTGCAGCAGTTGCTGCTGAGAACCTCACGAACTTCTGAATACTTAGCGCTGCTATAAAAGGACAAAGCGGGCAGCGGGCTGAGGAGAAGCAGCGCGATCTCATTTTTCAACGGCACGCGCTCTGAGGCCCCTCAGAGAAGACAGCTGCGGATGCGGCTTCAATACCTCATGCAGCGAAGGACGGGTTACCCCGGGGATTTTCAAGAAGGAGGCCGATGCCAAAAAGGCGACCTCCATTACTCCTCTTGCCAATGCTGAGGCTGCTGCCGTAAGGAAGTGATTCCACGCCCAATGGCCCCCCATGGCTAAAGCGCACCGGGGGGTCGCCAGCAGCTTTCGTTTTACAAAGCCACCGTCAGCAGTGGTGTTGGAACGACAGGAGGCGTAGAGCGCTCGGTACAGCTGACGCTGCCGCAGTTTGCCCCTTTTGCTGCATGATAACACCGGGGTGGAGCAGGAACAAAAGAAAATCTTACTGGTTGCTCCTCTCGGAATTCGGAGGACCCTAACAGCAACCAAACGTGTTGACAAACGAGTGCAGCAGGGACTCCTGCAGTCAAATAATTTGAATTCGATTTTGCCACAACGGCCCTCTAGAGCTGAAAGCCCGCACGGGATAGGCAAGGGGCCGGAACTGTTGCCCTCTGCCTATCAGGCGAGAAGCAGCAGTAGCTGGCGCTCCTGTCGCTACAGTGGGAATCTCGAAACCCATAGACTGCCTGCTGTGCGAACAGAGCCGTACGGCTTTGAATTGGGGTAGCGGTGGGGCACCTGCAGTCCGCAAGAGATGTCGCAAGTGCAGCACGCGTGGCTGCAACAGCAGCACACGTGGCTGCAACAGCAGCAGCTCGCGGAAACGCAGCACCTCGAAGAGACCTTTGTATTTAGCAGCACGCAAATGGCACATTCGCTGAAGCAGGAACTGCCGCCTTTGGAGCCTTGTGTGGAAGGAAGCGTTCTTCGCGTCAAAGGCGAGAAGGAACAGCAACAGCGGCAGCTCCACGAGATCGAACCCCTGCAGCAAGAATGCCTCGGACTTCGGCTACAGCTGGAGATACCTCAGAGCCAGCATTTTTCGCAGCAGCGGGAGAGCATGCAGCATGACCAGCAGCAGGAGAGCATGCAGCTGCAGGAACAACAGCAGCAGGAGAGCATGCAGCACAAGCAGCAGCAGGAGCTGCACCTCCAGGAACAACTGCAGCAGGAGATTTTTCCGAAGGACCACCTAGAAAAGGAGCAAGGACCCTATTCTTGTGGTGTGTCTGGTGCGGAGTCTGTTTCCAGCGATGTTGTGCTGCCCTTTGAGAGGCCTCTCCCATGCTGCCCAAAGCAGGAGCCGATGCAAGAGCAGCAGCAGCAGCCACAGCTGCCGTATCCTGAGCTCGCGGCAAGCGGCGCGATGTGTGGGCCCCCTTCTCTGGTGCAGTTCGTGTCGAATGTCAAGGAAGAAGAGGAAGTGCTGCAGGAGCGGCCTCGACAAGATGACGCTGCAAGCTGCTGCGGTGCCCTCGAACCTGTGCAGCCACCAATTGCAGGGGGAGCTCAAGGCTGTACCAAGTGGGAACGGCTCCAATCGCAGCGGCAGTATCACCAGCAGCAGCCTTTTGGAGAGCAGCAGTTGGAGGAAGAAGCGATGCGCGAGCAGCAGGAGTGGGAACGGCTGGTAGAAGAGCAACGCGCTTTGAAGATCCAAGAGGAGGAGCAGAGGCAGCAATTGAAAGCAACACACAGAGAGTGGAATAGGCTGATAGTTCAGCGTGCACTTCTTAAATGGGAGCTGCTGCAGGCAGCGGTCCGGAAGGCAGACACCAAGCAGCAGCAGCAACAGCAGCTCACATTACAGCTTCTCCAGCTCTTCGTTACAGGTAGACAACAGGAGCTCAAGCAGCAGCAACACCAGCAACAGCGGCAGCGACAACCGCTAGGGACGATGCTGCAGCAACACTATAACGTAAAGAGGCCTCCGCAGCCGTGTGGAGGTGTTGCTTTGGTCGATGACCAGAGGGCGTCCTTGTCTTCAAGCCGCAGCAGCAAAAGCAGCTCGAAAACAATCCTTAGCTTCAACTACTCTGGCAACACCAGCCGCAGAGCCAGCGGTGGTAGCAGCAGCAGCAGCACTGTCTCGGTAAATACGTGCCATTCACCGACCCGCAGTCACCCTCACGCTTTGCAGACACTGCACACCAGCGAGGTGCACTCTGCTCGGCATCCACTGAGACCCTCGCGGGGTGCTGCTGTAGCTGCTGCCGTTGCTGCTGATGCGGCTGGGCACAAGCAGGTTAAAAGGGCGAGCGATTGCATTCTGAAAGAGCTGGAGAGCAAGAAGCAAAAGAGGTGCCGTAACAGTGTTCAGGCACAGCAGCAGCCCCAACAACAGCCGCAAAACTCGCGTCTCACGCGCGTGAAGAGGGAGGTGCAGCAGCAACAGCAGCATTCGCAGCAGCTTCATGGCCAAAAGCACGAGACAACGGAGCAGCAGCAGACTTTGCAGAACCCGCGCAAGTTGACTCAAAAGCAGGTGCAGCAGAGGCAGCATGCCCTCATGGCAGCACAGGCAGCGTTGCGGCGGAAAAGGCAGTCGCCAGTTAAAGGGGATTGCAGCAGGTCCAGTACCATGCACAGCAGCAGCACTAAGACTACCAAGTTGTGGGAAGAACGAATGGCGGTGAGACGAGTACACCTGAAAATCCGGGGAAAAGCAAGTTGGAGTCGTTATTTGCAGCTCTAAAAAAGTGCTGCCACTTAGACTAGGCACTGTACTTGCGTGATCTGCGTGTTGTTGCTACTGCTGCTGCTGCTGCTGCTACTGTTGCCGCAGAAGCATCGGGCATATATGCTACAGTCGCTGATGCCGTTTCCTTCCCCTTCTTCGCCAGAAAACTGCGATAGTGACAGTGAAACCACAGCTCCAGCAACAGCAGCAGCGGCAGCGGCGGGGGGGGCGAAAGGCCGCATCCGCATGGGCCTGGAGGTGCTGAATTGGACCCCACCAAGAACTCTCGAAGAGACACTGGGACCTACAGCGCGCCGTATATACACTGCAATGCAATGGACTGGCGCACACGAGCACCCCATGCGACTCGGTACCGGTGATGCCCCGCCTGCAGTAGCGCAGCAGCTGCAGTACCTTCGCTCAAGTTGTGGCGCGACTTCCCGCTGTATTCAGAACAGCATTCTTGAGGCTGTCCAAGTGCGCCCCAAGTCTGCTGTTAGCACTGATGGATGAGCGTTTTTTTGCTGGAAGCGGGATTAGGATAGGGGCATGACGCACGCGTAGAGGCCCGTGTGTCTTCTGAAGTCGCACGGGTGCTGCAGCCTAACTACGCATGTCACAGACAAATGTTAGTTGCCGAGTGTCTGTTGTCGTTTTCTACTGCTGCTGCAGGCGCGGCTGTCCGGTTGCTGGCCGCTGTACTTCTGTAGGCCAGAAGTGCGGCTGGCGTGTGTCGCGGATGCTTGCCATCCCATCAGCAAGTTAACATCGTTCACGGGAGAGCGTTTCACGAAACCTGGAGAGCGCATATGGGTGTTTGGGGCCCCCTACCCCGTCGCCGTCTGGACGGGGCCGCCAATAAAAGTACGTGGCTTCGTGGTTTTCCCTGTCATGGCTCCCAATAGTAGTCACGCACTCTTACGCAATTTCTACTGGCTTGCTGCTAGGCCTGCGTGGAGGCGCGTGGCGGCAGCTCTCTGCTGTGCCTCACTCACCTCACCACCTTTCCGATTGGCGGGCAGCCTCCCCCTGCTCGTGTGCTGTGATCCTTAGAAGGGCGAGTTACGAATTCTCGGAATTCGAACGGGAGAGTTTCTGACACCCGCCGAAGGGGCCGAAGCTGCCAAGGCGCTGCAGCCTACCGGCCAGTACGACTGCATTCGGACATGCGATATCTATGTGCGTCTTTGCATGGGTACTTGCGCGGGTGTAGTAGTGCCTCCTCTCTCTATCTATCTCTCTATCTCTGTCTCTCTCTCTGTGGCCTTGCCCCTCGCAGTTCCCGCGGCTACCAAGTGGAATCCTGCGTTGCATGTCCCCTGCAGCGCCGCCCTTGCCCATCCGATCATTTTTGCTGCCTTCGTCTGTTGCTTGATTCTCCGTGCCTCAGCCTGACGCTTCTACCGCGACTGGCCAGTGGAGGGAGAAGGTGAGGGGCGCCCTCCGCCTCTCGGGGGTTAGCTGGCACAGCAGGGAGGATGAATTTGCTGCCAAGCGTTTCTCCCGGGGGTGTAGCGAACTCGAAAGTGGCATCGTTCCGTTTGTGGCCGTGCCCTTTAAGGGTCTGGAGTTCTCCTCTATACGCAGGGCCTGCCCCCTCGCGTTCGTACAGCACACGGGTGCGGTCAATTACTCCCATTGCTCCCTGCCCTCTGCGAGCGCTTCGTGTTGCCTCTCCCCCGTCTAGGCCAGCGCATGAGATACGTCGATGCAGTATTTGTTTCCATGCGCAACTAAGCACGCCTACTGCCGGCACTGCTGCTGATTGCAGGCGAACGCTTGCGGGGTTGTGAGGCGCTGCGAGGCCCCTGGGTCAAGTGGCATGGGCAGAGGCAGACGGTCTCGGTGCATCAGGTGTTGCTGAACGGCTTTCCCCTCTACGTCTACACAAACAATCCGCAGGTACCTATCCCTCCATACACTGTGTCAGAATGCAGCGAAGCAAGCGCCAACTGGCGGTGTGACGGCGTGAAGCAAAGCTGAAGCTAAAGCGGAGTGTGGCCTGCGTCGCAGGAGGTGGTCCATACCGGCGATGAGCTGTGTCTAAACATGCTACAGTTCCCTGGTTTTCTGACGGATACATTTTTGGCCACTTTAGGCCTCATAAAGAGGCGCCGCGCTAATGCAGAGAGCGTCCTAGAAAACTTCAGGCTACAGGGCTACACATCTCCCATGTGGCTCCAGCGCTCCCTGCTCCTGAGGTACCCCCTAAACTACGAAGATATCTGCTCCCGCGGCTCGCTGGAAACAGTGCGACTGCTGGAGCTGGTATCAGCGCACAATGCTGAAGGTCCTCGGAGTGTTGCCTTGTCTAGTCGAATGGGTTTGAACAACGGTCCCGCCCCTAGAGATGCACACAGCGCACTCTCCTCCCGCGCAGGTCTTGCATGCTTCATGCAGTGGCGCGTCCCGCATGAGAGCAGATCAAGAGAAGAAATACAGTTTCTCCTTTCAGGAGAAGCATCGTTGCCCCTCTGCAACTGCCTCGCCAGCGTAAAGCTACGAAAGGTGGCATTGCGGCTGCTGCACCTGCCCGAGGCGTACGCTAATCTGCCTCCGCATGAGCTGGGGCCCTTGTTAGAAAGCCACTGGGTCGTGGTAGAGGGTGCACTCAAGGAGGAGGAAGGCTCTTCTGTCTTGCAGCGCCTTGTTCGAGCAAGGGACTGTTGCCGGCAGTGCTACAAAACGCATCCCGTGGCACTGGCCTTCCCCAATATGGGGTGGCGCCACTCGCAAAAGGTGCAGGTACCGACGTCTCGAAAGAAATCCTAAGGAACTGCTGTTGCTGCATTGGGTGCGAATGCAGCTATCCACACAAGTTGGGTGCGTGAACACAATGTTGCACAACGGCGGGGTCCACAATTAATTGAAAAGCCGTCCCAAGAGCGACAGTTGCTGGCTGGACCACGTGGGCTCAGCACCAGCAGCAGAATAACGCTCACCTGTATACAATTCAGCGCCAGTGAGGAAGCCATCTTCCCCGTCTTTGCAATGCTGTATGTTTGCCTGGATATCAGTTTTGACGTTTTCTTCATTCAATGATTGGGAACTTACCGAGACTCCCGACGCGAATCGAAGTGTTACCCGCTTCGCTATCGCGCGGTTATGTGTTCTATACCGGTTTGGCTGAACTTTGGGCTAACGCTTTTTGTCGCCGTCTTCCGGTTAGGATGTATCTTCGACGCCCTCTGAAGACTTAGCTGCAAAGTTGCTAAGCTTTTGGCCTGTCTCAGACAAGTCCGTTTCGCTCCCCGATACCTGCAGCGCTTTCAGGACGCAGCGGTACTGGTGGGTTCATTTCCAAATCGATCGACGCACAACTCGCGGAAGGTCTCCGTCGTTTGCTGTAACCAAACTGTTGCATACCGTCGTTCCAGCGTGCATTTTCGACTAGCTCATAAAGTCACCTCCCCCCGGGGGATACGGTAGGCCTGAACAGGCACTTGGCAGCGCGCCTTAGCCCCAGTTTACCGCCTCTCCCATTAATTGTATCTCGGTAAAGAGCATATCGCCAGATCTGGAATGCCTATAAAGGTTTTCGCCGGTGAAAAGCTTAAGACCGCTCGCTTCCACGAGGGGTTAGCAGGATCTGAGTATCATATGTACAGCATGTTCCGAGTTCACTACGCATAATGAACCGGCCACTGGCGTGGAGTCATGGGTGTCAAAGTGTGGACATGTGGCTGCTGGAAGATCCCCATCCGTCCAGCACGTCGTTGGGCTTTTCTAGCTCTGCGAATACACCTGAGGGGTGAGCACGGCGCCACAACGCTCTCCTTGGTGCCATGTATGCCCTTTCCATTGGAAAAGACGGAGAGTCGAGCTTAGGCTGCCCTGGGAGATTGGTGTACTACTTTACAGTTTTGAAAATTCCTAGCGTGGGGAATGTCAGGAGGACTGACAATAAAGGCAGCACTGAAAACTCACACGGGTATGAAGTTTCTATTTACATTTCGCAGTCACGTTTTCGAAGTTCCAAAGTCATAAACTCGGTTCCAACGGACAGCGGAGGCGGAGTACCTTATCTGGAACAATAAAATTACCCGATGTTAAAAGGGAGCATCAACTGAAACACCATTAGCCAGGTCATCTTGCGTACAGCCGGTTCGTGATAATTTTACCACTACCCTTGTAACTATCAGCTGTTCGCTGGCCTGCATGTGGTCCCATAACTAAAATAATCATTAGCCGTGCGAAGTACTCATAATAACGCATAGTAGCGAGACAATACAACAATTTGGGATCACTCTATTATTCCGTACTTTCTGCCATATATGGCCAGGTGCGATATGAACTGCCATCGCAGCTCTCACAGCCACGGACGAATGGATAGCGTGCAAAATATGGACTACCTATCCAGACAGGCAAAAGCGGGAGTGGGTCGGCTCACCGATCAGTTTGTCTCTTTCACTGAACCAGCCTCGTACAGCCTCATTGGATGGCTCTCCTCCCACTCTGGAATAGAACCTCTTTTGCTTTGATGCTTGGTGGCTGACATGCGTGACGACAATAAAGACAAAATTACAAGGCCAGCAATTGTAGGATCGTTGCCCCAAGGCTTTATCCACGAAAAAGATACAGGCCAGACATCATTCTTTACCAAACGTGCATGGAAACAAGCAACTTTGCTTAATCTGGCTGTCATGGTGCGAAAGCAAATAACATTACATAAGGTACCTTGAGCTTGATATACATCGTATGTAGGGCAAGAGCTTGCCAGTTATTATTAAGGCATTGGGGCATCCCCAACTCATAAATCCATCTTACTGACATTGTGGGAATGTGGTACTTCTCGAACTGCGTATTTTTGTTATGGATAGATCTTCAACTCTGGCTACAAGTGCTTTAGTTTCTGTGTTGAGAGGGGTTTGGCTACGTGAAGCGTCTGTACGCTTTTTGGCTCTATTCATCTGCTCAGTCTAGGATTTAGTAATAGTATGCCTATTCTATCATCTCGATTCTTCCAAGTGCTAGCCAATTGCTCGCACCCCATCCCGCAGTTGTGACTTGTGAGGACTTTTCAAAATGGCAAGATCCCCACGTGCCAGAGGGGCTGTGTACCTCGTTACTGGTGTTTGAGGGGCTGAACATGTGTCACGTGTAGAATGTTGAAATACGCTAAAACAATTTATATTCCACTAGTGATATTATTTAGGAATTAGTGAGGACCGTATTTTTTGGCTTGGCTGTTCCTATGCATTCAATTGCAGAGTACTGTTAGCTCGATACAAGTAGGCACAATGTAGAGTGCGTGTTCAGTAGATCCTGTGTACAACTGGCTGCGCCTGCTCGGAGTGCTCAGCGAGTGCAGCAATGCGTAGCCTCTGTGCCCCTCTACTCTCATATTTCAAACTCTGGGGGGTGCGGGAAGAAGAAGGCACGAGTTCTTTTGAGAAACATTCAGTGGCTATCTACAAAGCTTGAACAAAGTCTGGAATCAAGTGTCTTCCTACATAGTCCTTACATTAAGCGTTACATTTGAGAAAGCCATATGATTCGATGAAGCTTTCCTCCACTTATCCACTGGCTGTGGAAGCGGTGGAATGTCAGCTTTTCCTCCAGTAGTGGACCAGTTTTGATTTGGCTAGCTGGCAATTCAATGATCTGACTTTCTGTTTTAAGCAGACGACGCACAAGTTCAAGTTGTCTGTTCACAAGTTAGCATAGTCCCTAAATTTTAGGCTGGCTGAAGGGCGGCAGAATGCAACCATTGACAAGGCTAGGGCAGTAAATACTACCTAATATCGAAATTGGGGCTTGGTAGCATGGTCCGTGACTTTTACGTCGGACCCGTGCACCAGGACGTATTCCTAGGCACGCCATTGGCGCCTTGATAGAAAGTACACATTAGGGTTATAGCTGCGCTTTGTGGAGGTTTGTATGGCAGAAATCGATGTAAAAAAGATCCTTGTGGTCCCTCTAACAAAGTTCACTTCATCCACGGTGAGTGGGGTAGAGTTGATGCCTCAACACCGTGAGGCAGATTCTTCATGTAGGTGGCTCCGCAGCAATGAGAAGACGAACATATGCATCTCCTCTCTCAAACGGGTTTGCTATCAAGGAAGACTATTAAAGGTTCAGTTGAGGGACAGTGCCAGGGGGGCAATTTTTATGTGGGAGCTTCCGGATGTGCTAAAACGTGATAAATCGCCAGCACGGTGGCCATCTGCTGCTCTTCTACATCGTATCGAGCTGATCCCTGGGTTAGCCCCAAGCTGTGTTTGTCGAAGAGAAAGCTTCCACTGCATGACGAGGATACTGGAATGCAGGTGGAGAAGTTGTTGAAAAGGGCGAAGTGCAGGAGTTGATCATCGCTTTTGGCGTTTCCTGGTGTTGTCGCCGACATGATGACGGGAGGTAGCGCATGCGCGTTAACTTGAGGTACCTGAAGATAATCACTGTGAAGCAGACGTTCTCATTGCTTCATTGGCGAGCTGTGTGATAAGTACACGGAGCCGCAGTCTGCTCAATAGTTCATTTCACAGGCGTTCCCTGGCAAATTCCCCTTAATCTTGATGACACGCACACAACCGCGTTCTACGCTCGCCCATGCAAACTCATGTATACCTGTATGCCTTTTAGGCTTGTTGATGCCCCAGCTGAACTGTGATGCTGAACTAATATGGACTTGCTTAAGCTCATAAAAGAGGAGAGGATGGCGATCTACATACAGGGCGCATAGTATTTAGCCTAAACGCTCAAGATCACCCACAGCAACTACAGCTTGCGACTCAGCATACACAGGAAGGTGCTATGTGCACCTACGCAAATATTAATACCCAATAGGCAGCTGTATTTTTGTGGGATCCCGTGAGTCAATTGCAGAACTCGAAGCGAATCCAGCACAACAAGTTGAAGATAGGAAAGCGAGGCCTTTTCCAAAACGCATCTATAGGGACGTTGTGAAGTTTTATAGGCTTGCATTATAGTAACAGATTTTAATTCCTAAGCGCGCTCTGATTGTTGCTCGTTACACTACTATGCTACTTTGGACAAAGGAGGCAGATGCTGCACCATGGATAATCATCGACCGTCTTTCAAATCCCTCGGTGCTCGCGCGTACTAACGAATGCTCGTAAAGTAGCTGTGAGTACTCTTATCTCCAGCACGATGGGTATTCCACAGCACAAAATTTATCCGGGTTATTCTGAGCGCTCCACTGAAGCCAAGCGACGGCATTCACTAACGAAAGCAGCTCTAAGTGGTTTTATGGGGCCTGAATAATGCCGGCACTTGTCGTGTGGGTGTGCTTGTCCTGTCAAGACCAAGAATCATTCTTTAACGCGCCTCACGGAGAGTGCTCACGACCTTGATAACCTTAGGGTGATTATCGGCTGTCTCGAGTGTCTTCGGCAGTACTTTACAGTGAACCAGAAAAGCGTCATCTCCAACGGGGTCGCTGACGCGCACACTGGAAGCACGCTGGCAAATTACTGTTGTACGGCGCAACTCCTCTTGTCTGTGATGCTTCATGATACTTTCGAAATTGCGTTATTCGTGTGCTCGTTGCAACCCTGCAGTTGATGTCGCAGAATTCCGCAACGGTGAATCAGTGACGCACAACTACTGCCTCAACGCACTTCATAACAAAGAGTTGACTCCGACGCTTGCACATTCCGCTTCCTTCTAGCAGAGTAGTTTTGCTCAAAGCGCATAGTTGTGCTCTTTGTGCAATGCTCAGATTTGAACTTAGTGGAAAGGCTCTTACGGCAAAGAAGTGCGCAGCATCATACCCAGCATGTAAGCAGCTAATCGCGGGCCATTCCCTAAACCCCGCCTTTTGAAGAGACTTCCGGTTCTGAAATGATTCGGAATGCTTTGTCTATGAACCTAACTGTTAAACTGCGGGATTTCAACTGTTACGATGGCACTCATATCGTCCAGAGATTCAGCAAATTGCTTACTTCATCCCCTGCTCCAGCTCTAACACGACTCAAGGTAGCTTAATTATTTCTAGTTCATGCCTAATAGCTCACGTGTCTTTCAGTAGTATCATTCCGAAGAGGGATGCCAACTTCGTCGATGCTTTTGAAGTGCGTGACCCCTCTAAATAATGGCCATAGTCAACTACTAAAGATCACTCTGTGGCAGATGAACAGACAGAGCGCACCGACCGCGCTATTCTGTAGTATTTGCAACTCTATGCTCACAAAAATCTAACGATTTGGCGTTGATTTCTTCCTTGCACTAATTATATTAAATATTCGACGGTACACTGGTCCACCAGTAGCACTTCCGCAACCTTGGTTCTCACTGAGGACCGCCTTCTCGGGGCGTGGACCTGGTGGTCCAAGGTCAGCAGGTAGCTTTACCGGCGGAGAGATTCAAAAAGCAGCTGGCTTGGGCATGGGAATGCTTGCGTAACCTATAGGCATAAGCCTGGTTTTATGACAAGCGGAGGCTGGGTGTGTGTTTCGAGCCTGGTGATTTGGTCCATATGGATAGACATGCATTATGACGCGCACTAGGAGGAGACCAAACCAATTAGGCTGCGGTCACGTGGCTGAAAATACTTGCCATCTTCTGACGAATTAAAGCTGTGTTAGTCTATCGGTTTCCTCAAAGCTGAAGGTGCAACAGAACTATCCATCCTGGCATCTTGAAGAAGTTTTAGAGATCTTTGAATAATTTGCGGACATTCTGGCGCAGTTAAGCGACCGCGCAGGAATCTTTCGAATTGCAGGATTCTAGAGCAACTGAGCATCAAGGGTCATACTAGACGACAGTCGCTAGTGAAATACGGTGGGGAACACACACACACTCACAATCACAGCAGTGTATGGAGAAGCAGCTGCGAACTTCGTTGTCTGCGGGAGAATCCGCCACTATTTTCGGTTCGAAGGCTAATTACCAGGAATTTCTCACTCGCCTTTTTTTCTGAATTCCTTCTTCCTTCGTACGTTCTGTGCCCCGAGCATTTAGTTATATTCAAGGGCACTGCGTGGATGGTCTGCAGTTACTATTGTTCAGATCTTCGCCACTCGCAAGTCTATGCGTAGGCACTTTGTGTTACACCGTCTCCGTACTCTTCCTTTTGCCCATTTTGGGTTAGACCTTGAACACACAGAAAGGAGCGGCTGGATTTGCATGCAGAAATTGCTGCGTTGGCGGAGCTCTGCTGTATCAAGCGTATCTCTGTACATTTTGCTTGCCTTCTGTTATCTCATAGCAACAGGCTCACCCATTTATGCTCTCCGACAACAGCGAGCCATTGTCCCGCCACGGTCGGGTTGGTGTGGTCGTCGGTCGCTGTTGGCCAGGCTTATATGTATACTCCCTTCTAATTCTCTTTTGGGCTGATGGCAACTCGTGTTTTCCACTCACCCTTGTTTCGTGCATCTGCTTGTTTGTTGAGTGGAGATGCAGCTGGAACTCTTGCAGTACCTTGTGCGTAGCTGGTCTTGACGGATAGATATGGAATACGAGGACGTTTCATATAAGTGTCAAGACGAAAATGTAGCGAGATCAGTTACACTCCGAGACTTTTTGCTACACTGGTCACAGTTGATCAAGGATTAGTAAAGAATCATCTTTCCTATCTGACTGCTCGTACATTACACCTACGATTTTGACATGGCGTGGTTACCTTGGGTTCTTGCTCAAGGGTATGAAGGCTTTGGTCCTGAATGCAGCGGTTCTTTTGGCAAACACCCCATGTACCCAAGATCAAGGTCCGAGTGTTTACAGGGTGGGGCAACCGACACCGTAGCTGCGCCTCTAAGGGGTCAAAGCAGGGAAGGAGTGTTTCTAAAAGGATACTCAATATTTTGTACAAAATTCTATATTGGGTTTAGGTCTACTAAAGTGTTTCCCTTTGAAGGCCCATAGAAAATCGTTACATCTCTCGTATAAAGGTACTAACGTATTCTAAGCGCAATGGAATGATCGGGCATAGATATTCTAGGAAAACTGTTTTGTAAATGATGAGGGTGCACAGGGACGTACATAATGCCGAGAATGCTTATGAACACTGAGCATGGGGCCCCGTGGCTTTTGAATATTTTGAGGAATAGAAGTAGTCGTAGTAACAATTGTCGTACTAGTACCAGCAATATTAAGAGAAATTCTTGTCCATTAGCCTCCCACTCTTAAGTTATCCATACAGAAAAGCCTTCATGCTGTGGTACATTTCAGGAAGCCCAGGATAATCCCCGCGTAAGTTTGGATAGCACAATCCCCGCGCTGGCACTGCTTTTAATGCCCCCGACATGAATTGCTAGCAGGCTCCGGTGGATTTGGGATCGGTACACCGCGGCATTCTCGGTGATGTTGGGGTGTTAAAGTGCACTAGCACTGTTGTGTCATGCACCTACGCCCAGCAGGAATATAATGTAGAGTGCCTCGGCACTAGCTAGCAGGAGTGGCTTCTCCTTAATATCTTTCACCAAAAATCTGTTAAGCTTGTGGAGCAGTCGCAAAGGAATCCATGAGGATATTCTAGAATTGATACTACGATGTGGCAATGTGACACTGGCCATGTGTACATAGGTTTCCGCAGAAATTAGTTCTGGAAGAATGTTTTCCCGCTCTGCCGAACATCAAGGGATATTTTTAGAGTGCGTCCAATGAATTGTTTTGACGTTCTCAAGGTGAATCCACCGAGTCTCTGAGTTTATATCTCCGACTGTATTTTTCAATGGCAGTGTCACTATAATGCCCTTTGTCTTTCCGAATTGCATGAATGTCCTTATCCTGGAAGAGTGCCGTTCCCAGCACTTCATTGAAAGCTACCTTCCTGCCCTTGAGATATTCTTTGAAGCTGTTGGCAGCACAATGCTACTTACTGTAGAGTTCATCAATATGCGGCCTTTTGGTGGCTTACACAGTGGATACACGGGCAAATCCAAAGAACAGCTCCCGCTCGCTCCAGGTACCATGGGGTTACTGCTCCGGCTTGCGAAACTCCAGGGTCCTGTGATCTGCTGAGTTAACTCCGGCGTTAAATATCTCTCTATGGATTCCCTAGATGGAGTACCGAAGTGCTTGTATACAGGCACTTATCCCCAAACCCAATAGGAGGCTTAACAGAACGCTCGGGCGTCCCTCCCGAAGTGCTCCCCCATCTTTATGCCCTCACCTACTAGGGTTCCGGTATGAAGCGAGAGGAACCCTTACGGCATGTGTCAGTTATGCCTCTAATCATCTGGATCGTAAACAGACAGTTGCACGCTACAAGTAGCGCACAGAGACAGAATACTTAGTCCTACCATCCGGGCTCAATCTACTATGCTGCCCAGGAAATATTCAAATGACCAGAAAAATGCTACACTCGTTACTGTTTCGTTGTAAAATGTCGATGGTGCAGTAAAGAGCGCTCAAGTGTAGCTTTGTGGCTTTGCAAATGCTATGCAAGATTGCCACATGCAGCGCTGCCCCTGAGCGCTTAACGGCTATGCCACCTGCTTCCCAATGTTCAAGCAAGACGCGGTCAGATGCGTCGACTCAGGTAGCCTGCGAGTTGGAGTCAACTGCACTCGAAAATTGCTACTAAAGCTATCCTGGTAGTTTAGGTATAATTGTAGGTGGTTCTTCCATAGTTAAGTTGGCACCTGTGCAAGTATTAAACAGGCTTGACCTCGTCAAGCCTGGCGATTGAATGAATCTCCTGAGCTAAGGACAATGGTGCTTCTAGTGATCTTCACTTTGTGTGGAGAGTGAGCCCATAGGCTTTTTGGCGAAGCACACCCTGTGGGAGGGAATGACCCTTGAGGGACGGGGTTGGAGGGTGTCCTTAAAACGCGTATTCTTTCCTTTTTGGAGCCTTTGAGAAGCTTTTTGTTGAGGTCGTTGGCTGGTACGCTCTCCGAAGGGGCCCGTAGGTGGGTAACGTGGAACCCTGGCTGTGGGTTGATGCGGGGTGGGGCCCCAACCGCGCATGGCGACTGACGGCAGCTGCAAGTTTGAACGGAGGAATATGACGCAATCAGAGAAAAAGATAACCTCATGGAATTCAAGAATTAACCGCTAGCCTTTGGCAGCTGAAACGCGCACACGGTGACCGGGGTCCAGGGGCCCCCTGTGCGCAATCGTCAGTGCCCACCCACGAGCGGGGCCCCACGGGACAAGCAAATGCGATTTCATTGACGGTTCGGAGCTCCGTTGGCTGCTGTGGCCGTTTAGGCGACGTGCTTTCTGCATGAGGGTCCAGCAATAATACCCTGAGACTCTCTTTTGCATGTGTCGAGCCGGGGATTGAGCTTTCCTGTGTCCCGAAGTCTCTGTCAAGCAGCTCTGCCGGGGTGTCTTGGGGGAAGGGGGCTACGAAGCCCTCTTTATCTGAACGCACTCGCTTCAGAGCCACAGGCGAGAGACTATGTTTGGCACCACTGGGCAGCAGCCCACGCCAACTGGGGGGGGCCTCTTTGGCGCCTCCACCCAGGGGTCGGGACAGGGAACGGGGACAAGCCTATTCGGCAGTAGCGCCACGTCAGCAACAGCGAACGCTACTGGAGGGACTGCAGCTCCCTCAGGGGCCTCCTTGACGGGGGGCGGCTTCGGATTGTTTGGGGGCGGAACCTCCTCAGGCACGTCAACTGGGACCGGCGGTGGGGGCCTCTTCGGGTCGTCTGCCACCCCTGCTGCCAATTCCACTCCAAGTGGTGGCTTGTTTGGCAAGCCTTCAGCCTCTGGCACAACAGGGGCCAGCGGTGGGGGCCTCTTCGGCGGTCTCTCAACAGGTGCAGGAGCTCCCGCTGCTGCCTCGACGGGGGGAACTTCCACAACAGCAACCGGAGGAGGCCTTTTCGGGTCGAACACTGCCGCTGCTGCTGCTGCGGGAGCAGCAGGAGGAGGCCTCTTTGGGGCGTCGAAAGCCACACCCACTACGGCGTCTACGGGGGGCCTCTTTGGTACCAGCAGCGCTGGAGGGGGCCTCTTTGGCAGCAGTACCACCACTACGGGAGGGGGAGGCCTCTTCGGCAGCAGCGCCACCACTACACGAGGGGGGGGCCTTTTTGGCAGCAGTACCACCACTACGGGAGGCGGAGGCCTATTCGGTAGCAGCACCGGAAGCAGCAGTAGCAGTAACAGCAGCTTGAAAAGGGGTAGTATCAGCACCGCTGCCTTCGCCTCAGTAGACTGGCGTAACGCTGGCCTGCTGCCTAGACAGCCCACGCTGGAGAGTCTCGGACGGGTTCTGCAGAACCTGCCTCAGGGGGCAAGGGAAGTAGAGGTGCTGCTGCGGGAGCAGGAGAGACAGCTGGAGGGTCTCCAGGCACAAACTGAATCTCTTAAAAAGTAGGGCTGCCCTTCGTCTCATCACGAGCTAACGTCTGCCTCTCTCTTATCGCACTTTATACACATAGATATACACATACATACACGCACATACATACATATATATGTATATGCGCATACACATGCACACACCTTGCACACATACGCAAACACACACATACACATAATTACACACGCAGTTGCGCGTTGCTTCCTTTAGCCCGCTGCCGCGAGTCTTAGATGGCCTTTGTTGTGAGGTGTGTGTTTGCATGGGGGGATACGGGGTGCAGATCTTTTAGCTCTCTTGAGGTGGGCCTCTCCGCGGAGGCGGCTCGCGTTGCTGCTGCTGGTCACCGCGTCTCGGTGATGAAGAGACAAACAAACACGGTGCAGCCCCTCTTAGAAAGAGACAAGGTTAGTTTACGGTTATCCTGAAGCGAGGCTTTGCTCTAGAGGCAACTCCTGGTTCCCTGCAATGTTTAAGCAGCAAGGACCTTTCCAACAGACAGAGGGGCAACACCTGCGGGGCCCTCACTGCTCCCGTGTTTTGCTTTTGTGTGCATTTCTTCTCTTTTGCCCTTGGTACTGCCTCCTGCTGTTGCAGAGCTTTTGCGTCCAAGTTGAGCAGCTCTATCAGCAGCTCATACAGAACATTGCGGTAGCCGCCGCGGGGATGGAAGCTCGAGGTGCAGACGTGCCGTGTGCACTTCCTCTCCAGGTGCAGCTCGAATCCACGGCGGCTGTCTAGCTAGCCCTTGCTTTCCGAGTTGGCGTACTCCCTGGCTAGCTATCGTGTGCATTAGCCAATAGGGCCTCCGCGGTGTGCCGTGTCTACCCTGCACAGAAGTGGCGTGGCCCTGTTGAGGCAGACGGGGCTGCATGCACTTCTGGCTGGACAGCCTGGGGTTTCCTGTGTGTGTGTGTGTGTGCCGCTGCACAGATTCCGTGTGCTGTGTCGACTCCGTGTATCCAGCAGCTGCTCCAGTCCATAGAAAGGGCACGAGACAGGCTCTCTTTGCTTGAGGCGCAGCTGCAGGAACTGCGTGTCGCAGAGGAAGGCTGCGTCCCCTGTGATGGAGTTTCCTCCTCCTCTCATAGAGCCGAGCATCAAGGCTCCCCGTTTGGCCCGCCAAGCTTCGGTCCCCGTAGAGCAGATGGGGTTCTTATCGCTGAAATTTTAGGGGCCCAGCGCGACCTCCTTTTCAACGCATCTAAGAGGGTAGGTAACCTGGGAGCTTTGCCGTGCGGAGACAGATTCTCGGTAGGAGACTCTTGAGGTCCTACGGAGGGCTCCCTTGATGTTTCCCATAGGCTTTGTTGCATTTTCTTGAGGAGGGAGCCACACGCGCGATGCCAGAGGAGCGTCAAAGGCCACGGGAACTGCTTTTCCGGAGGATTGTGGGGAGACACCGCATTGTCAGAGGGTGTGTTGCCTTTCGTGCGTCGTCTACAGGCGCTGGTTCTTCTGGAGGCAGCGCAGGAGGCCCAGGAGGCCCTTGACCAGGCCGGGATCAAGCTGCTACCCGCCGCAGAAGACGAAGAGGCAGCAGATCTTCAAGCAGCCTCAAGACCTGACGGTAGGAGGGGCAGGGGCATGCATGCATGCGCTGTCGTATCTGCTGCTGCTGCTGTGGGCGCCTTGGCTGTAGCTCCTCCAAGAAAGCGGCGTATCGCATGCATTTTTGGGGTGTTCGAGTGTTTTCAGGGGTGGCGACAGCGGGCACTTTGTTTGGGGGGCCCTCCGGTAATGGTGCGGGAGATAGGGGCCAAACGAGTGGCGGGGGGGGCCCTCTGTTAGGGGCCTCAAGCTCCTTGTTTGGAAGCGCCCCGCAGCCGAGTACCGCCACTGGAGGCGGTCTCTTTGGCGGTGTGGGAGGAGGGGGCCTTCTGGGGAGTGGTGGGGGGGGTCAACAGGGTGGAGGTGGCAGCCTCTTTGGAGGCCTTTCAGGGGGCAGCAGTGGACTGTTTGGCAGCAATCAACAGCAGCAGCAGCAGACTGGGGGCCTTGCGGCGGGGGGAGGTCTTTTGGCGGCTTCTACTGGTGGGGGTTTGTTCGGCGCGTCTACTGCGAGTGGCATCGGAGGGCAGACAGGAGGCGGGACGGCGGCAGCAACGGGGGGCCTCTTCGGGGCCAGCTCAGGCTTCCAAGGTGCTTCTGGGGGTCTGTTTGGCAGCAATCAACAGCAGCAGCAGCAACAACAACCCGCCACTGGGGGCCTCTTTGGAGCCTCCTCCACAGGGACCCAGCCTGCAGGTAGCGGCGGCCTCTTCGGAGCATCGACAGGGGCCTCCGCCACTACACCTGGAGGAGGCGGACTCTTTGGAAACACGCAGCAGCAGACAGGTGCAACGGGTGGAGGGGGCCTCTTCGGGGCCTCAAACACCCCACAACAAGCTGCAGGAGCAGGAGGAGGCCTCTTCGGGGCCTCAAACACCCCACAACAAGCTGCAGGAGCAGGAGGAGGCCTCTTCGGGGCGTCCACCGGCGCACAAGGGGGGGGTGGCCTTTTCGGCACCTCCACAGGGAGTCAGGGCACTGGGGGGGGCCTCTTTGGCAACACGCAGCAAATTGCGGTGGGAGGCGGTCTCTTTGGCACTAAGAAATAGGGAGGCGGGGCGAGTAGCGAGCAAAGAGAGTCTCCCATGCTTCTCTATGGGGAGGCCACTGTCTGCTAGAAGATAAAGGGGGGCAGGGAGACCTAAGGGCCTCTTGCCTGACGCAGTTTCGGTGCCCTTGCGCTTGCTCAACCAGTTGCAGTGCGCAGATCACCGCAGACTTTGAAAGCCATCAAATCCTGTTTAAAGCATCGAAACCTTGCGGTGAAAAACATCCACCGCAGGGATGCCCTTCTCCTTTCCTTCCTCCCCCCAGCCCTTTTCCTCGGCGTGTTCCGTTTGCTTCTCGTTCTGCGCGCGACATCTGAGTCGTAGTGGGAGCGTCCTGGCAATGTGTACGGGTATCTTGGCTTAAAAGCGGCCACCCTTTGATGCGCGAAACGGCTTTACAAGTCGCAATCGTGCCTGGCACGTACGCTAGATCATTAGCAATGGGGTCGAAGCATCTAGAACCTCTTTGGGGTAGGCCGCCAGAGTACTCACCACGCCCTTACCTAGCGGCGAAAGCCCAATAGACAATAAACGCGCAGGATCGACACTGGAGCTGGCGGCCTTCGTTTCGAGGGCCGCCAGGACGGTCCTCATAGCCAACACGTGGTGCGCCATTGTGGAGAGAAACCTCCTCAAAGCCAAGAAGCCTTAGGCTCGCAACCCTAGAAACAGGTGTTTTGCAAGCCGTCGAGACCGATCCGAACGGCTGGGCATCGGAGAACTTTCTCGGGCAGCAGGAACGAGAAGCCTAGCCTCTACCCTAAGACCCCTCAAACATGCACAGCATGCCTGGCTGGCTCCGTTAGAACGCACATGGTACAAGGTAAACGCCGAAAAGAGGAGAGACAGCGGTAGAAATGGCGAAGTTGAAGGCCTCGTTGTACTCCTTGTGCAGCAGCAATTCGCGAGGAGCGACTTGGCTGGCGCGCAGTGTGAGAACGCCGTGCACAGAGCGGCCGTAGGAATGTTTAATAGGGCTGCCTTGCTAGTCTTTTGTACGCGTTTACAGATACCCTTGTACAGCGGTTCATACTCTTTTTGCATTAAGAACGCAAACGGCCCTCTAAGGAGGATATTCAAGAGATCCTGGGGGTGCCGCCACTAGGCGAGTCCTAAATACAGTGGTGCTGGCTAGGGGCTAACAACAGGTCTCTCTTCTGAATTTTCACCCTTTAAGCAAAGATCCTACTTGCATTCCCGGGCAATATCTGTAGGCTTCTTAATGACACATGTCCCCTGCTCCCTGATCATAGCGAGTCATTTTCTAATACAGCGTTCTTCCTTGGCAACGCGTCCCCTCCCTTCCCCGTCTCGCTCACTCCCTAGTGGAAGCATTTTCCCGTAAACGGTTCCTACGTGCCCTCAAGCCCTAATAGCGCATGCACATTGAGTTTGATGAGTTCTTGCTGCGCATTTCGATTTGTGTGTGGTTGGAAGAAAGTAAGGAAGACCAGAAACTGACGGCGAGGAGACGTACAGGCTGCGCTGCCCGGGGTGCCTTCCCTGTAGGGGCTGGTGGCCCAGCACCATGTTGGGGGGCCCCCCACCCACCACCTGGTTTCCTTGGGGGCTTCCTTACGCTTGTCTTTTTAGGGATTCGTGCATGGATTTTCTGTATTTCTCAGCGTGCAAGCCACAGCCTGGTGGAAGCAGAAGCCGAAAGGCCCCGTTCCCCCCTTGTAGCTACTGTATCCCCATAGACAGAGCGATCGCTCCCTGTAATCCAGCGGCTCATACAACTTGAACTCCTTGGCAAGCATGTGGCAGACCTCCATAGCTGCCCGCTGGCGACGCTTCGAGGGCTTTTACTGCCACCACCAAACTCAAATTCTTTCTCTGGAGGCCTCATAAAGGTTTTCCGCCGACGACGATCGGCATTTGCTTTGGCTCCTTGAAAACACTCAATACACCTCTCTCTGTCCGCCACCTCTTCCTGCCCCTCAGGCTTTCTGCATAGTGTCGCGCCGAGCCCACCATTGTGCCGCCGTCCCCGCTTCTCAGCATTCTGCCAAACAGGGTAGCAGGAGGGCCTCCTTTGTCGCTCCTGGCCTCCGCCTTTGCGAAGGATGAGTTCCTCTGAGGATGAAGATGTCCATGCAGTCTCCAGCGAAGAAGAGGAAGAGGAGGAGTTTTCAAGGCCTAAAAGTCATGGCACGAAGAAGAGAGCCAAGAAGACCATTGAACAGGTAGCTTTGAAACCCGAGAATATGTATGCGGCCTTCAAGTGGGGGGAGAGGCAGGGGAAGACGTCTTCTCTTGCTGTCGTTCCTGACTCTTTTTGCTGCCGCTGCTTTCTTTGTGTCAACCGAATTTTTATTGAACAAGCTTCTTCTCCCCGTGTGCGTTTTTCCGGTTCCTTTGTTTTGGGCCGTGGTGGCCGCCAGCCTCTTGTATACACCTCTTTTTTTTCGATTCTGCTCTAAAAGGCGCGTCTTTCGATTGCTTGCATCTATGATGTCGGGTTGGCTTGCATTGCCAGACAGGGGGTGATGTGGTGTGCGTGTGCTCTCCCTGTGGTCCTCCTCAGCGGTATCAGAAGAAGTCTCAGCTTGACCATATTCTTCTGCGGCCGGACTCTTACATTGGCAGCACTGAGAAAAGTATCCAGCAGCTGTGGGTTATGCCCGATGGGGCAGTCCGCATGCAGCTTAAGAACATTTCCTTTGCCCCTGGACTCTACAAAATCGTCGATGAGATCCTCGTGAATGCAGCAGACGTCAAAGCCCGAGAAACAGAGGGCCGAGAGGCTCCTCCGCGGGGAAAGATGACTGCAATCAAAGTCAATGTCGACCCCGCAGAAGGCATGATTCGAGTCTGGAATGACGGGGAAGGTGAGAACATGCACATTCCCCCGCCCAATTGTGCGCATGAGTGTGTGTGTATGCGTATGTGAATGCATTTGTGAGTATGCTTATGTATGTATGTTTGTGTATATATGCCTATATGTACATGCGTATGTGAATATTCGTATACGTGTTTATGTGTATGTATAGGAGTATGTGTATGTACATACATGTATATGTTTGTGCATACATGTATATGTTCGCACATACATGTGTATGTATGCGTGTGAATGAAAGACTGCCCATTTTCCTCTTGTTTTTTTCTAAAACCTATAATGCCCCTAGTCTTTCTTCCACCAGGGTCTCTCTCTTGCACCTTGCCGCCCACTTTTGGAGTCGAGACTGTGTGTGAGGACTTGCTGGACAGGCTCTGTCTGCTGGACGGTTCCTGCTCCGAGCATGGTATCGTTTTTTCTTGCTGCGCTCCCTCGCGGCAGTCTCTTCTCCCCGGCTGTTTCCCTTCGTTTTGCACAGGTTGAGACTCTCTTGTGTCGGTGTGAGCGCCTTTTTCTCGCAGGTATTCCTGTGGCTATTCACAAGGAACACCAGGTGTACGTTGCGGAGCTGATCTTTGGCCAGCTGCTGACTAGCGATAACTACGATGACACGGAGGCGAGGGTAACAGGGGGTCGCAACGGCTTTGGTGCCAAGCTAACCAACATATTTTCTTCTTACTTCGAAGTCGAATGCGCCGACAGCAAGCGCAAGCAGTAGGGCCACACATTGCAGTCTGCTAGCCTTTTCCCATGCGATGCCTGCTGCCCTCCCCCGTGTGTGAAATGCGAAAAAAACGGGATCGTCTAACAAGGCCAGCACCCGGGGGGGTGCTGTGCGGGCGAAGGGGGTCACCTCAGCATACAGTCCGCTGAGGCCCCCTTCCTGCGCCTCTTTCCCTAAAGAAGAGGCCCTCTTCAGTCTATCGGATCTTACCTTTTGCTGCCGCGGGGTGAACATCTCCGGGGGCTCCCCCCCCTCGCTCACTACCGCGCCAACACCACGCCGCCTCGCGCTGCCACTCGTCTTCTCGAGTCTTTTCGCCTTCCGCATTGCATGCACTGCACCAGCCACGCAGCCAACCCTTCTTCACCTTTTCCTCGCCTTCCTCTTTTCTTTCCTCTTTCCTCTCCTCTGCATTTCTTTTTCCCCTCTCCTTCCCCTTTAAGACCTTTTACTTATGCGCGCTCGTGGCAGCCCTTGGCGGTCCATACTTTTGGGGGGTCATATGTGCAGCGTTCTAGAGGCCTCTGCGTGTGAGGATGCACGTGTTTTCTCTGCCTGCTGTTGTTGCGCACAGGAAAATCAAGGTAGTGTGGACAGATAATATGGGCAAGCAGCAGGCACCCGTGCTCACCCCTTTCAATGGCGCTGGCGACTTTGTCGCTGTAAAATTTAAGCCCGATCTCGGCCGCTTCGGGATGTCTACGTGCGGCATACCTACCCGCAAGCGAGCCCTTACCCCTTTTGTCAAAGTTTGCATGCCTCTGCAATGAAGGGCTCTAAACCCCTCCTAACAGCCTGAAGCCTTGAAGGGCGTGCTGACGTGTATCGCCTTCCCGGAGGGCACCTCCCGGCCTTCTCTTCTGCCTTGTGCGAAGAGCGCCTCTGGGCTTGGCTGTACAGACGCCTCTATGCAGGCTGGAAATGATGGGTGTTGCGCACAGGCTGGATGAGGACTTGATCTCGTTGCTGCGCAAGCGGTGTTATGACCTGGCGGGGACGTCGGGGACGGCGGTGTATTGGAATGGCGTCCGCTTGCCTGTGAGGAGTTTTGTCGATTACGTGGATTTGTATCTTGGAAGCTGCGGCTCTCGGAAGAAGGGCAATAGGGGTAAAGAGGCGGCGGGGAGGGGCAAGAAGAGGAAGCGAAAAAAGAAAAAGGGCAGCGGCGAAAGCAGCGAAAGCAGCGAAGGCAGCGATTCCGAGGCAGAGGACGCCGCAGAGACCCAGGCGGATGAAGACAAGGAAAATGAAAGGACACCAGAGAAGCAAGTCATCAAAATCCACGAGAAAATGCACAGATGGGAGGTCGTCATAAGCCAGTCAGGTACAAATATGCCTTGCCCCCCGGCTGTCTGAGACTTTCACTCGGCCTGACAGGCAAAAAGGCTGCGTAGTTATGGCATCCCTACGCTCAGCAGGGTGTCACAGACAGCGCAGTTTCTGCAGGACGCACAGAGACCTTCTCGGGCAGAGAGAGAGAGATCGGCAAGGATGAAAGGAGGGGCTAGAACGAGACAAGGCTGCTGCTGCATGCATGCGGAGTTGCTTCTGTCCGCAGATGGCAGCGGTTTCCAGCAGGTGTCCTTTGTCAACAGCATCTGCACTCCCAAAGGAGGTCACCATGTTAACCACGTCATTGAGCCCCTCCTCGCGGCGCTCGTCAAAAAGGCGAATGCGAAGAACAAGGGCGGCATGGAGATCAAGCCCCCGCATGTCAGGTATTGCTTGACCGAGGCATGCACTCTAGCGCGCTCTCTGCTGCACCTACACGACTAGGCCTTTTCCCCTCCTTCCTCCCCCCGTTTGTCTTTCCCTCCCGGATCGGCTGTAGCTAATAGCTGACTGACAAGCTGCCTAGCTGCTTAGAAGGACTTTAGTGGAGGCTACACTTGGATTCCACAGGAGGTGCCTTTTTTCGCAACCGTCGATGGCGACGGAGGAGCTGTGTGGTGGACTGCTAGCCAGGAGTGCTGACTACACCGACACACACAGACACACACAGACACAGACACAGACACAGACACACACACACACACACACACACACACACACACACACACACACACACACACACACACACACAGTCGGGGCTGCTGTTTTCGCATTGGGGGCTTAACATTTGCAGGCAGCACCGTCCGGCTTTGTGGGAACCTTAGTAGGAGAGCACCGTGTCTCTGAGACTATTCCACATGCGCTTACTCCTGCGCAGGCAACATCTCTGGGTCTTTGTTAAATGCCTCATTGAGAACCCTGCTTTCGACTCCCAGACAAAGGAGACGCTAACCACCACCGTCTCCCGTTTCGGCAGCAAGTGCAACCTTTCCGAGAGGACAGTTAATGCCGTCGCCAAGTCTGCCATCCTAGATGGCGTGCTGCTATGGGCACAAACGAAAGCGCAGGTGAGCAACAGTGCTAGGTGCCAGCCTGAAGAAGCGCGAGTGCCTCAAGAAAGGTTTGATTCTCTTTTTGTTCAGATAGGGAGACCAGACCAGCACAGAGCGTAAAGCAGCTGCCTGCAGAACCTCTCGTCGATTTGTCTGAGCGCTGTTATTTCTGGCGTGCCTGTGCTACCAGGTAGAGCTAAGACGCCAAATGTCTGTAGGAAAGACGAAAGGCAAGGAGCGCCTCACGGGAATTTCCAAGCTCGAGGATGCAAACGAGGCGGGTAAGAGAGGACCTCGTTCGCTGCCGCACAGGCCCCACCCACCTCTGCAACCGGCTGCCCCTCTTTGCAGATGCGTTCTTTCTCTTTTAATTTACAAGCCTTTGCTGATAACGCACGCCTAAGGGTTGCTTTCAGACGTCCAGCCTAATATCTTACTCTAGCCACGGCACTAACAGTTTCGCCTGTGCAGTGAGGCCGCCGGTGCAAGAGGCTTCGGGGCGAGGAGACAGCTGTTGTACTTGGGAGGGCCTGACGTAGGTGCTGTGTGATAGGAGGACGGCATCATTTGGATGTCATTTGTGCGGAGGTCGCGGCAAATATCGGAGCTGCAGGCATCCATCCTCTAATTTGTTGAAGGATTGCCACGGCAGGCGTAAGGAAGGATTTTTTTTGCAGAAAGGCTTTGAGGATTTACCCTTTGTCCTACATGTGTTGCTGCAGGTGGTCGTTACGCCCAGGCATGCACATTGATTCTCACAGAGGGTGACAGCGCCAAAACGTCCTGCCTTGCCGGACTCTCCGTTGTGGGGAGGGAGAAGTATGGCGTGTTTCCTCTAAGGGTCGGCCTTCCTCTCCGGTTTCGCAGTTCGCATTTAGAACTAGCTGCACTCCATAGATAGATTGGTTGGGATTTCCTTGGGGGCTGTTTCACAGTATGGCTTTAATAGGCATTGCATTTACATTCTAGCGACGATAGAATACTCGGAGGGTGTAGCGGTATCAACAGGCATGCATGGTGGCAATTCCACATTTGTCAGGCACAGCTCTCAAGGGGGTGTCTCTTTGGCATTTGTGTGTTCTGGCCGCGCCGCTGGTTTGGTGTGTCACCCGCTGCTTTTTTCGGCACGTGTACGTCGCCCTGCGTGAAGCCCGTCTCGACTTTGAGCGTATTTGCAGCGTTCAGCGCGCGTTTTTTCCGGTGGGCTGTGGAATGCTTTGCTCCAGGGAAAGCTGCTGAATGTGCGCGAGGCCTCTTTCAAGCAGCTAAAGGAAAACCGCGAAATACAAAACATACTCCGAATCCTTGGCCTGCAGATTAATGACAAAGTTCAAGACACACGCGGCCTACGCTACGGATCACTCATGATCATGACGGACCAAGTGTGTCTGCGTCCCGTTGAAATGCTGAAAGCTCTACAGATAAAGCCGATACAGCCCATGCAGGCCCCCGCGAAATTCCTAATTCGCCTGTTTTAGGTATAACACTGCATCCATCCGAGGAAATCTGAACGTGAATTTTACATGGCTAATGCGGTAGGGTCGCAAGGGGGGGCTCTGATGCTCGGGGGGGGGCGCTCTACTACGCGTGCAGGATTACGACGGTTCCCACATAAAGGGTCTGCTCATCAACATGCTGCACCACTACTGGCCTCATCTGCTCCAATGCAACCACTTCCTTACGGAGTTCGTTACGCCTATCGTCAAGGTACTATTTCGTGAAAGACCCTGCCTTTGCGCCACCCTGAGAGCCTGTGATGTCCGTACACCCCATGCAGCCCCATGGGCGTTGCCTTTTTCCGGCCCAAATCGATTAAACTAGAGACGTAGGTACTAGGGGCGCATGCATACACAAATTCACACAGACATACATACATGCATGCATACATACATAAATACATATATGCATATACATATGTATATGTATACATACATGTATACACATACACTTATATGTGCCGTAACGTGCAGGTATCCAAAGGCTCGGTAGAGAAGGCGTTCTTCACGCTTGTGGAGTACGACATGTGGAGAAAGCAGGCAGGCAACCTTTCTGGCTGGAAGATAAAGTACTACAAAGTGGGTCTAATATGCAGGTTTAGGCATATCGCGAGTTGCGATGTCATCGATTCGCCGCGAAAGGCACCCCCTTTCTCCCCCCCTTAGCCTTAGAGAGCCTGGGAGAGGACAGGACATGTGCTTGCTAGCGCCTCGAACGTTGGTTTTTGCTCACTCTCGGGCTTCAGGGTTTGGGAACGTCAACGGACAGAGAATTCAAGGACTATTTTCAGGCTCTCGATAAGCACAGAATTAGATTTCGATGGACAGGCAAGCTCGCTGACCACCCTTCGCTTTGTGGAATCCTTTGTCTACCTACTTACACATATAGGCAGCGACCCCGCGCGCGGTAGCAGCCAAGTGTGCTGGGTGCTACATGCTGGCGCTTTTCTGTGTCTGCCTCTTCCCAAGTGCAAAGAAAAGCATCACTTGTGGTCTGCCTCGGTAAATGTTTGTTGTCTGGCTTTGACATTCGTTCTTCTGCCCCTACGTGAGCCTCGGGCGGTTAGGACATTCCTGCGAGATGTGCGCGCGGCCTCTCAGGCAGTAACGACGGGGAGCTGATTGATATGGCCTTTAGTAAGAAGCGCGCAGAGGACAGGAAGCGGTGGCTGCAGGGTTACCGCGAGGGGACCTTTGTAGATCACTCCGTGCGTGAGCTTACCTTCTCTGACTTTGTGAATAAGGAGCTCGTGCAGTTTTCTCGTTACGATAACGAGCGCTCAATCCCGCAGCTTGTCGATGGCTGGAAGGTTGGGCAGCGCAAAGTGCTGTTTGCCGTCTTCAAGAAGAACACGAAGGCCGAGCTGAAGGTGGCGCAACTCTCTGGGTATGTTGCCGAGCAGAGTGCGTATCACCACGGCGAGCAGTCTTTGCAGCAAACCATCATTACCATGGCCCAGCGGTTCGTTGGAAGCAACAATCTTAATTTCCTTGAGCCCGTTGGTCAGTTCGGATCCAGAAAAGAGGGCGGGAAGGATGCGTCTGCACCCCGCTACATCTTTACAAAGCTCGCACCGTACACACGCCTCGTTTTCCCCGAAGCCGATGACCCTCTGCTCGAGTACCTCTATGAGGAGGGGCAGAAGATCGAGCCGAAATACTACGTTCCTGTCATCCCCACCGTGCTTGTCAACGGCAGCGAAGGCATCGGCACGGGGTGGTCTTCCTTCATTCCCAACTTCAATCCCAGAGACATCATCGCCAACCTCAAGAGGTCAGCACGGCCGAATGTACCCCTGCCGACTCGATCTTGACCCGCTGCCCTTCTTTCCCCCCTCAAAGAGGCCATCTGATGCCACCGCACAGCCTGCCGCTTCTCCTCTAAACGCGTGCTCTTGTATGACTCCGTTGTGCCACCAGGTTCATTGCCGGGGAGGAAATGGTGCGCATGAAACCTTGGTATAGGGGGTTCAAGGGCGTCATCGAAGAAAGTCCCACCAAAATCGCATTCGAAACCGTCGGGCTCGTCGAGAGGAAAGGCGAAGATGTCATAGAAATCACCGAGTTGCCCATCAAGCGCTGGACACAGGTACGCATCCGCCTTGGACGCACGCATGCCACCGAATGTTTTTCTTGCACCAGCGTCGATGACACCTGCCAAGCCAGCCAAGAGCTGTAGGGTTCAGGATATTCTAGAGCTATCTCGACATCTGCTTCCTCTGCACCCTTATGGTTGGACCCCTTGTATCGCCTTTCCGGCGCGAAACTGCCAACCCTTCTTGGGGGAAGAAGAGGCTCTCGCTGCACAGCACCCCTCCACGCATGCGCTCTCCTCCACAACAGGATTACAAAGAGTGGCTCGAAGAGCAGTTACCGGCACCCGAGAAGAAGGAGCCCTTAATCTCCGATTACCGAGACAGCAGCAGCCACGAAGACATCAAATTCGCCGTGAAAGTCTCCCCAGGTACGCTTCACTTGCCTTGGCTTCTGCATGCACTCTTTGCACATCAAGGTCCCTTCTCCCATGCCTCTTTCTCGGCGGCGTGCCACGTTCTACCCCGCTGCCCTTTTAGGCAACGTAAAAAGGGCGCGTACATACGGCTCACATCAAGGTGTACATACACTTGCCATGTGCGCGGGTGGGGTGAATGCACCGTGCAGAGCGACTTGCGAGCACCGACGATGAAGGCCTCCTTAAGCTTTTCCGTCTGAAGTCATCTCTCAGCACTCAAAATTACCACCTCTTCAACGCCGAAGGGAGGGTCCAAAAGTACGCGGACGAGCTGGAGATCATGCGCGATTTCGCGACCATCCGATTGGCATACTACGAGGTTAGTGAATACCCGCTTTGTCTTAATAGAGCCTATACTCCCGTCGGGAGGCATTTTCACCCTTTCACACGGCGAAAAAGCCCAACGGCATCCCTCTCCAATGGCTCGAACTTCGCGGAGAGCATTCATTTCTCCACTTAGGCGGAGAGGCCAACGCAGGATTCGGGAGATGCGTAACAGCGTCTTGTCTTGCACTGTACTCTTAGCAGCAATGGAAACAGTGTTCCCAACGTGTGCATGCGTCTGCCGAGCCACCACAGAAACGGAAGGCCTACCTCGTTGCTGTCTCGGAGAAGGAAAAGGCGATACTTTACAACCGCTCCCGCTTTATCAGTGCCGTGCTGTCCGGTGAACTGATTGTGAGCAACAAGCGCCGCCAGGCGCTCATTGAAGAGCTCTTCGCAAAGGCAAGCAGGCTGCACAGCTAGCTACACCTGCCCACCAGGTGCATTTGACGTCTTTACGATATCCCTCTTTCTCCTCAAGGAAACCGGGGCCACCTAAAACGATTGGGCTCCTTTCTTGCTTCCCGCAGATTTCTTGTACCTCGGAGAGCCTCCTACTTTGACGTGCATGCAAGTATATATATAAATTTATATACCTACTGATAGACGCGTGAATGCAGTGAGGTTGGGTATATATATATATGGGTATGGGTGTAAATACGCATGTGTTGCTTGGCTTTCACATCCTAAATAGCTTGTATTGACCATTGCACGTTTCGACCACAGGGATATGATCCGATGCGCGAGCTTGAAAAGAAGTGTGCGGCTCTGATTGACAGCATCTTGAATCATAAGATTCCTCAGGAGCACGGTTTGTCTGTAAGTCGTCTGGGGGTCCTGCCCGGTTTCCTCAAGAGGGCCCTTACTGGATGTGCGTTTTCTGGAGGGTGGCATTTTTTTCATTTTTAGGGTATGCGGCTTGTTGACAAGCTCGTTGTGTCTGTTTTCAGGATAAAGAAAGCGCTGATGAAGAGCCTGCAACCGCCTGTGGGTGTGTCGGGTCAGATTTCGACTATCTCGTGGGGATGCCCCTCTGGAGTCTCACGGCTGAAAAGGTAATGGCTAGGTGGCAGCTTGTCGTGATGCGCAAGGAAGCGCAGAGCGTCAAAATCTACCTGCGTTTCTACGTGAAAAAGGCCATTCATATTTTTGGTGGCATGGCGCTTAAAGCGGCGCAGATTCAGCGCCCTGCAGTCCTCTGAATATTTTTTGGAAGGATATTCGGCGAAAGGTGAATGAGCTCTCGCAAGACCACCATGCCTTTTTCCCATTCATATGGCCGCCGCGTGCGTGATCGTAGGTTGCAGACCTCAAGAGACAGCTGCGAGACAAGGAAATTGACCTGGAGGGGCTTCGTCAGACTGACATTCGGGCCTTATGGCTGAAGGACCTAGACGCCCTCTTGGAAGCCATTGAGAAGCAGGTACCGTACCGGCATGCGCATGCCATAACTTTAAGCACCAATCGCAGTCTTGATCCTCCTCTAAAGCAAGAAAAGTATCAGCGGCGGATTCACAGGGTGCAAGAATCCGCCAGCATCTTGGGGATTTTCGGTGCGCATCGTGCGCTGTTAGGACGCAGCGGACCTTAAGCAGAGAGAGGCAGATCAAGCTTTCCACAGGCAGTTAGAAAGCAAGAAGGGCCTCAAGGGTTTCGCAGCGCTCAAGGGCAAACCCAAAGCTGCGAAGGAAGCGAGCGCGGCTGCCCCCAAAGTGGGGAGTGCCAAGTCGGCTTCCAAGACTCGCACGAAGAAGGTAGGGAGGGAGGGACCAACTACTTTGGATATCACTTTAGGCATGTCATGGATATCAATGGCAGGGGCTAATACGCTTTTAGCGCGAACGTTTATATATATATATATGTGTGCAAATCCTAAAACATGTGGGCGTACACTCGAATGCCAGCTATTCTGTCCTGTTTGACTCAGGTTCACTCGAGCTCCGAGGAGGAATCGATTAGCTCTTCTGATGCTTCAGAAGAATCGCCTGACGAATTAAGTCTCGACGATGACTCTTCTGACGAAGACCGGCCACTAAAAGTGCGCGCAAGGCCCCCACAGACGCAACAGAAAACAAACGGGGTGCAGCCAGACGAGCCACCGAAGGCGGCTTGTTCAAAAGTTTCCCCATTGAGGGAAGGAGCTATACAAGGAGAAAAGCCATCCTTAGCCCCGCCCCTGTTCGGTACCAGTGCGTTGAGTGAAAAGAAAGAATCGGTTCAGGAAATCCAGGCCGCTCCTCCCCCGATACAGTCGCTTTCGCTTCTGGATCGGCTCCGGCTTGGGGGGGGCTGTTCCTTCTCCTCTTCAGCTCCCATTCGAACCAAACAGTTGACGCTCGATGAGATTTTTGCACCCACTGCCAGCAGCTCGAGCAAACCCTCAGAAGCTGGTAAACCTATCCAGACCTCCACCGTCAAGGCGTCAGAAACTTGGTAAGTTCTCGTGCAATTCAGACTCGACGGGCGGTCGCCTCTGCGTGACTCGCCCCTGCTACTCTGCGCTGTATCCTTCGAGTTCTTTAGTTGACTGAGTTCTCCTAGAGTACAAGGCATCCCTTCTGATACAAATTGTCGAAGAATGAGTGTCTCTAAAACAATCTACGACAGTCTGCACCCCTTGAGTGGGACTGTTTGCATTCCCTTGCTTTCGTGTGCTGCATTCCGTGTGCCCTGGCAGCGATCACAACGTAGCGCCAACGAACAGCATGGCCATTGGCACTGCGAGCGTTGAGGCAGACACTCTGAATTCGGGAATATTAAAAACTCCCCCCAAACCAAAGCGACGCCGGATACTTGCTGACTCTAGTGACTCTGACGGAGCCACAAAATCCACATCCAAGCCCAAGCAGGCCACTCCCAGAAAGTCCGCTTCGACGACACCTCAGAAGAGGCCTCAAACAACACCAAAGAAACACAAGCCGCAGCGTGACGACGAGGATTCGGATTCGGCCAGAGGTGAAGGTAGGCGATGCACGCTAGCCTGGCATACCGACGGCAGGCCCCTCGTTGTATTCGTTGAACAACAAATGTTGAAACACGTTTGAATAAAAATTCGTGCAAAAATATCTTTGGGAGGATTGCATCTGTGTAAAAGTGTGTTGGCTGAAGGCCTTGAATAGTATTGGTCTCCACATTTGTATCTACTAGTACCATGACTACAGGCAGCTGAAATAAGTGCCATGTGTTACACGCCACTTTCAGACTCCCACATTGGAGAATCCCCTATAGCATCCAACAGGCCCCGTCGGGCTGCAGCACAAGCGCCGAAGAAATACACAGTGGCATCTTCGGAATCAAGCAACGGCGAAAGCGATGAGTCTGAAGAGGCGTCAGAGGCAGAGAGCATTTCCGAAGACGATGAATAGCTCAGCACAGCAGGCGGCAGCACACTGCCTGACTTCCGAGGTTCGCCCTCGTAGCAACTCTGCTTGCTACATGACGCAATACAACGCCGGAAACGCGTTGCACGTTTCCGCGAGCGAACCGTCATTTGTTTGTGCAGTTGAGAAGCAAAGGGAAGCCTCTCCGGCGCGCTACTGTATACGTAGTTGCTTTAGGGTATTGTGCAGGCGCGGTGCGTGTTAGGGAATCCAACTTTTCACTTTTTAGAGACAAAAATACATTGGCTGTGTCCCACGATGGCCCTGTGGACTATTCTAAAATTTCGGCAGACGCTTGGAGGCAACTAAGGATTGCATCTTCTTAAAATGATGGTTAACATGGGTGCGAAAATTCTCTTAGCCTGAATCTGTAGACCACTCAGCAGCAGGAGTGTAGCCAATCACCATTTTGCGGTTGCGCCAGAAAACCTGCACGCGCCACGCACAAGTCTCATGACACCTCCATCAAGGTGTAATCCCACCCGACGCTGCTTGAAAATGTCAAGGAGTTTGCATGGGCGTAGTAGTGCGAAGTTACCTCTCCGTAAGAAGCATAGATCTCCGAACCGGCCTTCACTTCAGCCGTTGCTCGCAGTAATACGCGGCTGAATCCAGGCAGAACACAGAGGATTGCTAGAATAGGACGCTTACTTCGCCGTTTCATGTTGCGAGGTAATCCGTAGTGATGCAGGTTAGGATAAGCGGGTGGGGCGCATACCCTTCATGTTTGAATTTAAAGAATTCTGCGTTCAAAGCCCTTCTGTCGCCATTGTCGTTGACGTACCTTGCATATACCTGAAATAAAAGGGGTATAGAAAATAGCAAAGTATTGAATCTGACAGAAATACGTAAGCTTACAAGCTACGAAGGCGAAGCATAGGGGAGAGTATTTGCCAGAAGCTCTATAGACGCCGCGGGAATCCCTAATGTCAAAGCCGCGTTACAGGCCGTTTCTTGCCTCTGGGTGCTTCGTTGCATCGATATGGCAGTTAATTTGTCCTGTTCCCATTACATACTCTCTATCTTCCATGCGCATTACCTGCCTGAAGCGTCGAAAACATTAAACGTTCATCTGTTCTAGGGGTAGCGCGCATGGCGATCAATTTGTAATTTGTGTCCTGACCCCATTTTCTTCTAGATGAACACAATACAAGAGAACGTTTGGCCCTCAGATCAAAGCGTGTTACACGGTGACGGCCCTCCCTGCAGAAAACCTTGGCTGCAGTCTCACCTATACAATCAGATATGTCTTACATTAGGCTCTTCCTCTCACCAAGGTACTCGCATATCCAGGTTCCTGGCTCAACATCTGTGTAAGTGGCTCACAGCATTCGCAACACACGCCTAGAATAGCCATTGCTTGTTTTTCTGGCTAATGCACTCGGTTGCATTCTGTTGTCCCATGGCATGACGAGGGACACTATGGGTGCAGGAGGTGCATAGAATATAGAACCATGAAGCGCTCAACGTCATGCTAAATATGTTTATATAGATACTCATTGTAGTAGAAGCGTCATCGATGTACTATGGCAATAGCAGTTGCACTGCATATATAAGAGCTTGGCTACGGTAGCACCTCGTCAGCCAGCCTCACGTTGTTGGACGAAGAGTCCTAAACCCGCCCCAGGTATCCTTGATTCTGCTATTATGAGAGCGCCTCGAGGGAGAAAAGACCCATCAGCAGTCTTTGGAATACGTGGCAATGAGGCTTCCCGGTCAGAACCCGTAGCTGGCATTGGGCGCTGCAGTAACGCGGTTCTGGTGGCACAATGACGTTCCTCCAAAGTACTTTGCAGTACACCTACGCTTATTGAAGCTTGAGGCAAGTACCGTTACCCCAATTTTTCCATTTAGCTTGAGGCCTTGGGAAATCTCGCAGCAAGCCGTTAAACAGCTACTGGCAGACCGTCTTGCATGGGATGAATTGGTCATGGATGGCGCTGGTACCACTTCTACTCAGTGTATGGAAACCAATGTTTTGAAGACTCCTTTGAGCTTTATTCCAGTGTAAAATGACGGAAATGGCAATATTTGTGATTAGAGCTACGAAAAGTCCACTTTTGTTGGTGGACATACGGTCCTGGGACTCGTTTGATCTGGGTGGTCAAGATAGCCGCCATCTGATGAGTTTTATTCTCGGGCTTAATGCTCAAAACACAGAAAGCAGATCCTGACAACACTGCTATCATTAGTTTTTCTCCAAGTATCAGGCGTTACACTGTTTCACTCCGCCTTGTTAGGCTACTCCAGCTTCTTTTTCGACAGCCCCGAAAATCGCTGCATATGTTGACAGATACGGGCTTTTGTACGCCAAGTATATCATTATGTGAGCTTTTACAGGGCTAATCTGGCCACATTTTAGCTGAGAAGTGCTTCCATTGTCCTGTCACAGGCACCCTTCCGCGCTGAACCGGCAAAGGGTTTTGCGAAGCCTGGTGAATGCTTATTTCAGTAGCATTTGTGAACTTCTAGTGGAACGGATGTGAAATAAAGAACTTTTGCTCAGAAAAGTGCTGAGTTAGGGAGTACAGTGACATGGACCATGACTACGAGGCTTCACTTTGTCTGCAAATGTATGTACCGGGAAAGGCTAGAGGCAGTCACTCTCTCTAAGCAAAGTTTATCCAAAACAGAATGTGTTACGAGCCCACAATCTGGCTTTTCTGTTCGTATAGCTTCTTTTGTGCAGGGCAGTAGTGACATGATACAAGATGACGCACCGTCGTGTCCGTGTATTTTTTGCTAGATGCTACGTGAGGATGGCCATGAATGCTCGGAGTGCTTAAAGAAAGCAACAAGGACCACCGAGCTGACCTTCTATCCTCCTGTCGGGGAGTCTGATGCGAGGTAGGAGAATGAGGGGACTCGGTTAAAAATCAATAAGTGCATTCCAATCGAAAGTGCCGTGGGGAGAAAGTTAACTCCAGCCTCAATTCAAACAAAAGAGAAATTTATTGAGCTGTTCTCCAAATAATCTCCCGCCTTTCCTTGCACGCCTCCACTCAGCTCGCGACATGAGTGGTAGCAGACAACTAAAAGGACGCGTAGCTGTACCGTATACGCACTTGGAGCATTCAGAGCTAGTTATGTTCACTGAGCGCCTGCTGCAAAAGTGTACAGCCTTAATTATCGTTGACTTGGTTTATTTTATCCGTAGCTGGTAAAGCTACGCCAGGGCACTTTCTATTACACTAGATACATCTTACTAGGAGTGAATAAAGAGGAGACTGGGCGGTTTGTCTCTCTGTGTACCTTGCTTATTGTAGATTACTATCGACTCGCTAGGCGAAGACTCAATGTTGTATGCAAGTGAGTTACGAACTTTTTAAGAAGTTTATATCTGAGTCTGCAGTTGGGTTTTTTCGTAGGAAGACCTTACTTAAAGCGTGACAGTCGGTTGCACTGCCTTGTTCTGTGCAGCTGTTCCCCGCTCATCCTCAAGGTGTGGATGCAGTGGGATGTCGAACTTCCTTATATCTGTCTGATTTTAATCAGGTTATTGATTAACTCAATAATGTGCTTTAGTTTGACAACTTGGTAGGGGAAAAAGCTCTCTAGCGATGGAAGAAGACGGTGGCACAGTGTTTGTTCGGGTAGAAACGGCCGGCTGCAAGCTAATGTGAATGCCAGCTCCAGAGCCGGTAGCAAGGCATGATTTACCATCCGATAAACCTTTGTTGGTTGCGGTGATGAGGAGATACCGACCACAGAATGTGACTGCACTAGGGATGGACAAGCAGGCGAAAATTTCATAAGCAGATTGTAGATGTACCCCGCCTTGTACCCCTAGATGAACAAAGCAATGCTTACTGCGGCATGTCAACTGGAGGAGAAACATTTGAAGGACTGCGCTATTTGTATAAAAAAAGTATTTGTCGGCATAAATTAGTACAGCTCAGCCCTTCAGCCGAACCGTAAGTCAGTGGCTTATGCCAGGATCAGCTCAACAGCGAGCTGTGGAAAAACTGAGAAAGCTCACACAATGGAAGCTGTTGATAAATTGATGTATCCAGAAACGGAAACGTTTTTAATCTGCAAAAGTCATAACACAGACAGAAAGCTGTTTTACCAGTGAATTAAAGCAAGTTTACCCGAAGTGTCACATCAGATATTCGCAGGCTCGGTGGCGACTAGCGAGTAAGCAATCAAAGCGTGGCGATTTTACATATGGTGCAGTACTTGAGGATTTCAGGGACGAATCAGCGCAGCTTCTGCGTCTTTGGCTTTCAGCTAAGTGCGGGGGCCAGCTCGAAACCTGTGGATCGTGTCAGACGGCCCAGCCTACAATCTTACATGGACAAACAAAGTACTGTGGGGATATGGGGCTGAAAGCGCATACAAAGAGCCAAAGAACTTGGGCAATGCGACTGCTTCCAGCAAAAGCAGGCTGGTTGGCAAGCAGAGAAAAGGATACACTTCCACTGAGGCTCCAGCAACCAAATGCGATTTCAAATCAGTAGCTGCTTCCATCAGTACGGTCCATGACTTTTCTGCTCGACCAGTACACCATGACGCATGCTAGGTACGCCATGGGTCACCAATTTTTCCGAGAGCTTGTGGCCACAGCTTGACTCTGTGGAAGTACGTGTGCCAGGGAGCTCTAGCAACAGGCAACTCCTGGTCTTCTCAGAACTGCTAGTTCCATCTATGATGAGTGGCTCAGAACTGGTACCTCACAAGGAGAGTCAGAGCCTTCATTCGGACATCTCTGAAGAAGAGAAAAATGATCTGAGCACGAATCCCGTCTTTGTGGATTTGCAACCGGGTTTTCAAAGAAATTCGCTTGAACGTTCTAAAGAGGAACGAAAGGGATGGGCAAATAATACGAGGAGCTCGCGGATATGCCAAATACAGACGAGCTTCTAGCAGGCTAGCTATCTGCTGGTCGTTCAATGCACCGCGTTGAGCTATCGAGCATCAGCCGGAAGCTATGTTCTGTGATATCAGAGTCGTCCACAGCATGAAAAGGAAATTGAATGACAGGGGGGCAATATGTTGAAAAAGAGCAGAGCGCAGAAATGGATAGGCGATTTCAGGCATAATTTGATACTGGTGCAGGAAAACGATGGTAGCTAACGCATGTGTACCAGCATAATACTCCTGAGCAAGACCATTGTAAGGCTAAAGCTCCTCATGGGGCAAATAGGCGAAATCCATGACAAACAATTTTCTGCATTTGACCGCACAGCCACTTTATTACGAATCTGCATGTACCCAGACTACAGGCACAAACAGAAGTCTATAATATCTCTTGCGAACTCGAACATAAGGTGGTGCCGATTGACTCTGTTAATGCCCTAGGTGAGATACAATGTCGAACCAACGGGTATTTGATGGGTCTATCAAGGAGGAGTGGATGGCTGCTTACGTGGACGACGTCTTAATTTACCGCTGAAACGCTCGAACACTCTAACAGCATTTAGGGTGTGCGCTTCATCTGTTGCGGGACTAGCAGACCAAGTTATCACATTCCTTTAGAGCAGTTGTTTTTCTGGGGTTTCACTTTTTGTTGCAGGAATTCAGCTAGATCCCACAGAAGTTGGAGCTGTCAGTGCGCGTCTTCTACGCACCCAAAGGAATCTTGACTTGCATTTGTTACCGAAATTCTATTTCTACACTTGCTCGAGATAGGCGCTCTTCTCACTTCTTTATTAAGAAAAAAAATTATGTAGCCTCTCCAGAAAAGGCTGATGCTGCAGCAAGGACAATTAGAGGCCCACTACAACTCTTTTGGTACCTGCGCTGCCTGATTTTGAGCGTCACTCCACGGACGACCGATTCTAGTAATGTAGCGGTGGATGCTATTCCCTTCCGACACTGTAAAACGCCCTCCAAAATATCAAAGTTTTGCGTTTCATTCTCATCACTTCCCCAAAACTGGGCTGCAGCACCCACTGCAGGGAAATGTGCTAGTATGCGGTATGGCGTGGGGTGATGAACTGCTGCTAATATTTACACGGGCATCAGTCTACTGTCCAACCCGACCACCCATCTTCAATGTGCCCTGACCTTTTTATGTGGTTTGGCTCTTCCTTCAGTACGACTTCTGACAGTGAAGTCTATCGAGGGCATTTTATAAGTATAGTAGCCGAAGCACTGCCACAATGCCCCGGCAATTCACCATTGTGCAGAGCACCCGCTCGTGTCTCCGATGATCCACCTCTCCATCCGAAGGTCATGGGCCTTTTGCTTTCGATATGCATGCATCCTCTTTTATCGATAAATCAAAAATTGCGTACGAGCAAAACACCCCACGTCGAAAAGAACGTGCAGTGTTTCAAACAAAGCCGGACCTCTGCCGTGTTTACATTCTCGCTTTGATCCGCAGTGCTTTTCGCTCAAAGCATATGCTATTCTTATTTCGAGCTACGTTGGGACTCACAGTACAGTGCAAAAACTTTTACACTCCTTTCGGTGGCCTGGGATGCATTCTGGGCAGAGGAGAATGCAGTGGCATGCCCAGATTGTCAGCAGCTCAAGCTGCGCAATGCTCTTACACCCAGTCTTTTGCAAAGGCCTCTGGTCCCTTGCATGATTTGAGCTAATCTAACAGTAAAACTCATTGCTAAAAAGACTAATGAAGACCAACCGTCCACATGGTATGTACGCCGTTGTCGATGGACCCAGCAATTATTGTCAAATCATCTCTTGCTACAGCTCTATCACGGCTCAGCAGGTCGCCTATTTATTCTTAAGTCCTTTCTAGAAGCTTCACAAGTTCCCCAGAAGTAATATTGCGGTTAGGGATGAGATGTTTGTTGGCGCGGTCTAGCGAACCTTTATGACCCACGTACGCATTTACTTCTACACCACCGCTGCGAACCATCCTGGGGCGGATGGATAGAGAGAGGTCACTTACTGCACCCCTCTGCAGTATTTGAGGATGTTTGCCCGGTAAAGCCCAGTCGCTTGGCATCATTTTTTTCTTGTACCGAGTGGCTCAAAAATACGACAGTACAATGGTCTACCCGCTGGTCCTCGCATTCCTGCCCTACACTGAATAGCCCTTCCCCTATCCCATCCTGGATCTTGCGTTTCGTGCTTATCAGCCACCGGTAGCAGCAGAAAGACTCAGAAACAGCTGGGTAGTGCAGGCGAATGTGTATACAAAGCTCAAGAGAGACACACAAGTAACTATGAGGAGCGGCGTTCGGCTGTGTATTTTGAGCCTGGATATTACTCCCTTCTGAATTGGCAAGTACAATGCTGTACAACAAAAGAAAATAAGACGAAAAAGCGTGGGGCCAGGTGGCTGGGTTCATTTGAGAACCTCTCACGGCTCAATGTCTTTCGTAGGCCAGTTGTTTTTCTTGACGACCTGATATACCATTGAGCTACCAAAAACCGGTTCCTAGAAAAAGCCTTCTGATCATCCGCAGTCTGCGCCGCGCAATAGAGTGACCCATGAGGACGCAAAGGATCCATAGGGAGCCTTGGATGTGGGGATTCTAGAACTGAGTGCCGAGGACGAAGTAGGCAAAAACTTTTAGTGAATTAGAGTCACCAAGCCTAGCCCCAGTAATTGAAAAATGATCCAGTTGCATGCGGGAGAATTTGCGGCCCTGTTCAACAAAGCTAGCTGCTATGGACGGTACTCCTCGCATTCCCCGGTAATTGTCTCTCCCTGCGCAGGGTGTGCCTGCAGTAGCTACCTTCATTTATACATATTGCTTCAAAAGTGGTTGGTTATTATTATTGCAGAGGCATTCTCCATACTCAAATTTACGTGCAGGCACTCGCTGATATGTGGTCTGTGCATTGTTTCTGTTGTCTCTTGTGAGCCTTTGAAATTGACGATGGTGCATGCATCAGTTGTATTTGCATGCACATGTTGCTTTGCGAGGTGGGAATGCACCGATGAGCTAGTGCATATCTCAATTTCCCTCACACATTTTACTTTTCTTCTGTTATCTCCCGGCGGGAGGCCCACCTTCCAACACTCCGACGACAGCGAGCCATTGCGTCGCTGCAGTCGTGTTAGTTGGTCCCTCGCTCGCTGTTGAATACTGCATGTATCTTTCTTCCGGGCAAATTCATTTTGACGATTGATGGCACATTTGTATTCTTCGTTTGCACTGTTTTCGTGTTACTGCCTGCTTGGGGAGTGTCGATAAAGCAGGAACTCTTCCGCTGTCCTGAGCACAGTTGGTTGCTTAAATATTTCAACCTTGTCTATTGCTTAGTGCTGTTAGCTTGATAGAGTAAGAATCTTTATTGTGCATGTGTTCTATACGCTATACGCAAGGAAATGTGAATCCTGGGAATGCTTTGGAGGCACAGCTACACGAAACCCTGTTGTTCCTGCTTTCATGTCGAAGACTCTAAAGGGTGCCCGCAGGAAAAGAAATGTCTTTTACGGACTGTGTAACAACTTTATATCCAGTAAAATTCAGTCTTGATCTTGTTCCCCTGCAGAGACCTTAAATGGTGCCTGTCAGAAGGAGCAGCTACCCTTAGCCCAAGTGCATTTCCTGTTTAAGGCCGGTGACCTGAGAGCGAATATACGGGGTATGTCTTTAGAACAAATAAACCATGCCTGGATCCTAATCGTATCTGATGGTTTCAAGCTGAAGGTTACTATGGAGACACTGGGGGGAATTCTAAAGACAGTGCTGTGCAGGTTTACTCTCTTTGCATGTTATCGACTCGAGCAGCTTCATAAGTTTATCGCTTTCATAGCAGCAGGGATAATTATTATTTTCTCCTATGAATAGTGTTGCTGCGAATTCACACCCGTTTTGTGCCCTTCAACAGCCTCGTATTCGCATGATGTAGTGCTGTAGGGCAATGCATCGTACACGGCAATTCCTCAGCCAGCTCCCCTCTCGTATGGAACGTTTGCAGAAGATGCCAGCATACAAGGACATGTACCAGTTATTTAAAATTGTTTTACAGTTCAAGTGCCCTGGGGTGCAGGCGAGTACACAAACAACGGTGGATGCGGGCTGCTACAGGATTGCCATGCTTCCTAGGGGATGGCGCCGCATTGCGTCTTCTGGTGAGTGGAAGTCGGGCACGAGCATCAAAAAAAACGCAGGCATGAATTTGGTTTATGCAAAAGGAGGGAGAAGCTACTGGCCTTGCACGCACAATGTTTCTGCATGCACTGTGTGCAACAGTGGCTTGGACGGCAGTGCAGCTGCGGGGTCCTGGGAAAGGAGCCCCGCACACTGGGAGAGGCCTAATGCCAACATTTCACCGAAGAATGGCGTTGGGAGGGCTCTATCCATAATTTTTCCCCGTCGTACGTCATAATGCAAGTTTTCGTGCGCTCATATGCGGGGGAATCCCTCCCTGTCGAGGTCTCGGCAACCTCGACTGTGCTCGAGCTGAAGCAGCACCTGGAGGCACGCTTAGGTGCGTTCCCGCGGCATTTCGAGGCACCATACTTTCTGCTGGAGCAGTTTTATGGAATAGCTGTTGGGGTAAAGGGACATGCACGGGAACGCCCTCGGCAGGCCCCTTCACTGTTCTGCATTTTGCATGTGGGGGGAGGGGTATTTCATTTTTCCCGATAGACTGTTCAGTGTCCCTGTGGCTTGCGAGTTTCTGGGAACTTGATGGGCAGATACTGCTGCTATTCTTCGTGTTGCCAAGGAATACTGCACAATTCGTGGGCCGCGGGCTGGGCCGGTTCCTGCCCAGCCCCAGACCTAAAGCTGTGGGGTTTTCGTCTTGTAGACTTGACCTACGAAATTCGTTACTTAGCGCTTTAGGCTATCTGATGGACCCAACTGGCTGTGCAGAAGGCCAAGGCGGCATAGCGTGAACTTAATCTTATTGCAGAGATTGTGTAGAGTGACCCCTGTAGGTAATTGCGGTGAAGCTGTAACCCATTCTTTGTGCTCTTCGTCTATTGCATTGCAGGCGTCGCTGCTTCTCTCCAGCGCCTCTGCTTCGGCGTGTTAGCCCTCGATGACACCGCAACGCTCGAGGATGCAGGAGTAGAGGAGGTACGTCAGTATGCCTGCACTGTCCACTTCTCCATCATATTGTTTACTAGTGTTTCCAAATTGAGGATTTTCTGTTTTGTCTGAATGAATTATTGGCCTTTTTATCAATGTACGTGAGCTTGTGACCGTGGCTAGTGTTTTTCGATAAGCGCTCCCGGCGATTTCTTTTGATGATGACCTCTAGATGGGGACATCTGAAAACTGAGGAGTCATCTGGTTATTTCGCTACTAAACTGATTGAAAGAATATCGTCGGAGCTGCGTGTCTGATGTGCCCCGTGTACGGTGTTTCTAGGGACGGTCGGCTTTTTTCGGATTGCTTCTCGCGCCCCCTATAGTTGACGTGCAAATGTATATCGTTTTCCAGTGCTGAATGGCTTGGTGGCTGTGGAAATGTGTTGCATGGTGCTACACTGAGTCCTTCATGCGTGCTGCTGGATTTGTTATGGATTCTGCTTTGCCTGTAGGAAGCAACTATTTTCCAGAGCCTAGAGCTTCTTGGAGCAGGGAAGAAGCGCAAAAGAAAGACCTACACAAAGCCAAAGAAGGAAAAACACAAGAAGAAGAAAGTAAAACTTGCGGTTCTGAAGTTTTACAAGGTCGATGGCAACGATAAGGTGACCCGTCTTCGCAAGGAATGCCCAGCTAAGTCCTGCGGCAGCGGGGTGTTCATGGCACAGCACGAAAACCGCAACTATTGCGGCCGGTGCGGTGTCACTTACATTCTGAACGCTGGGGGAGAGCAGTAAACCTGAAGTGCTGCAGTCAGTTGGTTATGGCGCGGCATGTTGCCGGGTTAATTTAGAGTCGCAGGACTGCCTCTTCAACGCACTAACCAGTGTATAGGGGACCTGGAACGGAAGCCAAACCGCACAGCTGCGAGGCAGAACACTTATTTAATCTACCCTTCTTGCTACTCGGGACTGTCTTGCTTAAGGGTCTTGACCACTTGAAGGGTTTTCTGCGCTGTAGTGATGAGTTGTTACCGGCCCTGGAGCCGAGTGCTTTAGGCAAAACATTCCGAGTCGGGTGATTGGGAGATGCGTAGTGTGAAAATGTTCTACCCATGGATCCTCTGGGCTCCACCCAATATCTAGAGCATGCAGCCAGTAAATGCATGTACGGGAGAAAAGTTAGGCCGTACAGACACGGCGTTCGTAGAACGGCCGGATTTCGTCCCGCGGTGCCCTTAGTTCGCATTCGAATGCCAAGGTTGTATCGCTAGAGCGTCGGTTACACAGCCACTTTTTAAAACGCAAACAGAACCACTGGTATAAAGCAATTGGATAGCCTCGCTAGTAACTGTTATACCAGCGCACCCAAGGCCTAGGGCCCCCACGGCACCTCTGTCGGCTGCTGGCTCCTGGGCATGTACATGCCTAGTTGTTACTACACTCGGGTTATGCAATGGGACTTTTCGATCGATAATGTTGATACAATCTGCGTCATGGAGTTTCCTCACAAGCCGCCGGCCGTCGACGCTCCTCGCGCTGCGGCGGTCGATGCAACGGAAGTTGGTTAGCACAACTTCCTCATTCTCCCACATCCACGTGTATCCCGCACGCATACGAGATAAAGAACGCCAATGTTTCAATTTTTCAACCAGGAATACAGCCGGAAAGTCAAGCCCCGGGGTGCCGAGCCAGCAGGCTTCCCACGTAGACGCTCCTGTGAAACCATGTGCTGCTTCCCCAACTGCAAACGGCGCATCTAAGGCGCCAGCGAATGCTACATCACTTGTAAAGCAGCTTAGAGACCGTACTTCCGTCAGCTTCGGGCTTTGCAAGCAGGCTCTTGAGGCAACAGAGTGGGTGCGTTCTACCGGTTACCCACCCTCCCTCAAAACGCTCCCTGACCACTGCCTACTCGGTGGGAGCACTGAACTTGGGCGCAGCATTAGGCAGCGCAGCTATAAGCCAGGTCGCATGTGTATAGTGCCTTGCCTACGACTGTCTGCTGCAGGATGCGGAGAAAGCTGTCCTCTTCTTACGAAAAGCCGGCATTGCCAGGGCAGCAAAAACTGCACTTCGCGATGCCCAAGAAGGAGTTGTTTCAGTTGTTGGATCCAGAGAAGGAAGCAGCTGGAGTGCTGTGGTGCTGAACTGTGAAACCGACTTCGTCCAGCGCAGTCCAAAGTTCGTGGCCTTCTCCAAGGCCCTTGCAGAGCATTGCCATTCTATTTCAAGTGGGGACAATACAACTCAGGGTGATCCAGGACCGACAGACACTTCAGATGGTGTAGTTTCTCAACTGAAGAGTTCGCAACCTTCAGCGCAACTTTCCGCATGCGCTCAAAGCTGCAGTGCCAACACACCGGCTTCGGTGCAGGAGCTTCTGGTCGATCTTGCGACGCAGTTTGGGGAAAATATCGTCATCACAGCAGTGGAACGCATTGATGCTGCGGCCGATTCCTGCATCGGTGCTTATGTGCACGGAGAAATCGAAGCTGGCGTGGGCACGGTGGCTGCTCTTGTGGAGATCCACTACGCTGTATTGGATGACACACAGGCATGTGCATCCTTGCACAAACGTGTAGCCGAGCTTGCAAAGCTTCTCTCCATGCAGGTTGTTGCGACCAAACCCAGGTTCATCAGTATGGACTCTATTCCTGACTCATTTGTGGAAACGGAACGCGCGATCATTGAAGCAGCTGCGCAGAAGAAAAGTGCGGCAGGATCTTCGGGGGGAACAAAACCGGTCGATCTGACAAAGGTCATTGAAAAACGGCTAAAGCATTGCCTAGAGGAGCAATGTCTTCTGCAGCAGGAATTTTTAATGATGGGCCGCGTTCAGAATGCTTTCGACAATGACGGAGCTGGCGGGGAAGCACACGATCCAGCAGAGCAAAGGAACCGGAACCCTTGTACTGTGGCTGACGCAATCAAATTCGTAGGACAAAGACTGGGCTGCAAGCTTGAGGTCTCGCGTATGTGGCTCCTCAGTGTCAGAAGCGTGTGAGTTCTTGCATGCTCCTGTGGAACATTGTCCGATATTCAACTGTACAGTTTGCATCTACGGCTTCGTAGCAGAGCTGCACTAAAGGTCTACTGCAAACGTGCCGTTTGTTGCCGTTTATAGCTGAATTTTCCCGGGAACTGTTTAACTCAAATGCCTGTAGTCATTCATATGACGAGCCGCACGCATCTAGAAGTTGCACTGGCAGGCCATCAATATAGGCTAGCCTTCCGTAGCTTTCCAGCCGCTTTCCTCCAACTCAGGTGATATGGGTACAACACGACATGCGGTGCTTAAATAGCGAATAATCTGCTTGGAGAACATATGAGAGTACATTTTGCAAACAGTTTTTCCCTCATGGTCGCTCATCTTGCTCCCAACCCTCTCAATGTTCGGTCTAGCTTACTTGAGTAGTATTTCTTCCGGTTGGGTCCTTTGCTTTCGTCGATCAAGCTTCATTTTAGCTAAAGGAATCGGCACTTTGAGTGCTTGTGGTGATTCCGGAGAAACGTTCTATATGAACTCGGTGCAAAGGCGGTACAGCTTTGTTTTACATCCCTGGCTCTGAGAACAAATGAAGAGCGGTCGTTCTTCCCTGCCTTGTTAGGCTGGCTAAGGGCAACGCACCATGAAAATTCATACGAAGATTGTGCCAGCTGCACTAAAATACACATCTTTTCCAGTCCTCTGAAGCTTCACTAGTCTTTACCCAATTCTTTGACCATCCTGAGTTTGTAGCACATGCAAGTTACCTTTCACGTGCAAAATATCCTCTGAAACCACGTCGCAGTCCCCTTGCGCTGCTTTCATTATGTAGAGTGTGCACCACTTCACGGACTGAGTTAGCCAAATTTACTGAACTGGCGCCTCATATTCCACTGGAAAAGCCTAATGCGCTTGGCTGAGGCAGTTTTTAAAGGTGTCTACGGGGTTCCTAACCCGGCAGGGAACACTTGCTAGATGCTGCTACAGCTATGTCCCCCAGTTTCCTGCTACCCCTAAGCACTTGAAGGCATCCTTGAGACAGTACAGCTGTTTTACATGCGCTTGTACCTAATGGCAAGTATACTCTCTTCAGTGTAGCATCCCTAGACATTTCCACTAAACAAAATCTTCATGGAGCTCTGTGCAGAGTGCTTGGAATTCCTTGTGTGTTGGCCTTAATTCGCCTGCATTTCTCAAATGAAGGGCCCATTTAAAGGCCATACGCATTGTAGTCATGGATGTAATACGCCGAGTCCCCCTGGAATATCGGACAGAACATACGCTATGAGCAAGAACAATCCGGCATTTTGCTTTGCTACTCTATTGCAAGTTACTCATTCCCTACAGACGATTTTGAAGTGGCTGGCCTATCAGGTTTTCAAGGTGCAATGTGAGAAAGAGACTGCACAAACGTGCGACCACGTGGTCCCATTCAGTGAAATCAGTGCTTGTCATAATCACTGACACTGCCTCTTTCATGTACTTTTTCTCATTAATGCGATGTGGAGAAACTACTTTTCCATTCTTGGCATTGAATGTGCCATGTTGGGTTGCGATGCACATGGCCAAGTTTCCATGGTTAACTGCGATTTACGTTATCTTTTATCAGTTCAACTAGAGCTATTCTGTGTTAACAAGGTGGGAGCTGAGAAACTCGCAATTTCCTGAGCTGCCAAGAAACTCGGGTTAGTGCAATTCCGCGTGCCAACCCTAGTATATCCCGTCCAATGCTTCAAGTGTAGCTCCACTCGCATACGTCCTGCTACAGAGAGCTGTCCCAAACAAGAAATAGCTGTCTTTCGGCTGCAGAAGAATCTTCTGAACACGCCTATTGATTTGCAATGACACCTTCATGCCGGGGACGTAGGATGGTAAGTGGCTATGACACTCATGGATCCAAACACCCCAATCGCAAATCGCCCTAATGGTCAAATGCTTGTTCCCACATCCCCCAGGGCTATAGTGAAGTATTTTGTTTGCTTTTCGGGAAGGAAAGTGTTTGTAGTGTAACCGCGGATTGAGTAGCAACACATGCTGATACACTCTGAGCAAGCATTTGTTTTTCTATTTTTTGCGACTTCTTCAGTCGGATTCGTAGAGATAAACGTTCTCTGCAGTGCATTCAAAACTTACATGATCGCAGCAACTGTTTAGCCTTGTACTGCTCCCAGGTCCACCCTGTACCTTACAAAGACATGCCACTACAGCTGCCATTTCCTGCTGCAGGAGGGGTTGCGTAATCACTCAAGCTACTTCAGTATCGCAGTAACTCATCTGTTCTCTACCTTGCGCATATTTGTCTGTGGAGTAACCGTCTGGACAGTCCGGCTGGCTCTTTTTTCTGGCGACGCCCCGCCGTTCGCCCTCGTCTTGATACCGTTGAAGTTGATTGGCTCCTGTTGGCATTACTGATCCCCTATGATAGCTTTACTATATGTGGAAAGGTGTATCGTGCTAGCCACTCATTGGCAATGTCATTGCACATTGTGCAATTTTGAGAGGGGTGCCACTAGAGGTTGCCCTTTTTGAGTTGCCTCCTTGTGTCTAAATGCTGGTGCGTGGTATTTACCAGCAGTGACTGCCTGAGAGGCCGACGACACTCCTAAGCGACCAGCATCTCCGTCAGGCCCGTAAAACAGCGCCATGACGTGCATATTTCATGTTGTCTTCGCCGGAAGCCGAACAACCAAGAGGCACACTACTTGTGCATTGGGCCACAGATCCCCCCTGTGCTTGGGCATCTCCATAGAGGAGGGCTTGGCTCCTGTCAGATTCAATTGGCTAACTTCCTAAAAGCTAGAAGCATCTGTGTATACAGCTAGGGCGAAATGGACAACTGCAAAAGGACATTGGAAAGCTTTTAAATTGCTTTGCGATCAGCATCGCAAAGTTGTTAAATTCGAACAACCAAGTCGGGTTCCATGGGGCGCCGGTTGTTAAGATTTTGGATGCGAGCTCGTTCGCTGTATATTGGTCCCCGAGGAAGAAGTTGTTTGATCCGAAATCAGCGTGGAAGACGCCAGAAAAGTGCGTCCTGTGGAAAAGTCCCTTGCAATATCTGTTCAGACCCATGTCGATACTTCAGAACCCGTCCAGTGGCAGCTGAGGTGTGTACTTATGTCCAGGACTGACCCTGATGTAAGATCCTTCCGGTTCTACCGTATTCGCACGCCAAAGGTAAACTTAAAGGACGCACAGAAGCAAATAAACTCAGCTAGCCGGGGTCATGCCTATGGCAGCCAGCACCTGGACGCTACAGGAGAGTCTCTGGGTGTGGCTGCAGCTTCGTCGCCCGCTGATCTACTTGTAGAATGCGTCGTACTGATCGAAGTGCGCGACATCCAGGAGAATGCTTTGCGGGAAGGATGCTACTGCCAGCTTCATGCTACTTAGAAGTAGACGGTGCACAGACAACAAGCAAGCTGTACCTATCTTTTGTGGAATAGGCACAGAGAATAGACGGGACGATCGAAACACAACCTTAGCTACGTGGAGAGACATCTGAATCCCTGTGCCTATGTCAAGCTATTTACCGGATCGCGTGCCGCTGTAGCAATACATTTCGACGCGAAACATGTTATCTGCTCATGAATGCCACCGTGGATGATTCCATGTGCTCACACGCGAAATCCCCGATAGACGTGGCCGATGTAAGGTTGCCTTGGGGGCTGGCATGGCCAGCCACATTGGCATCTGTAGAGTTGGCCTTTGCATACGCAAGACACCAGCACATGTTGGCACTACAAGAATACGCCCAGCGCCGCCGTCAAGGGATATCAGGGCTTCCCCGTGAGTTGCAGGACATGTTAGGGATCAGAGCCTCTCCACTTTCAAGCGAGGAAGAGAGTGATTTCCCAGCATTGCTGTTTGCACAGCTCCTTGATCGCCGTCACTTTGTCACCTAGGGAAAAACACCAAAAGGGGACAAAAAAAGGAAGCAAAGTTCTTCGCAGGCTTGGTAACCGAAATTGTGGATAGACATACTGTCTGCCTGGTACCAGTGCTGTCAGACGAACAAGTATGGATTCATATTGCTTCCCATGCAAGGCATTGTCACTCTACAGTAAAGGGTGCTGTGAGCATATCAGCCAAGGCTATTATCGATTGCGCTTGTGGCCCAAAACTAGAGCTTGTCGGGGAAGAGAGGATGGGCACACATGAGGCCACACACAACTACTGCATCCTCACACAGCTGTACGGCATTGACGCCCCAGAATTACCCATCGAAGCAATAGAACAAAGCACGAGAGAGCATTTTGCGACTAGTGAGACCAGCTTGTACGGCGGCCATCCTTTGAATAAGGGATGCCAAATATTGGGAGCTGCCACGAGGTGAGCGCTGGCCGAAATGCTCCTAGGGAGGATTGTTCTGGTGCACACAATATAGACACTATTGTAATACATCGGTGGCATGTATACTAGTACCTGGAGTGTCTGATCGTTTGTCGGACGGAACTAAGAAATACCTTGCATATATCTCGGACATTGTCCAATGCACAAAGGCCGCTAACTTCCCGACATTGCCAGCTTTAGACGACCTCAAAAGCCCCGCGCGCTCCAAATTTTTGGCAAGCATGATGTGGCGATCTGGAGGAACCCAAGCACAGCCTCAAATATTGCGTGGCCCATTCAGGCCAAGACGAATCGAATGCAGGATTTGGTGGATGCCAACGAGGAGATGCTACACCGAGGCATGACAGCTGTTCGCGGGGGACAGCATTTGAACAACATTGGCAGGGATTAGTAGAAACACATTATTAGTCTGGAGTGGAGGGCAAAGCACCAACGATGCGGATGGTGGTGGCTGCCTGCTTTCTATCCAGTGAGCCCATGCAAATACAGACAAGCTTTTGTGAAATAGCCGTGCAAAAACGCGTTGCCCCTCGCAGAAACACAAGGTGTCCAACGAGAAACGAGGCCGGTGTCTCGAAATCCTGCTGTATCCAGTAGCAGGTAAGGTCAGCCTTAGTGTCAGCTGAATGAGGCGAGCCGTCGTGTGTTCCTGTAGAGTAACTGTAGCGAATGATGCTATGCTGCATAGAATTTTCACTTCGCTAGTAAAAATCAATGAAGTTTGATTGGTGAATCGACGAAAATGCGCTGCTGCTCGTATTTATCTTCATAGGGAGTAGCGTTGGCTCAAGATAAGAAGACTTAGCTTTGTGTGCATGTGCGGTAGGTGCTATGTGCAGCCAGCTGTGAAAGCTTATAGTGCTTAGAAGGTACGTTTACGCGTACCCTATCTGCCCACTGCCTCTTGTGAGGGGACCTCGAAGGGTTGCGGTTAGGGGAACGAAGGATTTCATCAGAGAAATAGTTGAGAACTTCCTGTTAGGTTGCTTTGGGTCTAGAGTTAAGTGTCTCCCTACTGAGACCTTAGAAAGTTGAGCAGAGTGTGATTTGCCGACAAGCGCTTTGGTAGATCGCCTGAGCAGCTAATCTTGCTGGCTCTGTAGTGGGAGGGGAAGGAAGAGCTCATGGGCGGTTGTAGCTCCAAGGCCCCCAGCAAGTCGAATAAGATTCTCGTCAGGGTCAGTCTCTAGAACCGGCAGGAATTCTTCATTCATGTAGTTATAAAAGCTCCTTGGCTTCCGAATCGCGCCTGAGGGATATGCTTGGCTGTAGGATGGACGCGTGCCCACTAAGTTGGGGGCAGCTCCTGATTCTACAAGAGAACTGTCTATCAGCTGCTGCCCGACCTCGTCTGCGAGTTTGTCAACTCGATCGTATTCATCCTGATCCAAAGGATGCAGCTGCGACTGAGGCAAGTCTTCCGGAGCCTGCCAGCGCAAAGTACATGTGCACCAGCAGTGTCGTAATGGATAGCTTCAGAGCTAGGAAGCGACCTCAAGGGAGACTTTGACTAGCAGTGCTGCCTGCCAGCATGCATGCATGACAGGACTTTGAAGGGGAGCCCTGAACCCAAGCCCCTCTAAGACCGCTCTGTGTCGACAAGCGGGCATGCGGACACACAGATAAAATGTTGCGGCTTACCCCCGTGATCTCCTCTTCAGCTGCAGAGAGCTGCAGCTGCTGTGGCCTCCTTTGGCTCCTCCGATACTGCTCTCGTTGCTGTTGCTGCCGCTGCCACTGCTCTAGTGAAGGCGCGCGCTGTTGGGGGCGCAGCTGCAGCCGCAGACGGCTGTGTAGCCTCAGCAGCTGCATCAAGGGAGACTCTGAACGCCCTCTCTCTCCGCTTCCAAAATCCGCGAAGCCCGGATCCCCGTCTTGGCCTTCATTCTTTAAGATTGCCACTTTCGCAGGGGACGCCTCTTTTTTAAAGCGCGGAGACGCCGTGGGGTCAGTGTGGCTGCCCTGCATCGCATCCTCCCCAACTGGACCGTGACGTCTCAGACCGTCGAGGATCTTCCGGCGAAGCAACTGGAATGCCTGCAAGAGCCCACGAACCTCTTCTGGAAGCTCGGATTTTGCTATGCGTGCAGCCACGACCTCATCGGACACGTCCGCAGTGGCAAGGAATCTTGCAAATGCCTGCTCATGCGACACATACGCAGCGAGTCCTTGCTGAACACAGCGCATGAGACCAAGCTCAGGCTGCTGGTTCCTGCCGGGTGTTACCCGAAATTATTCCTGATAAACGCTGCAAAGGACCACAGGAGGCCGAAACGCACTTTGGGATAGTCGCTTGTTTTCAGTAGCTGAAGTGCAGTACGCAGCTTATTGGTGTACATCCTCACAAAACTGGGCCTCAGCTGGTGCAGCCGATCAGGCATTGCCACCCAACCTGACCACAGAAAAGGTACAAGCACGCAACCCCCCCCACACACATAAACACCCCCCGCCACACACACTCACGTACTCACACACACACAAGGCACTGCATATTACGACCCCCCCTGTGTATCGGCTCAAAAAACAGTGTGTCTGCATAGAGCAAGACTTAGAGAGTGCGGTGGGTATTTTCTTGAGTATAAATGGCAGCCCCTGCACACTTGGGCAAGTACTCAAAGCCACCACGGCAAACATGACCTCTGCGAGAGCACCCTCTCTTCCCTCCCCCTCCCCCTTCCTACTGTTTTCCCCCAAGTCTTTCCTTTGGCCCCCTCTCGCCTCACTCGTGAGGTCTTCGAAGGGTTTCCCCCGGGGATCACAAAGAGGTGTATACTTGCTGCTGGTGGAAGCAGCGCCTTCTTCTTGGCGTCGCAGCCGCAAAAGCTGCCTGTAGAAGAAGGGCCCCAAGAGCTGACAGAGGCGGACTTCTCGATGCAGCCAGTCTCCTTTTGCCCACCACAGGGGCTGCACAGGAATTCGATGCAGTGGCGGCCGAGTGCCGTCTTGTTTGCGGGAAGAAGGCCTGTTGCCTCTCCCTGTCAGTTGTTTTGACGGCTCAGAGTCACCCTTGGACCTTCCCTCTGAGCCGTCCTCGCTGCCCTGCTGCTCCTGCAGGCGCTTTCGTGTGGCTTGCTCCCGAGCTAAGTCATCTTGATATCGTTGAATGTGCCGCAGCAATTGCTGGTGCTCTTCGTGCTGCTCTGCTAGCTGGCGCTGCTCGTAAATGCGGAGGACGGGGGCGAGATGCGGAACGGGCATATCATTTAGCAGCAAGTGAGCGACTTCCAGTGGGACTGCGGGGTAGATGGAGAGCCACAAAAGTGCCGAGTAATCGACCTGCGGCTGTCCTTGGCTACCGGGTACGCCGTCTCTACGGCAGCTGATGCCACTGACGCCCCGCCAACGCACAGGGGGCCTCCCGAGAGGCCCCTCCAGTCCCTCAACTGACGAAAAGTAGAGACGCAGGACGTCGTCACGCACGTTCCAGTCTGCACAGCCAAAAAAGCAGAGAAGCACAGCACAGAAAAATCAGGACTGTCAAGCCTTCCCTCCCTTCTTTCCCCCTTTCGCGAAACTGCGTCCCGCAAACAGCGCCCACCAGTTCATGCATGCGCTGCAACCTCATAGAAGGCCTTGCCCCGCCGCCGCTCTACAACCCTTGACACTTATTCAGGAGCATTCGCTCAATGTAAAAGTCCCAATGTTTGCAGAGCACTGTAGGTAGAGGCCTCCACGCAGAGAATCAGATGCTGCGAGATGCGGGAAGGCTGCATTCCCAGTCCAGCGACGCAGCAGCCGTACGGATGTATGTATGTGTATGCATACGAACAATTCCCGATCCTGCACACTGGCCTGTTGGGCCTCATGTGAAGCTTATCGCTTACCTTTTCGGACACGCATGAAGGCTTCTAGCTCCCGCACGGGCAACAAAGCCAACGCGCCGACGGCGTCTTCCTGCGTGGTATCGGGGTAGCTGTGGAGATGGGCATGGTACGCATGCAGGTGGGGGTGTTGCTGGAGGAGCTGCTGCAGCGCCGCCAGCTCGGCCTCCCGCTTCTGTGGCAGCACTTTCTGCACGAGCGCCTCCTGCTGCACGAGGAGTTCCTCTTGCAGCAAGGGGTCACGCGAAGTTTGCTGCTCGAGTCTCAAGGCCCTCTCGGCGCGTTGGAAAAGGCGTGCGGCGTCATAAGCGGAGGCATGATCGGAGTCAGTGGGTGGAGTCTGTGCTGGCGCTGGAAGGGCATGTAGTCTCTCTGGAGGTCTCTCGGCAGTCTTCTCATCGTGAAGGTGACGATTCCCTTGCCCCTCCCCTGAGACCTTGACTGCGCTCGCGCTCAAAGACAACGAGGCACCTGGAAGAGGGGTGGAATTAGCATTGACTTTGCTCCCCAGGATGCCGCTCGCAGGGTGCCAGAAATCTTCAGCTCCCAGGACTTGCACTACAACCGCATCTCGCTGAGGCAGCCACCCCACAACGCGGCAGCTTAAGGCCCTTGTGCTGGGAGGTGCCCTCAGCCTCGAGGCTCCAGCAGCACGCCGAGAGAAAGGGCCTTCTGCGGCGACGGCTTCCCCCTTAGGCGGCACAGGCAATACCCAGGTGGCCGTTGGAGGAGACAGGAAGCGCAGCCAGCGAGAGACTTCCTGGTGGGCGCTGTCAGACAAAAGTGTCACACAGATCCACCAACGCACGACATGCCGCGGACAGACTGCGCTACCTTCAAAGGGGGCTTTTTCGGTGATAGGAAGAGCGCGAGAAGGAGGCTTTAAGCCAAGACAGCGGTCACCGTGTGGCGCTTGGACTCTGCAAGGACCAAGAAGAGGGAGAATGAGAGGGACGCTACAGGCCTGCCCCCTTGCCCCCGCACCCAGCCCTCTCTTTGAGCTCACAGGCGTTCTAATAGCGTATCTTGATCTTTTCCTGTCGCACGCTGAATGGATTCAACAAGAGCCGCCTCCTGGACAGAAGGAGCCAGTCGAGAAGAGAGTCGAGGGGAAGCCACGGACGGGGTATCTGCCTCAATCAGCGGCTGGACTGTAAGCTCTAGCACAGAGGGAGACCTTCTCGGAGCCTGCTGCCCTAAACGCTGTGGCTTCTGTTGCTGCTCCTCCTCCTGCAGCTGCATACCCAGGATGCGCATTTTGAGGGCGTCTCCAGGGTGCAAGGCCTTCCAGATGGAATCCGCCGTCTGCCCCTCTACGGCCCCTGGGAAATCTTTTTCAGAAAATCCGCGTCCTCCCTGCACGGGTGACATCGCAGAAGCCTCTTGCTGGGGCTGGCTCTGAGCCGAGAAAAGCCGCCTTGGAATTCGAACCTGAGGGGGAAGCAGCTGCTGCACTGCGGCAGGAAGCAACAGCTGCACGGTGGCCGTTGTTTCACTCTTGGAGATCACGTAACCTGCGTACATATATATATATATATACGCGCTTGGAGATCACGTAACCTGCGTACATATATATATACACGAGGCATCTCGTTCAATCTTGAAACGCACATTCCCCCATCTCACTTTCTCCCTACCCTCCTCACCCCGCTTCACTTTCCCCCTCCTTCACCTCTCTCCCTCCTTCACCTCTCTCCCTCCTTCCCCCCTCCCCGCCGCTTCCGCCGTACAGAACGGCTGCAGTAGTCCCGGCAGGCGTGCAAGAATTACAATCAGATAAAAATAAAAGACTCGAGCCAGTGGCGTGTTGCCCAGTGCCTCGAAGAGAGGGGTCCAGAAGAATAAAAGATGAGAACCTGACACGATCCCTGTTGCTACATGCGCAAGCCGAGAGGCCCTAAGCAGCACGTGCTTGGATGCTCCAGCCTCACGAGAGGCACAAAGAGTGCTTACCCTCGAGAGGATGCTGAGTCTCCCGCAACCACGATACCAGCTCAAGGCTTTCCTGCAAGAGGCCTTGCTTCGGCGGTGCATCGTGCAGCTGTTGTTGCAATTGTTGCTGTTGCTGCGGCCTTACGGCTCCTGATTTCTCCCTGAAGGTGGCTGGAAGCGGTGTCTGCTGCACGGCTTGCGAGAGCTGTCGGGGTGCTTGCTGCAACGGGGGGGACTGAGAGGCAATGCCGCTCGGTGGTTGCATCTTCTCAGCTGCCAAAAGCTTCTCAGAGGCCCCTCCTGAGAGGGATCCCGGCGGCTGCAGCATCGATTGATACACAGAGAGATGAAAAAGCTATTTTTCGAAAAGCAGCAGTCCTTCAAGGGGCAGTTCGTGCTGCCGCTCCGCACTTGCGTCTCAGCGGCCCTTACATCCAGAGGCTCCACATGTAGCTAAAGACACACACAACCAGAGAGTGGCATTTTGATTTTCGGTGCGACTACCCTATATGAGACGTACTGGGTGTCCTGCTTTCTTAGGAGTGCGTGAGCGGCGCTCGTCTTGCCGCTTTGAGGCAGTCGGAGTTGGCATATGATTTGGAAGGTCTTCGTTGCAGAGGAATCCACGCTTCTCAGAGATCCGTGCAGTGGGTGCTGCCTGGCCTCTGCTAGACCGTTGGGGGGCCCCCGCCTCCCGCTTCTCGACGCTTGCAGAGGCTGCCACTCTTCTCCGCACTGTAGCCTCCTCTTCTCCTTGGGGAGGCTCTGGAAAGCTCTCCTTCCTAAGGGCAGCAAGGCTTAGAGACGTCTCCCGTTTGCGAGCCATCAGAGCCAGCGAGGAGGCCACAGCCCTCCCTCGTAGACGCCCAGCAGTCTCGAGGCATGGCAGCACGAACGCGCACGGGGGCCCCAGGAAGGCAGCTGAGCCGCTGCGAGGGGTGCAAGCAGCAGTTATGACACCCAAAGCTCCGCTTCTAGGAGCTGTGAGCGACGTCGAGCAGCGGCCTATCGCGGGTAGCCGAGATGGAGCACTTGTCTGCTGCTGCTGCTGTAGCAGCGAAGCAACCTGAGTGGGCTCTGACAGCAGCACGTACAACACAAAGAAAAATGCGCGCTGGCAGGCAAAGCGCTGCAGCAGATGCTGGCTCAGTAGCTTCATGGCAACTGCGGCAGCTCGCAGGCCGTCGCCGCACTTCGGAGCCTCGCGGCAGCCAGCATCCAGGAGCCTGAGTTTTCCAGTCTGCCTTCTAATTAGGTTGAGCCTTAGCGGGAGGCTTGGGGGAGGGAAGGCGCTTGGCTGCGTGTGCCGGCTGTCCGTCAGAGCTGTCGGCATGAGACAGAAAGCCCTCCCTCAGCAGCCATCTCTGCGACGCCAGTGCTGGGCAGCCCTCCTGCCTCCCGCAGGCTCGGGAACGACGCTCCTCCTCCTGTGTGGAAGACTATCTGACTCAAGTGCAAAGACACGACCGGTAGAGCCCACTGGACCCCTACTGCTCGGGGGCCCTTGCTGCAAGGCCCCTGCTCGTTGTGTCTGCCGCAGGAAGCATCTGGGAAATCGAGTACCGGGACGCAAAAAGTGCTTTAATTCAATTATTAAACGATTCTAGAGGTATTATTATTAGCCTGATAAGGGCTTTTGAAGGTCCTTCGTACAGTGAGGGCCCAGTGTACCGAGGAACCCGGAGACCCTTTGTTAGGGCCCCTAGGATCAGCATGTAGGGGGCCCCTCCCCCCGGCGGACCGCTTGGACGCGTCAGGGCGTGCGATCTTCTAGAAAATACCCCTCCATTTGGTGCCACTCTGCATTTTAATAATTATGCGGGCAAATTTCATGACTTTAGGGTAAGTGTTTTGTATTTTCCGGAGTGCAACGCAACAGGCTCTTGCGCAGTAGTGCGCAGCAAAATCATCTTCGACCGCGCCACGCCCTCCTCGCCAATGCTGAATAGTGGCGAGGCGAGCTCTCAGCCTTCTGCCTCAGACCCTCGATTGCAAGCAAAATACCCTTTAGAAACAACTAAATACAAACGGAAATTGGAGTTGCAACCTTGATGGTGCTGTTTTTCCTCGGAGTGTGTGGGGTTTAGTGCATAGACCACCTAGAGCAGAACCCGCTGACCACCGCCTTGCAGCCGAGCACCTCCTTGGGCGTCCTTTTTTAGGATCCTTTGTCTTGTTTTGGGCATCGCTATGTAAGAAAAGGTCAGGCTGCTAGTCCTAACGCTGGTTTTTCACTTTTACCTCAGAACACCCTGACAGCCGAATTTCGCCCCCAGCAGAACGCCACTGAAACAGACAATGGCAGAGGACCTTGCGTCCTGGCTCTTAGAAGGGACGCCGAGTTGGATTCGGCAGGGTGTGCAACCCGAGGCGCTCCGCAGAAATTCTCCTAGCGGGCTCTGTGAGGACGGCCTTGCAGCCTCTAGTGGGAGCACACACGACCAAGGGACCCTCCTTGACCAGTGGCTAGCTAAGCAACGAGGTGATCAAACCGCTTTTGGAGGCCGCCCCTCCTTTTTCTCGCCTAAATTGCGTTCTGCGGCAACACGCAACACTGCAGAAAACCCTAAGGAACGCCAAGCAACACCCAATGCGGAGGGCTGGGCTGCACCCCTCACAGCAGCTTGTTGCTGCAGCTACAGCTCCGATCCGGCTGCGCCTTTGACAGCAGCAGCAACACCAAGAACGGCAGCAACAGCAGCAGTACTGGGCGGTGATGCTTCTTCTTCTGCTGCTTGTCTGAAGCGGGAAGAGGGCGGGAGGCAGGGAGCCCTAGGATCTGTCGGATGGAAATTGCAGCTCTTTAAAGCGGCAGTTGGAATTCGAAAGAGACGCGAAGAATACGAAACAAGGCGGCGGAGGAGCCTGTTAGCGTTTATGACCCGAATGACGCAGCAGATCTCTGACACCCCCCCGACAGATACAGGAGCTTTGGGGGAGGTTTTCCAGAAGAAACCCACGACTGGACATGTTCTAGTAAACGCAGAGAACGCTGCCCCCACGCCACTTCGCGTATCGCCTTCATACAAGTGGCCAAACGCCACGAAAGAGATTGCCGGCTCTCGGGGGTCAGAGAGGCGCAGCAGCTGTCTTACGGTGCGCAGGCCGTCAACCCTTCCTGCCTCAGGCTGCATCTCGTCGGGGAGGAAGAAAGAAAGCCTCCTTCGTCGATTTCTTTTGTTACAGCGGCAGCAGCTACTTTCGGCTCACAGGTTGCGCTTGCTGCCTGCGAATCTGCAGGTGGAGGCCCTCTTGGGGGAGGGGGCGAGTGGGCGTGTTTGGCGTGTTCGGCACAAGCAAACGGGGTCAGTCTTCGCACTTAAAGTTATTCGGAAAGGAAAGGGGGGACCATGCAGTAGCGCTTGCGCTCGGCTATACGCGGAGCGTCATGTTTTGATTAGGGGAGGGCTGTCTAGACACCTCGTACAGCTGCATGCGGCGTTCCAGGACGAGCAGCACGTGTTTCTGATGCAGGAGTGGGCCCCTGGACCGTCCTTGCGGGCCCTCGTGCAGAATCGGGGGCCCCTGCCAGAAGAGGAGGCGCGGCGATATGCGGCTCAGTTGGCACTGGCGATCCATGCCATACACAGGCTGGGCTTTATACACAGAGATATAAAGCCGGAAAATTCAATCCTCGATAAACACGGGGACCTCAAGCTCATAGATTTGGGCCTTGCGGCAAGGCCAAACTCGAAGGCCTTCCCTTCAAGCCCTGGAGATTTCTACGCGAGGAAGAGTCCGCTGTGGGCAACCACGCCGACAGATCCTAATGCTGCTCTTGAGTGCTGCAGTGTTTCCTCCCCAGGGGGAAGCAGCGGCAGTGTCGACAGCTCTGTGCCTCTCTCACCGATAGCGGCTATCGGAGGAAGCACCGAAAGGGCCGCGGGGGAGCGCCAAGACTTCACGCCAAAGACAGAGGCCTCACGCACGGAGGAGGAGGGCTCTCGGGAGGCGTCTCCTACTACTACGCCCGAAGCATCTGCAGGCAGCGAGCGAATGTCTCCAGAAGACCCCCCCGAGTCCTTTGCTGCCTGGCGGCTGCGGCAGTTGTGGGCAGAAGGTGCGCGTTCTGCTGTCGGCACTTTGCACTACATGGCCCCTGAGGTGGCCTTAAACATTAGGCACTCTGAAGCACCCATGTCCACGGGAAACCCCGGATATGGAAAGAAAGCCGATTGGTGGAGTTTTGGTGCGGTTCTCTTCGAGTGTCTCTTTGGACACCCTCCCCTAGCTCGGTTCAACTTAGCCGAAATGCTGGCTCGCAGCAAGCAGCCCAAGGAGCGGCGGCCTCATCTGCTGTTGTATCGGCAGGAGCGTGTGTCTCAGGAGTGCCTCAACTCAACAGCAGCAGGGAGGGAGGCCAGTGGGCTTATTACCACTGTGCTCGCAGGGAGCCCCCGATCCCCTACTGAAAGGTCCACAAACGATTCACTTGCGGGCGGAGGAGAGGACGGAGCAGGTGCTGTGGGCAACGCCACCACTGCATCCGACGGCTTGCCCTTGTCGTGTGAGCTGATCAGCAACCCCGAGCTGCTGCTATGCACGTTGCGCAGCTGGCGGCAGCACCTGCGTATCCCTCCGTCCCCCTTTGTCGTTTCTAAGGGGCACGAAGCCTCGAAAAAGCCTCCTCGGGGAGGCAATAATGAACGTGTAATCTCCTCGGAGGCAGTAGACCTCCTGTGCAACCTTCTGTGCGAAGAAGAACGCCGATTCGGCTTCAGCCGTATACGGCAGCACCCTTGGTTCAAGTCCATCAACTGGGAAGAGGAGGGAAGGCCTCCAGAAACGCAGCGCAATCCAAGGGCGATTCAAGTATGCTCGCGAATAGACAGGCGAAGGAGGCCCTCTCGAGGCACCAATTCCTATCAAAGCTCTTCTGCTCTTCCCTGCATTACGGGGGCCATTGCAGAGACTCTGGGCAGACAAGGTGGGGGTGAGACGAGCACCTTGCCGCTGACCATCGCTTCGCATGCTGCTGGTGGTGCTGCTGCTGCTCATTCAGAAAAAGGAGCGAGGAACTTCCTAACACATTCCAAACGAGGGGAGACAGCACATACAAGGGCTGATCAGACAACCCCTTGGTCAAAGTCGAGTAGTTCCTTTCGTGAATGTACTTCAACCTCCACACTTAGTTACAACAGTGGTGGGGTTAGGGCCAGTGCCTCAAATTTCAACAGCTCGCAGACGGCCCCTGTGGGCTCGGGTGGGGGCGAGGACGATACAGCGGGGAAGGAGGCTCCATGGACGCACAGACACTCAGACGGCGGGGAGGCCTCCCCTACATTCTGCTCTTGTGAAGGTACAAGAGACTATGAAACCCAAGCCAACAAGTGGTTGCTCGATCTCCGCTTCCTCGGCTTCGAGTTCGACCGGCGCAGAAGGGAAGCGGCAGGAATTGCAAATAGACTGCGCACTGCGTACGACGAGGGTCAAGAGACACGCATCTGCACCCTAGGGGCTGCAGGAGGCAAGCAGAGGCCTCACGACATGCCCCGGAAGCCCAGAAGACTCCTAGATATCTAAAATATCTTTCCGCTTCTTCTTAGGGTCCACTTGAGGGGAGTGCCTAAGCTTCCACGCATCGGGGAGCTGCTGGAGGGCGGTCAATAAGAGGCACCATAGAGAAGGGGGGAGCTGGCCGCTCGAAAAGCGCAGAAGGAGGTTCAAGAGGTAAAAACTCCTCAGCTGTGTCTTGCGCGTAAAATGATGCACATCTTTCTGGCTTTGGCTACCCCGTTCTCCTATTGCCTCCCACGAGCTCGAATACTGCAAAGAGTAGGGTTGCCCTATGCGTAACTGTCTGTATATACCTACATATATGAGGGAGTAGGGCTCTTTGCCCCGTAGTTCGTTTCAGTAGCAGTGCGTTCAGCCTTATGAATAGCGAGAACAAACAATATTATGTAGAGTAAAAAAATAATTTTGCCAGGATGTAAGAGAAGCTTTGCAACTGTGGTCAGCAGAGTAAAAATACATCTTAAGGGCCTCAGCGCCCACTGCATGCCCCTTCAGCACCACCCAGAGCAGGGGCATTATCCTTTCAGGGTCAACGTAATGCCCGCACTCCCCCCATAAGGAAGCAGGCTACGGAAAACCCTTTACGCCGCCCGTAGTTCTGTATGCAGCTCAGGCTTGTAGAGCGAGGCCGAGCATAGATGCACTCGAACAGGGCAAAGAAAAACCGAGGGGCAGAAAAGTTGAGGGCATTAAAACGCATTACATGGTCAGCTCACAGTTTACCTTCTAGCTTCCTGTGACTTGTGGGAGGTTCCAATGAAAAAAAAAATCCATTGCACACCCTCAACAGATGTCCAGGGCAGTCTGTCTATTCTCGCAAGCTAATGGGGGAGGGAGGGGTGGGGGGGAGATGCAAGCCGTTGATACCCAAGGCGTCCGGCTTTCATGGCCATAATGTAACGCTCAATCTATGACTCCGTAGAACATCTAGCTTCAGACTCATGACACGATTCATAAAGAAGCTAATAAGCGTCTGTCAGAAAAGGTGTCTTCCTTTCTGCCCGCACACATGAGGATTTGACATTAGGGGAAGGGGAAGCTAGGGTGCTCCTTGCGGCATCCTTTTTGAAAGTCCGCGCATACCCCGCAGTTTACACAAAGCATTCAGCGCACACGCACTGAAGGTAACAAATAACAGGCACGGAGAGTAAAATACTAATCGATTCTTCACTTATTCTCAGTTAAATGTAACTAGTATAGAAGAAAGTGCCAATGTATAGCTCAGCCCGCTACACGCGGTTTCAAAGTAGCATGTGGGCATCAGTGTGCCTAGCCAGGGAAGTCCTCCTCATGAGAAAAGCAGTCGAGGACGCCGCTGATATATGTGAGCCATAATGGCACTCTATTTGCCATGCAGTCATGTAGCCAACTAGACAGCTACCTAGCCTAAATCAAGATGATGTCAAAAGTATCGGTGCTGCATTGCCAGCTGCTGCACTCACTACCTCCCTTGCTTTTCGAGAAGCCATATAGAAAGTATTTGTGAGTCTCCTTGGTTTTCCTCAGCCCAAAGAGCCCCTTGCCACACTCCACCTTGTGTTCCAGCACCTGTGGGTCAGGCAAGATGTTCGCAAGTAGGCCTACGTTGGAATGTTCACAGAAGCTTCTTACATCTAAAATACGCAAAAGTACTCATCGGCAGCAGGCGGTACAATTTCTGATACACAAAACGGTCAACGACTTCCAAGAATGCTCATTGCATGAGTGGAAGTGGAGAGCCTTATCAGGCAACCAGTTGGACACATTTCATAAGAGGAGATATCAGGGTGTTACTACTAGGTGGTTTAATGTATGTGGAACGCTGGCTTTTTCGTGTGGGTGCCTGCAATGGCAAGGCACAAAGGAGGAAGCCCAGGACCTTTCTCTAAGCTCTTCCTATGAGTGGCTGTGTCCAAGGTTTTTCCTGGCAGTCTCCAAAGGAGGGGAGTTGCTTAGTCTGTTCCGCTTTCTGCGTAGGGCGCCTCCCCCCCTAGTTTTGTATTGATATGTATTGCGACTGTCTTGTCGCCTAGTGGCCCACTGGAGGTTATTCCTACGTTTTCTCCGGGGTATCATAAAACCCTTTATGAATTTGAAATGACGAAATACGGCGCAAGTTACACCAACTCATGATGGGCGAATGTTGCCATGGCGCACCGCCGAGCTGCTGTCCTACACCGAATGGGAGCCAGCGGCTGTCTGCTGCCGCTACTATTGGACTAAACCCTCAGTTGCTTTGCATGCGCCTTTCTATACAATGTCAATCATAATTTCAAGTCTGAGTACACTGCGAACCACCGCTGCTCACTCAGTGCCCCCCCAGTCCGCACGCTACAATTCCCCTACTGCGCTCTGCTATCCTACTGCTGTCTGACGCGGGTACGGCTCCCTCATTAGGTGGTTGTATACCAAGAGAATTCTACGTAATTTTATTTCGTCGGCCGTGATTCATTTACCACACGGGCCTCGCTAGGGGCCCCCGAGCCGCCTCCGTAATCTGCCTTCGCTGCTTGCCTCGACCGCTGCCGCAACTCTTGTATTCCCAGCGCCTGCTTTCCTCCCTTCCGCCTCGACAGTTGCAGGAGGCGCCAAGAGTGTTACAGTTCTGCAGCTTCGCCTCTTCCGTTAGAAAGAGGTCTCTCGCAGCGGTGCGCAGCGTTCATTCTCGTGGCGAGGGCCACTCTACGAAAGGCTGCCTCTTCAGACAGCAGGAGAGCAGGAATCATAGCAGCACCAGAACCAGCAGGAGGAGGAGCAGAAGCATTTACAGAACAGCCTCCTGTAGCCGAGACAAGGGCAACTCCGCAGATGCAGCCGCCCAGAGCCTTTGGATCTACCCCTCCAGGAGGGATGCCAGGGTATCCCACCGCTGCTGCACTGCAAATGAATGGCGCGGGGCCCCCCAATCCGCAACCTCAGGGATACTACGGCAACCCTGCTAGTTCGACGAAGACTGCCTATGGAGCTGCTCCGGGGGCACATCCTGCATACCCGCAGCAAACCCCCTATACCCAAGAGATCGCTGGTCCTCAGCAGCCGTATCGCCAGCCAAGCCCTTTCCCGCAGCAGCATGACTCACTTTATCCGCAGCAGCAGCAGCAACCCGCCTATCTTCTACAGCAGCAGCCACAACAGCAGCAGTCTGCCTATCTTCCACAACAACAGCAGCAGCACCCCCAACCGCAACAGCAACAGCAGCAGTCTGCCTATCTTCCGCAGCAGCAGCAGCAGCCGCTAGACCAGTCTCAGCCCTATCCTCCTCAGCAGCAGCAGCAACAGCAACAACAGCCACCCTCCTATATGTCTCCCTACGGGCAACAGACGGCGGGCATACCGCCAGCCTCGGCGTTCGCAACTTCCCAGCAGCCCTCAATGGCTCGTGCTCCGTATTATCCACCTGCCGCAGTTGCCGCCTACGCAGGCGCAGCTTCCCAGCAGCAAGACATGGCGTCTCAGCAGCAGCTTCAGGACTTGCTGCAGTTCAACGCTCCCCGTCATTTCATAAGGGCCTCCGTTGGACGCTTGCCGAATTCAAGCTCTCTGAGGCACAAGTGTCACTTGCCACTCGGTGTTGTTGTTCAGCCCCTCGCTCCCCCCGCCGTAGGACAGGCAGACGTTCCCTCTGTTTCTTTCGGGGGAGGCGCTGTCGTGAGGTGCAAACGCTGCAGGACTTACATCAACCCCTTTGTGGTGTGGGAGAGCAGTGGGCGCCGATGGATCTGCAATTTGTGCGGTGTCAGCAACGAAACGCCGCAGTTCTACTGCCGAGCAACAGATGAAAAGGGCAGGCGAGAGGACCGCTTCGAGCGACCAGAACTCTGTATGGGCTCCATCGAAATCATCGCCCCCTCCGATTATATGATTCGTCCCCCCCAGCCGCCAGCCTTCTTGTTTCTTATTGACGTCTCGCTGCCCTCCGTAGCATCAGGCCTTGTCGAATCCGCTTGCCAGGGCATTGCAGACGCCATCCGCAAGGATCGCCTGCCGGGAGACAGCAGAACGATGGTGGGAATAGTGACTTACGACAGCAGCGCACACTTTTACGCACTCAAGACACAACAAACGAGACCGCAAGTCTTTGTAGTGCCTCAAGTCGATGATATGTTTCTTCCACTCTCCGAGGACCTCCTTGTGCCCCTCCTTGAATGCAAAGAAGCCGTTCTCAGCACTTTGGCCGCGCTGCCAGATATCTGGCGGTCTACCGGCTGTACAGAAAACTGCATGGTAGGCGGGGAGGCGAGGGAGTTGAGGGAGAAAGGGGTGCATGTGTGTGAGCAGAGAACGGGGGAGGGGGACTGCTGTAAGACTGCATCCACACGGGGAGATAGGGGGAGGGTGCTAGGTTCGCTTGAAGGCCTTCGCATGCGTGATAAGGCTGTCAGGGAGGGAGGGAAGGAGGGCTGGGAGGAGGCCGGATGTGCAAAAGCAGTACTTGCACTGCAAATGACTTGGTGTGCAAGGCGGCATTTTTGCACTGCTTGCAGGGGAGCGCTTTAAAGGCGGCCACGATGGTGGCAAAACATGTAGGTGGAAAAATTCTGCTCTTCTCGGCAGCTCCTCCAACAATGGGCGAGGCAGTGGTGAAAAGAGAGCCAAACAGAGATAAGGGAAATTCCACTACAGACAGAGAAACAGATCTCCTCAAACCTGCATCCGATGCTTACCAGGTAAGGCCCTCATATACATATCCATACACATATTTATATATTTATATCTAGCAGTACATCTGTGTGCATATAAATATGTCTATATGTATATGCATATATATATGTATGCATACGTGCACATGTAGATATGTATTGGAATATGTATATCGGGCAACTGGGAGGTGAAGTTGATAGCTGCAGGAGGCGTGACAGCGCTTATTGCATGACATGGCGGCTGCATCTCTCAGTGCTTTACATGAGCATACACTGCTGCGTATCCCCGGGTCGTATATTTCCGTTTGCGCGGTGTCTCCTGTCTGCCCATGGTCTAGTTTTTCGCTCGCTGGTGGCTTCTCTCTCTTTTGGTGCATTTGTTTGGGTATGCAAAATGGTTCGGTGTGCGCGGATCGTTTTGGTATCCGTGGTTTGGGAGGTATTGCAATAGAGCTATTCGTTCCAAATCTTTTGTGTCGATTGTTTAATCTCATTACTTGTGTGTGTTGTGGCAGCACACGCCCGAGTGTTTAGTGACAGTGCATACGCACATGCGTTTTTGCATCCCTCTGTAGAATTATAAATAGACGGGCCACTTTTTCAGGGTGGCGCTGGTGCTTCAGATGTCTGTTCCTGAGAAGTTTGTTTCACGAAGAGCACTGCATGCGCAGTGTGAAGGGCCTCATTTGTAGGGCGTACGGGAGGCTGCCTCGTGTATGTATATATGTATATTTGTGTGTGTAAGTGTATGTATGTATGGGTATGTGTCCGTGTGTGTGTGTCTATCTGTCTATCTATCTGTCTATCCGTCTGTCTGTCTCTATCTTTCAGTCTGTCTACGTGTTTACACTGCTTTTACGCACGGCTGCAAAGGGCCTCAGAGCCTTTTTATTGGGTTTTCGTTGCTCCCTGTTTTCGCAGAATCTGGGGCAGCAGCTGACGCAGAGTCAGTTGTCTGTCGATATGTTTCTATGCCCCCCAGCACCTTCCGCATCGTCTCCCACAGAAGCCGTGTACTATCCGCCTCCCCCCGCGTCTCAGAGCGGCATGCCGACATCTCAGCAGCAGAACCAGCCAATGAGTGGGGGACTGTCGGGTGCTGGTAACGTCGGGAGAGGTTCTCACCTCAACGGGAGTGTGCCTGCTTCGGGAGTGTCATTCTACGACGTTGCAAGCTTCGCCACTCTTGCGCAGTTCACCTCCGGGGAACTTCGCTTCTACCCGTCCTTCACTCGCCAGCAACACGGCCCGAAACTTATGGCTGAAATCGAGAGAGTTCTCTCCAGGGTGACAGGGTGAGGCCTGCCGCACTGCTAACAACACACGCCCTGCATACGGCTGCCCTCCAAGCGTCCTTTACATTCCTCTGCACACGCTTTACATGCTTCACGCATCGGATACGGATACAGAAAGGCGGACTCTTCGAGAAAATCCCATTGTGCTTGTGTACTCGCCGCAAGAAGAGCACTCTGAGGGGCATTTGTTTTGGGGACAGGCGGAGGGGAGGAGTGGGCGTCTCCTGCATATAATACCCCTCAGTGTCTGCTTTGTTTTCTTCTCCTTATGTGCATCTTTATCTTGGGTGCTCTTGTCTTCTTTTTCTCTGTCTGTCTCTCTCTGTGCAATTGTGAATTTCTGTACATTTGTCTGTGCACTGGTCTGTATCCGTATAGGTCGAGTTGTCTGTATCTGGCTGTATCTTTTGAGTTGTCTGTGCATGGTTGTATCTGTATATGTCTGTCACTCTGTCTATCTATTCCTCTATATGTCTGTATGTATATCTGTATATGTCTCTATCTGCTGCATCTATATCTGCCTGTATCTTCTTTCGTGGAGGTGCCTGAAGTAAGTGCGCAAGAATCAGGGGGGGCATCAACAGCGCCATCGAGGGGGACTCTGTTGCATGCGTTTCTGCATTCAGGTGGGAGGCCGTCATGCGAATCCGTGTGTCTCGGGGCTGGAAGGTGTCTCAACGCCACGGGCGTTTCTATCTGCGGGGGTCGGACTTATTTGTGCTTCCCACTGTCAACGAAGATCAGAGCTTTTCCGTGTCTCTCGAACTTGACGAAACTGCCACCCCAGGAGCCACTGACAACATCCTCTCCCTGCAGGCAGCTCTGCTGTATACAAACAGCGACGGCGAGAGACGTATCCGCGTGCATACGTATTGCATTCCCCTGACGCAGAACATGCAGGTAAGATTTTTGGCCTTAGAGAGAGACTCCGCGCATGCACAGGACGTTTCCAGCATCCTTTCCTTTGTGTGAACGGCGAAGAGAAAAGGAAGGAATTGTTTTTGTATATATGTGGCAAGCGTGCCCAGCAGTAAGCTTTGCTGCTTTCGGCAATGCGCTCTGCTTCTAACCGCAGGAAATTGCCGCTTCCATGGACCCAGAAGCAACGGCCGCTCTCATGTTGCAGCACTCTATGGATCTGGTGAGAGCATGGCCGTGGCTTTCTTGACCTTTTGGCCTTAGTTTTATTGAAAACTGGGAAAGGAAAAGGGGAAAAATTTCTGCGTGCGTGGTCGACGCACTACCTGGGACTGACTCCTTCCAAAGCCCCTAGGGTTCAGAGCATTTGCTCTCTCTTCTTCCCACCCCCTTTCTTTCCCCCTCTCCTGGTTTCCCCCTCTTTAACGACGGATTGGCGTCCGCTGTCTTCTCTTTTCTCTATCAAAATTTAAATAGCACCCATGTTCGCATGAAAACACATTTCTATGCTTCTATGTACACTCTATGTTGAACTATACACGTATGTATGTACATGTATGCATATGCATGCATAGATGTATGTATGTAAGCATATGCATTTATGCATGGCGATGTATATGTATATGTATGGATAGGGAAATATGTATGGATATGTCATTATCTATGTATGGAAAGGTATATAAATGGATGCACGTATACGTATAGATGTATGTATATATGAGTTTATGTGTGGGTGGTATGTATTTATGTATGGCGATATGTTAATATAAATAGATGACAGGAATATATATGTGTATATGCACGGATGGATGGATAAATGTGTCTTTATTGTACGTGTCTGTGTGTGTTGTTGCAATCTTGTTCTGTGCCGCAGTCTCTGCGTGCGAAAGTTGCTGATGGAAGGTCCTACTTGCAGAATCTCTGCGTGCAGCTGATGTCAGCCCTTCAGCTGCCTGCAGCAGGACACAGTGCGTATGGCGCACAGCCGTCTTTACAGAATAATGGGGAGCAGCTGAGGCGCCTTGCTTTCCTCATCATGGGAATGCTCAAGTCACCTGCTTTCCGAAGCACCAAAGATGGTCAGTGAAGAGGGTGTTACGTGAAGCGAGAGGGGAAGGGCTCCTTTTTTTTCTCCCCTATCTTCCTTCAACATATATCGTCCCCCACCTACCTTTGTCTTGATTTTTTTCTGAAAAAAGGAGGTGTCACATCTCCTTTCCTTCGCCTGCATGGTCCCGACGCCATGAGACGTAGATGTCGCTTCTCCATGGGCTCGTGAAAAAAGACCTTTCGCCGCTCGCTTTTATATGGCGGCCTTTTTGCATGCGCTTTTAACGCGCTTGAAGGAGGCTGCGGGTGGCAGAAATGTGCTCCTTGTGTCAACTTCTTCAAGGGGCGTGTCATGCCTATTTTGGCACGTGCAGGGCAGTAGCCGGCGTCAACCCGACAAAGAGAGAGGCTTTTTATATCTCGCCATGTTTCCCCTGCACTCTGCACATGATGGTATACGTGAATCTTTGTGTCTTTCTTTCTCTGCGTTGTTGCCGCTGCAGTGACGAACGACATGCGCGTCTACGCGTGGCATCGCTTGGCTTCCGTGCCCTTAAGTCAGTTGGTGGCTTATTGGTGTCCTCGTCTTTTCTCGCTCACTGATTGGGGTCCAACTGAGGGTTCGCTGGATGGGAATGCGGAAGTCATTCTGCCCCCCTCCATCCCTCTAACCAGCGAGTCCATGACGCAGGAAGGCGCGTATCTCATTGAAAACGGAGAGAGCATGCTTCTCTGGGTTGGCAAGTAAGCAGAGCAGAGCGTCTTCACACGAAGAGAGATCAACGGAAGAACTGGAGGGCAGGGGCGAGAAGGCATTAGAGGGGGAGGGGGGCTTTTGGAGAAACGGATATGGGAGCAAGCGTAGAGTAGTATCGTTCGTTTGCGTGCAAAAATCCTGTGCAAGCGTCCTGCCTATCCTGGCACGATGTGTAGTATTACCGCCCTCCATCTCAGTACACCACGCACACATTTTTTCCGGGCAGAGTCCTTTTTCCTGCGTCGCTTCTTCTGAATAGTCCGGTGGAGTGCAGACTCCGCCTCCTAGGGCTTTCTGCTGCATCTCTTGCTGGTGCGGTGGCTGCGGCGATTTTTTTCATAGATCGGTGCCGTCTGAGTGGTTGTTGGCGGTCTTTGGTGTAAGCGCCTTAGAGTTCCTGCATCCTGAGGCAGCCGCTTCATCCCTTGGCAGGACCAACGATTCTCTAGGCCAAAGGACTTACGCGATGATTAGCGAGCTGCAGCGCCAACGGCTCAAACCGGACTATATGGAACTGACCATCATCCGACAAGGCGACAGCAACGAGCAGCTGTACGGCCTCTTTACTCCTTCCCAAACACAAACGACCCCTGTCTCTCCTTCATATCCCCTTTATATGCAGCCAGTCCTCCTTATAAAGGTGGCTGCTCGATGTCCGACGGCTTCAAGTCGCATCGACTCTCACAAGCGTATTTCGTCTTTCCCATATATATATATATAAGGCCAGCGCGCACACACACACATACACACACACATACACATACACACGCAGAGCAAGAAGCGGGCGGCAGCGCGACTCTTGCGCATAGGCAAGAAGCGTCATGTGCTCTTCTTCTGCTTCTGCAGGTTCTTCGCGATGCTAGCAGAGGACCGAGTGCAGAGCCTGCCCTTGACCTTCACGGAGTTTTTGCAGAAAGTTGGGCAGCGCCAGTTGGCCCCAGTCACCCCGATGCCTCCTGCACAGCGTGGTTACTGAGAGGCGATAAATGTGCCGATTATCCTCCCTACTCCCCACGTCTCTCTCTGTATCTATCTCTCTGTATCAATCTCGCTCGATGGGAGCTGCGTGCTCCCTCTGCTGCTCTGTGTGCTATATCGGGCAACCGCCTCCGCCATGTGATTCGTAACCTCGGTGCTCTTGCCGCGCTGCTGCACCTACTGTGTCCCTCTTAACTGCTGTGAAGGGTTGCATGAACGCGCCTCTCGCTTTCCATGCGATTCTCTTCTAGAATGTAACTGGATCGAAGTCTTTGACCGGAGAAGCGCATATATTTTCGCTTACTGTCGGACCTCTTTCCGCTCCTTCCCTTGAGTAGAGCCCTTCCCCAAAAGTTCATGAAGACTTCTGCCCATCCAAGGCCTCTCCGGCTTTCGCGCACTGCCTTCTGTGGGGTCTGTGTGCCGGGAAGGTATACAACAGCGAGGCCTGCGTGCCGGGCTGATTTCAAGCCATGCGTCCTGCCTCTCCTTCGTGAGTGCTTCCTATCCAGCTTGGTAGAAGAAGCCTCGTGCAAGAGCGCGCGAGGCATCACCCTTCGCTGCCACCCGGCAGCCAGCTGTAACAGTGCGTGTGACTTTGAACAGAGTAGGTTGCCGCACAACACTCCTGCAGGAGGGTCATTTTGGAGGGCCACACGGGGCCTCCAATATGAGGGCTTAGCGAAGTTGGCCCTCCGTAGCATACACTCTACCCAGCCCCTTTCTAATATACAGCTACTATACGTACAATGGTACCCTGTAACCACCTTAGCTCGCTGAGCCTCGGATGTTAAGCAGGAGCACGTGCTCGCTTCTCAGCAGGTCCTCCCTAAGTACGGCAAAGCCCGGCACCCAACTCAGACAAGCACAGTTGCGGGTCAGCAACATTAAAGCTATGGTTTGGGGAACTCCATGGGCACTGCTGCAGTGCAAACATGGGGGGGAACCCTCTTGGGTATTGACGCCTTGTCGCTCTAAAGCCGGCAGCCAGCCAAACAAGAGAGCAATAGGTATGATGTTCTAGCGGTGCGGCTGGCGGCATGCGCATGCCTAAATTTGCGACCTTGCGGGTGTGGACGCGTATACATCAGGTAGATATAGATGCGTGTCAGCAGCACCTCTTACACCGCCCCTGCTCACTAATGAGGGGTTTTCTCACAAAAATTGCTACTTAGGCCCAAAGACTGCCTGGTGGGGTGTCTGGCTGAATATGCCCTGGGGCCATCCCTGCCAGCAGGACAGGAGAACATTCGGTCCTGTCCTTAGCAAGGGCTCCTACGATCCTCAAGGTTTTTTCAGACCGTTGCTCACAAGCGAGCACCTCAAAAGCGTGCAACAGCATCACCGTGGCGGTGTCGGCTCACTGCTGTTGCGCGGGAGGGGAGTGGCCTGCGTCTGTTGCAGCGGTGCGGGGACAGCTGGTGAAGGTACAAAGTAACTTCCCCGGGTGTTGTAGACGGTGGTTTGATTGAGCGTCTGCGCACCATTGGGGTGCGGTGTCTGCTGTGCCGGGGGGGAGGCGTAATACGGATAGTTTACTGGGGTCTGGGGGGCCCAGGAGTTCGCCTGAAACCTGCTTCGCCCTAAAGATGATGGGCTTGCAGTAGGTGCATAGGGATACAGGCCTCCTGGGTTCGGGTGTTGAGGTGCTGAGATCGGCGCAGTGTAGTGCGACATTGGTGTCATGCGAACCCTTCCTTGCACAGGGCCCTGATTTTGCTGGTGCAAGTGAGGGTCCACACGCTCCCCAAGGGGCTTCACAGACTGCGCAAGGCTGCAGGAAGGAGGCCCTGAAGGGGGCGACTGGTCTAGTGGTGGCGGTTGTTGCTGCTGCTGCTGGTATTGTTGTTGTTGTTGCTGCTGCTGGTATTGTTGTTGTTGTTGCTGCTGCTGGTATTGTTGTTGTTGTTGCTGCTGCTGGTATTGTTGTTGTTGTTGCTGCTGCTGCTGGTATTGTTGCTGCTGCTGCTGGTGCTGGTGTTGTAGCTCCGTATGAGCAGGCAGCGTGGACCTCATCGCAGCAGCTGTTTGGGCCTGCATCGTGGTGCTGGGTAATGCCGCATCCACCCTGGGGGTCACCTCTGACGGTTGGCAATAGGATTGCTGCATTTGCTGACGAGAATGCCGAGAAAAGGACGCCTCACTGTCCGGCTGCGGCCGATCCTGTGGAAAAAAAACCGCAGCATCAACAAGGATAGAAGACAGTTAAGAGGGAAGGAATGGAAAAGTAGATGTGTGCAAGGGGCGTGCAGTCGATTGGTCACCGCAAAACAACCGAGACATTTCTGAGATTCCTAAGGAAGCAGTGCCAGCACATGACGTGCCTAGGTGGATAAACACTTTGATATAGATGCCTATCTCTAGGGCGATGGGTGCTACAAGCACACATAATTCGTGCACCATTACATAGAACGACACGCACGTGCACAAGCATACTCCTTAGTGTCGGTGGCCGTCCACATGTGGAGCCACGCATTTGTATGTGTGCATATGTATAGGCAATGCCTGTATTTCTAGACAGATGTGTATGGACTCTCGCAGCAAAATCTGCAAATTCAGATATTTCCCACGCATCTAGCACATGATAGTATACGGAATGGATGAGACGTAAATGGACCTATGTGCACGTAATCACTCATTTTAAAATGCCGCTGTGCGATACTGACCCCAGGGCACTGGCTGTTGCAAATTCGGACCATTGGCAGCTTGATTTTCTCCAGTCGATCATAGTCGGGGGGTGCAATGCCGGCGACTGCCTCCACGCAGTTACTGAATAGGTTTTTGACTTCTTCGCATTTCTCGATCATTCGGGCATTGGTCGCCCCACATGTCGACACAAGAGAATTGGAAAGGAGCGAGAAATCATTGCAAAGGCGTTCAAGAGACATGTCCTGAGACTGGGCAAAGCTGTGCATGCAAGACTGTGCTCCCTCGCAGCTGAATCCCCTCACAGGCTGCTGGAAGTGGATTGGGGCTGTGGGGAGGGCCTTTACAAAGCGAGCACGACGAACAATGGGAGGCGCTCTAGGTAGGCGGCAGGGATGCACGAACTGCACGAAGAGCAGGCACAGCGCATAGCAGCGAGGAAATGGTAGTGTATGCGGAGGGAAGGGAAGCAGGAAAGACAAAAGGAGCGGAGGCAAGGCAGCAACGTGCTGGGTTCGATGCACAGGAGAATCGGGAGAACGATGCCTTTGCACCACGACAGGTCACGGTGTGTGAAACTTGAACGGCTAGTGGTGGCACCATCAGGAAAGCTGAATGAGAAAGCTAAAGCTGAATGAGAAAGCTGACACTGCAGTGCATATGTGAAGACACGCATATTGGTCTAATGAGTGTCGGAAGGCACAAGAGAGAGGGGCTCTCAGAAGAGCGTCATGCCCCGACAAGGTGGTATACGGCGGCCAAAGAGAGACAAAAGGAAACTGACACGCGCTTGTGTGTTGTGAATCTCTGGTCCGGGTTGGTAGCCGCATGCGCTACTTGGGAAGGATCCGCCGTATGGCATACAATGGCCACCCTGCAGGTAGGAGGGGCTCAAGTCTGAGCTGTCCAGGTCCCCAATCTCATAAAGTGTTTCCACGAGCTTTCGAAGAGCCAGACCCGTGAAGTTGGGCTTCACGCGAATATCGAGGTCTTTGACTTGGATCTGCACGTGGCCAGGAAAGAGTTCTCGGATAGAGTGACACACCGTATACAAGGAGAGAGCGTATCGGCAACAGCCACGGCAGAGGAGCAGACAGGCCCAGGCGCAGGCATCCAGTAGCGCTCATGAAACTTGGAAGGCGGCGTGCATGAAGGCAGCACAGCACCAACAGGAGGACTCCTATGAGATTGTGACAGCTCCCCTTGCTCACAGAGCAACGCCCCAAGATACATGAAACGTCCTTTCTCCGCAAGCAGAGCCCCGAGTTCCTCATTTCTGTCGGTAAAAGGATTCAGAGAGTCACGCTTAAGAGGCACAAAAAATGTCGTTGCAAGACGAAGAAGCAAGGTGCCACAAGAAAGGTGCGAAACACTGAGCAGACGCACTGTCACGATCCCAGGAAGCGGCGTATATACGAGGTTCATTCTTCCAATACGACCAAATTCGAGTCTTGCCTCTGCGTCGGAGGCCTGAAAAGATGACCACACACAAATTTGTGTGCCCCAGAGCCCTGTTAAAGTGGGAGAGGACCAGCGGCGCGCTGGGTGGCTGGATCAATTGCCGCTGATGCGTCGTCACCCGCTGCCGGAGGGGGAGAGCGTCCGAGGCAGCATATACAAGAACTAGCTGGGAACAAAAACACCTGCGGCCTCGCACTTGCAGCATATCATTGATAGCCTTGGTATTTAGGCGGAGATCTCGAAATTCGATGCCTTGATCGTAGCCAATGGATATCATGTCATCTCCTCCCACTGCAAAGGTAGGGACGCAGCACAAATAGTAGCGGCGAGGAGCACAGGTAGAAAGAGGCATGTGCCACCCAGACACAGACCGACACAGAAAAACAGATACAAGGAAGAGTAACAGACGGACAGGCGGCGATTCGAAGCCCCCCGTGGATAGTGAAAGGCAGCACTCCCTTCATGGGGACAGAGACAACACGTATCTTTCCCACAGCAACCAGCCACCAAAAAAAGAAAAGGTATGGAAATATAAAATCAATCAACGACAAGAAGACGCATCAGTCAGGCAGTTGGAGGCATGTCCTTTCACGGGTGACATGTGCGTTTCGGGATGCGCAGTTAAACACTACATGCTACCCCCGTTGGCTTACAAAAAGACAAAGCACCGGACACGTCCTTCCTTCGCGGCACAGCAAACAAGTCCCATACAAGTGCACGGCTTAGAAAAGACTGGCCGTAAGGTCGAATAGTGCTTTGGGGATGCTACCCAGCGAAGAGCGTCGCTTCGAGCCATGCACCGTTCACCCTTAATTGTGAAATGAAAAGCAACGCCTGGCCTTGCGCAGGAAGCGCAAGAAGGTGCCAGCAGCTTCTATTCTGTTCATCAGGTTCTCTTACCCTCCACGTATTTGGCAATGGCCCTCTTGAAAAACTGCTTAAGGTACTCCATTTTTGGGCGCAAGCAAGAAGAAGAGGCCCCCGTAGTAGCCAACCACACGGATTCTGGAGTGTTTTATACACGGCGGCTCCTTTGGCGTGTAAGAAAAACGCACTGTCTGCGACCTGTCTTGAACGTCCCTCCACAGAACTGTGTGTCTGGTGTATGCCCACCGCGCTGCAGTACGTTGAGGCGGGAGACACAAGGCGTGCAGACCAACGCCTCCCCGCGCGTTGCAGCGTCCCCCCTGAGCGGCGATGCAAGTGAGAGGATGAAGCTCAGTGGAGGCAGAGGGAAGAAAGGGGGGAGGTGAGGTCCGAAAGTCCGCCTTCTCGGCTGCTTGGTTTGTGTCACCTGCCTCTTTCGTAAGGCTCGCTCGGTGCAGGGGCCTTGGCAGGCAGCCGACGGCGGCAAAAGAGGGCGTGTTTTTGTGGCAGCTAGCCAAGAAGACAGCCCTCTGGTAAGCCACTGCGTAGATTGCCCTCAGAGGACTGGAGGCAACGCTGGTCTGCAGATGGCCAGGCCCCTGGCTGTGCGTTGAGTCGGAATCGTGGATGCACTCCAGGCGATGCAGCCGTGGAGATCTTGATGGTCAGCGCAAGAAGCGACCCCTGATGAGACGGAAGATCCTTTTCATACCTCAGAGGCTAAGGGGGAGACGAAAGAGCGGCGAAGGTAAAGGCGCCACTGGTGGGACGAGCTCTACTAGGGCCACACAGCTGCTGCTGCTGACTGAGCTGGACAGGGTGTAAATTCCTGGCTACTCCTGCGTCTGAAGCCCAGATCATATGAAAAAAGTCCCTGATTTGGAGAATTCAGTCAAAAACCGTGACAGTTTCCGCACTCGAGACAGAAGCAGCAGCCACCAGGCCCTCCTTCCTGGCCTCGATGTGCCGACATCCGAGAAGGGCTGGCCCGACGCCGACACAGAGGGAAACGGCCGTCTTCTGCGCCTGTAAAAAAGCGGGTGCTCAAAAAGGCGCCCTAAATGATTTCTTTATGAAATTAGAGCAACGCTGGACCACCCAGAAAGACAATCTGGGAAGCCGGAAGGCAAAAGCCTCCTGCAACTCACCTACGGGGTGTTTACCTACCACCACACCGGCTATTAGGCAACGACTCCTGGAAGGAGGATCAGTTGTCCCCTAAGTATGCAGGCGCTTCTTCCACAGCACCTACAGAAATCTGCAGCAGCAAGCGCTTCTGTGGTAGTAAAAACATGGGGTCAAGGCTGCTTTTCTGCCAGAAGTCGACAGTGTATGCGCACTGACACATCGGAAGTACTCGTGCACCAGCCTACGGTGGTGCCCACCCTATTACTCAGGCAATGTCTAATCTACTGCCGTACGTTGGCATAATGGAGATTTTGTTACACATCGATCACACGGCTTGATCTAGAGCAGATTCTATTCGTTGCTGTGCGGCGTGGACTTTATGGCTCCGTGAGCGGGGGCCGCCTGGTCTGTAGCCATCAGGTGTTTTTATGTGCAACAAACAGTCGCGAATGCCTTGACAAGTGGCGCTTACAGGGCGTTGTGTCTCGTCTTGCCTCGCCCCCCCAAGAGGCCAGAACCCTGCGGGTTGCAGGCAAGTAGGAGAGAGATACTCACCCAATAGTAGGTTACAATAATGCCCACGAGGTGGTGGGAGTGAGGCTCTCCTTAAGAAACCGACCAGGAGGCGCTTCACAGTGCTGCGCCTAGTTGACTAGAGGCCTGTAATCCTTTTGATAACATTGAAGCGTCAGCGTCAGAAAGACGAGACGCTACAGCCGCTCCTCCAGCAGGAGACTAAGGCCCTCCTGAAGATGTACGCAGATTGACTCTCCTAGCCTCACGTGATGGCATCCAATAGCTACCCGCCCCCTTCCCCGCAAAACACGAAGTAAGGAAGTAAAAAGGGGGTGGAGGGACGGAGGTAGATGGAAGGACTCATGGGCGTAAACAATTACGGGGCACCGAATACAGGGAAGCCAGGGAGAAAAATTACAAAGCTCACAGAGAGATATATATACACCACAGGGGGGTTACCAAAAAGGAGACCAACAGTTATATCTAAATGCGTTCTAAAAAGAGAGACCGCGTATGACAAATGCAGAGGAGGTGACTCCCAAATGGCTTGGAAGCGGAGTTGCTCCCTTCTATTGGGGCCCGATGTCTCCGTCAATCGCCGCCAGCTGGTCTTTAACACTTAGAGCGTCCGCGGACAGCTACCTAAACGCCGAGCATACGCTTGTTGAGAAGAAAAGCGCACATGCACCCCTGTTGCAATCTGGGGTGTTTGGGTACTTGACGACACAAACCAGCAGCAGCCCAGCCGAGGCGTGGGCGGGCCATTCGGAGCTGCGCCGCAGCAGAAGAAACAGATTTTAAAGGAGTTCTGAGTGCGTTGTTTGGCATTTTTTGACGCTAGACCCTTTTCGGAACTCCTGACAAAGCCGCCACAGTCTCTGCGGAAGGTCATCACTCCCTCCATATTCTGCATTAGACGTGGTGTACAGACAGCAGGATGGTTTGTGATGGGTTGGCCTCGAATTTTCTTTGGCAAAACGACATGAGCCTCTTGAACATTTGGATGTACTTCCTCGTTGTTTCGTCATTCAAAATGTGAGCAACCTGCGAGGTGTTGAGCTTAGATCGGCCAGCCCGCTCGTGGATACCGACCATAGTGACGCCCATGGGCCACGCGGCATTGCCGATTGCCAGAAGCATGAAGCTGATCAAATTAGCACAAGGTAACACAAAAGAGTAGGTGCGGAAGCGCCCTGACTTACAGAAGGAAAGCGTGGTAATAGGCCCCCACAGAGATGGAGAAGGGAGTCAAGCCCGCTCCCGTGTGCACAGAAGGAAGGACAGATACTCGCGAAAAGGCACTGGAAGGAGCACGAGCAAGAAAGGAGGCCGGAGGATATCAAGTAAACACACGCGGCGGGAGAAAGCTAGGAAAACCGCAGAGAGGTAGAGAACGAAGAGGGAAATTCGGCCATAATAAACGGGCCCTTTGCTTACGAGCCATGTGCATCCCTGTATCGCCTCTCCTTGCACAGCTGAACGATCTCATGAAGCCTCTCACAGATGTCCGACTCCAATCTGTCGGTTAGGGCAGGCCACACACTCACATACCCCTTTAATGATGTGCGAACTTCAACAGGGAGGTGCACTGCTCCGCAAAAGGGGGGGTACAGCCAGGTGGACTGGTTGCCTGTTGAATGAGTATTTTAGGGCTTTAGCACGAAAGGAAGGAGGGTTGAAGTCTGCTTAGCCGCTCACGACAACTAGCGCAAAACCGATGGGGGAACATAGGAGACAGCGCATAACATCACAGCGAGAGAGCGGCTGCAACGCAACTACACGGCCGTGCGAAACAAGCGCCAGTCAGATGCCTAGACACAGCGGCACGAAAGACAACCCGCCAGAGAAAGCAAAAAGACGTGAAGGCAGAAACAGAAATGCCGAGGAGTGTGGGGGCACGAAAAACTAACTCTTTATGTTTCAGTTTCCTTAAAAGGGGCTTTAGGTCCTTCTTAGTTTGGCGGTGCAATGCTAGCTGGTGGCGCCCGTCCGCTGTCGCCTTCTCCTCCTCAGATCTGCAAAACAGGCATGCAAAAGGCCACACACAGTGCCTGCCCATGGTACAGCTCTGCCTTTCCCACGCGCTTTACGCGCGGTATTGGAGGCCCCCACAAAGCGAAAGCCTGCCACACGCCGAGCTGCAGCTGCAGCGGCAGGGAGCGCTCTCGGGTCAAAACACGGGCATGCCTCTTCGCATGCAAGCTCTGGAGGTATCAGACACCCACCGCTGCTTCAGTTCTTCTTCCCAAAGAGACAGCATACGCCGCGTCCACTCAATAATACTGCAGTGGAAGCACAGGAAACAGCCAACAGAGCAAACATGGAAGGTGCGAGAGGGCGGCTGAGCAGAAAAAAAGGCTACAAAAACACCAAAGGTGCGACAGTCGAGTGCATGCCCGCAGGAAGGAGGCTCAAGGCATAACACACACACGCACATACATACATACACAGACAGACAGAGACAGACACACAAACATACACACAGACAGACACACACACACAGACACTCCTGTATCCTCAGTCTGACATCAAGGCAGCACAAGGTAGCACAAGGCAGCAACATGGGTAAACAGGAGGACGCACATGGTCTCTTTGCTCTTCGCCGCATCCTCTTCGTCCTGGCCTTCCTTAGGGGCCTCGGGGGCCTCCTCTGTACCCCCCCTCCCGCCTCCCGCTGCAAGTGGACACATACCACAAACGTTGCAAAGCTTTCTCCCCCAAAACGCCTTAGAACACTTATTCTGTGAACATTAGTACGGACATACATGCGCGTGTATGTCTATAAATGTGCAGCAATTAACTCTCTCCCCCAGAGGTGCTTCAAAACCAGTGGCGCCGTGTATCAATCAAGAACACCCTATGGGGGCATCCTGCTAGGAAATCTCATACTGCACTTCAGATGAATACATATAAGGAACCGTATCGCATCTGCATGCATGCGTCATTTTTAAAGTCCTTCTGCATGCATGCACTGCTGTGTGAACGAACATGTTAATTTCTGCTCCTCTTCAAATTCTTCATCGTCTTCGCCTTCCCTCTGCATCGCGTGAAAGACATTTTGCTGCCCTTCAGTCATTTCATCATCCAGCACTTGTAATTCCAATGCACACAGACGACAGTACCTGCAAAAACACAGTACACCCAATATAGGCAGAGCTCCAAATGCCAGCCCGCTTCCTCCCCCATACATCCCGCCTCCCGCGTATCCACGCTCTTGCGCTTGCTGCAGAAGCGAACTTCTCACGATATAGTAGCCTAGTCTAGATGCACTACGGTGAGCAGCAGCCTCTCGAGTCTGCGGGCTGCGCTGGTCCACGACATCTCAAGGCGCGTTGCCGCCTGAAAGACTGCGCTCAAGAAGGCGGCGAATTTTAGAAAAGGGGTCTTGCATGCGAATTACGAGACGTTGAAAGCAACCTTAGAAAGCTCCATACCGCTGCCATGGCGTCTCCCCAAAGAGAGTGACTGGCTGCTTTAATTTTCTTAGGCGCTTGAAAATTTCGGGCGACGCAATGGGAGGCTCCTGCTCATCTTCTGCAGACGCTGCTGAGCCTGAATACAAAAGTTTCTCAAGAAAACAGCAAAAAGCTTGCGCCAGAGAGAGCTGGACTGAAAGGCGCGTTCAGAAGGGGAGAGGTATCGGCAGGAAAGAATGAGTAGGCCCTGCACCAGCGTGAAGGCGCATGGCACCCTCGAAAGAGGAAGCAGCAACGCCACGCTGTGTGTGAGGCAAAAAAACAACATTGCAGCGACGCTTGGCTGTTGGCGAATTCCACAAGACAATACGGGAGTCAGGCTCGCCTGTACGAGGGATGATGGGCTGCTCCGCGTCCTCCTGTTTGGAGGGTGCGGGCCTGAATTTCTTAGCGCTCAGACGTTCCTGAAGTTCCTGCATGCAGATAAGCGCCATTGACATGCATGCAGATAAGCAGTGGACGCCTCAGTACAACACGAAACGCAGAGATGGATAGACACACCACCACAATTTGGCCTTGGCCCGTTTTCTCTCTCTCCCTCCGGGTTGCGTGCCTATACAAGGAAAAGAAAAACGTGGCTCTCAGGCCTTACAGCGAGGCTCTGAAGCTCCTGCTGCCGTTTCTTCGCGGCAGCCTCTAGCGCTTCCTTTTCCTTCTGCTGGCGACGTTGAGCCTCGATGTCTCCCTGCCTGAAATAGCGGCCACCTGGACCTCCTCCTGCCTTCGAAAGGGCTGACCAGACAAAGGGAAACACAGCGTTGCAGCGCTGCTACGGTAGTAGGGCAAAGCGGACTGTGTGAAGGACAGACGCAAGATGAAATGATCCGCAAGAGAAGCGAGCAAAAAAACGGCCTAGTAGCGTACAGGTTACTTGAGCTTTCTGTTTGGCAATGATGGCCTTCAGTGCATCCATCCTACGAAGCACGTGCGATACACGGGAAGGCGTCGAGACGGCTCTTGACCCCTAGACTCTTGAAGGCGTGAAATGGACGCCCGAGGAGGAGCTTGCGCCTTCGCTAGGGGGTGCAGAGAAACAATGCACAAGAAGGAGGAGAAAGTTCAGCACGTGCTGCTGCCTCGCTGTCTAGAGGCTTGCCAAAAAGTTGTTCCCTCGCGAAGCTTCCAAGGCTGAAAAACACACACAAGGGCCCTGCGTTCCTCTCGCGATGAGGTGGCGAGGCGTAGTGGAGAGAGGCGTTCCAGTTCAATAAACAGATACGGCTGCATCACCACGGTGGAAAGACTTTAGCTGAATCAGGAGATATTGATCTAAAGGAAAGCGGCAAAAGCAACGTTACCGGCTCACCAGCCAGTAGAGGCATCCAAAACCACTGCATGCAGCCCCAAGGCAGGACACACCCCTAGGAAGCTTCTAATCAGTAGCTGCGTGTTAGAAGTTACACCATCTAGGAAAAGCCAATGCTTCGTCACTTCTGTCCAATGCACACACGCACTCCGGGGTTCACGAAAAAAACTGCATCTTCTATCTACCTTCGTAGGCCTGCTCGTCTCGATCTTCTCAGTTCTCGAAACGGGAAACTGCATGTGTAGAGACGAATACGCACGGCTGGAAAAAATCTAACAGTTTGGATCGTTGCACAGCGGTTTGGGGTCATGGTATCTTCCTCCGTGTGTTTGGTCTAAAGCGTATTCCTTTCCCACTTTTTGTGCATTTCACCCCGTGCGCCGTTTTGGGGGGACTTCTTGCAGCATGGCCTCTTACTGTTGAGCCAGGGATCATAAATGGCCAGAAGCATGGCGTGTCATGTCATTTTGGACGATGTTTACTCCTTTTGGAGCCCTCTGAACAGCCTACAGCCTACTGTATCAGTGCTCAGGTGCATTTTTCGGCCGCACGATACTACGGCTTTCTGGCGCTAGAAAAGCCTACTGTCTGTCTGGAGACTTTGGCTGCCAATGCGGTTTCTCGTTCTGCCGCTGCCCCTCATTCTCTTGCTGCCTTTGCAGCTGCTTCCTATCCTCCATTCGTGCTGCAGCGCCTTCCTCCTTAGCCGCGTGCCTTGGACACTCGAGACGCTCCCCATTAGAAAGTGCAAGCCATCTAGCTGCTGCACGGAGAATCGCTTCTCGGGAAGCCCTGCTGCGCCTGCATGCGGCGCATACTGGTCCTTGTCCTTTGGCAAGCACACACGCAAGAATGCAAGAGCTTCACGCCTTGACAGTGGACCCCCACAGGCGCAAGCCAATTGCACAGACAACCTACCCTCTCTGCCTTCCGCCATATTAGAGGAGTACCCGCGAAGTCCTCATTCCAAGGTCGGCTCCGCTAAACAGCGGCCTGTACGACGCTCAAACAGCGAGGAGGTGGCAGACGCGGTCATCAATGCCACAGAAGCGGATATTCTGCGTCTTCTAGAACTGCGGGATCCTGCTGAAGCAGCGCCAACCACGGCTGCCAACACCCCGACGCAAGCAGACTGCAAGCAACAACCAGCAGCCCGCGCACAAGGATTCGCACGCTACGAGATGGCCTACCAGGAGAAAGCAACATGCGCAGAAGCACTCCGTAGGCACGACAGCCTCCCCATGTCTTCTGAGAGCCACTGGCTTTGTGCAGGCCGCGTAAGAGGCGCGCATGGACTCCTTGGCCAGCTGAAGATACACCCCACCACCTTTGCCGCAGAAGAACGCTTCTGCACGCCTTGTAAGGTTGTCTTCGCATCCCTGAGCCCTTTTCGAGCTGTCTGCCGGCATAGCCTCTGCCTCCGCATCGTCCTTGAGATTTCGTTTCGCGTGCCTCTTCTCCTTGACGCTCCTTTTAGTGTTTCTGTTGTAGGCTTGGCGTTCAGATGATTTTCTCGCTTCCCCATCTCTTGAGTGTGTCTCACGCTACCCTCAAAGCCCTCCGCTACGCCACACGGCGGGCCGGTGTTGTCCTTACAGCTGCACGGCACTCGTCTGTCTTTTCTTCCCTTTTCTCTCTAGAAAACGCTCCCCTGCTCCCTCGCCTTTCTGCCGTCCGCTGCTTTCATGCTGCAGCCTCGCGTCTCTTCTTCAGGTCATGCGCCTCGAACGCACCCTTCATTTCGAGGACTGTTGAAAATGGCAAACTCCTGGCACGGCCGGGCAAGGGGCCTCTTGCGCTGGTGAAGTTTCACGGCATAAAGGACAGGTTGGACAAACCCCACCTTTTGGATGCCTCCCCGAGGCGTGTGCCCTCTCTGCCTTCGCGCTCTACCGGTAGTGCAGGGGGTGTAGGGATAAAACGACTGCTGCACGGGCTGCCTGCCCTCCTCCACAGCGATATACGCCGCTCGCGTGCTGCCGCTGTGCCTGCAGGACTGCGGCAAGCGCCTTGACAGGATGTCTCATTTTTGTGCACCCCAAGCAGAGCCTTGCCTCGCTGCCCCCGAACTCCATTTTGGCTGCCGATCTGATAGGCTTTGAGGTCACGCTGCTGCACGACGCTGCACGAACTCGGGTGCGTTAATCACTTCTTCAGGAAGAAAACTTGCAAACGCACGCAGCTCCTCAACGACCCTCTGGACAAGACTCTCTTCCCGCCCCTCGCGCCTCCACCCTTCTCCAGGAGGCTGCTCCAAAGATGCCCGCCTTCTCACGCAGTGCCCGGTGATGCATGCAGTGATACTTCGTGCGCGCGTGGGGATTCGCTTTGCAGATTGGCCGTGTTACTGATGTCGTGTCGAAGCACGATATGGGACTGCGAGAGGTAAGAGAAGGTACTCTTTCTAGATCTTCTAGGCACGGACTGTACTGATTTATCCTTGCGCAAAATATCTGTTCTTTTGCCGCCTGTACGTCTATATGGAAGCGGCCACAATACAGTCCGTGGCACCACCGGCGCGGGCACTCGTAGGGGAAATGTTCTCTATGAAGAGGCAGGAGAGGAGAGGCAGCGCTTACAACGCGTGTTTGAGACTTATTGTGTATTTTCATAGTTGAGGAGATTCGGGGAGCAAGGGATTGCCCTGTTTTTCCAGAACATCTAGGAGGCCGCGTCAAAGAGGCCCGATTTGAGTGTATGTGTGTGTGTTTCTGTGCATATGTCTGTGTGTTTCTGCGCATATGTCTGTGTGTTTCTGTGCATATGTCTGTGTGTTTCTGTGCATATGTCTGTGTCTATGTCTTTGTCTATGTCTATATCTTTGTCTGTGTCTGTACTGCAGGAAGCGGTTGGAGCGGCCGATGACTGCCTCCAGATTGAGGTGTTTAAGGACCTTCCGGCCCGTCGCTTGCTTGCGGAGAGCTTCCTAGACCCTGCTCCCCCCCAGGGACCGCTTCTAGCCTCAGCGCTGCATGCCTTGGGATCAGAGGTGCCCCCGCAGGAGGGAGAGGAGGCGGAGGTGCTGTTCGAGTGTGAAGGCTGCGGCCTGCGCTTCAGCGACTGTGCAGCAGCTGTATGCCACGAGAGGCTGTGCACTAGCCAGCCCCCAAGCACGGGGGGCGACCACCGTAGCGAAGGAGGTTTGGATAGCGAAGGCGGAGCTCTCCAGTGGCTCTTGCAGACAGCAGCGGCCTCACCGGAGACCCCACAAAACCTTGAAGGATCCGAGAGCCTCCTGTCGCCCTCCGGTCCGGTGCCGGATGCAGCAGTGCGTGCAGACGGACGACGAGACCCCGGAGCCGTGGCGGGTCTGGGGGCCCCAGGGGGCCTCCTTGCGGGGCCCCCCCCTCGCGAGCTGCGAACGCTTGAAGGCCCCAACGGCCGGGCTGGTGCGCGTCTGGGCAGCCGCTTCCTTGAGCGCCTGTCGCTGGGCGACCAGGTATCGTGGGAGCGAGGCCCCCGTTTCTTCCCTCGACAGCGGGAGGGGGCCCTCGAGGCGGCCGAAAGGGCCTTGGACTTCGCCTGCAGCAGCGGGGCTGGTCAGAACTACGTCGAGGCAAACTGGAACGATCCGGAGGATGTCGCTGCAGTGTGCCAACTCCTCGGGCCTCCCAGCGATTTAAGGCCGGCCCTCTGCAACACGGATGCACAGCCATCCGGGCAGTCGTAAGCCACACGACCATGGCGATACACACATACTTGAACGCAGCCTACAGACTGCGCCTTTTGCGGCGCAGGTATTCGTATCGCTTGCTGCTCAGTAATGCGTGCAAGGCATGGTGAGGTGGGCGGGGGGGATGTGTGTGTAGTACGCAAGCAACCGTGGATGCGGCCATCCACTGCTGCTGCCTGCTTCATTCGGACTCTGATGCCGCAGATTCTTGTTGCCCTTCGCTCTGGGAGTTACGGTGGATGAAGTCAACATCGGCGCGAAGACCCTCGGCATCAATGCACCGCCAGCACTCCTCCATTAGGCAGGCTGCACGGTGCAGCGCGCAGCTCGAAAGAAGAATACAGATTTGCTGGTGCTGCGGCTGCTGTTCCTCCTCGCATTGAGGCACCCTGCCTCCTACCCTATACGCAGGAAGACACATAACGTGGCGCCTACTTGATGCCACCCTCCTCTCCCTGTGAGGCCCCCAATCGGCTGGCTGGTGGCCTGCCTCCAAATAGACTGGCTCCTAGATCTCCCTACGCTCTGTGCACAAGTCGCCGGAGCAGCGATTTTCTCAGGACTGCTTCGCCGAGTGCCCTGTTGTTCAATGCGCTTCGCGCCCAGGCGGTCTTAAGACACGACGCCCGACCCCAGCCAGCTGCTGCGTTTTTTTGGCTTTTAAATATCCGTGTGTTTTGTAATAATGCGTCTTCTTCCACAACAGTTACATTTCTTGGCACTCTAAAAAGTGTACATTCCTAATTGCTCTATCCTGAGAAGCCGCGAGTTACTCTTTCTGATTACACGCGCGGTATATTTAAAAAGCTAAAAAAACACCACAAACCGGAGCCTAATAATCTCGCCTCCCCAAAACAATAGAGAATACTGTCCCTTCCTCGCCCTATGACTTCCCAAGGCAAGGAACACCCAGGAAATAAGGGGTCCTCGTAAACACCATAAGATCCCAAAGGCACCACACTACGCACTCAGCCGCTTGGCTCGATTCGCTAGTCGTCTAGCCTGCCGACTCGGCAGTCTATCCTCAGGAAGAGGGCGGCTGCTTTCTCGTCGCCTCCGCCTGCGAGAAGAAGTCGCGGACTTTAGGAAAGGGGAATTCCAAGAATACGGCGCAGCCGCTCCGCTTTTCTTCGTGACTGCAGCCTCCGACAGCAGCAGCGCCACGTCGATGGCAGCGCCCAGTGCACGACGTACAGCGGAGAAGTTTTGTGTTGCATTCCGATTCTGCTGCTGACCAAGCTCTCCCTCCTCAGCCTGCGTCGGGGAGTTCTCCTGCTCGCCTCTGTCGGCAGGAGGGGCACTGTTGTGGGGCACTTCGTCACCCCCGCCTCGAGGGCCTGTCCACCTCAGTACCTTCTGCAGCCGCTCATCTTCTGCGCGCACGAACCACGGCAAGGCTGCCAATGCAGAGGCTTCTGCAGGCGCATGTCCTCCCGTGCCGGATGCATCGCTGTCGCAACTGCAAGCCAGATAAGCCCGTATGCCCTCCAGCAACTCCTTCTCGCGCGCCTTTCGCTCTGCAGCGACGACATTCGAAGCCTCTTGCGGAAGAAGAACTCCAGCAACCATAGGCTCTACCGGCCGTCTGGGGGCAGCCCAGTTGACGCGGCGGCTTTGCTGCGCTCTTGCCATCTTAAGGCCCCTCCACGGCTGCAGGCCTCCTCCGCTATTCCACCAGGGAAGGGGAGATGCAGCAACAGCCGCAGTGGCAGGGGGAAGAGTGTACCCCACTGAAGCAGCAGCAGCGACAGACTGAGGCGGAGCCACAGCAATCACCGCGTCAACTAGCAACTCCCGCAAATCCGCGTGCAAACGCTGAAGCGCCTCAGCCGACATTGTTTGCAGCACTTTTGGCGGGGGACACGCCTCTAGAGCCGCCCGAACAGCAGAAATACAGTCTTTAGACGTTGTCGTAGGCTCCTTTTTTTCAAGTGCTGCATTTGGGAGGTTGCGCAAATCATTGTGTTCGGTGGAACGCCCTATTTCGTGCTTCGTCTCCTCTTGGTTGCGAGCCGCATGACTTATTCTTTCCTTTTCTTCGGATTTGTTCTGCTCAAAGATCTGCTGCCTCTGTTCCTTCAACTCTCTCAGCAGTTTACGCTCCCGGCCTCTACACTCCTTGTGTCGAGTGTACATCCAGCGGTGCATCAACTGGTCCCTGTGATTTCTCCTCCACGCGAAAAACTTGCGTTTTGCTGGCAAATTCGAAAATTCCCAGCCTTCATCTCGCCGATGCTTGCGTAATCGGCGACGATACCGAATAGAAGGCTCCAAAGACAAAAACTGAGGACCTGGAAAACCAGGTACCAACCGGGTGCCGCGGGGAAGATGCTTCATCGGTGCAGTGATGCCTGCATTTTGCTGCCAGGAGGGGAGGGCGACGAATGAGTCTTCGTTTGCTGCGAGAGGTGCGTTCCCCCCGTCTGCCTCCTCTGAAGCGTTGGTAGAGCTCGCATGCGCGGAGGCACAGGCCACGGGAGACAGTGTCTTGGTGGCGGTCAGTAGGGGGCAGCTAAGTCGGGAAGAGCAGTGCGATAAAGAAAATGAGCAGGCACGAGGGATTGAAGCATCAAGCCAATGCAGTAGGCAAAGGGCCAAAAACCCGTGCGTGAGTTTCTGTTTGTTTTTGCTGGCAAAAACGAACACGAAAAGGCTTGGTGGCAGAAAGGCACTAGAGATCCAAAGGCAAGGCCCACACATGGTGGGTCAGCAGCCGAAGCTGGTTACCATATCCAGAACAGCCAAGCTGCCATTTCTGTTGGCGACGGCAGGCGGCTTACACAGAAGCAATGAGAACCAGAACCTGACATAAGGGGGGAGGAAAGAGCGCGAGTTGAACGAGGGGCGCGATGATGGGGAAAATGGTTGCCTGGAAAATTGGTACGTGTACTGCTTTCTCCGATCACATTTGCCTCATGAGGTCATGCCAACATGAACGATGCGGTGGCGCGAAGTCACCGGCGTGTTAGTGTGGCAAAGCGTGGCATACATACACCTCGACTGAGAAAGGGAGGGACGAAAGCCTGCTCATAAAACAGAAGGACTTCGATTTAGGCTCAGTTCGTTCTTCTACCTCGACTGATGAACATTTCATCCTTTTAGTATTGAATGCATGCAACCCAGTTGCGAAAGGGCTGCGGCCCCGTGAAGCCAGGCCCTCGTTCAGGATGGTTTGGCTACTTTCTGTGCTCCACCAGAAAAACGACCCAACTAGCCCTTCTTTGTACTGAGCAGCATGCGAGCTATTCATTAGTGCTGATATTTCCACGTGTGGCGCGAAATTACCCACTGTGTGTTTTCGGCTGGCTGTGGTCGCTGCCCTTTCGCGCCGCCTATAGCGGACCCATTGTTGGCTTGTTTTTCGTCCTGTTTTATTGGTTATGCTTCTATTGACCAAGGTTTTGACTCAACCTTGGTTTAGATACTTCTCTGCAATCTTAAAGCTTCATCGCCGTATCGCGGTCGCAGGCTCGGCGCTACGCCACTCGCCCACGCCAAAACACATTTCTTAGGAGAACTGCTTTCACACGAAAGAGTTTGGCCTCACACGTCTTTAGCGGAAAGCGTAATTACAGAGAAGTGTCCTGAATTTCTGCTGTTAACAGTTGTTTCGTCGTGGGTACAGGATTTTTTTCTCCTGCTGAGCGGGGGGACTGGAGCGTCCATTATCAATACTTCGTGCAAACGCTTTCTTTTCTGCTGATGGTTTTGCCTTCTAGTTGCTTGGAGAATGACAGCGCTTGTGGTCTAAGGTCATCAAGGTAAACCTTTCGTGGAAAGCTCTCAGGCGCTTTAAGAGCTCCCGACTCCATGGCATCCTCTCTGGTGCTCCCGCTGCAGCTTTCTAGTAGAGAGGGGGTGCGCCACAAGCTCGATTGGTCCTGCCTGTCTCTGTAAACACCTGTGGAGCTTTATTCGGCTCCCTGAGATCTACCTGCGGCCACAACAACTTCTCCTTTCACCTCATTATTTGAGGCAAGGAGGCAGAGAAGGGTATTCAATTGGGTACTGTTGGAGAGATTATTTTCAGCAGGAGGAGATGGGAGCCTTCAACAGCTGCATCGCCGGAACGCTTCGGCTCTGCTGTGCGAAGCGAGTACACCAGATCCGCGTAGCCGGGCCCGCACAAGCAGGGAAGACTTCCATCATTAAGTGGATGAAATACAAGAGCTTCTTCAAACTTGCACCCACTGAGGGTCTGTCCTAGAGTTCTCAGCTAAATACCTTTAGGCTTTACGACACGGCACGCCACGCACACAGTCAAGTTGTACTCTAGGGCATAAAATACGGCAGGCGGAGCGAGAGGGGCTTGGGAACTTGAGATGGGCCGCGTGTCCAGCCACACTGTAAATATTTCTGTCTGTCTGCTACTGAGTCTCTTGCTTCATCAAACACACTCCATTGTAGCGCCGTGATCATGCCTCGTATCGCTCACTATTCCTCGTGATGGGTGCAGGTCTGGAGGTCGATCGAATTGACTACCCGGATACGGCTCTCGTTATGTGGGACACGCGGCAACACTTTGAGGATATGGTAAACCGCAGACTCTCGCTAAAACCCCTATCTTCTCTTCTGTGTAAAGTTTTTCTCGAGTGCCTCCGTGCGCCATCACTTAAAGCTTCTTGCGTATCTCTCCGTGCATGCTGTACCTACACTTTATCATGGCGTGGCGCTGCGCACTGCCTGCTTGTCTGTCGTCCTCCTCTCTTTTCTCGACCCTCCCTGCACTCCGCAATCCTGGTGCCCGTTCAAGGCATCCCACTGAGCACAATTCTTGATGCGTGCTGCTTACAATACTTGTGCCCTACGATTTCCCATCTCACTGCTGCTTACAACAGTTCGCTTGATGGTTTTTGTGGATACGCACCCCGTCGGCATGCGAAACACAGCTAATTCCGTGTGCTAGCAGGCCGATTTTGCAGAAATCGAAGCGCTGCGCCTCTCTCATGATATACGATCATGCTGCTTTGGGTTACTGCTTGCCTCTCGCAGGTTCGCCCTCACCAGTTGGATATCCGTTGCATCATTTTCGTGGTTGACAGTTCTGACCCTGGCCGGCTCCGTGTTGGTGAGCGTCTTCTCCCTGCTTCAACTCCTGCTCGCTTGAGTGTCCTCATGCCATTTTTTTTTGCAAAATGAAGGCCGTCTTGCTGCCTCGCCCTCGCTCTCGTTATTCCCCTTCGCATGCTGTGCTAGCAGGACGCAAGCCTTTGTTTGGCTCCCTCCCTTATAAACAATTCAATTTCAGGTCGCTGGATGCATTCGGCGGCTGCGGTGCCTGTGCTCATCGCAATCCTCTCAGTCGTTGTATTCCGTGCGGTTTCATGAATGCAGCAAATCGCTCACTAGACAGGCTGATGCGAGACCTGCCAAACGCTAGCATCCTTCTTGTCTTCGCCACGAAGCAAGACAGACCCGGTGCCTTATCGGTTGCCGAAATTCAACACGAACTCAGCCTTCACCAACTTGTTGACAAAGAATGGTTAGCCGCCCTTTTATTTGCAAAATATGCACGCCATAGTCAAATAAACTCCGCGCTGGTGGCCCCCTTCCCTGCCTGCCGCTTACACCGGTGTTGTCTCGTCCTTTCTTCGTCTTCTCTTGGGTTGCGCTGTGCAAATCGTTGTCGTCAAAGTCTTCAAAACTCCTTGAAAATCGCCTTGTTTTAACAAACCATATCCCATATACATACATATATGTATGTATGTGGGATATGTATACTCTACCTATTCCGCCCTTGTGTTGCGCTTTCTGAAGTGCCCACCACCTTCCTTTCTGTGCTGCGTTGGCTGTCGCAGCGGGGTCTTTGCCTGCAGTGCCAAGACCGGAGAGGGCATAGAGGAGGGCATATCCTGGCTTATCAGGCAACTCAAGCAGCAGGATGGTGGGACCTGCGCATGCGAGAGCGATCAGGTGATTCCTTGCTTCTTGCAGCAGTTGCCCGTTTGACAGACGGGGATGGGAACCGCAGCGGCAACAGCGCTCGCATCGGCCTATCCTATATATATATATCACGGAGTATTAACCGCTGCGCATTTTGCAAGCGACGCACGGAGAAGATATCGTAATGATCCTAGACGCAACGTTAGCAGCGAATACGTGCAACGCCGCACCGTGTCAGTGCAGTAGGCAATGCCTCCGAGCGCTGCAAGCAGTCTGAGATCTTAATGCAACGCGACAAAGCGCTCCTGTGCCTCTCTTGTAGCACGTAGTTCCAATAAGCGCTCCTTGGCATAGCGACAACTGGAAAAGTTGGCCGTTATGGGCATGCAGAACCTGCGCTCAAAGCCCCACCTTTGCTGCAGCACCACGGTGCCGCAGCTGCTACGTGTTGCTCGACGCACCAGAAGAAGCAGCGAAGCCTTTGCCGGCAATGGGGAGACAGTCGCTGAGTGGCGTACGAAAGGAAGCGCAGCAACACGTACAAGGGCTTGCGTAGAAGCCAGCAGCAGCACCACTATCTGCATTTGCCGCAGCCGCCACGGCCCCTTATCCTTGCGGCAGTAGACGCTGTGCTGCGGCATTCCCACCGTCGGCAGGCCGATACTGGAAGCCTCGCGCGAAGGCTTGCCACGTTACATGCGCTTAAGGCCTCTAGGGCGTAGATAGAGCACACAGCTGTGCCGAACGCCGCAGAGTTGTGATTGTTCGTGTCTCCTTCGCAGCCGCGGCGCAACCCTTACTAGAGTTCCCTAGCAAAGTGAGGGAGCATTCTGATCTGCGCTGTCACGATAGACTACGCCCTTTGTACAAAGCCGCAACACGCCATGGACACGCGTCTGAGTCTGTGGCTGAGTTTTTGTTTAGATACGCACCCCCAGACTCTAGGAGGTTTCTTTCTCCAGGGAATGCAGGAAGTTCTAAGGCAAAAGAAAGGGGCCCACCATTACGTGTGAACTGCACGGAAAAGAATCACTGTATAGAGTGGCGGCCGGGGGTGATGGGCTACAGGGTGCAGCAGGGAGACGGGAGGGATGCATAGGAAAACAAAGTAAGTGCGAAGTGACACATCAGCCCCGGAGATCAAAGGGGGCAGCTAGCTGCGAAGAGCATGGCAGCCAGCGAGAGGCACCAAATGTGCCGCGGCAGCCGTTAGCCGTGGGCTGGGAAAGGGATACAGAGGCGCATCGGGTGTCTGGCGAGCAGAGAAAAAGCACCGCTGTGCGCACTTAGAGAGACAAAAGACACCCTCCCTACGCAATGACAATCTTTCAGTGACAGCCCCCATAACCCCCCAACTACGCAGAGATTATATTTTCGCCTTTCCCTTCAGCTGCTTCCAGGCGGGAGAGACCGCGCAACAGGGACCGCTGGCGGTGCTTGTGCAACTGCGGCACAGAAGATGCACACCACACAAGCGCATCTTGCCATGGCCAGCAGACAGAAGAAGGACAAGTGGATACCTAGCGCTATTCACGTGGCGAGTGCGCGATTATAGGCATCGCACCTGTGCCCGCCCGTTCCCCTCGACTCTTTACAGCAGGCTGGCGGGCAGAACGGCCTTACCACTCTTATCTACGGCCTTGAATACGCCGAGGGCTTGCCCTAGCATGTGTGCGGTGTTTGCGGCATCTGCTGGAATAATGAGGGTGTTGCTGCTCTCAGCGAGACGGCCAAAGGCAGACACATAGTTCTCCGCCAATTGCAGGCTCAGGGCTTGCATGCCGCCTAACGCAGTGGACAAAGGCCAGCCAAAAATCCACAAATTCAAGGGCCTCTAGAGGCGGCAGGCACCAGCAGAGCGCATGCGCCCACGCTGTGCTAGCCATAAAGGCTGAACAGGAGGCCCCCCTTTCCCCCGCCAAGCCCCTCTTCCCCGCCGCGAGCACCGATATCTTCGGCTAGCAGACGTACCCGGGATGCCCGTAGTCTCCGCAATCCTCCTGACGCTTTCTGCTGCGGCTGCAGCTCTTTGCCGCACCGCCTCCGCATGCCCCTCTGCATCGAGAATCGTTGCTTCCTTCTGCCCCAACGCCAAGTTCACCAGGCGCTCCCTCTCCCCCTCGCTTCGCAGAACTTCGGCCCGCTTCAGCCTTTCCGCTTCGGCCTAAGACAACGCCGCAAGAAAGTGACGCCCCTCATGCAGCACAGCAACGGGTAGAAACTCTGCCGCCATGGCAGCGGAAGGGGCTGCCAGGCACTCCCCCCTTCTACACACTCGCTGCCCAAACAGAAACCAGCCTTGCAAACAATGGGAGAAACAGTGCATTGTCTGTGATAGAGCGTGGCGTATTTTAGCAAGTTCAAAGGCGTGTAGTAGAACTCTGAGCCCGCATAATGACGGAGGACCTTCTAAGCAGTCCTCAAAAACCTCAGCCCTCCCCCCTTCCTCTCTCCCTCCGTCCCCTGCTTTGTTCAGCGTTCAGCCGTTGAACGAGGGGGATCGCGAACTCGATTACCGCCTGCCCCCATACATGAGGCAAGCAACCGACGGCCGGCGCACATGTCTCCAAAAGAAAGCAATTCAAAGCCTCAGCAGCAGATTTGACGTATCCCCTCCCACGACCCCTCGAGCGCGAAACGCAAGCAGGCACGTGTCACAAGTAGTCAGAAAAAGCAGCGTAATGAGGGGCACAGCGAGTGCCAATTACCTGCCGTTCCATTGCGCTTCGGATATTTGCGGGAAGCAGGATATCTCGTATCTCGTAACGCAGGCATGTCACACCCCAGGGCTTTGCGGCCGAGTTGATCGCCTAATGGCAAGACCACACAGTGCACACATTCTCAGTACATCCCCCGCCTCTCTTTCACGCATGAACACACCAGCGCGGCATGGCGAAACGTAAAACAGGCACGACAAAACACTTCTCACACCATTCCCAAACACACAACGCTTCCGAGCAAAGACGTCAGGCAGGATGCGCTACTTTTCTTCATGCAATGTACGAGGCAGGCCATGCGGACAAGCTCTCCTGCATGCGACCTCCCGTACAATGTCTCGCCAATGCCCCCTTCCCAACACTTTTTTTCGAGCACTTACAGCTGCCCAACGCGTTCTACTCCTCGGTATCACACTGCACCTTTAATGCCATCCAACGCTCGGCCAAGCCAACTATATACAGAGTATATATGTAGGTGTGTAGTTTGTATATATTATGTACAGATATACATACACACACGTTCTACATGTACGTATATATATATACATACATGCATATATATACATATATATATATATATATATATACGTGCTACACATACACACTTGCCCACGCAATTCTCCTTGAGACACTGACAACGAGAGGGCTCTAGGCAAACGCTCTCCCTCCACCAACCCCCTCTCTCCCCCCCACGCACCTCTACAATCGCTTTATTCAGAGCATCGCGCTCAAGAAAGGTGTTGTCTAGCGTCAGCTTTCCCAGCTCAGAGCGCATGGTGGTCTGCGCCAATTGCGTTACTGCGAATATCGGGTTCTCCACCCCATAAGACGCCTGCATACCCCTCACAGGAAATAAAATCAACAAATCAGAAAGGTAATGACAGATGGCCGTAGACGCCAAGCAGTAGTACCCGTTAAACGCAAGCGCGCTCATGCCCTTAAAGCAAGGACGAAGGGATCCCCGTCGGCAATAGCAACGTACCTTGTAAGCATCTTCGACGCGAACGTACAGCACGCCATCAATCTGCAAGGTCACCTATGCAAAAATGCGGCAGCGGAAGAAGACCAGAAAAAAACGCTTTTGCCACTCGCAAACACCGCAAAATAGGCGCACCCTAAAAAATTGGGTTCAAATAGAAGTGGGATCTGCTATTACATGAAGATATCCTTCAACGTATTTAATAGGAAATTATTCTTCAAGTAACAGAAAGACGCTCTCTATAAATGGCAAGATGTCAGGCATGGGGAAAAGGAAGAAAATGCCAGGAAGCGAGGTGGCGATAGACAGACAGAGGGGTGGCGGCCAGTGATAGCCCCTCAGAAGAAAGCAACATAAGGGTCTCCAAGACGCAGATCTTGCAGCGAAATGAAAAGATGCACGGAGCAAGAGAATGATGGATGAAGAAATAGCATCTCTGCAGACGCTATTCTATGCAGGACGATCGGCCGATCCGCTTGGGGGGTGCAAAGCGCCTGCTCTGCCCCTCCCAGGCTGCATCTATTGTGCTCGTGCAAAGTCGTGAGGGCGACTGCATGCATTGCTTGCTGTACATTATCTCGCGTGATGGCAGTCTGGTTCGGGATAATCAAAGTTTCTTCCTTCAGAGAATGCGCATATGCGACGCGATCCACAACAGGCACGAGCAGATGAAGGCCCGAGGGCAGCACTCTGTGAAAGCGGCCAAACCTGAACATGAGAGAGAGAGGCAGGCAGACAGGCAGGCACGCGGCAGTCAGAATGGTTGCTTTCAATGCATCGAGAGATACATATAGCTCGATAGGTATACATATATATGCGAAGAAGCATACAACTCCGGGGGACGCACTCTGAGGCACAACTCAGCCTTTGATTCGAGGAAAGGCAAACACCCACAAATGAGAGCGAGGGGCTGTAAAAGGCAGTAGAGGCGCTCAGTTTGTGCTAGAAGCGAGGGTGATCATCCGCAACACACGTATATATATATATATATATATATATATACATATATGTACATGCGTGCTCAATAGTATGGCAGCAAGGAAAGTATGTTGAGCGAGAGCACTCTATCGCGTACAGGAAGGGCAACTGGAGATGCTGTTTGGTATTTTAAGACAAACGGCTGTTGGAATCGCAGGAGGCACCAAAGTACGCGAGCCCTGTGTGTGTGGTGTGTGTGTTTCTTAGAGGGCGAGTGACAAGGATAGCTAAAGTGGCACGAATAAACTAGCGATTGCGTGCTTGGAGCAAGCATATCGAGTGACACTTACCGTTCAATCACATAGGCCATCTGATGAGGGACTAAGACAAAACCGGGGTGGTTTTTCAGGAAGAAAGATTCTGTGATACGCCTGCTACTGGCCGAGCTGAAGCCACGCGTCGTGGTAGTCAAGTGTAGGGACACAGGGCGTGTCGAGAGGGAGTTACGCATGACACTCCAACATCCAGCGGGGCCCCCTGCAGCGTCCTGCAGGCCCCTTCCTGCTGAGCTTGCAGCTGCAACAGCTACAGGTGCAAAAGACGAGACGGCAGGCACCGCAGCTGCAGCCTCCCTCTGGCTTTGGCACCAATAAGCGTCCCCTCGAGGGGTTCCAGCTGCAAGAGGCTTTGAAGAGAGAGCAGGGAGCCGGCTCCGCACAACATCCGCACGCGGGTGGGTTGAGTGATCCGTGACGCAATGAGGCACACCAGAAAAGACAGGGAGCTGCAGACAGGGGGCCCCTCTCACAACGGAAAAGCTGAGAGGAGACGCAGCTCTCCGCAAGATGCAAGCCGCGAGGCGGAGGTCACTGGAGAGCACCATTTACAAGGCAGAGGGGGTGTCCCTTGAAGAAAAATGACGGGGGGCAGCTCCTCCGCTGATGGGGGGCCTGCTGCCCTTTCAGCAACCTCTAGCAACCTATGGCTAGTCAGTTGACTCTAATTACTTTGAATCTGAGAGGATGAAGGCTAGGGGCGAGAAGCACAATCAGGCGAAGGCCCTACAAAGCCTTATTGGGGCCCACGCCGCCGGACTTGCAGTGTAATTCTAAGGGCGAACCTCTCAGGTACACGCTTGGCCTTCCACTAGTTATTAGGTGGCAACCTGCTTGACGTACAAATAAAAAGGAAAAGTAGCACTGCTTCCAAGGAATTTTGCAAGCGAAGTCTTTACTCTGTTCCCTTGGGGCTGAAGACCAACTCTTAGGGGCCGAGTAGGGCCCCTTTAGGGGAAGTCAGTGCTTCTGAGGTGGAAAATATGGGCTGTGTGGAAATTAAAAGGCAACTACGATTAGTCAAGCACTTCATGTTGCTTTGATAAATAGCTGCCAGTGACCATTACAGCACTCGTTTTAAGTGCCTGGTGTGCGCCATGTACAATGCAGCTCAGAGAACAGCAAACGGTAGCTTGCACGAACTGCCCTGTAGGGAGAACCATTGAAAGGCCCACATGTTTTCTCAGCAGCTGCATAAGTTTTCCTTCGCTCTATGCCCACGAAGTAATGGGCTGTGCATGGCCAATCTCTTTTGCAGCCTCCCATAAGCACATATAACAACCACATTTAATAGTGACAAAAATCACCTTACACATATCCTTGTACGTGCAGTTGGTCCTTGAGACAACCGCTCTATAGGATCGGCAAGTCTACCAGCCGAAAAACAGCCAGGGAACTGATAGTCCTGCAAGTGTATTGCTTGGGAGGTCCCCACACTTGAGACTGCGTCCAAGAACACGCACAACATTGTAGAATCTGAGGCGCTCAGAGATCGCCACTACAAAAGAGGGCAATCTGCAGAGGCGACCCACTGGCCATTCCTGTGCGAGGACAGCGATTCACGCATCGCTGTACAGAAGCACAAATAGGCAGCATCCACGAAATCTCCAGTGCCCCTTCTTGTCTACGTAGGAAGACACTTTAATTTAGGCTCAACACATACTTTGTAGCTATTAAAGCTTTTAAAAAGTGCCACCTCCTCCGACCCCACCTATCATAGCTCCCGACGCAGAGGAAGAGGGGCATTTATGATGTGTGTTGCTCCACATTCTGTGCTCTCTACTATTCACAATTTACACATACCATCTAGGGCACATATACACAACATTGTGTCTGATTTCATGGAGCTAAGAATCCCTTGAAATAGATAAGGGATACAAGCCTTAAAGGCAATCGGACAACTTGCTGCTACTTCTTGATTAAATAGCTCCGTAGATGAAGGTGTTTCAGTGCATAGCTTAGCTCGCTGGAGCTGAGTTTGACTATGCAAAAAATTCTGTAGATTTACAGCAAAATCTGGAGTAATGTATTTCCCACAATGCCACCAGTACGTTTGTTAGTTGACGACAAACTGTCAAACGTCTACATTGGCCTTTCTTAGGGGTTCTAGGGTCTTGATAGATTCTGGGAGTGCAGTGCGCGTAGCCTTTAGGTGTTCGTGTCCAGAGAGTGCCTTGGACTGCGAAGAAATTCGCTGGGCGTAAGACTGTAGTGTTAATTTACTACCAATATTTAGAGACAGCTGCATGGAACGCACAGCCCCGGCTACACAGTTACGTCAGAGTTCCCACACGTTCTGTAAGCTGAATTCATTTAGTTAGCTAACGGGATCTGTGATTCCATTGCATCCCAATTGATTTCTACAGCCCGCACATAAATGCTTGGATACGAAGCCCCTCGGTGCTTGCAGACTGAAATTAAATGCTAGAGGGAAAGCCAGATCTACTTAAAATACCCCTGAGGGCGTGTAAAAGGTAGCTGCATATCTTTGTCCTGGAAAGATATGGCTGCAGCCCCAAAAACAGTCAAGCAGGGACAAACTAGAAAATGTAGCCAATGCTTCTCTCTCTAGTATCACCCTGAGCTACCATACTATGTATCGTAGTAGCAGACCACGTACATGATCTCAAGGTTATACTTCTGTGTCTTGTTGCATCTGGGCACAGTAAATGACGTGCAGGTCACCCAAGGAGTCTCGAAAGTATTGATGCTGAGCCAGCACGACGCTCGACAGAATATAAGATCTTCCTGCCTTTTATATCGGCACGCTGGAATGGATGAAGAGCATCAGGAATTAAAAGTAATGGGGGGATTTGTGTCCTGCGTGGGACGGGGGTCTTCGAAGGTATTCCAGCATGTGCAAGGTAACGTACGAAGGTTGGATAGGACGTCTCAGTCTTTGTAATTTTTCCTGCAGGGCTCTCCTATGCTCAGAGGATGTTTCCGTTCAGTGGCTATGCTGCCTAGCCAGCGGTGTGGTGGAGGGAGAATGCATACTGTCCCTTCGCCACTCTCGCTCACTCTCATTGTAACTAACTGATAATCAGTCTCCTTCTGGTACCTAGAGTTGCTGCAGAAACACCTATGAAGCACAGATATACTAGATCTCTTCGATCTCACCGACCTGCCATTGGGTAGTAGCTGTCCTGAGCAGCCCCCCAGCTGCTACTGCAACTGGTCCTAGTAAGCAATTACTTTATTCGGTGTGCTATCCTTGACAACGACTCAATGTCCAGTCACAGTTTTCTCCTATGGATTTCAAGTGTGAAGTATTCTGCGCGCAGATACACCCCAGCGTATCCTCCCGTCTTTCTGCCATCGGCGCCAATCCGCGAGCAGCGCATACAGCTGAAACCCGTTCTGCCCTGTGGAAAGAGTCTATTCCATAAGCGTTTAACACGATTTTTTTTCAAATGTATGTGAATTATTTATAAACAAACACAACCAAGAGCTCATCGGTTCGTTAAAAGGAACATGCAAGCCTGAGGAACGGCTGGTGGTAATTGTCCGCCGGCTTAACTAGCAGGCGGTGACTCATCATTCCACAGTATTGACAGGAAAGTTCACTTCCTTCATTTCCTTGAGCAGTCGTTGTTTCCCAAACGACAGCCACCCAGCGATGCACCGGCCTAGTGCCTGTGGTGGCCGTCTTACTTTACTTGTTCTATCGAGGTGGTCCACCGCACAAGTTTCATTGAATACGATATTGTAATCTGTTTGAAATACCCCTAAAACCCGCTATCACAGGGATATATTTATGGGGCCCTGTGGCTGATGCTTCTGATTTTGAGGAGAAATGGAATTTGCAAATTCTCTTTTCCAAGTTCTTTTCCCTGCCAGCCGGTATGTGGATTCGAGAGGTGCTGCTGAATCACCAGAACAACAGCATCAACAACGAGAACAGAAGCTACAGCCTAGCGCCGAGAATGAGAGTGGAGCAATAAGCAGTAGCCTGGCACGGTCAGAGGCCGTGAGCCCTACCCAAGAGACAGACGAGCTCCCTGTAGGCGAGGCTATTCCAGAAGGAGAGCACATCCGCACACTTCGAATATACTCTTTAACATCAGATTCTGTTGCCCCGTCGTTAGGGGAACAAGGGAAAAGCCCTCAAAGGCCTCCTGTTTCAAGTGTGTCGGGCGCAGCTGAGGGCCTCCGTGAAGTACATGTGCTGCGGGTATTTCGTAACCCTGATGTATTGATTGCACCTAGCCTCTTGACACAGCCCCAATGTCGTCATCTCTTGCATTTGGCAGAGGGTAAGTGGGAGAGAAGCAAGACGAGCATTGGTTTGACCACAACCCCGCAGGTGAGCAGCAAAGATCTCCCTGCCTTATTATCAACAGCTGTGCACGGATTCTCGCGCTGAAGTCTTTCTGGATGGACCCTCATGATGCATGTCTCTGGGGCCGATCATGAAGACACCATAAAGATCCCGAAGGAGCCCAGAATAGACAGCATTGCACCTCACAGCACACTAATGCCTCTCTCTGCCGGTTTCCTTTTTGCCTTTGCGCTTCAGACACAGTACAGGACCTTAAAAAGCAAGACTCGCACCTCAAGGTCGGTGATTTTGCAGCCGTCCCAAACCCCTATCGTGCATTCAGTGGAGCTCTTGGCATGCGCCCTCGCACGCCTCCCCTTGCAACACCTGGAGGGACTTGTCCTCGTCCGTTATGATGAGGGAGAGTACTTCAATGAGCATCATGATGGGAATTTCAGACCCAAAACAGTCCTCCTCTACCTCAATGGTAAGAATTCCTCCAAAGCCGTAAGGTCAAACGATTGTCTGAATTGGGTTCGGCTGCGGTTTGAGGGCCTCACAGGGTCACTTATTCGGTGGGCAGGAAGGTTTCGAAGGGGAGGAATGTATTATAACGGGGAACGAGTAGTTCATAGCCGCTGCGTGAACGGTTCCATGGGTCCCTGTATTTCTGTTGCTACACTGCCCTTTCGGTACGCTGCAACGTCTGCCGCATCGACAGAGGGAGGGCCGTTAGGTCGCCGTGCGTAGAATCGCTTCCAGATTGTGGCATCGGATAATGCTGCTCAGGACGGGGAACTTGTAGGGCTCTGAGCACATAGAAGGGCTTGCGAGTGCACCAGACATGTCATTGCTGCAGGAGCGAGCCAACGGCTCCCATTGCAAGCGGTCTGCCGCACCTTTTTTCTTGAAAATGCATTTTGAAAGCGATGACGCATAACGAACATCTATTCTGTCTCACAACTGCCGCTCTTGAGGTTGCTGCTGCAGATGTGGATGAAGGTGGCTTCACACACTTCACGCGTCTCGGCTTGAAGATAAGCCCCGCGGAGGGCACCGGTGCAGTGTGGGACAACATAACGCCTAACGGGGCCATGGATTTACGGACGCTGCATGCGGGGGCTTCCCCAACTCGAGGGACGAAATTTGTCGTCAATTGCTTCTTCAATGAAACGGTGGTCCGGCCTGCAGCGCCTCCACTTCCTCTCTCGCCTCAGCGTCCCTCTCTTGCAGTGCCTGTAGCACGCACTTGCGGGAATGCGACAGCGCGCAGTACTCCAGCAGAAACTTTGGCAACAGTTCAGGTGGAGGGCGCTGAACGTCCTCCTACATGCTCACGCATGCAGTTGCCTACGGGCAGCAGGGTCTGGGAGGGTCATACCGGGTTCCATCCAATTCCGAGGAACGCGCAACACATTTTATACACTCCTTGCGAGGTACGGTCTCCCTCCTTCACAGGGGGGGGCCCTCAGCAGCTGCAGCAGAGGGTGCTCTTCGGCAACATGGTCTCACTTAATGGAGCTGCATGGGGCCCTCTGGCGCTCCCCATGTTTCAGAAGCCGGAGGTAGCCGGTTTGCCTATGCCCGTCTCAGCACGGGGCCCCGCCACATGGGACCCCTCGGGGGTGTCCCTAAAATATATGTCTCATCCCCTAGGGGGGGGGCCCCCTGCGCCCTTTGGGTGCCCTTCATCTGCATGGCGCATGCATGGGGGCGTAGCGCTGCCACCAGGTCGGCGGTGGTTGCCAAATTGGCCAGCGAAAGGCTCCTAGTCGCCTGATAGGGGGATTTCTGAGGGTGCGCCTCAGTACACACACTGCAGCAGTAGTACATGTGGTGGGGTAGCTGCGGAGTCTGCCTATTGGACCTATTGGTCTTAGCGTCCCCATCGTCACCCGTCTCGTGACTGTGAGCGCTGCAACCGAGACAGTGTGTGTACACAGGACGCGACAGAAGGAAGAATTAGGTTGCATTCGCTTTTCCTTGCGTTCTCTGGCAGCTTCCCTTCCATCTCCCGTATGTCTTTTTTACACTTATCTTGGTCGCCGGTACAGAGCCTCCGGCCCCACTTCATGAGGCAGATCAGTTCTTGGCAGGTCACCGCAAGATGGCTCCTTGGCGCATGTGTCACATCTTTTTTTCATGTGGCTGTGGCACTGTGCTTTGTGGGAGCCTAATGCACAGTTAGTAATCTGCATTTGTAACGCTGTCTTGGAAGCCGGCCCCGTCCTCAAAGATCGATCTTCTTCTGGATCCACCCCTGTACCAGAGATGCACAGAGGCCTTATGGGGATCTCCGTGGCTTCCGTGTTTCGTTTAAATTCATGGAAGATGCACAAGAGTAGCTAACCGCACACTGATTGATACTCGAGTTTTGTGGAATGGTTTCACTCTCCACGGTTAGTAGCGCATACTGCTACACGAACGGAAGGAGAAAGGGAGCACGGGAGGGAAAATTCCACTGAAAGCGTGCACAATGGACTCAAATGGGACAAGCCAGAGCGCGGGTCTGCGCGTGCAAGCGTATTTTAATGCATGTTTACTGACTCGCAGCTCATAAAGCGTCCCAGCAGTGTAATGAGTTATCTGTGGCACTGCGGCTGTGCTAAGCCTTCCTCCCCCCTCTCAAAACATGCGGGTACCAGAGAACTCACGAAATACCAACAGGCATGTACACTGTTTACTACGGGCCTTTTATCACTGTCTCCACTTCTCCTCTGTTGTTCACAGCGTTATATGCACCGGGCTCCCCGTGATCGATACATCAAATCATCCTTCTTGCACGTTCTGCTTCATTCCTTCGGTAGGGCGGGTGCGTCCACTGGTCGAATACCATACCACCGCGTATCTTGTAGTGACTTACTTTATGATCCCCGTTGAGGTGGGCAATGTAAAACCGTTTTTAAAAATTTTGCTAAACGTACGGCAACCGCTTTCGTCTCTAATGGACCACTGTGTCTGCGTGCCGCTGTGGCAGTTGGCATCACACAGCGCCTCCGTTTCTGCACAGTCTAAGGTCAGAGCGAGCCTCCAGTGTAGCCGCTGTGGGGTTCAAAATGGGATTCTCTGACCGTCTTTACGAGCTTCTCGACGAGTTGACGGGCAGGGGCAGTCAATTTGCTGAGAGCCGCTGCCCCGTCTGGCCGGGCCTTGCAGCATATACGCACCATGAGACATTTGGGAAAGGCGCTTTCACAGCACTTGAGGATTCAAGTCAGGCTAAGGTTTCTAGGATAGTACGCTTTCGGATAGGGGTAGAAAACCTGTTGAGGTAGCGCGCAGGGAGGAAAGGCAGGAAGGGATTGCAAGCTACACTTAGAAAGCCAGGGCGAGAGGGCGGGGGAGGCACAGAAAGGCCGAGACAGCGAAGGTAGAGGCAAATAGACACCCATGGAGGATAGAGACACGTGAAGGGCTCACCAGAGCCTCTAGCAGCAGCTGTCGGAGGGCTTGTGCGTGGGGTAGACTTTCATACGAAGCCACTGCCGCCAACCTGCCAAGACGCCCTCTCACAATGTGTGGACAGCTACGCAAGAGAACCCAGGAGGCGAGGGTTCAGGCGGCGTGTTTGCCTCCCCACCGTCTATAATAGATACCCCCGAAAACTGGCGAATCGAATGTGAAGAGGGGCGGATTGCTCTAAGCCAAAGGTAACGAGGAAAAGTTGCCTAATCTGTTCAACGGCGTGATGGCAACCCCCCGGAGCACCTTAAATTTCAGGATAACCAATATGCCCGCAGAAATTCTGCTGGATCCATTATAGAAGCCTTTACAAGAGGAAGACAGATCATGGAGAGCAAGAGTGGGAGACAAGGAGCGTGACGAAGAGAGGCAGACATCGGGAACGAGCGACTAAGAAAACGAGAATAGGTGAATACGAAGCGGACAGACAGGCATCCTTACCGTTGGAGCCCATAGACCAGCGGGTCAAGAGAGGTGCTGTATCCGTCCAGCTCCCCATAGAAGAGCACCAGGAATCGAATAAGCGAGTCGGGTGTTGACTGGTGAATCTTTCTGGTGCCCTCGCGCGCCACTACGGCCATTAGAGGCCTGTACAAACAGCATCACAAAAGGTTCCATCTCCTGCTGCACCTGATTCTCCCCTGGACTTCAGAAAAGCATCGCTGCAATGCTGGGCCCTGCCCTAGGAAAGAAACTTGCATGCGTTCACACTCATACAGCGGATCCTCTACTTGGGAGCCCTGAGGGCCGCTTGTATGGCGTATTGAAGCCCGCGACAATTAGGGACGAATAATTACTGCCATAGATCGGCGTGCTCGTCCGTCCACACCCGCTCCTTAGGGCGGAAGGATGACCCCTGCCCTTTAACACACCCATAAAAGGCAGCTCAGCAGAGTTGTGTGTACACCAGGATTCACACGTATGAAGAAATACACCCAGAGAGAGGATGCGCACACAAATAGCGGTACCTGTGCCACCGTTGGGTCTTCCCATGAGGCAAAAGTTTTTCACGTTGTTCCCTCCGATTGAAGTCGCACGCTCTCAGCGACTCCAGCAACTCCACCAGCAGCCGCAGAGAGACACAGGGCAGCCTATAGAAAATAGATTGTAGCATCCCCCGCAGCAGAGGGTGCAGCGGCTCTGGGGGCCAGCTTATCCCTGCAGCCGGAGACCGGCTGGCGTCTGCTGCAGAGGACCACGTTTTTCTCATGCAAGAATCTGTGGCAGCAGGAGAGTCAAGACGGACCATCGTTGATCCTGCTTCTGATTCTGCGTCTTCTTGTAGCTCCGCCTCTTTCCCTTTCGTTCCCGTCTTCCTCGAAGTCTCCCCTGCCCTCAGGTCGACATCGCGTTCGTCAGCCGCGTTCTGCTGCTGCCACAGCGGCCCCGTCCCGTCTATCTCCATGGGAATCCTACGGGGGGGGCGAGCGTCGGGGTGTAGTATGGCGTCTAGGGAGGACAACAACGAGATGACAGAGATACGAAACGCCGGGTGCAGCTGGAAGAGGGCAGGACGCAGCGCAGCCAGTCCAACGCCGACTGCTGAGACATAACAGTAGGCGGCAGAGAGAAACGGAGAGGAAGGAGGCAGACACGAATCGCGTAAAGACGCCCATGGATCTCCAGGAGATGCCCATACATCCAGAGCGGCATCCTCCGCACGGGCTACTGCAAGCTCGCTCATTTCAGATCCTGCCGCCATAGCAGCGGTCGAGGACCTTGCAGGGCATGCGGAGGTTCCGAAAGAAGCTGCAACAACAGCAGCCGCCGCTGCTGGGCCTTCTGGAGAGGTGCCTTGCCGCACGACTGTCTCGATACGCGCGACGGCAGCAGTGGCGCACTCAGGTGCCAGTTTAACGATCGGTTGCAAGGCGACGGCGGCAGTAAGAAGGTCGCAAGGCTCATAAGGCCCCATTTGCGCTAAGGGGAAGCAGCAAGCTGCCTGCAGCAGCCGCCGGAGCACCAATGGCCCCGCATCCAAACGCGATAACGCAGAGAGAGCTCCAAATAACAAGGGAAGCTTCCGGGGGGCTGAGGCATGTCCTAGGACAGAGGGCTGACAAACAGGGATGGACAGAAACCTCGAGAAACACATTACAGGGTGATGGATAGACATACACAGAATAAGGTTGCACAGGTTAGTAAAGAAGAGCTGGAGGACAGGCGAATGAGCACTGGCGGGGACAGGGGCGTAGACCAGGAGGAAGAGTAATACAGAAGGCATGTAGAAGCAAGTGAGAGGAGGTCAATGTTGGGAGGCACAATGGAAACGCCGGCAGATGTGCAAGGGAAAAGGGCCAAACATTCAAAGGCTGCAGACGCACCTCCTCATTAAGGAGGTAGGGTCCTAATACATCTACCATCCGTCTGAGTTGCTCTTTACTGGGTTTGTGGTGCAAATTCGCGAGGCCCTTAAGGCACATCACGAGGGCCTCTCCGTTCAGCTGTTCGGGTGCCTCTAAACAGGTAAAAAGCTCTGCTGTCTGAGGCCTCTCTGGGAACTCCTCCTTAAGCAGGTGCATCAGGGCGGCGTCGACCGTCTCGAGGAGTTCTGAGAATAGGGCTGAATCCCTCAGATCTGTCCTCCCTGATACGTGAGAGGGCATGTGACAGGCACAGCAGTCAGACATCAGCCCGGAAATCTGTTGGCACAAAGAGCGAATGAGCAAGGCAGCGCGCAGTGACACAACCACGCTCGGTCTGAAGGTGTACGCCCTATTTTGTGCATGTTGCGACAGACTAGGTCCTCGACAGGGAGATCGTCCCTTGGGAATGCTCTTATGGCATGAGGCGGGAGATGGTCTACATTGCGTCTTTGTTACCAAAAGCATGTAGTAAAAAGGCCGCTTGTAGCGCGGTGAGGCCCTCCTTTGGGCCCCCCTTCTGGGGACCGTTGGCCCCCCAGGGGCCCCTCCGCCATGTGTTGCTTGCTGATTCTTGCATCACACCAGCGCGAGATCCCCTTTGCAACTCTGCAGCTTCTTCCTGCCCTGGCGCACTTCGCTTTCCACAGGGGTCCTGGCAGCGGCGGAGGGCCCCTGCAGCAGCCGTGAATAGGGGAAGGAACTCGGGGGTGTAAATGGCGGCAAAGTCTGTCAGCAGGAGCTGCAGCGCTCCTAGCCTCAAGAGACCAACGCGCCGCTCAACGACAGAGCTTAAAGGAACCAACGTGGACCTTTCGGCTACTCCGGGGCACAAAGAGAAAACGCGCAACAACCTGCAACCGAAGCCACATGGCCCAGACGAGAGAACAACAAAACAGGAGACTCACCCCTGATACACCGTGGCAGCCATTCCACTTGTATGCTCCAGAGTCTCGCGAATCCCAACAGGAGCGCACTTCATAAGTCATGAAACAAATGCAGTGCAACAAAGGCTTTACTGGCCCTAGGCCCCAAACGGCTCAGTTCCATGCACTGGACGCAAAAGAACCCTCCCCTTACTGGCTACCTTCCCTCCCCTTTGCCCCTGTGGCGCAGCCAGTTAGAAACATCATTCGCAGCAGCTGATCAAGGACTGCGGAAGAGAGTGCAAGGAGACGGAAGTAGGGAAAGGAGATGCGGAGGCGAAGAAACGCAGTGGACATATGACCTGCCTGTGCATCCCAAGAGTCGAGAGGTGCCGTTCTGGCTGCTTGTGCAGTACACACGCCGTCAGCTGCTGCAACAGGCCTTCTGGAGGGTTCTTTCGAAGGGCTAAAAAGTAGGCAGCGTTTGCCGCCTCAGTAGGAGAGAGTTGCCCTTGCTGCTCCCATAATCGACGCAGTAGGGCCCTCCCCTCCAAGCGGCTAGGGCGTTGCCTTTCAACCGTGTTGCCGACAATGCCCCTCCTGAGGTGGCATTCACCCTGAGCCAACTCCAGGGCACCTTCCTCCGGATTTCCTGCATGGGAGGAGCAGCCCCACGGTTCTGCCGTCTCAGTCCCATGACGTTTATATACGTCCCACTGAACAGAGAGGCACACGCACGTGCATGCATGTAAAATGGATATATATGTATTTATATATATGGACGGGACGGCAGCCTCAGCTGTTCTGCATCCCAGTGTAGAGCCACGGGGAAGTTTGATTCAGAGGAAAATGCCAAGACAAAAGCCGAACAAAATAGCTGGGTCGCGCTGCCCGCCAGTGAGTAGGCCGACCGGCTTGGAAACACGCCTTCACTCTACACAGAAGCCCTCGGGAACCTCAGTAATTTAATTTACTGAAAAAGAAATCGAACAACCGGACCCGGACTTGCCTTCGCTTTATAGATCAGTTCAGCCCCTGTGGAGCGCCCAGCGTTGCCTTTTTGGCGCTTCTGTGGTTCCTTCTGCTTCGTTCTGACCTCGCTGCACGAGGAGATAGACTGCCAGTAGAGTGGGCTGCATCCACTAGCTCCGTGACAGTTCAGCAGCCACGTACTGCTAGCATGCGCACCGTCAGTCAAGCCTCGGCGGAAGGCAGGGGAAGCGCTGCTAGGGGCGGGGTAATAAAAGTTGCGAGAGAGCTTGCAAGGAGCAGAAGAGCAGACGTCAGAAAGTGTTGTGCATTTCAGTCTCTGTGCACCCGAGAAAAATTGGAGGGCGCCGGGTGGCACCATCACCCTCCCTGTTTAGCGAGATAATAGCTTGCCCAGAACGATCATGTGCCTCTCCACTCGAGCTGGTCTCTTTGGCACCCTGTATTTTTGGGTCGTAAAGTGAGAGGAACGCTCCAAATAGAGAGGACGGACCTGATAAGAGGGTGAAGCGTAGGTGTTGCTCGTGGCTTTGGCACTTGGCATGTATGAGCCGGTACCTACATGCCAATGTAGGAGGCCCACAAGAAGGAAGAGCACGCTGGAAAAATCGACTGCTAGACGATCTGCAGAGGGAAGTAATGTCAGCTCAGCCACACAGATAACATGGGTGCATCTTCAGTCTTTCATTATAGGTCTGTGCCTGCAAAAGCTTGACAATGCAAAAAGGGGCCGAAACGAAAGCTCCAGACGCGAAGTGGCAGCGCCTCAAGCCTTATGTAGCACAGCTGACGTGCCGCCTTCTGCGGAATAGGCAAGTCCTAAACTGAATGGAAAAGCATCATTCATGGATCGAACTCGGGTCAGTGGAGACCCCGCTCAAGAAGACTAGAGAAAGATCAAGGAACGACTCGATACTTAAGGAGGTCGTTCCTTGGAATCCAAGAAAGAGAAATTCATCTCACGTGGTATTAATCGTATAAATACAATTTGTTGGGAAGACATGGCACCATTTACAGGCATTACTACGTTGGCTCGTGGATTCAATACAGAATCTTCACTGGTCTGGCTGGGGCTGCCTGCTGCAATGGTTTCCTTCTCCTCCTCACTGACATACCTCAATTCTCTCTCAAAGCACTAAAATTCTTCTACAACTTCCAGATTCATGCACTTGTTGTTCTTTAACTTCTGGATGCTTGCACATATTTGCAAGTCCCTCTAGCCTGCGGGCCGTGCCTCGCCTTCGACCTGACACGCATACACACACGCATTTGAATCTCCGCTTTCATCGTGTACTCATTCACATGCGAAATCGTCTGTGCTGGAGCTCGCGGTTCGTTGCATTGCGATCCCTGCCTGCCAGTTTGCTTCCCACACTTCATTCCTCTGCCCTCTAGGGTTGTGTCTCGATAGCACTTCTTACACTTTACAGTGGGAAGCGCGTACGAGGTTCGTTCTAAGCCTTGCCGTCTGTACATCTATCTATTCTCTCCGTCTCGTGTGTGTGTGTGTGTGCCCGCGCGCGCTTTCTCCGGGCCCTTTTCAAATTTTAAAGAGGGAACCTATGGAGAGGGATACGCCCACCCGTGTTTTCCTTCTTTTCACACAAGTCTGTATCCTGGTCCTCGCCGGAGCGCAGCTGGCTCTCTGTTTGCAGCCAGAATGGGGCAACGGATTTTCGGTATACGACATCGCTTCAGGTCTAAAACCGCCCTTCCATAACACCCTCCTCCCTAGGGCCTTACCCGACTCCAAAAAACCTTTTTTTCCCTCCAATTACCTTCCCTAAACCCTCGCCCTCCCACTGGCCGCGCCATGCAACTGCCACTCGATTCTGTGTGCGGCCTGTTCTATTCTGTAGATAACAAATCTTCCTATCCCGACTACTAGCTATCCGCAGAGCCTTATGCCTACCTTATGAACCTGCCACGCCTTTACTGCCTCTCCGGCCTGCTCGCTTCTGCGTGTGCTTGTGATTACCCCCAGCCGAATTCTTCAACCTCCATCCACTCCTCAACGTTTTGGCATTCGGCGTCGCCATGACAGAATCGGTCAGGCAAAACGCGGATAAACGGCCCAGCTGCACGGAAATGGGGCATACAAAGACTCTAAAGCGGCACAGCTGATCCTCTGTGCAGTAGGCATATAGTGTATGTTATGTGAGTGATCTTTATCGTGAACTCTATATCTCAAAGGCTCTATGCGTGTAAGAGTGTGTGTGTGCCGGGGGCGGCAGAGGGCCTTGATACTGCTTGAGGGCATGCAACTAGGGCATTTCGCCTAGATGAGGCACCATATTTCACTGTTGCTGCCGTCATAGGCTCCATCACACACTTTCACCCAAGCTGACATGCTCAGTTCGTCGTTTTAGTGTCATTCGTATCTCCCCACAAGGTGATAGCATGGTACGAATTGCATGCCTTTGTGTTGCTTGGAAGCTATTTAATAAAGTGGTTCCGTTGCAACATGCTTGAGCCTTCTGTGGATGCAGCTTATCAGCTTCCAGGGCTTTGGGCTGCGCCACGGAGTGGCAAAGACACTTCATGCCCTCTTACAGCTCGCCTCACTCATCCTCGGCATTGCCGCGTTTTCAATTGTCGTCGCTTACCACAACGCAAACAGCTACCCAAACTTCTATAGGTTGGGCATACACGCAGCTACGCACAGGCCTTGTAGCTGAACCTGAGGACGCATCCTGAGCAGCCCTCACTTCATGTGTATTGCCCACAGTGGAGGGGCGAAGACATTTCTAGAGAGCCATGCATGGTAGCGCGTTGTCTCTGTCCACTTTAAGCTTTGCGTTTGCTGTATCCTTCTTGCAGTGTCCACAGCTGGATCGGGCTAACCGTCTACGTCTTTGCATGGACGCAATTTCTTGGAGGTAAGACTGCACGGGGTGTTGTTCATGGTCCCTATGCTGTGCTTCCCTACCCTCCTCCATTCTTGATATCAGGAGGGACGCAGGCTCACCTACTTTGAAAAACCCCGGATGACGCTCCCTGCGTGCTGCGTGAAAGCTCCAGCTTGTTAACAAGAAGGGTTCAGTCTCTGTGTCTGCCTTAGGGTTGTTCATCTTTTGGCTGCCTGGACTCGCCCCTCCTGCTCTTAAAGCGGCGTTCCTAAGATATCATAAAGTTGGGGGCCTTGCCGTGTAAGTTTATAAGAGTGTGTTGCCTTTCTAGAGTCTGTATGAGCTGTCCCTGCGTCGCTCTGCAGCAGAGCCACTCAAAAGCTCTCCTCAGATGCCACCTTCTTGCAGCTGCCTGTAGTTCGAAGGTGTCCGTGCCTCAAGGATTTGGAGTGTAGTGTTTATGATGGTTGCATATTTGCTGTTTGTGTACGCAAGTTACTGTGGGGCTATGGCGGCAGTTTGCACTGGTCTGATGCAAAAACAATCCTTCTTGAGGAGCCGCACGCCCCAGGCGCCGTTGTTTGGATCAGCAAATCTCTTGGCGAATGCCACTGCCGTCGTCTCAGTGCTGACAGCTCTCGGGGTGGGTTCGTCCAGCCTCTTTTCGTTGTCTGTATGTAGTGCGTTTGTATGTCGCCCTTGGTGCCACGCTTTGCGGCAGCGCTAATGGCTGTTCTCTGTGTGCAGTATTGCGTAACTCAGGTGCTCTTACCCTCTGTTGTGGATGCTGGTGGTAGTACCTCTTCGCAGATCCTAAGGCGATTTTGCCGCTGCATTTAGCTTCCAAGTGTGCAACGGGCCTCAGATAGTATTTTATGTGCTTCGTGAGTAGTGTATCTCTCTCCGCATCCTTCTTCGTTGCACTTTGTTTCTTTCTGTATGCGGCTGTGGATATTCTCTCTGCAGGTGCTTGGGGTGTTGGGGGCTGACAGGACGACTTCGGCTGGTTGCGAGGCCTCGCGGCCTGGCGACCCCTCGTGCGCTACGCCTTTCCCTCCTCCAGGTACAGCAGATACGGGGTTTATGGGAGCAGAAAATCAGCCCTCCGCACAGCTCCGTCGAAACAAAGCACCTAGCAACAGGCCCGTGAACTGAGGGACTGGCTGCAGGCAACACTCCACACCCTTTCTTTCAGACCCCTTCGGTTTCTTTAGCCCCGTTCCTTAAACCAGTTCATGTATAGTGAATACACTCCTAACACAGCTAGCATGACCGGCGAAACGCATTTGTTTCGGCAAGTTACAAGTGGGTCTTGCGCACTCCATCGCACTTGCTGACAGAGGGCAGTGGCCAGGATGGAGCTGCTATGTGCTTAGCCCTAAGCGCGAAGAGCTGCAATGGAAGGCTGATGAGGTCAACGGGATGAGTGGTGAGGCCACAGGGATTATGGGGAGGCGTTGTTGTTAGCTTTAACTATTAGTCAGTCCGAATATCTTTGGTAGACCCTTTCATGGCAACTGCAGATGATGCAGACGCCGCATTATTGCAACGATCTATTATCACATCCGAGAAACAGTTTCACACATGATGTAGGATTCTTTTTAGCACAGATCCACGAAACTCAATATTCTACGTAGCACACCGTCGCCTTTTCTGGGTCCCGTAGGTGTGTGGGGTTTGGACCTCCCTTATTGCACGGCCTCATATTACTTGCCTTTGTACGCATGGAACGCTGAGACAGACCCTTGCTGCATGCTTTGGATCACGTTAGACGAATGTTTACTATGCTGGCTAACCGACTCCTTTCTCGTGGATCCTGACCCTCCTGCTGCTCTGTCGAACGCACCCTCTAACTTCCTTGCTTCCGAAGCTCAATCACTCCCCGCGGAGTTTACAAAAAGTTTTGGAGGCAGAGGCAATACACAGGAGCTAATGGATTACATGGCTAAGAACGCTTCCGAGTTATTATGAGCCCTCCGTACTCCCCCGATTCCCCACCTGCCCCTACTGTACTGTGAGAAAGTGCAGGGAGACTACAGGTCTGTACATACCAACGGCTACGAGTTGCTACTATGGCTTCTACGCTGTCTGCCACCCTATTGAGCTTGATTTCGGGAAGTATGTGCGCCCTGCGCACACCTTCAATTCTAATTGTCCGCATTTATGTGCAAAACCTGAAAGCAACACTACAAATATGCAATACAGGGTTAGATTGCCGGTCGCGTTGTCGAATGGAGCTGAGCTACCAAGGCATCCCACGAACATTGAGTGGAGAACTTCTGTGGTAGTGCAGCCCTTTGACGCCCGCTCATCTAAAAGGTTCCACCTTAAATCATATCAAAAGCCGGCCATTCCGCCTAGCCTGTGTTTCTGTCGTCTACATTATTAACGACGGGCTTGAGAAAATGCCGCTCCTTCTCCTTAGCTGGAACAGCACCAAGATGCCCATTTTTTGTGTTCCATTCTCTACAGTCTTAACTACGAACTTGTGTGTGTGTGTGCGTGTGTGCCGCCTTATCTTCTTTAGCTGTGGCACAACAGCGCTGCTTAATCCTCAGCACTTGCTGCCGAACTGATCGGCATGCGGGGTATCATTCCAACGAGCTCTCCAGATGCAGTCAACGTCATGGGAATTTCAATGTACTCGGTACCCCATCTGACTTTGCTGCGAGTGTGCACACCCAAGAATCCCGTGGGGACCTTGAAAGTGCCCACTAGGGCGACACCACGGCGTGGATCCAGCGGGGGGGATGACTTCAGGGCATAGCAGAGCTCCATTACGCAGGAAAATAATAAGAAAAGTGCTACGTAAAGGGAAAATTTGCTGAAGAGGCGCCAGGCCTTCTGTCCGCCACGGCTCGTGAATCCTCCCATCGTGTTGGTGCGACTGTAGCTTTCGCCTAGCCAATACAGTTGACTGGGGCCCCGGTGTAAACAGGGCTCAAACGGTAAAAGGTGAAATTCTTCCACGCTGGAAATTTCCTGAAAGAAAGTACACCAGGATTAGCAGCTGAAAGATTGAAGGATGAAAACTGCCTTGGGTTGGGGAAAGGACACCGATGAGGTCTTCAGCTTATGAAAAGCTGACAGGGAAATCGACAATGAGGGCCAAAATAAGTGGGGAGTATTTGCAAACAATACAGTGGAATAATGAGCAAATTCGTAACGGGCAATGAAGGTGCTCGCAGTGCTCTTCAGTGTGTCACACGACTCGCTGGTCACCCCTCAGGTCACTCGTCGCTATTGCGCCGTGGCTGTTCCATCTGCTGGAGGCGGCAGCGTACAGAGATCCCACGCTGAACGGCAAATTACCTGTACACACTACTCAGCTGTATTGTTCGAAGTACCTTACAATTTAAGAGCAGGGTAGATGCAGCTTTATCACTTAGTTTCCTACTTCCAAAGACAGTGAGCTACCAGCACTTGCATACCTTATGATATGCCCTATTCGCTTGGTCTTGTGCTCAAGAACTACCCACAACTTGGTTTGTTGATTCAATAGCCTACGTGATGCACTTTGAAGAGAACTGCTGCAAGCCTTTCCCTTCACCGTCCACTTGTCTCCCCGCTAGCAATTTATATCAAATTGCTCTATGCAGCAGTACCCAAAGAAGAGAAATCCGATAGGCCTCAGACAACGACAGTCCGAATTTTCAACTGCTTTCCATATCGCAAATTTTGCCTAAAGAAATGACAAACGGGCCACTAGAGTGCCTCCTCCGATCCCGGGGGTTGACAAATACAGCTAGCACCAAGGCAGAGCAAATGGCTTCTTTATCTCTTGGCGGTGATGGCTACTTTTGAGCTTAAATGGTTCATTCTTGATGAGATTGGGATAACTGAAAAGAGCAACAAGGTACTCACCACTGTTTCACTTACAGGAGGATGTATTATGTCGCATGCGGGACACCAAAATAGATTTACAGGACACAGGGATATTTGTGGATCTTTCATTGGCACAGTATTCAACGGAGTGCACTAGCAGTCTCAGCTACCTAGGGGCTGAACAGAAGGTAAATCAGCTATTGGTTCTTTATCGATTTATATAGGTGCGCTCCTTGATCCGCAAGGCTACAAACAATAGGGAGTTGCAAAAAAGGATTCTGCCTCTGACCTCAGGGATTGGCATATCTTAGTAGTGGTGCCTATGGACTTGAATAACATTGTCTAGGAGATTCCCGCAGATTCTGTGAACAGGGCTCTGTAGCAACACGCATCTTCCATCCACCGCAGACAGCACTCCCCTCAAGCATGCCAGCTGCTTTGCTTAAGCGCTACCCGAGATGCGATACTCAGGAGATTCCCTTAGCTCTACAACATGTGCAATTTTGGTGACACTGCTTCAGGCACTCAGGTCGCCAATCATCTGCTGTTTTATTCAGTCTTGATCTTTAATATGCATGCCTGGTCGTGTTTGCATTCTAGCAGCTTAAGGCACGGGGTACCTGGACCCTTGTGCAAAGCCGGAGGGCGATCCGGCACACCATTGCATGACATCAATGCCCCTTGCTCACAGTGCTCCTTCTAAGCCTGCCTGTTTTGCCCCGATTGAGACACTGCTTTCCTTTTAGCAAGGAGGAACAAAGGTGGACCGGTTTTTTCCGTCTCTATGGAATTGAGATGCCAGTGCAAATGACCATAGTGTAGCTTCCACTTTACTATCAACAGCTATATAGATGCCGTTGCGCGGCATCACATGGCACCACCAGGTACGGCAGAAACAACAGCAGGCACGCGATATTAAGCGAGAAGGAAAGCTAGGCAATAATGTAGGGGATAGTAGGAGGGAAAATCAGAATATCAACGGCGGACTCACACTCTGAGGGAGGAAGGGATAGTAAGGAGGCGACAGATAAGGTAGAGCTTAATGGTGGACACCTCGCAAAAGCAGAAGCTTCAAACCACAGAATGCTGAATACAAAAAGGTGGGGAATACCGTGTGCTTGGTCAATGACCTAGTATCGAAGGTAAAAGGTGCTACGAAGAGCACCACAGTCCCCGCTACACATTCCTCTATGAGCTTAGGCAGTCCTTTACCGCATGGTTCTTTGGTAGATATCTAGGGTTTCTTTTGTAAGCATTGAATGCATTAGCACATTTGTGCTTCTACAAAATTGCAATGCAGTTTCAGCTTACCTCGGCTTGCGCTGCTCCGTGCAACTGAGAGCAGCGCACCGTTGACGTGCATTCAGGTGCATCCTCAGAAGTCTTATTGTCTCACTACTTCAGCATTTCCTTCGAGTGTGAGGAACAAGCATTTAAATTTCGCTACTTCTTTGGCACAAGACAAGCAGCGTAGCGTGCATTTAAGGATCTGGGGGAGAATAAGCAGAGGGGTTCCTGGAACACGAATAGCGGCGTGGGGACTGTTTGGTGTAAAAAGGGGCGACGAACGTCTTGAATCAGTAGAAACCCAAGGAGAAGCCTTTGCCTCCGAGACCCTAATGTACCGCTTTTTCTGTTTTCCCAATGCACCTTGATAAGGCACGAGGCCAGAAAATGTGGCTTCGGTTTCTTTTTGTCACTACCGTCTGTCGGCCTATCCGGTCCTACAGTGTTAGGAAAATCTGCATGCCTATTTTTGATGACTCCTCTCTTCTTCTTTTTCTCCTTGTCTGCATTTGTACAGTGGTAACCAGACTGCAACCGATTCGTGGAGGGGTGGAGTTCGCGGTACTCGCTTGCCGGCATTTCAAAAGTATATTCGTTTGATACGCCTCTGTAAGAGGACTGGGCCTAGAATTTACTGATCCGTCTAAATAGCCGCATATGCCCCTCCGCTAGATATGCAGCCTCATGCGTTTTTGTGTTTAGCTGCTAACACTGGCCGGGCCCAATGAAGGCCTGTGACTCAGCACTTCAATGGCCTGCATCACAATGCAGCTCAGTGAGTATTTGTTTTGTTGTGTGCGGTCAACTGTAATAGAGCAGGCCTTCTAATAGAGCACCCCGTCACTTATGATACATGTGTAAAGCATTGTTTGCTCCTTCAGTCCTGCATTTTGTTCCGTGTACTGTTACTGGTCATTGCTTATCCAGGGACACTATGCGGAGTCAGGGGTATCGTATCTTGCAAATCCGTGCTACTGGGGAGGGATGTGTGAATGCCACGCCGATCTGGCGGCGCAAACGAAGCTTTTGAATCCGAGGGAGCCAGTGAATCCCTTAATAACGCACATTACTGTGCCTCGTAACCACAGTATGAGCTGCTTGGCCACCATTTTCAGTTGTCGCAAGGCTGCAACTTCCCCTTTCGTGATTGTCTCCATGAGGAAATCTGCAGCCTGAAAATATACTATGCCTCTTACAATCTTCCTAAGAAAGCTCTCGGCTCCAACTCACAGGCAAAATCTCTGGAGCTTCTGATCATCCGTTCCCTTCATAAGCTGCCTTCTTGCCCTCCCCCAACGAGGCTCCTGCCTGATAGATGGAGGACTCAGAGGCAAAGGACTATAGCTTTCGAGCACTTTGGTGACTGGAGCACAATCACACACGGAAATGTAGAGCATGTGCGGAGTGTAGCGCCGTAGGCTACTCTCACATATTCGCTACTGCACTAGTTGCAGCGGACACAGCTACACTTAAACACCTACATTGGTTTAAAGAAAGCAAAAGCCGAAGTTAAGTGGATGGCTAGCCTCTTCGTATATCTTATTTCTTGCAGAAGACTGTTAATGCTTTACAACGAGACGTACTGTTCAGTGGGTATGCCGTAGATGCTAAGTGCAACTGGCTATGAATGCTTAAAGGGCATTAAATCTGGAACGACGCGAACGCTAGCTTTCTCTTTTCCCTTATTACGGGACTCTGAGGGGCGGAGGCAGCGGAGGGCGGGAGCTCCTTTTTACAAACGCCCAATCGCTTCCTTTCTAGCTTGCATGCATGATGTTAAGGTAGAGCTTCGCCCGCTGCAGATACAAGCCAGGAGTAGCTAGTATTACATTACGCTACATGTGCATTGAATCTGTTATGCGAAGAGATGTAGTAGTGCTATCCGCTTGTGCACTTTTAGCGCAATAGCAAAGACACAGGCGTGCAAAAAGGAGCCAGAACACAAAAGTTGGCAGGCTAATGGCACAGGAGTCTCGGTATTAATTGGAAACGGATCCTACCAATAGTGTAAGGAAGCGCTAGAGAGAAGCGAGGTCTGGTTATAACAACGGTCATTTTGTCTATGGTGAGCGGGGCAGAGTCGTACTTCAACAAGAAAAGGCAGAGTCGCCATGCGGAACTATCAGCAGCGCAGTCAGAAGACGGTTCTGAGCACACCTCCCGCTTTCGTGGCTCCCGTAAACAATTTGCGTTTGAAAAATTAGATCAAAGCTTCTGCTGAGGCACAACACGAATAGGCAAATAACCAGGAGGAGTTGTTTGGAAATGCCAAGAGTGACGAACTGCGTGCAGGCTGGCCATCTGCTGGTCGTTTAGTGCACTGTATTAAGCTTATCCTTGAATCAGTATCAAGCCATGTTCCCCCGTATCAAAAGCTTCCGCTGCATGAAAAGTATGCCCAATAGCAAGCGGATGAGCTGATGGGAAAAGGCCAAGTGCAGGGGTTGACCGATGCTTTTGGGCATAACCCTGCGGTGGTGCCGAAAAAGGACAGAAGGCGGCGCATGTACATAAATTGTTGGCACCCAAACGACATAAGCGTTCAACAGACATTTACGAAGCCTTATATCGGCGAACTGCTTGACGATCGAATGAAGTAATAAAATTTTGAACCTTCACTCCTACAAATGCTTTTCTAGTAAATCCCAGTTCTCCCTGGCAACAGGCACAGAACGGGGTGACACACTAGCCCTCACAAGATCAAGGTTGCCTTTATGCCTGTTGACTTGGAAACGTCTTAGATAAATCGCAACGGCAAATAAATTGAGATTAAGTAAGTCTGTCGAGAAGGATAGTATGGCCGTCTACATGGACGACACCTAAGTAGTCAGCCGAAGTGCTTAATCGACGGCTGCGTGCGCTTAAGCCGTTGCGGGCTCGAGCTGGTTAGTGCAGGCACATAACTATTCGGTTTTATAAGAACAAATGTGTTTGTGGAGCTCTCTACTCTAGCTGCAGAAATCGAACTACACGCGATAACAATTGAAGCAACCAAGGAGTGGCCCTTGCCCCTATACACTTAAGCTATGAAGTTTTATGGAGTTCCGCGTTATTACGGAGCTTTATATCTGTATCTGCTCTGAGGTCTGCTCCGTGTATTGATTAAATCAAGCACACGTACTCGGTGACCAGGAAAGGAGGCTTATGCAGCCTAAAAGGGCGCTTCTGGACCACCTTGGAACTCCTGCACTTGTGCTGCCCGATCAGGAGCGCCACTGCTTCCGAAAAGTCAATATTAACATGGCGTTAAGTGCTATTCTCTGCCAGTAGGCTACGAGTTTTTTCAATAAACAAAGGTATTGCTCCTCAGTTGCATGGCCTTATCGAAACCGAGCAACGGAACCCCTGTGCGGTAGAGGAGCTGTCTGTAGTTTGGTGGGGCGCAAAAAAATGCCTGCCATACTTATAATGGCCTCGCTTCACTGTTTATGCCGGCCGGTACTTCTCATTTTCCTTTTAAGGAGCTTTTCGACCTTATTCCCAGAGTTGTTCTCTGGATTGAGGGCTTCTTGTACTTTAACTTCAGGGTAAAGAACACCGAGGGCATCATCAACGTGGTCGCCAGCGTGCTCTTGCGAGGCCCCACCGATTGGTTACGGTGCAACACCGCTGCCCTTCTCTGTGATGGCTCATGGGTTATACTGAAAATGCGTGACGCTCATGTTTTGACACTCATGCATTCGCTACAGTTGCCAAAATGCAGAATGGCAGAATGGTGAGGTAGTACCACGATAAGGACTACCTGCAATAGCTCAAATCAAAGCAAGGAATCCGGAGCTATTGAGTTTTGACTTAGTGCCGCGGGATCGTTTTGCGCAAAGCCCATGATCATGCTCGTTCGGGCCATGATAAGATTCGAACTACGGTGGAATACCTCTCACTGTCTTTGTTGTGTCCTGGAATGCAGTGTGCTGCCGGGACCTTCGGCGGCTGAAGCCATGCTATTCTCCTGTGTCTGATGTGTTCCAAAGTCCTCGATTTCCTAAACGGATCTGGACTGATTAGATCATGCAGTTAATTGTTGCGGGTAGCATCTACACCCCTGCCGGTACGCTCAGCAAGATATCCTCATTTCAATCCTTGTCCCAGCTCTGCTACGGCTCAGAAGAATGCGCAATCAATTTTAAGTCGCCTTAAAGCCTTACAGGCTATCCAGCTCTCTCACTATGGATCGGGGTCCGAAGTTCGTTGGTGCATTCTGGCGTATCTCAATGACTCAGCTACACATTAATCATTTCGTGATATACCAGCAACCTTGGTCTACCCTGAATAAGCCAATTTCCAATCCATAGCTGGACCAGTTAATCCAGAGTTACCAGCGACCCTCAGCAGCGGAGCAATCAGAGGACAGCTGTTTTGTGCGCGCGAATGTCTGGGCAAAGTTCTAGATACAGAAGCACAGATTGTGGTAAGCGGCGGTTGGCTTCTAATCAATCCTGAAGATTTGGTTCTTGGTGGACTGGCAGGCTTTTACGAGGTGTACCAGAAGGTATTCAAACAAAGTAGTTTGCTGCTAGATGGCTAGGGTCGTTTGCTATCCTGCCCCGAATCGATGCACTTTCTTGTTTTATCGATTCCCCTATCAATTGGAGTTGAGTTGGGGCACGAAAATATAACTATCAATATTGGCTAACCACAGAAAATTCAAAACACTCCGATTTATTCGCGGACTTTGCCCTGCAGGAAAATAACCTGTTTAGAGGCAGAGGATTCACAGGGACCACAAAGGTGCTGGATTCTGGAAGTACTGAACGCCGAGAGCATGCTACACGGGAGAGTTTAGTGAAGTGAAATGAGGACCATCAACGGTCGTGGATGATGGGAAAGGCCCGTTGCCTGCGGACGAATTTGCGACTCTGTTTCGTTTACATTGATAGGCGCCGCGGAGGAAACTCCTCGCGTCCCTGGGTAATGTCCTTCCCCATCACACACTCTAGCGACCCTACGAAAGCAAGTAAAAGCTCCTTCGGGGTCGTGTTGGTTTATTCTGCCTTTGATGCTGGCTAGTGTGTGAGTCTCCTTCTAGTCGACTTGACCTTGACGGCTGGTGCACACATTGGCTTTCCGCATCTGATGTGCTATTCGGGTGTCTGTCTGCGCGAGGACTGGCGATAGTACGGAAACTCTTCCACTGTCGTGCACGCTGTAGGACTCGACGGACGGGTGCACACCATGGGGATGTGTTTTTGTAATGGGAGAGCGGAATATGTAGCTTTGAAAGGTACACTCAAACACTGCCACTACACTAGGTAAACCTAAGAATTAGGATTGCCTAGTTGCTTAACCTCTTCGTGCATCTGCTGTATTGCAAAGACCTGATTGCGCTATACAAGAAAACGCAATATTGTATGGGTGCGAGCATGATGCTGTGTGCGGCTAGATGTGAGTGTGCTTAAGAAGTGATGGTAAGGTTTATATGCCGTCTGGAGTAAAGATTTCTTCGACGGAGACCTTGAATGAAGCGCTGTACTATACATAATTAGCCAAGCCAGCAAAGGATTCACTATTGTGTTGAGCTGTCCGTTTATCTTATTTGTTGCACCTTAGAGTTAGATTAATACTCCAACAACCAATGTTGTATGCCTGTATGCTCGATGCTTTGTTCAGCTGGCTGAATTCTTCGAGTGTTCAGAGGGTGCAGGAACACTCACCCTAGCAGTCCACGCTCATGCAGGAACGGTCTGAGGGCAGGGTCGAATGAGAAGCATAGCTTTTGGAAGGGCATTCACTTGCTTTTGAATCAGTGTTTATTTGGTTGGTTTTGGGGCTCAGTGTACCCCTCCAGGAGACGGAGTGGTGCGTTACACATGCAGCATACCACCTTGTAGTAGGGCCCAACTGTGGATTGCAACAAATAGGATTTAAAGGCATTTGGTACATAGGGCAAGTACCGAGCAAATTTATCAGCATGATTGCTGCAGTAGGAGCTGTCTAAGTGTAGCTCAGCCTGCAATATGTAAATAGCCTGTCGGGGGAGAATAAAAGGAGTTTTCAAAACCATCCTCAAAAGAGTTGTTCTCTCCCATGTGCTCAGGCCACAAGGATCTAGAACAAAATGAAAGAAGTACATCTAAGGTGCAGCTAGCTGCCCCTTCAATACAGCTTTGACATATGCACACATACACCAATACAGGGCACATAGGCGTACGTGAATGCGTCTGCTGTAGGGAAAGAACTCCACTTGTCCCACATATGACATCATATAGCGCCTTCTGGATTGCAGAAGCATCCAGAGGAAAGCTGAATGCGGTACACACTACTCTAAGCGTAACACTCTTATACGCTGGTGAGGCGTGGCCCCCTGCAACGACTTAAAGGGGCAGGCGGAGGTTGGGGGGAAACAGGTGGAAACTGCGGATGTTAGGACATTCAAAAGATTGATCCAAAAAATGGGAAACAGAAATCCGTCCAGTATTTGCGAGAACGCGGGATTTTAGATAATACGCAAGATGAATCAGGGTCACATACGTGGTGGCTGGGGCTCTCTGCAGTGCTGTGTTTGCTGGTGCCACTCAGCTTCTCTTGCCTTTTTGCTAGTTGATTTACTTCTTATGGCTCCTTCCTTGTTTGTCCGTACTTTCTTCTGGCTTCTTCTTTAGGAGCAGCAGAGCTGTGCCAGATCTGGTGCCCCCAGCATTGGCAGCCACCGAACTGCACAATCCGCGGTGCTGCTGCAGGTGCCCTTCTTGTTATTGCAGCTGCAGTTTGACGCGGTTTCGTCTGCTTTGGAGCTGCTGCTTGCCGTAGATCACCGCCGCAGCTGAGGGACTCAGCGTGTAACCGACCTCAGAGGGTGCCCCCCCTAGGGAGGGCCATTAAAACGCAAGGGGACGGCATCCTTGTGGCTGCCACCGTGTTGCAGGACCAGAGTTCCCCCATATCTTTCAGATACCGAGCACTTGGGAGCCTCTCTGAAGTCTTTGCGGGAGTTCGAGCGCCGGTCGCAGCAGAGAGGCCTTTCGGACGCCACCTTCGCTTCCGCGCAGGTGTAGAGTACCGTTGCTGCCCCCCTTTCTGCCATTGTTGTTGTCGCTGCTGCTGGTAGTGTTGCGCCTGCGGCTGTTGCTGCTGCTGCGTCTCGAAGGCAGCTGCAGCGGCAGCAGCCTCAACAGCAGCGGCCACAGGTCCAGACAGCAGCAGCGCGAATATCCCCAATATTCCTTCCGAGCCAAATTTTTTGACCTCCGTTGTTCGCCAAAAAGCTAGCGCGTTGATTGCCCTTTGTTGCGGCGCACCGCTCCACGCCACTGCCGCGGGTGTGGCTTGACCGCCGTTGCGGTTGGCGTTGCATGCATCAAGGTCTGATGCAATGGGGACTTATCTCTCGAGTCCCCTATCGGGGAAGCACGTGGCGGCTGGCTCGTGCGAGGCGATGGGCCTTCGGTGGGGGCTGTGCAGCATGCAGGGCTGGAGAATCTCTATGGAGGATGCCCACCTTGTGTTGTACGCCAAACGCATTGCCGCGACGCCAGCTGCCTCAGCGGCTGCTTCGCCTGCCGGGCAGCCCTCCGCAGCACCAAGCGGAGCGACTGGCCCCTCGTTGGCTGTCACGGACGGCAGCGATCCCGATAATTCGCAGCACTGCGATGAAAACTCCGCACATGGAAGAAGGCTCGTGGTGGGAGGAGGACAGCACTACTTGTCGCATCTCCTGCTGGGCATGGGGGCTGGTCACTCCCCGAAGCTGACTGAAGGCTATGTGTTTCTGCCATCCACCGCTGCGGAGGACAGTAGAGACGAAGCCCATTGTGAGCACAGCTCCTCCGGAGCAGCAGCCGCAGCGCCTTTCTGCGGCTCGCCAGAAGTAGCGGACTGCTCGGACGAAGCACCCGAGGGAAAAGGGCTGCTCGGAGACGCTGCTGAGGGGGGCGAAGGCGCGACCACTGCCACTCACAAGAAGGGAAATAGGGGACCCAAATCGATGCTGAGACAATTCTCCATCCGCAGGAAGGCACACCCTGTTTGCGCAACATCAAGCGAAGCTGAGCCCCCTGAAGGCTCAGTTGGACCCCCAGGAAGTCCCCGTACCACCCGAGGCAAGGCTCCCCCCCCGAGCAACCCCTGCGGCGCAGCAGCAGCAGCAACAGCAGCAGCAACAACAGCAGCAACAGCAGCAGCAACAACAGCAGCAGCAGCGACAGGAGACTCTGCGGCCTCTTTGGACACCTCCGATATACAGCTTTTATCACAGGCAGATTTGTGTATCTTCTCAGTCTTCGATGGACACGGAGGAGCCCATGTATCCAGGTACCATGCGCAGTCGCTTATCCTGTTCCTCCTTCGTCGGAAGAGAACATGTGTCTTGCTGCTGCTGCTGCGTTTGATGCTGTGTTTGATGCTGCTGCTGTGTTTGATGCTGCTGCTGTGTTTGATGCTGAGCGGTGGAGGAGGGGTGTCACTGCTGCTTCCGGAGAGACTCCAGCCAGCCCTGGTGTGCTCGATGTGGTCCTTGGCACCATTTGCAGTGTATCGTTTTTTGCTGCTTCAAGACCGCGCTTCCTTGCTGCTGCTCGCATTTATAGGCTACCAAACACACTGCATTTGAAATTCTTCAGTCAGTTTGTTGGCGCTTCACCCTCTCCGGCTTCTTGCCGCCACGTATGCGTCTTCTCTGCAGATTTGCTGCGCTGCATTTGCGCTCCCTCCTGGATGCCCAGCCAGCCTTCCATAAAGGGGACTTCAGCACCGCCTTGCGGACTGCCTATCTCCGCATAGACGAGTTACTGCGTGAGGAGAGTAGCCAAGAGGAGCTTCTCTATCTGTCGTCGCACACGCCTCACGAGCTGTTGCTGCACAGGCAGCAGCAGCAGCAGCTCGTTGAGCAGCAGCAACACCAGCAGCCAGTGCAACAGGACCAACAGGAAGGCAACAGCGGTTCTGCGAACCCCACACATCCCGCGCAGCATAGAGGAATCAGGTCGACGCTGTCAAATCTTGGCCAGCATTTCGGTGTCAAAACGCAGCAACAGCAACCGAGTGGAATTCAGCGAGCTGCTACATGCAGCAGCAGCAGCGAGTTGTCAAGGCCCTCCACTAGGGCTTCTTTGCCGCGCTGTGGTGACGAGGAAGGCTTTTCTGATGCGCCGGAAGTATTACGGGGAACAGCGCAACATAGCAACTCAACTGATGAGCCGGAAATATCACGGGGAGGAGCACAACAGGGCAACTCAACCACTACCACCAGCGCGCCTACCAGTGCGGCCGAGCCTGTATTCGAGACCTCTCAGCAGCTGACTTGCCACGGGAGTCTTCCCTTTTTGCCGCATCCGGACAGTCAGGCAGCTGCGGCAGCCACGGTAACAGCCTCCGAACCCCCTGCCGCAGCTGCTGCAGGGGCTGAGGACGTCTCTGTGACAGCTCCACACGCAGCAGCAGCAACTCCCGGTGCAGGGGATGACGTAGCGAGCTCAAAAAAAGGGAAGAAAGGGGGACTTACTGGCCTAGTAGATGCAGTTGCGCGGTCCATTGGGCTAGGAAAACTATTCAGCCGTGGCAGTACAAATAGCACTGCCGCAGTCAGATCCCTAGCCAACAGTGCGGGCAGTACAGCCCTTACCATCTGCATCACCGTAAGATTCTGTCCCCTGCTGCTCATGCGGCACTTCATGAGAATCAGAGCAAGGCTGTATGTGTGTGCTTCTAGTTTTTAACCCACCGTTTATTGTGCCTCCAGCTGCGTGCGCTGCAGCTCTGTGAGTTGTTTCTGCCACACCTTGCAGGCCGCGTGTGCTACATATTGGGCGACTCTGCCTGCGTGTTTTTGCCCGTTTGCGTGTTTCTGCTTGCGTGTGTGTATATGTATCTTGGTGTGTCTTTGCAACGCAGTTTGTATCGCGTAGCAGGCTCGGAAAGCTGCACACTGTTTTCTGTGTGTAGCCTGTGTGGTGTGGTGTGCACGGCAGGCCACACAGGTCACTGTTGCAAATGTGGGCGACTCACGCTGCGTCCTATGCAGAACAGGCGAAATTGTGGAGCTATCTCAAGACCATAAACCCCAGCTTGCAGAAGAAAGGGTCCGTAAGGTGCACGCAGCTCGATGCTCGAGAAGGGAGGGCCGACCGTCGCATCAGAAAATGCCCTTCTTTTTCGTTGCACTTATCGGCTTCCTTTAAGCAGAGGGAGCTTGATCTTCGCTTCCCGATTTCGCAGAGGGGGAGGAGGGGTTGGCGCGTGCTGTTGCTGGAGGCGCGGGCATGGACGTTTAGTGTATTTCTGCGTTCCATTGCATCTCTCCATGTGACTGCATATACATATATATATGTAATGCGCTATGCTTGCCTGGCTGGCTTACAGATTCGCATTTACGCTGCGGGAGGCTACTTAGAGATGGGCAGGGTTAATGGAAATTTGAATCTCTCGCGGGCTCTCGGGGACCTGGCGTACAAGGCAGATGGCACTCTACCTCCCGAGAAGCAGATTCTGTCGGGCTGTCCGGATATCGTGTCTATCAACAGAGATCCGCAGAGCGACGAATTCTTGGTGAGACGCGCATTTCTGCATGTGCATGGGTGTGTTTTCCGAGGACGGGAGCAAGGGATTGCACCGACATATTGCTGCTGGTTGGACGAGTTCGCCGACTGTTGCTGCAGGTTATTGGATGCGATGGCATCTGGGAGCTTTTATCTTCTGCTGAGGTCGTGGAGTTTGTACGGCGCCGCATTGATGTGAGGGGGCAGACGCTTAGCGGAGGTGGTGGCTGCAGCAAGTGGCCCTATTCGCCGTCCCTGTAGCCAGCAGGGCAGCGAAGGGGTGTTCGTAGCGATTCAGTAAAAGAGTTGCGCGCAAAGTACATGCGTATATTTTGAGAGTTGTTTGACCGTATCTACGGAGGGGAATGAAGGGTTTGTGGCGCGTGTTTGCTTCTGTGGTTCAATTTCAGCACACTCTGGATTTGTGTCAAATCTTGCGGGATCTCTTCGATTCCTTGATCTCCCCTAACCCAGCGCTGTTTGAATACGGCTGCGACAATATGACGGCCTTTATTGTTGACCTGAAGGCGGGGAGAAGGACACTTGTGTCTTCTAGCAGGAGGGCTTCTGAACAATTAACAGCCCGTCAGCACACTAACGAATCAAGGGAGCGATTGAATGTGGAGGCCAGCAGTACGGAGACTCTTCCCGGCTCGGCGTACGGAGATGGAGAATGCAAACAAAAAGATCGCGAGCTTGCAGCCGGAAGAGGCGGAAAGCATCATCACCAACCGCATCGAACGCAGCAACGAAAGCAGGAACAGGTATCGTTCCCAAAGGAACGGAAGAACGGCCAGCAAGGGTGATGCATTTGGCAAAAGCACCCGGAAGCGTCTTTTGCTAGAGAAATTTGAGCGGGCGGAGGCCGGTGGGAGTGTGAGAGGGCACATTGAAGGGTTTGGGGAAGGCAGCCGCTAATCGTGATGTTAGATCTCTGTGGAGCTGGATAAGCCGCACCCTGGCCCACTTTCTGCCCTCCTCCCCGTTCTGTGTGCCTTCTTATCTAATTTTTTGTCGTCGTGTGTAGCGCTATCTGTGCTAGCTCGGCGAAGTGCAGCAAGAGCAGCAGCAGCGTTGCACTCCTTGTACGGTTGTGGTTTGCTGTAGCTTGCATTCCCTGTGCTTGTGGACAGAGGCGCTACGCTTGGCACTTCTTCCGCAGTTAGGATTCATCTTCTTTGATATGTTTGGCGACCGTTGCCCCAAAGTTATAATATTTACGTGTATATACACAGATTTTTGTATATGCATATATATACATCATGGGCACAAGGGGTGGCCAGCCACCTGAGCTGTAAGCAGCGTATCGTCGGCGTCCGTGCAGGATGCAACCGTTTATGTTTGGGATAAATTATTGTCTATTAAATGTGTTTTCTTTCTTTATATGTTGCTATTAATCCCTAAGTAGCAACCTAGGAGTCCCTTCGTTCCTCCCCTCGCTGGGATGCAGATGCAGTGTGCATGTTTACAGAGAAGCGTTTCTACATATTATATCCATATATATACTTGCTTACACATGCGGCTAACGATGCCCACGTTGGTCCATAAACTTTTGTGCGGTCAGATGTACGGACACAGGCATAACAGGAGGGCAACGCTTTCATTGCCATGTGCTCTCTAAGGGGGATGATGCCCCTCTAGGGTTGCCCTTCAATAACACACATACGCGTAGTGAATACTCCACAAGGCCACAAGATCCCCTTTTCATATACACTCACGCACACAGAGACACTGCCTCACGTAGGGCGCTGCATTTGGTGCTCAGAGAGCACGCAGTCGCAACATCGATCCTGAGCGGCAGCCAATAGAAAAGGGTCTCTGTGGCGACGGTAGGGGGCCCCAAGCAGCGCTTGGCATTTGGGCTATGAGATCCCTTTGCTCCCATCCTCGCCCCTGATTTGAACTACAGACTGCTACTCAAAAAGATGGCGCGTGCGGGCCTCAAAGCCTTCAATAGCGTCTTGGCGGCGGTACGAAGGATCCCGTGGGCGAGGAGCGCTGCTGGACTGCTGCTCCTGCCGCAGCACATCTTGCTGCAGGGCCTGGGTGTGCACCAGCTGCTGCAGGTGTAGCTGTTTCTGTGCACGGTCCTTTTGGTGATCGATGTGTGTCTGCATTTCTGCATCTGTGGGGGCCTCTAGGTCGGCGTAGTCTACGCTGGCGGCTCTCAGGCCAGTACCGCTACTCCTGCTGGTGTTGCCGCTGGGGGTGGCACGTCTGGGGTTGAGGAAGTCATTTACTAGGTTTTCTACTTGCTGATTAATCTGCTGCAGGTCCAGCCGCTCATCAGGGTCGTCAGGTGCACTCCCACTGTCTGGGCTAGATGCGCTGTCGAAGAAGGTCGCCGCTGCTGCCTGCGCAGCGGCAAGCGCAGCATTGATAAATTGTCGGCGTCGCCGCTTCAGAGACGCATCGTCTTCATTACCAAGCGGCTGCTGCTGCGTTTGCAGTGGGCCTGTTTGCTTCTCGGCTTGTGGCCTATCTTGCGCCTGACCGGCGGCATGGCCGTCCTCCAATAAGTTTCCTTCATCTTCCTGCTGCTCTTGGGGTGTTTCTTCCCATGAAGAAAATAGCGGTAAACTTGGAAAACCGGCTGCCGGCCTTCTTAGGTTTCCTGGTACAGTGCTCTGCACGGACTGATTCTGCGAGTCGCCTTCCAGGGATTGGGCCGAGTTGTGGCTTCTTTGGCTGGACTGCTGCTGTTCAGGCTCGTCAGAAGCCAGTGTCCACTCCTCCTCTTCCTGCTGCTGCTTCTTCTGCTGCGCACCCTGCTCTGTTTGCTGGTTCTGTAGCGCTGCGTGCTTTTTAGGTTCTGTTTCTGCTCTCCGCCTGCCGGCACCTCGGACGTTCGTAAGAGCGGACCCCTCTTGGTGCTGCCGCTGCAGTTGCCACTCCGGAACTACCCCGCTTCCTTTATGGGTATAAGATTCATCCTTGTCCTCCTCTTCTAGATCGTTCGGCTGGCTCGACACCTGCGTGTTCCGCTGGTCCTCTTCCCAGTCGCTCTCAGGGGCCCATGCCCAATCGGTTGAATCTACATCGATAAATTCGTCAAGCTGCTGCACGCGGAGGGCATTGGCAGCAGAGGCTCGTTGATTTCTCTCTGTAGAAGAATTAGGCTTTTGAGGGCTTGGGGACAGCGGAGGAGGCGAAGAAACGGGGGAACCTGTCTTGCCAAACCCCGCAAAAATACCAGTGCTGCGATTCGCATCGCTTTCTTCTACCATCCGACCCGCAGGTTTGACTGGGGGGGAGTACCTTGAGGCAGTGTTGCTCGCGTTCTGGTCATTGAGGATATGTTCACTGAGGAAGTTCAACGGAGATGCCACAGTGGAAACGGGTCCTCGTCGCCCCTGTTGTGCTGCCTCGGCATCAACAAAGCGTTTCTCAAAAGGAATAAGCAGTGCCAACGGCAAGCAAATAAGAAGGCAATGAATGTTGAACCTCCTTGTAGTGCCCATGGGCTCCGTAATGGGCCTGGGGGCTTCCTTCATTGCCGCAGTCGGACTGGGGAAAAAGGCTGCGGGTGCCTGGGAAACGAGCGACCGCTGTGGATGGCTGTCGCACTTTTTTCCAGCGTGGGGACACTGGGACGAATGCCCGCCAGAGCCCCTTAAAGGGATGAAAAATAGGTTAGATGACAGGGGTGACTAGTGACCGTGGGCCAGTGTTGGCGTGCTTCAAGATGCTCACTGATTGGTTTTCGCAGATGAGTAAACTTCCTGGTTTACTGTTAGTAGAGTAATTTTCGCGTGGAAATCCACGCATTGACTGACGAATACTTCCGCCGGATGGCGCTGTCTTTCGTGTGCCCCAACCATGCAATGCAACGACTGCAGACAGAAAAAGGCGGAACACCTATAAAAAATGACTTTGGGTGGTTCTTCAGGTCAGTTTCAATAAACTTTCTGCTTTTTGAGCGTAACTGGCCATGAGAACGCAGCTGAAGGTCAGGGCTCCTAATCCATTCCGTGCAGGCTGCGGGAATGAACCTCTACGTGGCAAATAGAATTTTAGGATCCTTCACAGATTAAGGGAGCAGCATAGATAATGGGTTTAAACGCTAATTATATAATTGCACGGCTGGAAACTACTTAAGGCTTAGATGCAGAAAGACTTTTCCCAGGTTCCACAGAGCACGCAGCATTCCGACACGAACGAACGCCTCCGCCCTGTTCAGGGGTCACCAGACCACCAAGGAATACTTAACAAACAATGGCTGGCCTTCCAGATCGTGATTGGCAATGCATAGTTTAGTGCTAATCAGATGATAAAATCAATTGAACTTAAGACGTAGATGATTTCGTTCTTCTTTCGGCATTAACGGGATTTGCGCACTCTGAACATTGCTGCTTACCAGCGGCACGACACTTATTACTGGGTCCATGCAAAAGTGTAACATCATCTTCAAGATATGCATCCGCTTTTTTACTCTATTTATGCCATAAAGAAGCTGAATTCTATTGAAAAAGCACATCTAAGTTCCGAAATGACGAGTACCGTGGGAGAGGGCATAAAACAGCACCGCGGGGAATAAAAAGGAAGCAGAAGCAGCACCTCTACGAGGAACGCTGCTTTTAAGGTTCAATTCCTAGGTTTTGTGGCAGTAAACAGCTAGTAGCACAATCCAAGTACTCCATAAGCCTATTTCAGCGCACATGCTCGGAGGGCCGTGCACAATGAAAAATACTTTAATACCACTCAAATCAACAGTCCTACACAGAGTCTTGAATGGCTCGATCTGAAATGCTTGTCTCTTATTCTATGGAATGATATTACGCGTCCGGGCCTGTACGAAGAATCCCTGTGGAGGACCCTTTCGCTCTGACTCGCCCATTTGTGCGTAGAGATACCCTCAGTGCATGTAGCAGAGGGGCATGCTGCTTCTGAGCCTTTACGGTTGTTAGCCTCACTGACTGGGAGCTGTAGTCCCTCCTCTCTCCAAAAGGATAAATGCTAGGGCGCATGAGAGAGCATGCATCACTGCTTTGGTTTTTCGGCAAGCGAACAAAAGGGATACATTCCCTTCAACATCCTCCGCTCTAAATTGTGTTTACGATGATTTGTTTCTCTTCTCATGCACGCCCTATTAGCAACACTCTGTGCATGCACACTGGTGCAAAGCGGTTTGAGCGCGCATGCGCGAAAAATGGCACACGTGCTCATGCCCGTGCCCACAAGCCTCAGTGCTCATCTATCGGTTTTCAGCTTGTTCAACGCTACCGTCGCGATCTTTCGTGAGACCGCGAACGCCTGTCTCTTTCCCTAGACCTGGAATGCCTATGTCTCCTCTCCCTGGATCGGGATCTGCGCTCTCTGCTCCTTGAGCGCCTCTTCCATTGCTCCGGGCTTGGAGACCTTGAGCGGGTTTCGCCCTCCGACCCCTCGCTTTCGTCGCTCTCTGGAAGCCTTATAGGGGCGGGGGGGAAAACAAGTTTTATGCTCTCTTCCTCCATGGCCTTCTGCTGCTGCTGTTGCTGTTGGTGTAGTTGCTGCTGCTGGTACTGTTTATTGCTCTTCTGCTTCTTCTTTCTCCCAAACTCGTCGAACGTCTCCTCGTCTGAGTCATGCTCCCGCCTATCACTCGGATCCTGAAGGTCAAAGTGCCCTCCACCCCTCCCCATACGGGGCTCATCAAAGGCGGATGGCTTCGGCGCATTGCAGATGTTGCATGTCGTCCGCCTTGCCCAATTTAAATTCCCACAATGACCGCACGTCCAGTCACCCTGACGCATAGGGGGCCCTCCTGAGGGACCGCCGCCGCTGCCAACCCCCTTAGGCCTCGGTTTCCCGCACCTGTTGCATCGCGTTCGCTTTGAGAAATTGACATTCAGACACGCTGGGTCTTCGCACTCCCAGTCTCCTTCCCTAAGAGGCCTCTGGCCTGCGCGCGGCCTGCCTGGAAGGGGAGGCGGAGGGGGGGTTAGACCCGCTGGTAGTACTGCTGAGGCGGGAGGGGGCACAATAGATGGAGGGGAAGGGCAGACTTCCACGATGCCAGGTGCGGCAGGGGATACAGCACCAGGTACAGGTGTAGGACATGCTCCCGGGGGGGCACCGGCAAACATTGTGTAGATAGGCACTTCGCGAGGAACAGAGCGCAAGGGGAATGTTTCTTCAAGGCCGTTTGGTGGCAACTCGGCGCTTAACGCTGCAGGAAGGAGAATGTGTTGCCGGAGGGGACCTTGCCACGTTGGTGACCCTCAGCTTTTACTGTGGGTTCAAGACAAATCAGCCAAAGGACACCAAACTTTCAACAGTGTGACACGAATAGATGCAGTGGAAACAACTCCGCGTTGGCACGGGAAAATGGGCACCCTCTCTGGATGCAAGATTGCAGGGAAGCCCAGAGGTACTGCCTTGCACCTCTCCCCAATGGAACATGCAGTTCCAAAGTCCTCAGATAACGAAAAAAAAGTAGAAAAGTGAGTTTTGGCAGGAAAGGCGGGTACCCTGCCTCTCGTTTCGCACTTACTGTGGAGGGAAAGGGGCCCTCAGGGGCCCCCGACGCATGCAGTGCCTCGGGGCTCACAGCGGCCCACGGGCGTCCTTGGCTATAGTTACTACTTGACTGTGAACTTTCGCTTATGCAATTCATAGAGGGAGAAGGGGGGCTTAGAAAGCAAGAAGAGCGTGCATCAGCTCACATGCACGCAGGGGCCCCCTGGAGGGGCCCCAGTGCTGCCCTGACTACCGTCTCGGAAGGCAGGTTTTGCCTTCTCGCTAAGATCCGGACAGGTGCGCGTTTCGCGTTAGGGGCCCTGCGAGGTCCCTGTCAGCACGTGGGAGGAGGCGTATGCCTTCATTTCTCCGAGAGATTCTGAAGGGTGCTTGGTTGCGAGATCGCATCTCGCTCGCACAGGGAAGAAAGGGTCCTTTGGGGGCGAACCAGAGGTAGTTAGGTGGACCCTTCTGCCTGGATCCTCCGACGAAACCCCGCTCGCCCTTCGCGAAAGCGCTGAATCTTTTGTATTTCTGCCTCCTCCTGCTCTGCGCAGGCTCCCAGGCTCAAGAACCCCAATCGCTGCCAAGATGGATAACTTATCCTTGATCCGGCGTTTGCTTCGGGGATCTCAGCAGACGGCAGCATCGCAAGCCTCCCAGGCCTCCTTATCGGCACTGCAGGCGCGCGCAGGTGCACCGGGCTCCTTCGTCGTTGCTCAGGCTGCCAGCTGTGAGAGTTGCGGAAGCACTTCCCCATGCAGCGTTGATCACAGCGGATACCTAATCTGCGTCGAGTGTGGTGCTCGCCAAGAAGGTCAGCAGATCGGAACGCGAGATGAAGAGGCCGAATTTCAGCTACTGCAAGCCAGTGGGGCCATGGGGAGTGCGCGAATTCGAGCGTCCGAGTTGTTAGGATCCGACGCTGTTGCTGCAGCTCTCGCGACTGTAGGCTTTGGAGGTGGCGCATCCACCGAAGCGGGAGCTCCTGTTGTTTCCGTGCCTGCTGCTCCTGCAAAGCAGAGGACCATCGACGAGGAAGAGGAGGGCGACAGCGAAGGTGAATGGGGCGAGAGGGGGGGGGCCGCTTCTTCAACAGCGGCGGCAGCAGCTGCTGCTGCTGCACGCGTCTCTCGGCAACAACAGCAGGCGCTCGGCAGTTACTGGCAACATCCACTCTTGTGGCTAAATGCGGAAGAAGCAGCAGGAGAAACTATCGGCTCAGATGGAGCCGTCTCCGACGCGGCCTTACTCCGTTGTTGGGCCCTCCTGCTACAGGCCACCTGCCGATTGCTACAGGATGAATTCGGCATTTCCGATCTCCTAGAGCTTGAAGCGAAGAAGGTAGGGCGACACGTCTCCATGGAGTTGCTGCTACTTCCTTCTCCATAGCGCTCCTGTTGCTTCCATCTCCATAGAGCTGTTCTTGCTTCCCTCTCCATAGAGCTGCTGCTACTTCCCTCTCCATAGAGCTGCTGCTACTTCCTTCTCCATAGAGCTCCTGTTGCTTCCTTCTCCATAGAGCTCCTGTTGCTTCCTTCTCCATAGAGCTTCTGCTACTTCCTTCTCCATAGAGCTCCTGTTGCTTCCTTCTCCATAGAGCTCCTGTTGCTTCCTTCTCCATAGACCTGCTGCTACTTCCTTCTCCATAGACCTGCTGCTGATTTCTTCAGAGCTACTCTCGCTTCCTTTGCAAATGTCTATTTTCTTCCTCATACGACCTTTTACGGGGCTGTATAATGTGCGAGACTGAGACAGCGCCGTGTCTCTCGTATGGAGAGGCGACTGCGCAACCGGATGCCCCCACTTCAAGCAACGAACCAGTGCCGCTAGGATTGCTGGTGTGCGTGTGTGTGTGTGTGCGTATTTTTAGGTCTTGCTGCAGTACCTTAGTTTCTTGTCACGTCATGAGCTGCCTGTAGAGACTTTCTTCTGCAACATTGCCTCAAAGGTCATTAAGGTCCCGTGAGCCGCTTATGCAAAAAGCCACAATTACTCTGGCCGCTGGAGGCGTGGCATTTTCCCAAGGAGTATCGCGCAGGGGCTGCCTTTTCTCGCCGAATGCCACTCTGCCCGAGCCTGCGGCTTGCTTGCACGCTTGTTGCTTTAGATTGACACTTGTGGCATATACATATGTAGATGTGGACGTATACGTGTACCGCATGAGTGCCGTCTTTGGCCCCTCTGCGCCGCTACTCTCTCTCAGGACCACGCGAATCGTTTCCCACACTCAGAAAATTGCAGAAGCATTGCAGGCGCAACAACAAGAGCTGCTGCAAGACCCTTTAGTGCCTCCACTTTTGAAGGAAGGTTCGCATGCTTCCATGGAGCTCTTGCATCAGAGATTTTCTCTCCTGCGTGTCTGCGTGTGTGTGTGTGTGTGAGTTTTCCTTGCATCCCGTTCTGCCTGCCTCCCTCCCGGGAGAGCCTCTCAAGTAGTTACGTTTTAGGGTTGCAAATGCATGTTGGACTCTGCTATCCTGCCCTGGCTCTTATTCGTGTCGCATATGATTTTTGCTTCTCCCATAGCCTGCCCTTTCCTCTTATCCGCCTGTCTCCGTCCTGGGGTCTCCTTCCTGTCTGCCCGTGCGACGGCTTGCCGCGCTGTACGCGCCTCTTTCTGTGCTTCTCTTGCTTGCCCATCGCAGTGGCTCTCCTGAGAATAATGTCGCCCTTTCTCGCTCTCTCTTCCCACCTTTTTCTACATGTGTTGCGGCGTACCAAGCACCCTCGCAGAGCCTGTGCTTCTGATGCTATGCTGAGCACCGGGCGCGTTTTTGCTGCAGCCGTGCGATTTATGGGCCTCGACCGCCTGGCGTATGTACAGCAGATGCTGCCTGCCCGCAGCAGCCAGAGGGAGGCTTTCTCCCGCAGACGCTTACGCCTCCTCACGCGTAGAGAGATGCGCCCACTCTCCGCAGCAGCGGTGGCTCTCCCACAGAGCAGCGGGCAAGCGTCGATAGCAACGGCCTCCGCTGCCGCCGCTGCCGCATTCCCAGCGGCCCTCCCCCCGCACGCCACAGGGGGAGCTTCTGCTCCGTCTCCTCTTGGAGAAGCCGTTATGCTGCATGCGGCTGGCCGTGTAGCTACACCGGCACGCAGGGCAACTCGCGGAGGGTGCGCGGAACGTAGCAAGAACTTGCCGCAATCCGCTCAGGGCGAGTTTGTAGCGTTGCCTTTTGTGCTTCCCCCTGCAGCCGTGCGATCTCGGGATGCCCGCGTTGCAGACCGACTGGCGGCCGTTCAGCGTCTCCTACCACTAGTAGAGCAGCGACGTAGTGAGCTGCTGGAGGAAGTGCAGGAACAGGAGCAACCGCACGAACGTGGCGAGGAGGATGCGGGGGAGGTACGTTTGCATGCGAAGCGACAGCAGTTGTTGGCAGCAGCGACGTCCGCTGTTGCTGCTCTGGGACCTCCGTCTTCCCAAGCAGAAGCAGCCGCCATCGCGGCTGCTGCCGGTGCGGGGATAGCAGGGCAGTCACGACGTCGGAAGCGGACGGGGGGAGGAAGGGGTAGCAGCCGAGGAAAGGCACTCCCAGGACGGGGAGCTCATGACGACCACGCCGACACAATGCTCTCTGGAGTGTCACCTGACATATCACGTCCTTTGCTGCGTCTGGTAGCACACGAGCGTTCTCTCGCTCTCGGTAAGCAGCCCATCTGTCGTAGGCTTCAAACGTGGACCTATTCCCAACACGCACACTATTCTTTCTGACCCTATGCAGCTTATGGCCTCACCTCGCCCTGCCTTCCTTCTCTCCCTCTCTCCTTATCTTCCTCCTACTTGCACTGGGAGTTCTTCTTCTTGCCGTGCGACTGCCTCTCTGTGGATCTGCTCGGGGGCACTGCACAGTGTATATCTCTGGAGATCCCGTCTTCTCCATCCCCATTCCTCCTTGCGTTCTTGTGTGTCTGTCGCCGCTAGAATGTTTTCGTATTTGTTTTTTGACGCCTCTTGCATGGCTGCACTGGCTGGCGGCTGTCCACTTTTGCGGCATTCTTGCCTCCACGCACCGCATGGCTCCAGTAGGTGCCGCTCTGCGCTCGAGGGCTCCGCCTCCCCATGAGAATGCCACCTGCCATCTGCGCTTACCCCTTGCTGACTGCAGGCTCTTTAGACGTCTCCCTTGGCCCCTCCCAACGATCCGCATGGCGCCGGATAACGTCAAAAACTGTAGCAGAAATAGTGAGGAACACGAATTCTCCCTGCCTCCCGGGAAGCGGGGGGGGAGGATGGGCAAAGGGAAGGGTTGCGAGGCAGAGGAGTGATCTTTCGGTTGCTAGTGCTGCTGCTGTTGCTGCTGCCTCTTCAATTGTATAGTCGCTCCCTACAAGTGTCTTGGCATTGATGGCTCCTCCACGAAGCAGCATTGGAGGCACTCCCATTACCAACGCAGCCTCTTACCCTTGCTAGCCGCAACCCAAAGAGGAGAAGGGTGCGTCTAAGATGCAGTCGTCTGAGTGCTCCTGCGACACGTTTATAGGTTGACGCGGTGTACGAACACGACTTTGTGTTTCTGCTGCTTTTGCTAAAGCACCGGCAGCAGCAGCAGCACCTGCAGCAACAGTTGCAGCAGTTGCAGCAACAGCAGCGCAGCCGCCTTTCCCTGCCACAGCTGTGTAATACACCTTGTGAGCAACAAGAAGCGTCTTTGGACGCTGTGGACGATGTGGAAAAAGCTGTCTCAGTAGCAACATCAGCAGCAGTACGCGGCGCAGAAACAGATGCGACAACAGGCGGAGCAATACCAGTGAGAGGGGGAGCAAGTGAGGGCGAAGACTCTGATGAAGACCTTCCGCTATCTCTGCTCCCTTCAGCAGAGCGGCGTCTGTCTTCCTCGGCTTCTGGCGCACCAGAAATAAGAACAGGAGCAGTTGGTGCTGACGGTGCATCTGCTGTTTCGAAAGCTATGGGCTTTCCTAGAGGGACCCTTCCACTCTGCAGTGCCCGCTTCCGCTCAGGTGCTCACTGCGGCTTCTATAGTCTCCCAGCGTCTCAGATGCTGCCGCTCGACCAGGCAGTGATCTCAACGAACGCGACACTAACTCCGCCGGGCGCCCTAGAGCCTTTCTCGCCAGATGGTGGATCGCGAGAAGAGAGACAGCTTCGGCAAGCACAGCTTCCCGTGGTGTGTTACGGTGCTGAAAGCCGGGATGCAGCAGAAGAGGCTGAAAATTCACCGAAACGCACGAGGACGCAGCAGCCTTCCTCCGTAATTAATAGCCCTAGCAACGACTCTACAGCAGTAGCCTCAACAGCCTTGGCGCTCCCCCCTGTGCGCAGCCACAGCAACACCAGCAGCCACACCAGTGCCCCTCTGCTACAGCAGCGGCTGGCACTCACGACAGACCGCGTGCAGGGGGCTGCTTTTGGCGAGAACGCTGCTGCTGAAAGTGCGGCAGCTTCGCGTGGCATGTCAACAGAGGCGCTGGTGGTGAGAAGGCCGGAAGAGTCGTTTCGCATGTCTGAGCCGTCTGCGCGGGGGGACGAGGCATCACCAGAAAGGCGAACACGCTACGGGAGCAAACCAGCGGACCCATTTGCCGCTTTTGGGGGTGATGCAGCTGTTGGCACTTCGTTTCTTCTTGATGCTACAGACCAATTGACCGGAGGGCTTCGACGGCGGCGGGGAGCTCCCCAGCCGGGGGCGCTTCCTGTCGACGTTAGTCTTCCTTGTGCATCGCAGCTGCAGCAGCAGCTGCAAGCTTTCCCTCCCCGGCAGCAGCAGCTGCTGTTGCAGCTGGAGGCGAAGCGAGGGACGCTGAGGCGGACAGGGCTGTATCCCTCGATCTCTCCGGACTGGCTTGGCTATGTCAGCACGAAGCGGCTGCAGGAGTTATCGGGGTTGACAGCCTCGAGCTTCTTCGCTGCCTTTGGCATCAATGCATGCGAGGGTCTTGGGAAGGAGGTGGAAGGAAGCGCCCACAGGGGGGGGCAGCACGGGCCGAGAGGCAGAGTGACAGCAGACAGGCAGAAAGGCATTCAGGGGACGTGGGGGCCAGAAACCGAGCTGCGAGCGACGACGCTGGACCTCATGGCACGACTTAGCGCTGTGCGTGTTGTGTGGAGGCGCTGTGTGCTGAAAGCTTGCTTTCGACATGTCGCAAGCGTCACAAAAGCCTGTCTTCCGCATCCTCAAGACGGAGAAAAAGGAGCTGAGGCAGCCGCAAGGGCAACAGGAGCACTCGCAGTAGGTAGTTCGGCGGTTGTGGCGATTGCGCAAGACGGCGATGCAACGGCTTTGCCAGCTGCTCGAGCACAAGAAAACAGCGGCGAAGAGGGTGTGCTGCTGGTGCCTCTGAGGAGCTGCAGCGGTCGCTTTTCGCTGCGGCGCGTAGCTACGGAGGGGTTGGAGGTGTCTTCCATACATCCAGAGGCCTTGGGCCCCGAGCCATTGCTCTCAGGTGTATGTACGGCCAACTTTTTAACGGGCAGTCGGCTGTTCTCTCCGCACCTTCCTCCCCGTCTGCCACCACTAGATTTTGACCTTCTGTTAGCTGTGCTGCTGCTAGCCCTGCGCCGCTGTCGTGTGGCTATCACAGCATCGGATCTCCTCCGACTTCTCTTGCAGGTTCGTCGTACTAAGCCCAGTAGCTCAAGAAACCGGCTGCTGTCTCCCCATCTACTAGCGCGAATGTGCGTGTACTTGTGTACGTGTGTGTGTAAGAGAGTGTTTGTGTATGTAAGTGTGTGGTTGTGTGTATAAGTGTAAGTGTGTGTCTATGTAGGTGTGCGCCTATGTAAGTGTGTGGTTGTGTGTCTATATTAGTGTGTTTCTATGTAAGTGTGTGTCTATACAGGTGTGCGTCTATACAAGTTTGTGTCTATATAATTGGGTGTCTATGTAAGTGAGTGTCTGTGTAAGTGAGTGTCTAAATAAGTTGCGTCTATGTAAGTGATTGCGTCTATATAATTGTGTGTGTCTATGTAAGTGGGTGTCTATATAGGTGTGTGTCTATATAGGTGTGTCTATATAGGTGTGTGTCTATATAGGTGTGTCTATATAGGTGTGTGTCTGTATTACTGTGCGTCTACATGAGTGTGTGCGTGTAGATGATGCTCTTCCATCTTTCTTGTATCCAGCCGTCTGCCCCTATATGTGTGTGTCTGTAAGCGTGCTGCCCAACACTTTGTGAGTGCCCTACTGCTGTAGCTGTTTCTGCTGCTGGTGTTGCTGTTTTGCTGATGCAGAACCGCATCGCCACTCTTGCACTGTTGCGCCTAGCTCCTCCAGCTCTGTGGCATCAGTGTCGCGTTTCTACGGGAGCTCTCCTGCAGTTATCCTCGCATGGGGACGCACCAACGGTGGCTGCTGCTGCCTTACAGCCGCAGGCACTTCCGCATTCTTTTCGGCTGCATACTGTATTACAAGACTTGGCAGCTGTTGGCGTAGGAGGGGCCCCCCCCCTAAATGCGGCGGCGCTCATTGTGAGGCTAGGGTTTGCTTTACGACTGCCTCCCCTTGTGATAGTTCTCGCGAATGCGCTGCTGCAAGAGGTCCTGCCAGAGCAGCTGCTCCGGCTGCAGCACAAGCTGCGTTCGGCCCAGGAGTATAGACACATCAAAATTCCAAAGATGCATCCGTTCGTGCCCTCTAAAATTAGGCGTCCTATGAGGCGGCATCCCCCCGTCCACATTCGTAAGGGAATGGACCCCCACAGGAAGCTTACCAGCCGGCCTGTTGGTGCTGCTGCTGGTGGCAAAGTAACTCGTGTTGATGGAGAAGGGCCGCATGGCAGCGCTAGCAGCGACCACGATAGTGCCGCTACAGCTTCGTTTGGCCTGAAGCGCCGACGCGTGGCGGCAAGTAGGGGCCTTTCTTGTGCTGGTGTCGTAGAGGCAACGGCGGATGCAGCCTCTGCAGCAGCGTCAGGATCTCTCTCTGATCGCGTTCTGGAAGGGCTGCCAGTGGGAGGGGGAGGCGTCCAGACGGCACTGGTGGCAGCAGATTATGCTGCTGAAAGTGTTAGCTGGAAGCCTCAGGGGGCCCCTTGCAGCGGCAGCGAAGACTGCGGAGCTTCCTCAGCCTTTATGCAAGAGACTTCGAGGAGGCGAAACGGGGAGAATTCGGGGGGCAACCCTCCTAGCCGCAGAGAGGCTTCCCCCCCATCTGTTGCTCTCTCATCCCTAGAGGGGAGTGGTGCTCCTCGAAAACAAACGTCCAAGAGGGGCCCCCGTCGGCTGCCATGGGGTCGCCAGAGGGGGGTCCCCCTGGGGCCCACCGAGAGGGTCGAACTGTCTCCATCGGGGGTGTCCGAGGATCACCCAGACGCGTGGCGGCTGTTAGCTCCCCGCAGCAAAACAAACTCATGGGGCTGCCCCCTCGCGTTTGCGGCTGGCTCCTGCATCCTTCTGTCTCTCAGACTACTCTACGGTATTATGCAGTGGCAGCCTGCTGCACCGCCGAGCAGCAGCAACGCAGCAGCTGCCGCGGCAGCAGCGCCAGCTGCCGATCTTCGAGCAGCCCTGAGGATGTGCGAGCTTGCGGAGCACACGCTTAAGGCACAGGCAAGACACAGCACTGACGGCAGCAGGCGAGACACCGGGATTTGCAGCAGGCAATCACCCGCGCAGCTTGGCACCCAGTGTGACCCCCTGCCCGTGGACGCATCGATCGACTGTGATGCATCCAGCAGACGCAACAGCACAAACGGTGACAGGAGTTCTAGCAGCACGTGCCGAAAAGAAATTCGGCCGTTAGCCGCCTTTGGGGGGCCCTTAACAGCCCGCCGTCTTCCTCTGCAAGTCCTGCGGTGGGCTACTGACCGCTTCTTCGTGTACCTGGATGGCATTTCACTCAACTGGGTAATTGGCATTCGTCATTCTGCAGAAGCAGCTCCTGCACCGTCTGCTGTCGTTGCTGCCTTTGCGGCAGGACCTGCTGCGGAGTCGGAAGCAGATGGCTTCTCTCTCTACTTCTTCCCTTGTCAAGAAGTTGGGGAGAGACGCGCCGGAAGGAAGGCCCTCCGCTTCTTGCTGCTTCAGCACTGTCACAGGAAGCTGCAACCCCAACTGGGGCAGCCGCCACAGCAGAGGGATGACTTGCTACCGCCTCCACTGCTGCGCCTGTTTCTTAGCCCGGAGGTGTGTTTCTCGTGTAGCTACACTAGCGCATGCATGCATCAGAAGCCGCACCAACGACCTCTAGGGCCCCCTGAGCTGCACCCTGCACGCTGCCACAGGGATCTTGAATGTCTCCTCTCCTCAAACGCCCCTACAGGGTCGTCCTGCCAGGACCTGCTGATGATCTGGACAGAGAATTATTAGCGCATGCCTCGCTGAATCCTTGTCGGTTGGGAGGTTTCGGATTCTTGTGCTCTGTATTTTCGCCAAATGCCTAGGGTGCTTTGGGGTCGAGGGCTTGTGTTCGCAGGGAGGCGATCTCGCAGGATTGCTGGAATACTTCGAATCTGTAGAGGCGGAGGCAGAGGGGACCTCGGGCCGTATCCTGTCAGTCTGCGGCGGGGGAGAGGCGGAGGAGGCGCTGCTTGAGCAGCAGCTGCTGCTTCAGTATAAGGAGAGCGCTGCACGCTCACGACGGCAGCAGCAGCAACCGCAACAACGACCACAGCTCGATGTGCCCTCTTGGTGCTGGAAATGCCAACTGCCGCCTCCGCTTGTATCTCCTGTTGCCTCGGGTGCAGTCACTGGGGCCTTTCACGCTGTTAGGTCGCATGTGGCTGCTGGGGAGTCGACGCAGGAGCAGATGCAGGAGCTTTCTGCGCTTTGCGGATTAATAGGGACCGAGGTCTTCGTGGAGCGGCTGTGGGAAGGCCTGCCGAATAATCGGCAGTTGCTCAATCGCTTGCTGTCTCCTGCAGCAACGGGTAGTGCAGCTGCTGCCGCAGGCAACTTGCAGCTGCCTGCTGTGGCGGAGGCTGATCGGACGACTGTGCTAGACGCCGACTTGGGCATGAAGGCGTGGACGCTAGGGCCCCTCTTGCATCAGCAGCAGGCCCTGCAACGGGCTGAGGAGCTGCTTGTCTGTCGCCCTCTCCATTCGCATGCAGCAGGAGCGCTTGCTGCAGCGCGGACCAAGGCTGCTGTCGCTGCTGCCGCCGCTGCTGCTGCTGCTTCTGCAGATACGCAGCAGCAGCAACATCGCCAGCGGCAGCAGCAAGAGAGTGGCGCCATTGTAGAGACTGAGGGCGACGCTATGCCGCTCGCGGAGGTAGCGGAGGACCTAGAGAAGGCCGTAAGCATTGCAGCGGCAGTATTTGGACACATTGGAGTACTTCAGGAGCAGGAGCTGCTGCGGAGTCAGAGCGCAAGCGGCAGGAGGCTGCGTCGAGCCGACAAGGAGAGCCGCAGAAAGCTGCGAAGGGGCGGCGAGAACAACACTGCGGGGGCCTCGCTGATTTCCGAACTTCAACCTTCTAACAGCACCGGCAGCAGCAGCAGCAGCAGCCGCAAAGAGAGGCACAAACCCTTTACCGCCAGTAGCAGGAAGGGACGTCCAACATACATGGATTCTTCCAGCCACTCAGTTAGTGCAGCTGAGGCGTGCCAACCGTGTATTTTGATCCCCTTGCAGCCCGCCCCGCGTGCGCTGGTCCAGCGCTTTGCTGAGGAGTGCTTCGAGGAGCTGCCGCTGCTGCCACTCCCCTCTGCTGCTGTGTCTGCTGCTGCGACTGCGCGGCAGCAGGCCCTGGAGTGCCTCAGGGAGCAGCAGCGGCAGCGTCTTCAGTGGCTGGGGACGCCTTATGTGTGCTACGAGGGAACCGCAGAGTCTCTATACCAGTTGCTAGTTGCAGCGCTGCTGCAGCAGATGGGCTGTGCGGACTGCTTGATGAAGGAATGCAGGCCCCAGGGGTTATCCCCTGTAAAGGACAGCAGCACACCAGGGGAATTGCTCGCCGTGGATGCACCTACAGTGCAGACTGCGGATGCCTTACCCCACAGCCGGAGCTTGGTCGGCAGAGTAGCGGAGTTGACTCAGTCTTATTGTTTAGACGCTCCGGAGGCAACGCGCGATTCGGGGCCGTCCCCAACGGCAGCAGTGACAGTTGCACAGAGTGATGCTCAGAGGCCTTTAGAGGCGCCTCAGCAGCTGCCACACCCCGAGAGCGAGCAGCAGGAAGACTTGCACAGCAAATACGCAGCGCCAGACTGGTCCTTCTCTGCCTTCCTGCCCAAAGGGGCCTCCAGCGAATTTGGCCTGCGAGGCGGAGACGCCTCCAGCGGTTTCCTTGAGGGCGCTGGCTGCGGGAGCGGAAGGGCCTTGCCACTGCGGCTCGAGAATGCGTGTAGCTTTGCAACGAGTAAGGCAACACGCCTTTCGCGCCGAGCGCGATCGGGGCAAGGCAGCGGGAGAAGACAGAGAGTCACGGATAAGCTTTGCGGAAGGGAGGGAAAGCGGGTGCTGCGGTTGGCGCTGCCATGTGAGGCTTGGTTCTGTCTGTGTTGCGTTCAGGCCGCTTCCCTTTTGCCTACAGTATGGCCCTCATGAAGGTTGCTGATCAGCTGGGTGTGGGGCCCGCCGAGCTGCACTCGGTAAGGCGCGTTTAGGGCCCCCCCTTGACTCGTGCTGCTTCGCGGACTCTCCCGTGTGTCTTTGGCTAGTGTTCTATGTTAGTCATCTTCCAAATTCCGAGAGCTGTTTCTTTCTGGCCGTGTCTTACTTCCTGGCCCCGCGCGTCGTCTTGTTTTTCCGCCTTTCTCGCGGCTTGTTGGACTTAGCGTCTGTTTTTTTGCGTGTGCGCTTCTTGCTCTCCCAGGGTAGCTGGCTCCTGCCTCGCCCATAGGCACTTCGGAGGGCCGGCTGCCGATTCTTTAGGGGGCATCTGTTCTGTTGCCTTTCTGATGGCCTTGCTGACTACCGCTACAGGTTTGGGGTGTGTGCGCATGTGAACTGCAGGTTGCCCAGCAGTGCGAGCGATGGATTGTTACGAAATTCTTCAGGGAGCACCTGCACTGCCGCTGGCCCCTCTAAATCCTAAGTCCTAGCAATACAACAAAACCACTATATGAACAAACGCATCTGCAACTGCGATAAGTAACCTCTAGAACGGTGCTCGGTGCTCCGGTTCGTTTGGGGCAAAGGCCAGACAAAAAGCAAACGGCCCGGCTCTCCCCTATGTGCGACGTCCAGCGGGGGGGAAGGGGGAAGCGGGGGAAGTAAAAATTTTCTCCCCTAAGGGATTCACGACAGGTGCTATCTCAAGAACTGCTCCCGCCGAATCATCTAGTGGGACGAACGGTCTGTTGTGCAAACGCGGCCCAGGGCCCTCAGGAACCGGCTGTGCTTATTTTAGTGGCAGACACAATAAATCCACTGGGAATAGCTATGGTGCTCTGCATGATGGGGTGCGTGCGGCCTGGAACAACCTGCGAGATGCAGCAATTGCAATAGGAGACGCAGCCCTAGTGGATGAAAGGCGCTTCTGCCACACGGAGATGACCGATACATTTACGTAGCACTCCAGAGAAAGGCAGGAATCGGGTAAGCAGTTGGATTGGCATAGCACATAAGGGAAAGGAACACAGCAGAAACAAGAATAGAGGCAAACAGAATAGGCCCTATGCGTTGGCGTAAGGGCAGAAGCACAAGATCCACAGTGGGGAGACAGAGCCAGCGTCCAGACACACGGTGTAGCGCAGTGCTCTGGGTCGTGCCATTATCGCTCGAAAACGCAGGAAAGGAGCCGAAAGCACAGCTGAAACACCGTAAGAATCCGCCATGGAGGCCTCACACATTCAGCTGCAAAGTGAAAGGGGGCGGGCGCGGCATGCGCACCTGAAATTCCCGCAAAAGCAGCTCCTCTAGAGATATATGCACAAAGTCCCGAGAGGCACATAGCGCGGAGTGCACGCATCCCGCAAACTCGAACGCCTGCGTGAAGAGTACCAACCGGCCCCCTGCAGCGACAACCGCAGCAGCAGCCAAGGCAACAGCTGCAGGCGTACAGCACAAGGAACTACCACTGTCGCCAGACAACCGTGGAAAGCCTCTGTTTGTTGGAATGCTCCTGTTCAACTGTTAGAAGTCCCCGAAAGGCCCATTGAGGTTCCCCCACGTACCTGGTTTGAGATATCGGAATGCCACAAGAAGCGCCCTATGGACCAGCCGAGCGAAAAGCTCATATTGCGTCATGGTACTGTCTCCTTGCTGCTTCTTGACTTTGTATGGAGACACAGCAGCAATGAACCCGTCTATGCCTCCGTCTCTCTCGATTTCCGCTACCGCCGTTAGCGCGCATCGCCGCAGGTGCTGCTGATGCTCCTGCCGCATCTGCGCTGCCCGTTCCTCGGGAGTTTGGTTTCCGCCATTTGAAATCCTCTCCGTGTTTGTGGGGGACTGCGCATGCTGCCTAACCAATTCCTCATGAAGGACGCCATCATGGCGATCCTGCAAAATCTCCAGCAACTGCGAAACACAGCATCCAGAAACGAACAGACATCCAGGAGCCCTCAACTCCCTAAACAGCAAAGCGCCCCAGATGACAGGCCAGATGCTTTCTGCGTAATCCGCCACTTAGCAGCCTTCCTGCGTCCCACCCAGGCAACCCGCCACTAAGCAAAAAAAGCCTTTTGTTATCCCAGTCCGAATAATGCACTGCATGCAAATGCCCGAGCCATCCGTTTGCGCGTACAGTCACACATGCGAACCTCAAACCCTCACGTGGTCAATATTGACGTCTACGAGGCTCGCAAGGAGAGATGCAGGGAGTTCGGCGTCTCTAAGGGCCTTGTCGCCCACTGTGCCGCCCTCAAGTAGACGAAAAACACGGCCAGCGTCTGAGAAGAGGAGCCAACCAATAGGGAGCCGTGAACACACGAACAGACACAAGAGAAAGAAGGGCGTGAGCCATCCTAAGCAGCACTGTGCTGAGTAGCTCCCCCAGGCCTCCCTCCCTCCCGTGCCCCCGTCCCCCGTAGCTCCTCAAATATCTGCCGGTTTATATCTGCTACTCTGTCGCTTCTCGTTTGAGCCTTCCCACACTTCTCTTTGCCAACACCACTTCGCCCGAGAGTGATGCAGTTTGTGACCCCCTCTGCCATCGGGCTCGAACGAACCTCCTAGCCTCATAAGGGCCCCCGCTGTGGGGAGGCCAAGTGCGTGGTCAAGGACCATTAGGCGCTGCCCTGGTTCCAAGGAAAGACAGTGAAGAATGCGGCTCAAGTAGTCGTGCCGCAGCCCGCTGTAGCACAGCAACACCCAACCTCCTACGCCCGCTCCAGTTGAGTCCTGAAACCTTTCTTAAGCGGATGCTTCGTATGTACATAACATGTACATTGTACAGACACTCAAAGCGCGGAGCTGAACGTCCCTGAACGCGCTGCTTATGCACACTGCGTATTGAGGCTAGGACTATGCTGTGCAGAGGTTGCCATCTGGAGCATACTCGTAAAACACGCCAGGTAAAGCAAGCACCAATGGCCTAAGCCTTGCGAATACTTCCACAACACGCATGCATGCATAGACATGCAGTAGCGTCGTCTCATGCAACACTACAAACCGTCAATTATACCCAGGCCCCGCACAACGAACAAAAAACAGGAAGCTTTCGCTAGCTGCGCCACCCGGAGCACTGCGACGGGCGCAGGGAGCATCAGGGCTACCCGGCAGGAAGCGCTGTAAAACACACGCTCATAAAAGGGGTCCTTTAGCATCTGCTGCTGCAAAAAGAGAGCAGCAGCAAGGACAGAAGCAACAACAAGATGTGGCCTTACATGATTTTGGTGGGATTCGTTTCGAAGTAGTACTGACAAAGCTCTGAGAGGGAAGCCTCCAGAACTGTAAACTGCTTTATATACCTATGAACAAACAGACACACACCCGATTCTACTTCTGGTACTGCAGCTGCTTTTTCTGTGATGCAACTGGCAAAGCATGCAGGTCGTCCTGCTGCTCTTCGCGGCTATGCCCCACTGCTTGCCGTGGCTTGCCTCTTGGCCTTCTTCATGATATACTTTTCCTTAGACATCTTCGTGCGTTGCTCGAAAGTTGTACTGTTCGCCGCCACCTCACGAATTACTTCCGCGGCTGAAGTGCCTGCACGCAACACACATAGCCAGTGCACTAGACGCCGCTCCTGAAGCGGCTTCCACAGATGCTTCGAACGGTTCTCATGCGTTCCCCCTGATGCCAATCCCATGTGCTGGCCTCTCTCGAACTTCCCTGAGTGTTCCTCCCCCTTTTAACTGCCTTGCTGCCTCTCTTTGCTCCCCTCCCACCCCCCCCCCACCCCCCCCGCACCCCACCGGTATGCGGGGTTGCAGTGGCTGACGTACAGACCCTGAAAGTTTCTTGTGCCTCATACCTTCCTTGAGCCGCTCGATCTCCCCGGCACTCAAGCGCTGAGATTCGCCAGAATCCACGATTGCCCGGTTGTCTGCCACCATTGAACCTGCACGTATCCAAAGCCCATTCTTTCGAGCCGAATGCAGGCGTGAATGAAGGCCATCCTTTTCGAGAACCCCCATCACCAAGAGTTCTACAGTGCGAGTTCGCCTAACGAATCCTAAAAAGGCTGAGGAGCGAATTCTGGCCTGTCTTTTGCGCTGATACGCTCGCAGCCATTGTGTGTTGTGACGCATACTTTCGACGTTTTCACTCGTAAGCTCAAGGATGCCCTGGGCAATTTCCTTGTGTCTCTGCGTCCGTCGCCAGCACGAACCAGTCCAGGTAAAGGTGCTACCGTAAGGGGTGCCTGGAATCAGTCCTACATCCAGAGAGAATGCTGAGGGGGCCCCTTGCTGCTCAGTGCTGCAGGCAGCGAACGCAGTCGGTGCAACAAACATAGAGCCCCAAAGCATGCGCCCAAGAATACACACAGTGTGCTTTCGCAGCTGCATGAAGAACAAGGAGCCACCCCTCCCGCCTCTCCCCCCCCAGCAACATCGGCAACAACGGCTGCATCCACGGCCTGCCTGCCTGCCTTACAGGTCTCTTTGCGCCTTCGCAAGGCTCCGTCTCCCTGCAAAGTCTCTCAGAATGACAAGGGTCCCATCAGGAACGGCCTTGCCCGTGAACTCGCCATTTGTCGCTGCGGCGGCTGCTGAGGCGCTCTCCTTGGAGGCTGCCGCTGAGCAGCCGCCGCTAGCCTGGCTGCAAGGGCCCAGCTGAACCTCCGAAGGCTTCAAGCGTCCAGAGGTCTCTACGCGGCGCTTCTTGAGAGACTCGTTATCATTATCCTGGAGCTGCTGCTGAAAGTCGTCGCCTTCAGAGTCGCACAGCAGCGGATTGTTGCTTCCTGTAAGCCACCCCATGGCCGGTGGCCTCAGGAAAACTCTGCACTTTAACCCCTTTCTAGATGCGCTCCTTGTAGACTCGATTTCGCCGAAACACCATATACCAGTTTAGGTGTTTATTGCACTGGAAGTTCTCGCGAACGTGCTGCCTTGGCTCTGGCCCTTCGTGTGGGGCCGCTGGCCGATGCTGAGGACACGTTCTGCAGGGGTGGGTGATCACGGAAGCGCGCGAAGTTCCCCTATGACAGAAATCTCTGTAAAAGAGTTAATTTTACTGGCGTTTATCTGGAACTGATCTTGCAGAGGTCCGCTGTCATCTTTTGGGCTGCTGCTGAGAGGCTTCCGGTGTCGTCTACGGGCGTTGGTCCCCGCCGACACAGAAAATCGGAACCACGAGACAGTCGCTACAGCAAAGCGCCGCTGCCAGGCAAGCCAGAATTTGCGGCTTAAATCTACACCACATGTGTTGACGCGCTACTGCTGCGTTCTATGGGGGTGTTTGCTCCCGAATCCCCAGCCGGGAACGACAGACAGTATGTGGCCTCTGCAAGAAAGGACCGCAGAGACACAATGCGACGCTGGATGTACACCCGGCAGCAGCTGCACAGAAGGCCAGATTGGTTCTTTGTGATACTTCTCCAGTTGCTCCTTCTGCTGCTGCCGCCGCAGTTCTGCTGGGCCTTTGCCACCAGAGACGCACCCAGAGGGACCTCCTTCTTAGTCGAGAAAGCTCATCCACACCGCAGCAGCAGCAGCGGCAGTAAGGATGTCTCGTCTGACTATCTGCATGCGCGTTCTCTTCTATTTCCATCTCGTACCAATACAGTACGAGGTGACCCCCACTCCCGTGTCTTCGCTGCAGGACAGATATCTTCGCAGTTGCGAGGGGATTACAGAGACACCCACCCTAAAACATCATTCGCCTCCCTGCCAATCCCCGTCGTGCTATTGCTAGGGCCTCCCTGCAGCGGGAAGGGCACTGTGTGTCAAGAGCTGCAGCAAAAGCTGGCTGCTGCACACGTCAGCACAGGGGATGAGCTCAGGCGCATTACACAGGTGGCTGAGGAGGCAGAAAAGCACGCATGTAGTGCAGCAGCAGCAGCGACTGGCAGCGTTGCTGGCTTTCCGATCGAGGTCATACAGGCTGTAGGGCAGCGCATGCGGGAAGGACTCCTAGTAGAGGACGCTCTAGTGGCCCAAGTGCTGCAGCATCGGCTCTCTGCTGCTGCAAGAGAACCACTGCGACAGCACCAGACGGAGGCTGTGCTGCCGCAGGTGTTACTTCTTGATGGGTTCCCGCGTACTGCTGCCCAGGTGTCAATGCTGCAGCAGATGGGAGCGTGGCCAGGTGTGCCTTCAGTCTTCACTCGACCTCCATCTCGCCGTCTTTGCAATGCCTCATCTAAAGTTGTCTGCTGTCTCCTCTGCTAGTTAGCACGGAGTAGACAAACTGAGGGGCAGCAGCTGGAGCGCCCTGGGTGTGCTCGAGGGCGATTCATTGCTAGTCCACACTCTGAATAGACGCCACAGCCCGATGTCTCCCCCCTCCCCCTTCACACACACACTCATACCGCTAGCAGTATCTTGATGCCTTTGCCTCTGTTGGTTTTGCTGCAGCTGCGGTGCTGCTGCTCTCCGCCTCTACAGAATATCTTCTCCCTCGACTGGCTGGACGCCTCGTAGACCCTTCAACAGGCACAATCTATGGGCCTCACAGACCCCCTCCTACAACCATGAGTGAGGAACTGCAAGCGGCCAAGAGAGAAGACGATTCTAGCCACATCTTTCACAGAAGAATCCTCACGTATAATGATTGCCTCCCTTCTATTCTGGAGGCCCTGAAAACCGGACGCCCCGCTCCAAAAGTAATCGAAGTAGACGCTACAAGGCACATTGACGACGTGACGAAAGACTCATTGGAGGCCTTGCAATCCCTCCTATCGGACCAAGGGTGTGGGGCCCACGAAGCCTCCCTAAGGTCCCCCGCAGCTCCCTCAAAATGAGGGCCCTTAGCGCCATCTTATGGCTTTCAATGGTTTGTCGATTGCTAAGGAAAGAGTTGTTCTAGCGCGGCATCGCGGTATAAAGGAGTACTGATTAGCTAGCTAGCTCAGGCACAACTCCCGATCTGGCTACCTACTTGATACTGCAGAACACTCCTGATAGGAGCCTCTTTTAGGAGGAACCTTAAGGCCTCAAGGGGGTTCTGGCACTGCTCCCATTCCACTGACTGACGAGCCAACATGATCTCCAGTAAACAACTGGCAAATTAGGTCTTTGAAAACGTTTGCGATCGGTCTTCGAGTGACCAGCCGCGGGTGCCCTCGAACCAACTAGCTAAGCGCCAGGGTGCTCACCTGCTACCCAGCAAAGCTCGTCATGGCACACAAGGACCTATGTACGTGCTCGTTCGTAAGCCACTTTCTTACTAGCGTAAAAGCAAGCTATAATTAAACCTTCCCCGTCGCGAATATGGAGCAAGTTGGTACCAGGGGGAATATGCGCACAAGGATATATAAATTCTCAAAACAATACTAGAACCCTTCCCGAATTCCATAGCCAAGGGTATTTTCGGAGCTCATTACAAGGTTCCCTCTGGCAAGCCTGAGGATTCATTTGCTTGCGAAACTTCGTGATGTGCTCAAAGATGAGATGAGTGCTTGAAAGTACTCGCTGCGTGAATAATTTCTTGTAGTGCTATTGGTCAAGATTCACCTAAAGTTTTTGTTGACCCCCCGAACGTCTGGTGTACTCCTATCGCACATATCTGCCAGAGTGATCTTCGTGGTGCCCGTTGGCTGGTTGGGAGCCGGGTCGCTGAAAGTCCCTCGGCCCTTGCGGTCGCATGTTGAAGGTCCCCCGTGTGCATGCACCCCAGTGAATGTACTCTTGTCGTCATAGAATCTAACGGCATCCATTGGGGTGCCTTTGAACTCTGGCCCTTTCACACCGCCCATTCCTGCCAACAGCTCCTCTAGAGTCTGATTCTTCTTCTTGGCTACAAGGTCCATCGCCTCCTCAAACTCAGAGAATGTCAGACGCACGGAGCCCTGTACAAAGGCGAGCACTCGTGCATACGCAAACAGGACGCGCTCTCTGGCCTCTATGCTCTAATTCACATGAACAGCTGAGGTTACGCCAGCGGCTGGGCATTGAAAAACATCTCAAGGAGGAAGCACTGTTTCCATGCATCGACACTGTGTTGGTTTCCCTCAGCAGAACAAGAAACGAAAAAAAGTGGTAAGAAACCAAAAAAGTTCATGCTTGTTCTATTTTATCGATGGGGGTCTCTTAATACCATAAGGCAGAGAGCTGGCCATTGCCCAGTACACCGACCCACACTATAGAGAGTGGACAAACGCGGAGGGCCCGCTTACCTTGGTTTTGCACTTGGTGAAGATTAGGTCGCAGTCGGTCTGCGTGAGGCCGCCACCAAGGAGTTTGGTGTCCTTACATATCTTCACAAACGTGCGGGAATCTAGATCCTTACCCTTCCCGAAGGAAGCGAATAAGCCCTCCACAGTAGCCATATTTGGGGTTGCAGCGGTCTTCCTCTACATAAATACAACGCACACAGGCAGGATCATTGATGGAACTGTCTACAGAGAGGTATAAGCAACGAAGGTCCATGAAATTGGAGCATCGAAGGGGCCTTCTAGAAAGCCTTCATGACCACATCCTGAACAGCCCAGGCACCATACCCCAGCCATCTGTCAACGCTCCAAAATTTAAAGGTTGTATAATAGAGACATAGCGGATTCGAATGCCGAGGAACATCTCGGGAAGCAAGGAACCCGCTCCTGCCTGCTCGTGGCTCAAAGACCTGAGTCTGACCAGTGGGCGGGGGAGTCCAGGGGCAGATGGGGGACTTCAAGGAGAGAATAATGCGGTATGTTTAAAAGAATTCAGCAATTTCTTGGACTAAATAGCTAATCGAGTGAACTCAGGGGATGAAACGGTAGAACACTTGGCAAAGGCTTGCTCCCTTCTTCCGGGGCTGACAGCATGGTAACCCTCTGTGGAGGGACCATGATGCGAAAGAAAATCCTTGTTTGGTTTGAGTGGTATATCCCCTCGTTTCGGCTTTTAAAAGTGCGTATCTGCTGTACACCTTATGGGGTTGCACACATGCTGGGACACCTTCGGGAGTTGCTGAGGCCGTACAACTCGCGAGGTGGCCGACAGCCCCGAAAGAAGCAAAAGTTCAGGATTGAGAAATGTTAATGGACCCACCTTGGTGTAGCTTCAACACTTCTTGGGTAGGTGTGCAGCAGCGTTTCCAGCAGGTGGCAGAAGAATGGTAGACACATTGCTAGAAGACGATTTAGAACGAAGGGGACAACAGGGACAGAGAGGAGGCATATACCTCCGCGTCCATGAGGCAATGCCTCCAACTAGCCTCTGCAGAAAAGCTCTGCAAGGGGAGAATAGCACATAAGTCTTAGCTCCATACTTCAACTCTCGGCACTCCACTTCTTGCTTTAAGCCACATACCTAAGAGACCTATTTATCTAAGTTTGCTTACTGCATTATTACTCTCCTGAGAGAAAGAATAGCAGTGAAAAAAGACCCAGCCTGGTGTCTTGGGCATCCACCTTTACTCAGCATGTGACTAGTTTCTAAGTGTTTGCATGCTTCGCTAAGGGCATCAAAGTGAACTTCCAGGTAGCTAAGATGCACTTGATTCCTTTCTAATACATTGGTATATTTGACTGAGATTTGTTGACAATTGACGAAAAGCTTCGCCCGTTCTTGTATCTTGCTTAAGACCAGTGTAATAATCCATGCAATAAGAGGGAAATGTGAGTGTGTGCTGAGATACTAGGTGCAACTAGCTGTGGCGCTAGGTACTAGCTTCAACTAGATAAAAAGTATCGGAGCACTTTGGAAGTGGAGTTGCGAGCTTAACAGCCCACCTCCTCCCCTCATGTCTCAACTTTAAAGGGTGCCGACAAAAAACGGTGGCAGCTCCTTGGAAATACCCCAGTAACATATACACAATTCTTGTATTGAGTCCCAAGTTCAGAGAATTTTTTTGATAAAGCGCTAGAATTGGTAGCACCTGGTGGCTTGATAAAGCTGTTCCCCCATGTCCACAAGCTTTTGACGGGGAGATACCTGTTTTCTTTAAAACTACCCTTTAGTGTCGGTCAAGTCATTTGGTCATTCAGTAGCCTGGTTTTCTTTGTCTGCAGTCTGAGAGGGAAAAGCTTCCTTGGCAAGGGAAATCAACGGCAGCCTTGTGCCTGTTGATACGGTATAGTCCGGCTTACAATCTGATGGGAATCAACAGCTCCACAGCCGGTAGAAATGCATTATCTCTCATCCGATGAAACCTGTATAAATGCTTCAGTAAGGTTATGCGAACCAGAAGACTATGAGTGCGACAAGGACGGGCAAGTCTCGCGATTCAATCATTCTGTTGGAGACGTAAGTTGCTTTGTGCCTCGAAGATGAAGAGAAACGAGTGCCGTTGCGGTATGACTATTCGGAAAAGATACGGCTTCAATTGTGAGTCTATTCATACAGAGGAACGCTGCTTGGAGAACGAACAAGGCAGACAAGCTAAACGGGCAGCCCCCACGCATGTTGAAACGCAGTTGGGGGCGTTCTACATGTGAATTCTGTGTTGATATTCTAGCGCTTCATCTGAGGTCACCGTAAAAACCTATTGCTTTAGAATCAGAACCCATCTAACAGAGTGCTTGAGTGTTCCTTAAAACTCCCGCCTTCTACTGCCCGTGCCCCTAAAAATTCCCAACATCACGGGGAGAAACGGCTAGGGTGCGCATATCTGCACCCTCTACCCACTCTGCGCAATCGCAGCTAGTTACGCATAGCATTTAGCCCATACGAACACAGCACTGCATTTACTTATAAATAGCCAGCAGTGCTCTGCACTAGTTACACTATGCGAACAGTCAAACCAATCAGTTAATTCTTTACTAACTCTTAATTCAGTATTACAAGTGAAGAAAAATCCTTCAATGTTATTTTTCCCTCTCCAGTCAAAAGCTCACCGTAACAGTGAAGAATTGCTAGCGCTACTTGGCACTGGATGTGAGGGGGATCCTTTTTTCGAAGTGACGGAGCAGAAGTGCACTTTAAGTTTTCACTTCCTACCCAAGTGCCTGGCAATCTGGTTTGCGGCATGGAGAACGCAGTGATTGGTAAGGCAGTGCTAACTAACTGCATGTTTACATCGTATTTAGGTCCTATTATCATGGTCCATGGCTTCTTGTTTGGACCTGTGCAGCGTGCTGTAGCCCTATTTGTGTGCTCTGGCTGACCTGATGGAAGCCGTCTATGCGGCCGCAGCGGCGCACACTGATTGGTGTCAGAAAGCTTTGAAACAGACCGACTAGTGGTCCTTTGAATAAAGGTCATGACACCCATAGTAAGCAGGGTAGAGTCGTGCCTTATGAGGTGAGGCAGAGACTCTGTGGAAGCGGATCAGCACTGAAGTAACAACGATCTTTCTAAGCATGCGATTCCTATTATTGACCTCGCCGATGACTTGATTTTAGGGAACTTAATTTACCTTTTAGCCAGAAACAGCAGGAATGGGCAAAGAACAAGGACTTGGCAGATGCTCTAAGAATATGACGAGCTGGCATTGGCTGGCCACTCACTGGTCGTCAAGCGCACCGTATTAAGCTAATTTCCCGGTGGCAATCTAGTAAAAGGCATTTGGTAGCAAGCATTTGCAAAGCCGATCCTCGAGTCGACTGTTGGTCCGTGCAGCTTGTTAAGTAATTCGCTAAAATTGAGGCATAGGAATTTCTCTTCTACAATCATACCTTTCAGGGGCGTAGGTTTCACTCAATAATTTGCCTTCCGTTTTTTGCACCAAAGACGGGGCTATGCACACAGATATAAGGCTTTCCCAGTATCGGAAGCTGTCATGGCATGAAACGGACAGTGAGCAGCAGGCGGTTGACTTGTTGAAAACGTGTAGGATCCAGAAATCGACCAGCACCTCTTCATCACTGTAATCCTTAAGCCTTGCTCGCTTTTCGTACCTTACAAAACCCACAAGACTTGCACGCACCAAATTCCAGCCCACCACATACCCACTCGCGCGTGCGATGTTGGTTTGCGCTCGTCCAGTCTGTCAAGTGGTGAGCAGCAATGGCTTTCGCACCAGCACTCTCCAGTGCAGATACAGTGTCTCAGACGGCTGTCAACTGGAAAATGCTAGTCCCGCCCATGGCTCCGCGTTATCGCCACATACACTGGTGGTGGTGCATGAACACGCGGAAAATGACACATTAAGATTATTTTTAACGGCCCTGAACAATCTCATTGTGAAAGGAAAGTGCCCAATTCTTCATACTGGCAAATTACTTGACAAGCCAAGCGAATCAACAGTCAACTCAGCATCTGGCTTCACTAATGCTTGCTGACAAATGCCTATTCATTAAGATGACATGCATACCCAAGTATATCATATGACATTGGGACTTGTTAAAGCCTCAGCACTACTACAGCAGCAAATCGGTCACACGCTTTCAGTGCTTTTAGGCAAATTAAGAAGACTGTGTACACACAACGTCCAAAAGCACCACCAGTGCCTACAGCGTGGGCTTCAGCTGTTGCTGGACAAGCATTCGGTGTGTGGAGGCATGCAAGTGTTCGCTTCCATATGTAAAACTATGTGTCTGTATTTCTAGTTTATGGCTTTAGAAATTGAGCCAGATCCGCCTAAAATAGGTGCGATTCGGGGAACGGCGTTTACCTTTGCCCACGTGCAGGGACGTTGTGAAGCACTATGAACTTGCATTCTGCTACAATAATACCGTCGCCTAAGCTGCTGGCATCGTCGCTCCTTTCACTGATCTACTTGCTAAAACTCAGTGTGTAATTCGAACAGTGCAGGATAATGCCCCAGTAGAGACGCTTGTCAACCGCTAAACAACCATTCAGGTACCCGCACTGCCCGATTTAAAGCGTCATTCCTTCCTAACAAAGGATGCTACCAGCGCAGCTTTAAGCACTGCTCTCTATCAACAGGCCCTGATTCATAAAACGTCGGATCGTTCTTCTTTGCTCTCATAGCCTCAACCAACCCGAGCAGTGGTGTCCAGTGCAGGTGAAGGGATTCAATAAGATGTAGTGGATTGTGCGATAATTCCAGCATTTGTAATTATAGGCACCCTTTTACTGTTCGGACTGACCATCATTCTTTATTTTAGCGTCAGATGTGTTTTTAGATCCCTGAAAATCCTAGAATGGTCGTTGGCTTGGGCTCCTCCTGTTGTACGACTTTAGTGTAGGCAACACCAACGTGGTAACAAATGCACTCTCTCGGTCCCCCAGTAGCTAATTATTGTACAGCATAACCACACTTCTTTGAGATGACTTATGGTTTATATATAATTTGTGTGGCTTGCACGCTAGTGACACCCATCCATCCAACACGACCAATACAAATAATGGCAGCACGGTCAGGCACGTCCGCGTTGAGAGCCGTGACTGCAGTCAATGCGGGAACCTGCTAGCTCATACATTCCCACCTGGCTCGGCATGTAATGGTGTACAGCAAGCGTCGTCATGTTCTGGGGGGCCAATGTTGGGGTCGCACTAGAATGGGAAAGCTCTCGCACTATTTCTACTCGCATGAGGGGGGTCCTGCGGCCAAGGAGTATGTAGTGTAGTATCCGGATTGCCAGCAACTGGAACTGCGCAACTCTCGTGAACCAGGCAGTTCGTCAAGCCCACCGGTCCCCGAAAGGATTCAAAGTATTTCGCGGATGAGCTTTATTGTTGTACTGACAGAGATCAGATGTCAGGCTAGCACCTACACCGATGTCGACAGGCTCAGCAAATGTGCCTATTCGCATTTACTCCAGCTTTGTCAGGGCTTGCGAAGTCCTATTAGTTTAATCCCATGTCTCGAAGCTCCCCAGGAGCTTTATCACGGGTTAGGAATCCAAAGCATTTTAGTGTGCTCCGACGTGCCTTCACGGCCCGTCTACAGGATTGACCATCGTATGTCTATTGCAAACCACCATGTGGCCGATGGACACATGAAAAACACCAACCGAACACTCTTCTCCAGTATTCGTAGCTCTTTGCGTACAAATGCCGATTATTTTGCCAGGTTCTACTCCCGTTGCCGATTGGGCTTATCATACAGCAGTACACCCGTCTACCCGTTGCCCTCCCACATTCGTGTCTATCACCGAGAGGCCCCTCTGCTATCCGGCCTAAAGCTGGTGATCCACGGGCAGCAATCATGTTTGGCCGAATACGGGTTCAGAGATCAGCTGGCTAGTGCCTGTGAATTTACACGCGAAACGCGTACAACAGCAGCACGGAATTCTAAAAACATGCCAGTCCAGTGTGTGCTTCGAAGGAGGAGAATTGGTCCCCGTGGATCGTCGCACTCTACGGAATGTTTCAGGTGACCAGACGAAGACCTCCGCAGTCAGGCGGCTAAGATGGCTTGCAAATCTTTCACTTAACAATGCTTTTTTCCTGGTCTATCGATTTTCTTAGAGGCTGAATGTGACACAGAACTATCAGTATTCTCTCCTCAAAGATACTTCAGAACTACTCAGATTAGTCGCGGAGTTTGCAACGCAGGCAAATGAGCGGTGTGGAGACGAATATATCGCAGGAAGCCATCAAATCGATAAAATCTAGGGTTATTGGGCACTGAGGTCCTCCCATTAGACAGGAGTTTTTATTGAAATGTGTTTGGAAATTTTAGCTTCAGTGTTTGATGGAGGACCACATGCAGGCTTTGCTGTTTGAAAAAATCTACGGCTTTGCTCATCTCACAGATCTAGTCGGCATGCACAATACTCATTACGCCGTTCAACTGTCCGTAGCCACTACAGTCTATACCTAACATTGATAACTTCATCCACTGATATTGCTTGAAATCTTTCCAATAATTGTTGCTAAAGATGCTACCTACACGCAGCTTTATGCGTAAGCAATCTCAGATATACTACCTCTGCACGACTCCTAATGCCTCTTCAGGGCTTCTGAAATTGACATATTGCACCGACTGGTTGTCCTTGCATGCGGAAATGGTTCGATGGGGCACGAAGGCACTGGTGAGCTAGTGCATTTTGATTCCCTCCACACATCTTGCATGTTTTATCTTTCTTGTAGCATGAGGCTGACGTAGTTGAGCGCTCACACGATGGTCAATGATCATGCCACCGCGGTCGTGGCCTGGTCGTTGGTTCCTGCTGGCTAGCCTGTACCTCTTTCTTCCTTTATATCTCTTTTACCGTCTAGTCGTCACATGGCCTCCTTGTTTGCACGTTGGCGTTTTTGTCTCCGTAGGAAGTGGCGATAGGGCAGGAGGACTTCCGCTCTTTCGCATGCAGCTCGTCCCTGCAAGTACGGAAAAAGAGTGCACCCACGTTTTTTGACATGGGTGGAACGAAGATGCAGCGGTCTAAGTTACACTTTGGCACTTTTACTACAGAGAGTATATATACAATTTTTTCAAAAAAATTTAACGAAGTCTTCTGTTCGTATATTTTTAAAGAAAATAGTACTCTAGGCTCGATGCTAGAAGATTGATTGCATTAAATGCTATGCGCGAATGCGCTAGATGCTGCTCATCTGTATCTGAATACTGTGAGTGCTGAGAGGGCGCAGCTACGCCCTTGCTAGCCACTTTTCTTCTCAAATCGGAACTCAGGGGGGCGAGGGCAAGGGATGGCGCTGCTCCTTTGGAAGAACGCTGAATAACTTTGTGTCGTACTTTTTGGAGATGATTGTCTTCCTAAGGCGATCTTACATAAGCCACATAACACCCCAATTCATGTACAGGAAGTGAAGCAACAAGGAACAGCTGTGTTCAAGCATGAGATGCTACTAGTTGTTAGACTCCAACTAAGGTCGGCACCAATAAAAACGTGGTAGAAAGGCGTTGAGAGCTTTTCCAAGGGGCCTCCGCCTTCCCCTGTCTGTTCCCCTAGTTGCTCCGGCGGGAGGAAAGAGGAACAGCTAGTAAGCGCGTTGCTGCACCGTTCAAAGCACTCCAAGCATTCACGGCCAATGGCATAGCATCTAGCGCACACGTGGACACATTGCGGCTGTTTGTATCGAGCTAGCACAACTCTTTAAAAATCAAGTTTACGAGCATGCGGAACAATCTTGGTATTTTCTACTAATTCGTGGTCGTAAAAAACTAGTGTAGTAGAGAGTGCATAGATGTATTTTGACCCCCTAAAAACCGGGGCGGCAGGAAGTGCACGTAGAATTAAACAGGGCAGCCAATAGCTCCACTTGATCCCCAATGTGCAGTTAGAATAACTGTGAGTGAAGCACAAGGTACAGTACGCCCGAACGTTTACGCGTAGTTGATCATGTTGAAAGTAGGCCAAGCACCATGCATGCCCTATACTAAGGAATCTGAAAAGACTTGGGAGCGGCTGGATCACCAGGCATACCTGCCCTAAAGCCACAGCAAATGCACTTATTGCTTCTCTACCAACCATCGCCTCTAGAGCGCTCCAGTGAACACCGTCCTGCCCAAGGGAGCGATGAAGTGTCGCATATAGGGCCGCCCGTAAGAAAAGAACGTCTAGAAGAGAAGTGCAGACCCATAATTTGTATTAGACACCTTTTTTCTGTAAAGCGACTCGGAATATTTTGCGGTGGTAAGAACGGGGCTGTAGCCTGCAGCACCCGGAGGAACCTGGCAGCCAGGCCAACTGCAACTGCAGCAGCAGCTCGCGCTACATGAGAGAGCTAACAGCAAAGTGAATCGGAAAAAGACGAGGACGGAAAAAGGAAGGCACAAATCGGGGAAGAAACAGCGAAGCGAAAGATGCTCCTTGCCGCTGCAGCGGACCCTTCCATGGGGCAGCAGCAGCAACAACAGCAGCAACCGCAGCCATCTGAGGAGCTGCAGCAGCTGCAACTGCTCTTTGCTGCGAGGGCCCCGTGCCCAGCAGCTGACCAGGTGCAGCAGCATCAACAGCAGCACGATCTGGGGGCCCTCTGTGGTGGCCCCTCAGGTGCTGCTGCAGCTGCGCAACAATACTTAGCGTCAGCTGGCCCTTCGGGAGGACCAGCACCGTCAATGGGAGGGCCCTCAGGGGGCCCCTCTTTCGTCTACCATCCCCCACAGGGTGCACCCGCACCGCGGCCGGGGGGGCCCATAGGGGGCCCCTCTAGATTGTTGCTGTTCATTGATGGCCCCACGAGGCCCTTCGCCCTGCAAGAGAGCGATATCAGAAGCTGCGTTTCTGCTTACGGCCAAGTACAGAACGTACGGTCACTCACATGAGGTCCTCAAACCACCGCACGCGCTTTGAATACCCCCTAAGTGCATACATGCCCTTAGGGGCTATTCAAGGGGGAAAGAAGCAGAGAAACTTGCAGCTGCTGATTGCACGGCTGGCCGCTGTTGCTGCTGCATCTTGTCTTGTCGTGACTTTTGTTTGTCGCTTGGCGCTACAGGTAGTGATCCTGCGTGACCGTGCTGCAGCGGAAATCAGCTTCGGGCCATCTTCGGGACTGACTGCCTGCTTGCAAGATCTGGACGGGGTTACCTTAGAGGGCATCGGTGTGCTTCGCGCCGTCGTCTTGCCTCCGGGGATTTCGGCTGCAGCAGCTCTCCCCGAGTCTGCTGCAGATCCTCCGCAGCAGTCGCAGTCTTTTGCTGGGCCCGCAGCTGCCGCCACAACAGGGCCAGCGGCGTCGCAGTGGGGCCCCTGCACGTGGATGCCTCATGATCCTAGGCAGAGACCCCAAAATGACTCTTCTCTGCTGCCTGTACAGCAGCAGCAACCCCACACCAGCACCAGCGGCAACGCAAAGAGGGTGTGCAGGTTGGAGCTCGTCGGTCTATTCGGAGAGGAACCGGCCTTTTCTGTTGCTGCAGCCATCCAGGGGGCAAACAACAGCAACATTCAGTACATTATAGAGCAGGCGCGGCACAAGATCGACATCGGCATCAGAGGTAAACGCTTAGGTCCGCTCGTCCGCGAGCAAGGTTCTAGCCTCGGCGGGCCTCTTTTGTGTCATGTCTGCCTCCTTGTCTGTCATCTGTATCCAGAATGCGGCAACAATAGCGCCTCTATGCACTTTCTACGGACTCCTTGCGTGTAGGGAAACCTGTAAACGATGCCCCCGTCGCCGATCGTCTGCATCTGACTCTCTCCTCAGATGATGCCGAGGCATTTGATAAGGCAAGCAGACTTGCTATCTGGGAAAGCCTTCTTCACAGGATTCTGAGTGCTCGTGCTGAGATAGCTCCTGTTTCCAGTGTTGTTGCCACTACTGCCCGTGCATAGATACATACATGCATCCATCTACGCCCCGGCAGATTCTGCAGTTTGTTCTTCTCTTCAGGCGCTCGCCATGAGTGAGGACCTAGTCCAGTCGGTCTGCGATCAGTTTGTCTCCTACTGCAAAGACAGGCATGTTCCGCTGGCGCACCCTGTGGGTTTCCGCCGTCATATGTACCAGCAGCAACCAGGCTCAGGGGCCCCCGGGGGGGGGGCCCTTATTTATATGGGGGCCACAGAAAGAATAAAAGCCGGAACAGGAGGGGCGCAAACCGCACCGCAGCCACCGTCACAAGCAGCAGCAGCAGCAGCAGCGGCTGCTGCCGCCACAGCAGGGGGCCCCCTACTCCCCCACATGCTGCCCCCTGGGGTCCTTGCCCCAGGACCCCTCCCACTGGCAGCGCTTGCGGGCCCAGGGCTCCCAGGGGCCCCTCTAGGGCCCCTTGTGCCACCAGGGGCTCTTGGGCCTGGTGTTCTGGGCCCTCCTCCTTTCCTGGGGCCCCCTTTCCACCCTCCGGCCAATGGAGAATACGAGCAAAGACACCGAGACAGAAGTCGCAGCCGAGAGAGGGGCCCCCCAAGGGACAGGTGCGTTGCCCTTCCTTTCTTCTTGTAGCCAGCTGTATGCCGCGTAGGGTCTGAGAATTGGAGCCTACCCACAGTGACCTCCCGTAGCTACATGCATTTACTGTTGATGCTGCAGGGAAGTTGGATACAGAGGAGGGTCTCCCCGGCGTGGGGGCCCCTCTGGTCGACAGCCCCGCAGAGGCGGGGGACGGGGGCCCTCAGGTAGGGGCCCCCGGGGTCTTGACGAGGGCGGCGGAGGCCCATAGAGGACCCGTAGCAGGGTTCTTTTGTTAGCTGAATTCTAGAAAGAGGGGCTGGGGGAAGCAAAAAGGGCAAGCAAAAAGGGCCCTTGGCAGGCAGAATCGGGCGCGAAAGCCCACCAGTTTTTCTTTCAAAGGCAGTGGGAACCCCTAAAGCATTCGGGGATGCTTACAACTGCCCGAGACACCTTGCACGCACTCCACCACTCAATCCTCTTTCTACTCCTGTCGCTAGAGATACTTTGGTGGGCTGTCCACAGCCGCCAATACGTCTTAGGATATAATGCTTGCGTCCGACTCTAGCTATATCCTGATTGTAGTTATCTCCCGTATTTTCTGCCTTCTCTGAGATATCGTATACTATTCTGCACCGGGGCCCACACATCTGGTGGCTACCTCTCCGTTATACTCAAGCATGGCCTCGATCTATTCTCAGCCTTCTCCCTCTCACTTGCGTTGGGAATAGCTGATAGAAGGAGCCACGAAGGCCCCAAGCGACGATTGACAAGAAACACCCCGGACAGGCACGTGGGGGAGGAAAAAACGCCTTCCACAACAGTCCTGTGAGGTTCCTGCCTCCCGCGGTGTTCCTGATTTACGCAGCGCTGTTTAAAAAGTAGTCCCGTTTTGTGGCAATGCGGCCAGTCCACCGGATGCCAGAAGACTACTCAAGGCCTTTACTTCCGTTAGAGGCATCTAAGACATCGGTTTTGCAGTCTGGCGAACTATTAGCTACAGCCTGCTGCCTCCAGCTTGTGGGAGCCCCGTGGCGGAGTCCCTGTGGGCAGGGAATTTCCCATAGAGACAGATAGGGACGGAGGTACTGCTGCAGCTGCACATATTGGGGGTCCTGCAACGTAGTTCTATCGTTGTGGCGAGTGGAGCATCTGCTGCTCTGTGTTAGATCTGAAGCGGCGTAGCGTGTCTCCTCTTACTCGGAGGGGAAGAATCTCTGTCTGATCTGTGTAACGTACGGCATGATGAAGCTGGTGCTGAGCTGCAGCTGCTGCTGATGCTGCTGCAGCAGCACCAGTGGATCGCAGGATGATGGCAGGAGACGCTTGTTAGCCACGGGATCCTTGAGGTAGAGGTCGGCGTCTCTCAAAGTCCAACCCAGAGGGCCCCCAACGCCGACACCCACAGTAAAGACCCGGAGGCCCCGCCGCCGCAGAAAAAGCAGCGCAGACACCAGAGAGACAGTACCACTCAGGGTCGAGTTTACTAGTGCTGCCGCAGCAAAGCGGCCGTAGATATCCTTCAGTGACAACTTGCTGTTGCAGCTGCTGCAATTCTTCTTGCCACAACCACCTGAGCAGCCCAAGTCAGCGCAACAGGCGAGCTGCTGCCCCTGCTGCTGCGGCGGAGACACAAATGAATCCTTGACGCTTTTGGGTGCTTCCATAGTCGTCATTGTTACTGCTCTCTCTTGGTCCTGCTAGCGCGTTCTCCTGAGGGGTACAGCCCTTGATGGGGAGTGCTTTGTCTGTGTGCTTTTGAATTTGGCTTTAAAGTGTCGCCTGCAGTGCCGCTGCGGCTGCTGCTGCAGGTTCAGATGATGCTGTACATGTGCCGTGAACCTGATCCTGGGGGTGGTCGTGGTGCTCTTGTCGCTGGGAGCTCCGTTCAGGGAAAGGCAGCCTGTGGGGTATCTCCCATAGCCAGACATAAAATTACGCAAAAGTAAGTTTATTTGATTTGAGTGGATGTGGGTGCAGAGCTCGGGGCAGCTCAGGCAGCACCAGGAGTGATAGCGGGAGAAGCAGTGCGTCTGCCGCAGCAAAAACACGAGCAGCACCGGCAGCAGGAGGGCCCCCCAGGAAATAGTAAGACCAGCAGGAAGCCGTAATGCAGGAGCCCCTTAGATCTCGGCCTTAAATAGCTCATTTTAAACAGACTATGCAAGAAACTTGTGCGTTTCACGATTTGTCATCCGGTTTCCCCTCTTGTCTAGCAGCAGCAGCACCGCCGCCTCCTGGAGACAAGGCCGTCCGCGATTGGGGCCCCCCATCCCACGAGGCCCCGCCGATGGGATCGTCCGATCTCCATCGGTCATTGAGTCGGTGCGACCCCCTTGTACGTGCACCTTCGAGCGGCATCTGCGGCAGCACTAACACTCCGTGGGGGAAGCAAGACACCCGGCTGCGAAGGCGAGTCTCGGGGTGCTTGCGACAGTTGTACAAGCTCCACCAGTTCACTGTGACTTGCTGGAGCAGATGCCTGGCTTTAATAAACAAACTTGGCAAAGGCATAGATCGCAAAATTGAACAGTACTTCTGTGTATCGGGCTACGGTCAGGGCTGCTACCGAGGCCCCCACTGGTGCTGTGCGTTCCTGCAGCGGCACTTGCGGTAGATGTGTCGACGGCAGAAGAAGCGTCTCCAGCTTCCCCATGCGTGATCCACCTGTGTTCTCCGGTGCCCACCTATGGGGCCCCTTGGGGGTTCCCCAGGCTCCCCCCCCCTTGCCTGAGCGAGGCTCCTTGGACCTGGCTGCCCCTTTTGGTCTACTGGAGCTTGAGGGAGATAGGGAATTCGCGACATCCATTTATGAAAGATCTGCAAACCTGTGGGAGCAGCACGCCTCCAATCTCCATGTAGGGACACTCGGTGGAAGCCCCATACCGTTCCTGCTGGTGTTGTTGTTGCTGCTGCTTCTGTTCGGATCCTGGAAGATTCGAAAGAACAGACATGATAGCTCGTTTCACCTTCACGAGCTTGAAAAGTTCAACGAGGAGCAACAGAATCCATATCATCAGGAGAATTGGGCCTCCCCCGGGGGTCCCTCCTCTATCGTTTTTTTGCGCCAGCGCGGCTACCGCCGTAGCCTCCACGGTTCTTTGTGCTTTTGTATCTGCTGCATTCTGCTGCTCCTGTTGGTGACGGCTCTACTTCTGTGTGTCTGGAGAGAGGCAGTAACATCCGTTTCGGAGCCAGAAGAGGCATGGAGAGCCCGCGCGAAGCCTTTTATTTGCCTTTGGTGCTTCTCTCTTGTTACCTTCTTCAGTAAGAAACCTCCCCGTCCCACTACCCCAAAAAAAGCTTTCCTACATGCACTCTAGCTGCCGCTTTGCAGTAGGGGTGGCCCTTCATTCCACGCATCGTCCTGGCGATTTAGGATTCCGGGGATTGTGTGTTTTTTGTTACGTCTCCCAGGTTTGCAGGTGTTTTCCGCATTTCTACCCTCCTGCTTCCTCCTAAGGGCCCCTCTAGAAACATGCGAGTATCTGCAGCTTTTGGAGAAACCCTTAGCTGAGCGCGAGGCATCGGATCGCGAGGGGTCGCTCTCGCCCCCACTCCCGCGTGTTGGGGGCCCTGCTGCCGAGTTCAACCGGATCATTAGCAAGTACAGCATGTCGTCTCAGTCATGCATGTGCCGTGTCTAAGTATCGTTGGAGCAACCCAAGAGGTCTTAGTGGCAACAAGGCGGTTGCACTCTTAGGACTTGCAGGAGGGACCGCTGACGCATATGATATTGTAGTGTGCTGCGGCCATTGTGTGTGGCCCCTCTGCGATTTCCGTTTTCTGTCTTTCAGGCTGAAAGAGTGCTTCTTCCTTTTCTGTCTCTTTGTGCTGTTCGGTCGTACGGGCCCTCAAGAGACCTCGCCTCCGTCGCTAGTGCCGGTGCAGCAGGAATATCGCCAGCAGAGGGCTGCGCATGGTCAACGAGATACTCAAGAAGGCTGCCCTCAGGATGAGGGACAGCCTGTTCGCTACGTTATTCGGCAGCATCGTCGCTATCTTTTCAGCCGCAAAGCACAAACTTTCGTTCCCACCTACAGTGAACTGCCGGAGGTCTGTCTGGGATTCGGGGGTTGTCATATTCGTGCGTTGGGGCACACCTCCTGGACGCAGTCCAAGCTCCGACTTTGGCTTTGAGATGCGGGTGTGCTTCGATCAGGTGAAGTGTGGCGCTGCGAAGGTGCAGGGATGTGTGGAAGCCGGCGGCCTTGGGGAGGCGGAGGCAGCGGCGCTGCTTAAGAGCTGCGGTCCCAACACCGTTCCAGTCGAGCAGCCAAGTCTCATTGAGCTTCTCAAGGGGTTAGGAGGCAGAAGGGTGTAGGGGCGGAGAGAGAGCGGAGCACGCAGAGCAGTAGTGGCGCAGGCCGTGCCGAAGCAGTCAGCTAGGGAGTGAGAATGGGGTAAAGGCAACAACTGAGACAGGCTTAGGAAGAGGCAGCTGTGAAGCAGAGGGGCATGAGGGGAAATAGGCACGGCGTATCGAAGATTCGCCTTATTGAATGTAGTGCGTCTGTTGAGGCATGCCTTTCCACCCACATAGTACTGGCATGACGTATTGTGCTTTGGGGGTCTTGCGTGCGTTGTGTGTGTATTGTTGCAGGGAAGCCCGAGACCCTGTTAATTTGTTGCAGATTTTTCTGCTGCTGAATTCCTTGTTTTGGCGGAGTTACATTTCCTCATCTCTATGGGTATTGCTGGGGGTCTCGGCGGCCCTCAGGAAGGCTCTGCTGGCCTATCGCAGCCAGCAGAGCGTCAGGGGGTTGCTGCAGACCTTAGATACTCAGACTGTCTTGGTTCTTAGAGGCAACTCCCCCAGTAACCTCAAGGCTGCAGACCTTGTTCCAGGTAAGCCTAGCGAATCACAGTGTACAGGGCTAGCGGCACTGCTGGAATGTGCTTTGGGTGCGATGTGTGAGCTTTTCGGTGGACGCCTTGAGCGTAAGGTCTCCTTGAGTACAGAGGATGCATCCTAATGGATGCAGTGCCCTACAGGGCTCTGTGCAACCCAACAAAGCTGTTAACAGGCAGGGCCTTGTAACCATGTTGGGCGGTAGTGGCCTTGCGGAATGAGTGGTGTTTCATCTCCTTTGACAAATTTCAGGAAGCAGAGCCCTACCAGGCCGTCCCTGGCCCTCCGCAAGGCGGCTGCAGTTGGCAATGTCTCCCTGTTAAACTGCGGTTGTGTGTGCAGGCGACGTGGTTCTACTGCAACAGGGGACAGCCTGTCCTGCAGACCTGTTGCTAGTACGAGGCTCTGCCGTTGTGGATGAAGCGGACTTTACTGGAGAAGCAGCGCCGGTTGAAAGGATCCCTGTAGAGGTCCTCTCTCATCCCAAAGACGCGCACTCCCTCCAGCGCCATGCTGATTGCGAGACCGGGGCTCAGCGGCTCGCAAGGCTGCATGCAAATAGCCTCATACATGCGGGTGAGCTTTTTTCGAGTAGCATTTTTCCGGCGTTAGCACAAGCCAAATATGGACGCGTTGCTATTCAGCACTCTGTATACGTTCCTGGTTCTCATCTCTCCCTGCGTGTCCTGCTAGTTTTTGTACTTTTGACCGTTTTTCTGGACTCGAAAGGGTTGTGGGGTCCCTAAACTGCTCCGATTCCTCTCAGCCACTCGCCATCAAACCTACTGCCCTTTTCAAGATGGCTGTGGACTTTTATGGATCGTACGTATTGCGTCTCTACTTGCTCAGGGAGCCGCATTATAGCCGTCACCGGCTGTGGGCTTGCTCAAGCAAAAGCATCAACTCCGATGAGCCACCCCGAAGGAGAATCACCAGCGGCACAAGCACGCAACATGCCGAGAGAGACGACTGAAGGGGAGGAGGAAGGATCTGTGGCTGTTGGTGTTGTACTGCGAACGGGAGCTTCGACTTCTCGGGGCCAGCAAATGCAGCGGCTGTTGTTTCCATCCCTCGTGGGCCTCAAATACGATCTCCACCTGCCAGCTGTGTTTGTAATTCTGCTCTGCTACGCCCTCATAGTGGTCTTCACTATCTGCAGCAACTCCCCTAACGCTACAGGGATTGCAGGTACAGTCTTATTCTCTATCCTGAAGCCATTGCCCCTCGCAAGAGAGACAAGAAAATGTTTTTGTTGATGCCCTTCTTCTTAGCCGCTTCAATGGGCGCCTCTTGGTCTACACGGATGCCAGCATGCCCTTCTTAGGCTGCATTTCGAACGGTTGTATATTGTGCCACAGCCATTGTGCCGGCCCCGTGTAAAAATATGGCTCTGCTCTCCAGTCTCCCCAAATTTTTCGCGCAGGCTGGTTTTATGCGGTGTCTACACTCTCCCAGCTGCTGCCTGTCTGGACCCCCGTGCTATTGGCATCTGCGCAAGCCGCCGCAGCCCGCCGACTGCTCTCCTCGGGGCTCCTCACTGCAGCCCCACAGCGTGTCGCAGTCTGCGGAAAGGTCAGAGTAGTCTGCTTTGATAAGACAGGAACTCTTACGCAACACCGCCTTAAGTGCACAGGTGAGCGCACGCAATAAAAGCAGCTCAGTTGCAGGGAACCAGTCGGAACCTTCAACAAGCAAACACGTAGAGAAAACGGCATTATATAGCACTCTGGGAACACAGCTGAGCGCTGCAGAGAGGGATAAGCGCAAAGGCAAGACATGTCGACCGCTTGCTATCTCCAAACAGGAATCATACCCACACCAAAAGAGCCCAGTGGCGAGTTCCCTACAGAGCCTGTGAAGACCCTGACGCACTTGAGCGACAATGACGGTGCGAGACGCAGGCCTTGCGGCTGCTCCTATTTGCTTCCAGCGCTTTATTTTGGTACTGGTGCTGCATGCGGCGGGACTTCAGCCGCAGGATGTGCTTTCTGACTGTGCACTTCGCCTTTGACTGGTTTTATTGGCTATTGCTGCTGCATATGTGCTGCTGCTGTTGTTCAGGAGAATTCGCGCGGCTCTGCAGGGCCAGTGCTGGCTGTTGCCACTCTTTGACAATGTTCCACGGGGCTCATGGAGATCGTGAGCCAACCCTTGTGGGGGGAGCTTTGGAGATTGAGTGAGACACCCCTAGGCCGTGGCCGCTTGGATCTCCTTCTCTGGGCCTAACTTAATGCTGCTTTCAAGGATACGCGCAACATTTCGCCAGTTCCTCCATGTGTTGACGCTACTATGGATGGTGTGCCTGGTGTGATGCAGACTGCTGCGGGCGAGTGGCTGGCGGCTGATGGACTCATCCCCCCGCTGCGCAGCCTGCGGAAACGAGGTGGAGTCTCGCCGTCGCCGTGTGTTGGTAGAGGGGGAAGATGCTACCACATTATCTGCTGTTGAGGCCGCATGCGCTGCAGGAAATCCGGAAGTTGCTGTTGCCTCTGGTCAGTTCTAAGCGCCTTTGGGGGGAACGGACTTGCCCGGGCAGCTCAAGCCGACACTAAGGGGCCCTTTCAGCTAGCCGCTTGACTATGAAACTGTATGTCGGTAGTAGTATTGGCTACCTGGTGTGGGAGTTAGAGGTGAAACAAGTACTGGTTGCTGGTGTGTCCCACGTTCTGGCTCAGGCGGTTTGGAGTGTCTGCGAGCCTTTCCGTTTGATTTTCGCCTAAAACGACAAAGCTGTCTTCTCAGGGCCTCCCATAAGACTTTGGCCTCCCTACTGCCACCCGATCATCCGGCTCTCAAAAACGCTTCAGCAGAGAGTCCCCCTCTGCTTGGGCTTTGCAAAGGCAGCCTCGATGCCGTGGCTGCCCTCTGCCCTGGAGGCCTGCCCCAAGGCTGCCGGGAGGTGCATGACATGAGGGCAGCTGAAGGCGCCTATGTTATTGCTTTTGCATGGAAACTCATGCATCCGCCTAGACTCAGCAGTGACGAAGAGCACAGCGGTGCAGACCTGGACACAGCAGACGAGCAACAGCAACACGAGGGGCAGCTGCAACAGACGCAGAAAGGGACTGTTTGCAGCAGCTGCACCGCCTTCGCTGCAGCAAAGCAGGTCACGCGTGAAGCTGTTGAATCTGATCTTACGTTTCTGGGATTGTTGCTTCTATCGAATGAGCTGCGGGCCGATGCAAAGGAAACAATCATGCAGCTGCGAGAAGCCCGCGTGAGGCCTGTGATGGTCACGGGGGATTCTATATTCACTGCTGCTGCTGTTGGCATGCGGTGCGGGATGCTGACAGCTGCACCAACCGCAGCACAGAGAGAGACTATGCACGGCTCGGACATGGTTCTCAGAGAGGGAAATGTCAAGGTGGGGTCATCAGAACAGGAACCAGCGTTGCTGCTCGGCGAGGCGGCGCAAGGTGCCACTTGCGTGGTCTGGACAGACCTCCGGACTCGACGAGAAATCCCGCAGACAGAGGTGTTATCAAAGCCAGAGGTGAGAGACAGCAAAGAATGTGCACCTATTGTCTGCCCAATGAGTGTATCTGTGCACCTTGTCTCCCCAAGAGCAAGCGTGGTCTCCCCAGTGCATCAAAACCCCCCAACATCGCCAGAGGGCTCAGCGCTTCTCTCCCACGGAGGCTTTTTCCTTGTTTCCCGAATCGATGCGCTGTCAAGCTCCAGGGTATGAATTTTTGTGTGTTCAATACGCCTTGCGTTTAGATTTGGCCGGAGCTGGCCATCACTGAGGGTGCCTTCGATATCCTTAGGAACGAGCCGCTGCTGCTGGGCGTTGCTGCGACAACGAAAAAGCAGCATCAGCACACGGAGGAAGAAAACTTGGAGGAGAACCCTCTGCTTTTAGTCAACGGGGAAAAGCCACAGCGGCATGACAACGAGAAGCAGTTCCCTACAGGTTCTGTGCTTGATGTGTTACTAATGCGCATTCGGATCTTCGGACGCACGACTCCAAATGTTAGTGAACTCCTGAGCAACCAACCAGAGGCGTCAAACCAAAGTCTGGAGGGAAAATGTTTTAGCTGCATGCAAGGGGAGCATCTAAGGAGTATTGCCGTCTGCGTGAATGCATTGTGGATTTTAGGGGAAGAGCAGAGTAGTGCGGGCCTTTATGGACAGCGGCCTCTTCGTGCTGATGTGCGGCGATGGTGCCAACGACTCTGCAGCACTGAGAACAGCTCATGTGGGCCTGGCCCTTTCTAAGGCAAGTCAGCCTTCGGGAGACTTCCTGCCCTTTGTGGGCTGTGCAGTGTCTGCGCATGCGTAAATACACTCATATGCAGACTAGACAGCTCCCGATACTGGCATGCTGTAGCAGTCGAAGACCTACACGCGATGCGATGCGTGCGCGGGTTTATGCAGTCTGCTGCATCCATTGCGGCTCCATTCACTGCCACTTCAATGCGACCCTCGGCGGTCATCAGTCTTCTCAAGTGGGCCCGTTCTTGCATGCAGTGTTGAGGGCGAGCGACATTTGCTTGCTGGGGAGGAAAACCTTGTGCGAGTGTATCGGCTGCTTTGTTGATACTGATGTAGATGCTGCAGTTGTTGCAGCTCTGGTCGCGTAGTGGGGTATGCATATGTGGTCCTGTGGTAGTGCAGTGTCCGTACAGTAGTGTTGCTCTTCTCTGTCTTGCAGAGAGGGACGTTGCAGCCTTGCGACGTCGCTGGCAGCGTATAAGTTCATGGTGCTCTATGGACTACTGCTCTCAATGGCAAAGGTGGTCCTCCTAGTGGCTGCCGGCGGCTCCTGCATGAGTCAAGTACTCTACCTGACGGTGGACGTGGGCGTTTTGCTGGGCATCAGCAACCTAATGGTCCTTGCGCGGTGCGCCTCAGCCTTGCAGCTCTTTCTGCTCCACGGGGAGCTCAAGTCTTACTACCCAAGGACCCCACTCAGCAAAGTCTGAGAAGCGCATCTTAGAAAGGACTGGTGCTCCTTGCGTGCTATGAACGCCGGAGACCCACAGGCGCCGCGAGCCAGGCCCTTGCAGCTCGTGAATGAGTTTAAGGGGATCAGATTAGTATGTATTTCAGCCAGAACGTGTACATTGCCCCCACCCGTTGTCGCCAAAGATCCGGCAGTGTAGGGGTGGTGGCTTCCACTTCTTTTTGTTGCAGGCCTAAGGAACAACTAAGAATCCGCTCACCCACCTCCAGTTTGCTGGGGCCTACGACCATCACGTCTCTCTGTCTGATGCTCGCCATAAATGCCGCCTTTCTCGTCACGCTTTACTGTCGGTTGCTGCAGAAAGGTAGGGGCCTCCCAGAGTGCCACTGCTTTCTACCGGCAGGCGCAGAAGACTGCCTCTGGGACTACCGATAAAACGCAGCTGCCAGCCTAGACAGTGATTGCCTTCCGTTCAGGCAGACTAAATTGTAGCAGGGTTACGCAGGGAGAGGCGTTTAGCTGTAGTGATACTCGCTTTGCTTGTGGGAAATGGGGCATTGATACCCTCATCGCTGGCAGTGAAGGTGCATTTTCTACATAACGCCCTGACAACAAGCTGCTTGCTTGTCTCAGGACACGAGGTAGGAAACTCAGGTGCGTACACATCTAGTGCCATTATATGTTCAGGGCTAGGAATGGACCTGGGGTATCTCCAAGAGCTCCCGCGACAAGCTTGGTGGATGCGGTCAGCAATAAGGGCTTTCCAGCCACCTCTCCTCGCAGCGTTATTTCTATCCATCATTACCTGGCGCTGCCCAAACGTCTTCTGTGGGGTTTCTCTTGTTCGCGCACAGCGCTTTGCTCTGTCAGAACTCCGGCCACTTGTTTATCACTTTCTTCTGGGCTTACCGCTTGTTTTATGAGAGGTATACCTGGCTCTGGGCCTATTTTTCTATCAGCAACGCCGGTCATAATGAGATACCTGGAATTCGTATCGGTTGGCGTTGCAGGAGTGACAACTACGAGGCCGCCAGTTTGTCAATTTGGGTGACAGCGCAGCTCGTCAACGCCGGGATGGTCTTCTCGCTCGGCGGCACTCATCGCAAGCGCCTCTGCAGCAACTGGCCTCTAATAGCGTACGGCGACTCCTTCCACACGTACTTCTCTACCGCAGCTTCCGTTGGTGCCACTGCTGCCACTGCATTTGCTGTTCCCAGTTCTCTCTTCTGTAAGAGCACCGAGGCTTCCTCCTCAGGCCTCAGCTGTGCGCAGCTGCACAGCGGATCCGCTAAGAGCAGTGTCGAAGAGCTCAAAACCCACTGGGTGGTGCAAATGCGCAAACACATTATACGGGCATTCTTCTGGAATCTAGTGATGCCCTCTGTCCTTTTCAGAGTTTGTTGTGGTCTCCACGCGCTTTTAATCGGCTTGGTCCTAATGCCGCCAAATACCTTGGGGTGCCTGTACCGCATCAACTGCACTGACGAACTCTCCCGCTCACTAGACCTGCCTCTCCCAGCATGGGCCTCAAGAGCGGCAACCCGCATGCCCCTCTACAATCCCCAAGGCCATACGCTTTTCCCAGCTTCCTGGAAGGCAAGCAGTGATATAGGGTGTCCCCTGCACTTCCGGGTAGCAATTCCTCTTGTGTCAGCACTATATTCTTGCTTCTGATGTTCCGTGGTCCCAGTTTATCCTTAGTGCGCCAGCAGCTGCTACATTTAGAGTCCTTCTTACACGGAGAAGCTGTTCGAGCCTTGAAATCTTTTCCTTGTTGCGTCTTGCTAATGATAGGTTGAGCTACTGGCTCTGACATACCTAAATGTTGCGGCAAACTTCTTGGCGGCGAAGGCCCTCAATGCACGGGTCGTTAATACGCAGATCCGCCGGCTGTTCAGGACCCCGGGGGACTCCGCGGACCTCCGTGTGTGAGGCAAAGGCGGGGATTGAGCCAGCCGGCGGGGTACAACCAAATGAGACAGGAGGAGGCGTGCTTGGCCTAGGCCCTTATTGAGACAGATTTGTTGAACCTTGTTTGAGGCAGGGCCTGTTATGTTTGAGGTCCCTAGTTCCGTGAACGTGAACATTGGGCAGCCATGGTGTGCGTCTGCAGCCACAATATTTCCAGGGCCATCTAAAGTCATCTAAGCATGCATATATTTACATGTAAGCTTGACTGCCAAATATGCGTGCATCTACTTGTATTTAAATGTGGAAAAGCTGCTTCTGCAACGATGCACGTGACAATATATGCAACAATACAAAACGGTATGCGTTGGTTACTGTACACCTATGTTCGCAAAATCGCGTGTGCATCCCAGTATGGCGCTCAAGCCTCCTGAGCACGTCTGTATCAGTACGTCAAACAGCATTTCCTTGCCTCATATTACTTGAACCGCAGCGAATTCTAGAAGCGTATATACATTGGGCTACAGTTAACGTGCAGCTGCAGTATGGGAAGCGGCGTATCTGCTTTGAGCGCCTTTCGGCGCTGCGTTGCAACACGGCTACGTCCACGCACAGGCAACTACGGATTCGCGCGCCTGCCAGCTGGATGCATACACGGCGTACATAAAAGCCTGTAACTCCAAAACAACTTGTGGCATTATCAGTGAGTTTGCCAGTACACGCCAAAGTTCCGCTCCTCTAGCCCAAATGACGAGCCATCCGGGCGGCCCGCTGCTATCAGCGAAGTCACAGGCGCCCCGTCCTCCCCCCTGCGCCCCTTGCTGCTGCCTATGATGCTTCTTTGTACTATGCTTGGACTGAGAGAAAAACAGGATTTCTCTACCCACCTTGATCTTAGATGTCACTGTCGAATATGGACGTGAGCGACGAGGGGGCCACACGATAAACCCACACGTTTCCTTCTCTCCGGTCTAACCGAGAGGTCCTGTGTCGGGCCCTCTTGCGCGTTACTATCAGTTCTCTGCAAGTGCAAAGAGCCCAATCCATTATAACGGACAGCAGGAAGCAGAGAGAATCAGGCGTATAATCGTAAATAGCAGGTACACGGTAGCCCGCAGATACAGGCATCTACCTGTCTACCACGGCACGTAAACGCTATAAGCAAGAGCAAGGGTCCTCCAGGATGGCAGCAGTGCGACAGCATGAAGGTGGGGTATTAGGCTTCGGCAAGTTGCAGTGATGATGCTGGAGAGCCAGTAGACAGCGAGCTTACCGCAAGTCCTCGATGACCTCTCGGTTGAGGGACCAGTACGAGTGGCGCAATGCGTGCACGTTGCTCCCCAGCCATGTCATATCTATGACGTCCACGTCTGCAAGCAGTCACAGCCACACCGATAACAAATGCGCAGTTCTCCTGTAGGCCCCTGCCACCAGCAAATCGAACGTCCAAGGAATGTCTACAGGTGGCATCCGGAAATAGGCGTCTACCAAGGCCTTCGACAGATGGGAAGAACATGGATGTTGGTGCATGTTTGGGGATCATGTGTTTGTTAGAGCTGCTACACGGCCAGTTTAGGCTTCCTCACCCAGCCAGTCTCGCGTATCTGCGTGCAAGTGCTCCGGTTCATATCCCTGGAAATAAGCTGTGCTACTGGCATAGAGAGGAGGTTTGCGCAAATCGTTTTCCTGCTCTCCAACACAGCTTTCTGAATCGTTGGACCTCGCATAAAGGCCAAAGACGCTCCGCCCTAGCGCTTGCTTCCCGCTGAAGAGCTCAGACCACCACAGGGCCTACGGAAAAACGACGGCACAGATAGGCGATGTGAGTGGATAAGTGAAAGTCCATAATGCCACGCCGTCGTACTACAGCAGCGAGGGCTTCATGTGTCTGCCTTTAGGCCTTGATCACTCCCAGCTTCCGGCTGCTGCTAAGCACGTGATTTCTGGAAAAGCAAACCCGGAACCACTGACTCCATCATGAGCGTCACAGAATATAGAAATGTTGCTGCAGTACTGCCGAAGGAAAGAGTACTCCTGGAAGCAAGACACGCAAGAAGCACACAGGTTACTCTATCGATGCTTTGCTTGAGTGCATAAGAAAGAGGCAGATAGATACCCTGTAGGCGTATATATACAACCACTTTCTTCGCCTTTAGGAGACAGAAACGGAACACAGGTAATTGGGCTAAACTTTCCAGTGCGCGGACAGTGGACGGCAAACATTCATACATCAAGACAGAAAGGCGTCTACCAATACGATGCCGTTTCTCTGACATAGGTTCATGCATTAGTGCGTAGACGCCCACCTTAGCGACGAAATCATCCAGGAAAAACTCAGGATTCAGGAAGTTGAGAGATACGATGTGCAACTTTCTTTGATCCGCAAGGCGTAGCTGCGCGTGGCCGTCCCCGAGGTCCTCGAGATGCGTCATTTTTAACAGCATGCTACAACGACACACGCATAGCTAGGAGGCTACGTAATTGCATCTAGGCGTGTCCGTATATCGAAGAACGCAGCATTGCAATTAAAAACGGGGCCCCCGATACACTGCACACCACATATACCACTCGTCAGGTCCTGCTCTTCCATGTCCCCATACAAGACTTCCTGGGTGCATGCGGCGCCAGCTAGGCTCACTCTTCCTGCTCTATCCTGTGGAGGCTCATGATGAGCATGCGCGATCCCAAGCTGTGTGCCAGCAAGTGTATCTGCCGAATGCCTGCGATAACAGGCCAGAACACACAGAACGAATACCTGTGAGCCGCATCTTCAACGACTTTGTTCACATGTACCAGAAAAATCACGAGCGCATATGTTGTAGCAAGAGGTAATGCAATTACAGCTGGGTGCCAGAAGACAAGTATATATATTTTGCGAGGATATCCATCGTAGATGAAAGCACTTGTGGTTGTCCTGGAGTCGATGTAGAGGTAAACACAAACATTGTTTGTATATATCCCTATGAGCACTGATATGCATAAGACGACCCCCTCTTGTGATTGCTATTCAGGTGGGCACTCCATGCAGAGTTGTGGAACAGGTTGTGTGCAAAATGTGCAAGCACCTCTCTAGCGTTCACTGCACGAAACTCGCAATTGATAACACAGTACATGCTAATCTTCACGGGTAAGCATCAGAAGTCTGTGTGCACAATGTACTGCTTGCTGGGCATTTGGCATGTAGCAATGAGATCCCAGTTGGGAGGTGCATGCCCTTACCGTTATCTCTGAGGGACTTGAGAAAATCTGTAAAGGCAGCATGTAGTTGTGGGTTTTTTGCGTTTTCCCTGGCGTCGAAAAACTCCATAAAATTTTCCCCCGCCGGCCAAGTGAAGAGAAAAGGCTTTATATAGGGGGGGAAATTTCCGAAAGCAGCCATCTGGGCCATGATCTGCATGGACTGCACGTCATTCGTGTTGTACCCATGCACAAACACCATAGCCTCCGGCAGACCTGCCTCCTCGGCGCGACGCCACCCCTCGACGTGCAACTCAGGCTGTTCCTGCAGCAAAAAAATGAGGTCAACAAGGGAATCAAGTGGCTTATGCGGCAGTCAAGTTGAAGTACTGCCAGCATGTACAGTAATCCCGACAAGCAGCTATTCAAAACCCATGACCTTCGTAAAGAGGAAGGCAGCCATCAGTCCAAGCCAGCACCAATGATGCGCCGGGAGCATGTCCTGGGAGGAAGCACAGCGGCGAGGCAGACCCTATTCACAGGAAACGCTCTATGCATAGCGACAGTGGAGGGCTGACCTCTGCCCAAGCAAATGGCTTGTCCAATCGGTTCATTGGATCCAGAACGTTGGTGACTCTGCTGTTTCGAAGTTCACGCCCAGGTGAGAGGCGTGGGGGTTCTACTTGAGGAAGCCTTAGGAGAGGCTGCTTGACTGTCACAACGAGGGACTTGCCCAAGGTGTCGTAGGTCTGTCTCCTGATGCGGGGCTTCTCCTGAATAAAATCTTCAAGAGGCTTATTTCCCGCATGTACCATCTTAAAAGCCCGGCGAATGTCAACCTGCCTCATGTTCTGCTTCACCTGGAGAGCATGTCCCAGCCTAAGTCAAATGATGAACACGTTCACCAAAGTGCGTAGATCTTGCCGCGATCGATTGCGGCCCTCGGCGGCCCTTCAAAGAGAGCGACATCACAGCGCTGTGGGGTTGACAGGCACAGCGACTCAGTGCCACCGATTTAAAGACCCGCCTGAGCCCTTTCTGTTTAAGCTAAACCGGCCATACTAGAAGGATCGCCTTGAATAAGGGTTCCCACATCCGCGGTCTAAACCCATCAACACTTGATCACTGAAAAATTGTGACTATGCGCGGTGTGCCTCCCTGCATACCTCTGGTGGAGACCCTTGGCGCGGGTCTGCGAGACCGATACTTTCCTCTTGACTCCGTGAGGAGGCTTATCAGCTAACGCATGCACTGGTAAGTTGTAGTCCGCAGAGGCCTCTCCGAATAGACACTGATCTCCGTTCATCTCAGGCGCCTCTGAAGGGTCCAAGTGAGGTCCATCCTTCGGTCCTGTGACTGCCAGCAGCTCAGCGGTTGGCACCCACCCACCCACGTACAAACCTGTAAGGCCACCAACAGCACAGCAGTGAAACCAACTCCGCGTCAAAATGTCCGAACATGCAGTTTCCACTTGGCTCTCTACATTTCCGCTACTCACCAACTCTCCCCAAGTGACTCCCTATCCCGATTCTCATGCGTGCATTTCTGTCTTTCTGGCGATCTCTGTCTTCTATCTCTGTCCCCCACTCCCAGCTGCTTTCTCACCATGTTCCACATCTACTGTGATGTGAAGTTCAGTCTTGTCCGCAAGACCAAAGTTAGGCAGCTGCGGTTCAGTCATACAATATCCAAGTCAAAACCTAGGTTCCCTCATTGATGGCTCAGAGCCCCACATTTCTACTCAGAAACCTAGATGGCATTTCAGATGCTGGCCACACCCTGGGAAGCACTGGATATGCCTGACTTTGTTTGACTGAAAGGAAGTGTGCCTGCAAGTGTCTGTCTGTGTGTCTGCGCTTTAGGCAAATGCTTTCTCATCAGCCTTACGTGTGGATCCATCCGCTCAATCACAAGCCTCATCGAATGCTTATAGTATTCGTCTTTACTTATACTGGCATGATTATGGTCTGATCGCCACTTGAAAAGACCCTGCGCCTTTCGTCGGACAGCTGCTGGGATCATCGAGGCCTGCCACATCAACCGATGTCCCGAATGCGCCTTACCAAAGTCAACTGCAACGAATCACACGAGTAGAGGAGGAACGTTGACAGCATTGCACCGCAGGAAAAGGGAATCTAACGAGGATGCCGCGCAGAAAGGTTCCAAGTAACCTTCAATGGCGGCAGTAGAAGCTTTTCGATTTTTTTAATTCAATACCAGTGTTGCTCCTGTTGCGGTCTTTACTCAAATCCTCACAGGATTGTGTTTTGGGGGTAGGCCGGATTTCTAACTGAGAAATGTCTCGATCGGCCGGCAAGGTTTCAGAAACTGCTCTGAGAAAGCCGCACGGAATGAAAAGATCGACAGAAGCCACATTTGAAACGGCAAAGTCTCTATTAAGAAAGGGGCCCTGAAGACTCATACTAGACACTGAAGGTACGAATCGCGCTCTCCTGTCCGTTCGCAAGGTTTCCACCTCCCTGGAAAGCAGTACACGCTTGAGGTGGTCTTGATGCTTTGGTTTTAAGCGGAGCCCGGATAAGGGGGAACGATCTCTGGTGAGCATTTCGTCGAAAGCCACTCACCGCTCTCTTCCGTGAGAAAGGGTCGCCACCGGCTCTTGCAACTCCTCAGCGTCCCGAGAGACCAAAACAGCTGCTGCTGGCTTTGTGTGGCCCATCAAACCCTTAGCGATCGTCGGGAGCTGCCCATGCACCGCATCTTCACTCAAACCAGAATCCATTGTGTAGGTTGTCACTCGCGGGAAGGTGCGGAAGAACGCGCCACTGACGCAACACTCCGCGTCCGATATCCCTAAATAAGAAATCCCGCATGAACAATGGGCAACGAGAGCTTGCATGGAGAAGGAGCAATAAGAAGTAAAGAAGGCGAGACAGAACAAGAAAGCGAACACACGCGAAGAATATGGGAGAACAAGAGTTGAAAGAGAAGAAGCATAGTACAGCTTAGAGCTCGATATACAGGATCTTTGTCCTTCCATGACAAACCGGAGAGAGGATACACATGGAAGAGTACAAGACACATACAAACGAACTCGAATGAAAAACAAGAGAAAGTGGTAGAAACACCACCCAGCACAGCGTATGATGGTAGACTACAGAAAGTCCTGCAACCACATCAGAATCCCCTTCCAGCGGTACCGAAAATCCCCTATTAAAGGAATCAGCAAGAAGATCGACCATGCTTTTCTTCCTCTTGGCTCCACCTACAAGGGTCTCACCAAAAGTAGTGTCAAAACGGAGGACGCCTTTTTTGGCCTTGCACCAAGCGATGCGTATGCACATAAAGCCTGAACCAGTTCCGAACTCGCGGCTTTTGAAAGGGCCAATGGGTTTCCCTGAAACAATGCAAGCATGCTCTGCACTCACGAAGAGCCATCCTTCAAGCAGCAAAGTAGAAGGCCGGCACACAGCTGCAACGCCAAAGATGTAGTTGATAGGGGAAAACAGGGAAAATAAGAGGGAAACATGCACCAGCAGGTACAGAGAAGGCTCAAACAAGCGGACATGGCAGTAGGAACGGAAAGGAACGGAGACGTTAAGGCGAAGGAGGCACAAATATGGCCTATTTGGCAAGAAGCATTAAAAGGTTGAAAGAGATTTGGACACAAGGTTTCGCTGAAGAGCACTGATGATAATGCCACGACAAGCGTGAGTGCAGCATCTCGTCCAGAGCGAATGCGAGTAGAGCAGGCAAAAGAAAACTAAGAGCTGATGTGCATTCAAAGAAGAATTATAAGAACGCAACACCAAGAAACTTACCGTGATACCAGTACCCGACAATGGACTCTCCATGGAATGCGTCTGACTGCCAGCGGCCAAACCCGTGCGGTCTCTCTTCGCTGTCTACCTGTCCTACGTAGAAAACCACGGACACGGGGCCCAAGGTACAGTTCTTCTGGCGGCGCCAGAATAATAGAGATCGACCCCACGATTGCAGCCATTGCTTGAACGAGTGACCATGGGCCTCAAAATACATCCCTGTATTGTTCCTGGCCTGCTCGTCGGCTGAAAAGACACATAACGCCCTGCTAACGAAGAACTGTGTGCCCTCAATACCCAGGTAGGCCAAAGAAAAACGCTGTAGAGACCGGCATAGCGCAACCTGCAGTATTCCTGATATTGAGAACCAGCTCTTTTCCCCTCAAGTGACGGCCAAGGGGACTCTTGCTGGAGGGAGCCTAACAGGCCAACTACACGCCCCAGAATAAATAAGGGGCAGTGAATACCGCGCCTGCGAGGGGGCTGTCAAAGCGATCAGAGTGACGGGAATAAAGAAATAGAACTCTTGTACGAGCTCACTGCTTCTGGCCCTTGGCCCGGCTGCCTCCACGGTACGCTTGACGGCGTCTGGGATGTCGAGTTTGATCTTGTGCTTTTTGACAAGACGCCACAGACGAATGGAGTACTTGCAGAACCACCACTCATATAGCCTTGGCCAATATAGGCTGTTGAATGCCGAACAGACAAACATCAAGAGTTGTAACTGCGTGTAAACGGCATTGATGAGCAGCACTGTGCGAGTTCTGAGATGCTCCAACGGCTTCCCGGGAGCACAAACTAACATTCCCTCCCTGGTATACCAGATCTGGATTGAAAACCCGATGCAAACGAGTAGGGTAGAGAAGAGCTGCGAGACTTTAAATGAAGCCCTGAGCATGAGCGGCCCCGCGAACTTCAGAGCAAGTAAGTACGTCAGCAGTGTAGATGAAAAGCAATAGATAAAAAAGCCTCCTTCGCCCGTACTCGCATTAATGAATGGTTTCTTCGTCAGATCCCATCCATCATCCGGGCATGCCATAAGCCCCGCGAGAACTGCGAGAAATTGTGTCGTCAGAATCCACGCAGCAACCCCATTCAATGTACAAGTTCCAAACACCCCGTGGTGTGCCCTAGCGAACTCCCGCAGTTTCATGTGCACAAGAGGCTCCCTAAAGCTCCCAAGCGGAGAACGAATATACATTGTACGATTCAAAGCTGCAACATCCAGTGTCGCAGTGCTGCTTGGAGCAGCGCTGCCCTCACTAGCAGGTCCAAATTGAGCAGGCACTGAAAAAATATCCCCTGCAGACGCTCCGCGCTGGATGGGCAGGTCTCCCCATGCGGCCTCCAAGGGCAGGAAGCCAGAGGGAGTTTCGCTCGACTTCTTCACAGACATGGATATGGGGGAGGCGCTGCATGCATCTTCAAGAGGAGCATCACTAGGATGAGGGAGCCCGTGGGCGGCGGTTCCTGCAGGCCCAACGAACCCCCCTTGATGGCCCTCTGAGGGAGGATGCAGGGAACCAACTGGATCCTCTGCTCGCATAACTTCAGTGGCGCGCTGCGGATCCTGACTCTCTGACTGCAATGTAGGTATTGCGGAAGCCTGGGGTGGCTGAGTTTTCGGTCGAGGCCCCTTCTGGGATATTGGCTGAGAGCGACGGCCCGTAACAGGCGTCCGGGAAGAGCCTGAGACCGGAAGCAGCCCTGTGCTCTCAAAAGATCCCTTGGCGCCACTAGACGAATCGCACGAGACGGCTCCATCTTCAACGCTTGGGGCCTGGGATCTTTCTTCGTGTTTCGAAACGGCTCCCACAGGAGGCGCTAGCGAAGGCCTCCACGTGTAAGTCGCCATTCTGAGAACCACTTGAGCCAAAGTCACGCATCAGGAGGGCGCTCGCTCTGCCTGCTCCCCGAAAAGGTAGATCTTTAAGCTGTGGTTGCTGAAGATGCTACTGGTGGGAAACCTGATTCTAGGGTTGCAGGTGCCCTGGTAGCACAGGGTCTACCACTGCGCGCTCAGCCTCTTCGGCCGAGACACACAGATCTGTCTCCCGGAGCTTTTTCTGCTATAATAGACTGCCAAGCATGCAGGTTCCCCGTTTTGGGCCTCGGCTGAGTGGGAGAAGGCAGGAAGGAAGCTGTCTACTACTGTTGCTGCTTCTGTGCTCCTGCAAGGACTGCTGCTGTTATTGCTGCTGTTTGCGCAGGTACTACTAGTTGCTGCGCTACCATCGAAACAAAAGCGCCGCAAACGGCGTCCAATACAACGCGCTCGCGCGCGTACTGTTTGAACCTGGGGCCATGGAGCCCCCACCAGTATTCCACGGCGAGTTTCTTGGCTGACGTAGCGACACCTGCTGGAGCTGCTGCTCCGACCCCTAGATACGCTTCTACCCTTCCTGTGACCAATACTCATACCCAGAAACTTAGAGGTTCACCTGAAATAGGACAAGGCGCTGGCAGCGACTGTTGCTGCTGCTGTTGTTCTGCGTGAATCCGAGAGCGAGGTGCAGCCGTTGAAAGATAGGCACTTAACGCGGCCCACAAGCTCTTGCATGGGCTCTGACGACCATTGGATAATGCAGAAAAACAAAGGTGGTACACGTTAATGGGCATTTGGGGGCATGCGTTGCCGCAAGCAGCGGTTTCGAGTGTCAAAGAGGCCTGTTGCGGCGGCTGCTGCTGCCGCCACGGTTCTTGCTGTTGTTGCACATCTCTTGGCACCAGTGTTTTCCTACATACCTATTTCGAAACGCTACCACAATTACAACTTTCGAAAGGAGGCGGAATACGAGCTAATGCAAAGTGTTTGTCTCTAGGTGCCGCCACGAAGTCGAGTGTGCACCCCAGCACCCCCGGGAGGCCACTGGACACGTGGCGCTGGTGCTGCTGTTACTGCTGTGGCTGCTCTTGCCGTTGTTGACCTGGTTTGTATCTTCCAGACACATATCAGTGATCCCTTTTTAACCCTACCTTGACTGAACAACTGGCGCGCCAAAGATTCTCTTCCTCGCCTGATGCCTAACTCTTGAGGCGCTCCGCTCAGGATGACGCCTCACACCTTTGAACCTAGGGGTCTCCAAGATACTTTAACTGGGCATCCTATGAGTCCTGCTGCATGCCTTCAAAATCCAAATGCCGTATAGCTCACCCCGGCTGAGATATTCTAGGCGTTCTTGTAAAGAAGGCCTTTTGGGGTCGGTTCCTATTTTTGAGGTCGTAGGGGTTCAAAGAATATTCTAATCGAAGACCTATTGAGGTATCTCTTTGTACGTGTTTTCTGCAGATTATGTGCCCCGATATAAAGGAGAAGCAAATCAAACTTTAGGCCCCAGAGAGACCAACGCGCACTTCGAAGGTCTTTCACTGGGGGATGCTGAACGCAACATCCGTTCTGAGCTTCAGAGCGAGCTACTAAGTATTCCTCCCTAACCTTTGCCGTATTCTTATGTGCTTTGGATCATGATGAGGCAGGACATCCCAGGTGCACATATCTACACCCTCTGAACAATTGCCCTGTAACGCTCCATCCAGGGTGTACGTAGAGAGACACTTGCCTCTGGAAGCAAAACATGCTTAACACAAAGTATTCAGCGTCTTCCAAAATATCGATCTGCTCTTTTTGCGCGTGCCCCTTTGAGTTCTCTTAAATGGGAAGGGGCAAAACTAGAGTGCGCGTAGCTGCACCCTCTAATTACTCTAGGCACCCATATCTAGTTACACAAGGCGTTTAGCACACACGCACACAGCAGTGCATCTTTTTCATCGAGCTAGTAGCACTATGCAACAAGCACGATATACGAACAGACAAATCATCCGCTGATTTAACTCGCGTAAAAGAAAGTATAGAAGTGGAGCTTGGCCCGCCACACTCGCCGTTCGCAAGCAGATGCATGCATTCATTTACCTGAACACAGGCATGCAGCAACATGCGCTTGCACAAAAAACGTATTTACTGCTGTCAAAATAGAAGACTAAGGGTGGCAGTCCCATGCAGAGATAACATTAAATTCTGCTCTAATGAAACTTCCGAAGCACTGAACGTTCTGGAGCGTGTAGCGAGGACAATCAACACTGGGCCACGTGAGAAAAAATTTATAGGTGGATTGAGGCACGGCAACAGATAGTGGAAGAATCCGGACGGACACATGGCCCATATGATTCCTCCACGCAAGTGGACATACTCCAGTGGAGTAAGCAGTGACTAGGATGCCAACAAGGCAAACTCAATGCGATCCGTAATGACCCTTCCTGCGGAGCGTAGGCAACGAAGCTCAGCAGTTGCACGGGTAAATGTGAGGGCCCCCTCCTCGCCACGGTGCTTGTTCATATTTTACTGTCTCCTTGCACTTGCAGAAGCTTTATCACTCCCTCTTGCCTGGTTAGACTTTGTTACTTTCCTTCTAATTACCACCGCGCATTGAAAACTCACCAAATGTCTTGATTGCCACCCGAGCTTCCACCAACTGCCTCCCGGAATCTGCATTGTTGGTGCGGGCGCCTCAAGGACAACTGTTGCGATTTCAGCACGCTCCTCCCGTGGCCTTTGGCCTCCTAAGTGGCATTGGCATATGCCACTGCCACCGAGACCTCTATTTAGGCGTCTTGAAGGGAAATCTTGTGTCTGCGATCGTGTTTCTGCCCCTTTGGGTCCCTTGGCAGGTTAGTGTTCTTACACATTCCATTCGCTTAGGGGTTGCCTGATATCAAAATAGCAAGAAAACGAAAAAGGAACTGTTTAGTGCCGTACAGGTTGCTGGGACCGCATAGGGCCTTTGGCATCCTGTTTTTGATGCCTCTCTAGAAACTGCCGTGGTGATAGTGCTGCTGCTGTAGCCAGTAATAGAAGTGACCCTCTGAGGCCATCGCTTGCAAAGAGTCTCATGCTGTCCTTTACGGCGACGATATGCCCATGTCCCAGTAAACCACAGTCCAGTCTGCACTGTGAAACATGTGCGTGTGGCTGGCCAGTAGGTCTTGTGGGAGGTGCGCAGTGATGGTGTACATACGGGGCTCCGGCGCAAAAGAACCATTTTGTAAGACATTGTTGTTCTAGATGCAGAGGACGGCAAGAAGATTCTTCTTCCTCCCCGCAGCCGCACAGGGTTCAGTTAAAGACTCTGCCGTCCGTGTGTGCAGCCTAAAAGCCTTTCCGACTATGCTTCTGACATGCGTGCTACTAGCATTCGTTGCCGCCCCACTGTATCCCAGCGGGGAAACAGAATCCTTTTCCCAACAGAATTGTTTTGCATGGAGCTGTCGTCAATTGCTAGAGAAGGCAACATAAGACAAAGGAGGAATCAATGCACGACAATGAGCCGTTGGTGTTGCTATATCCTCCCGTACCGAAGATGCTAGGTCAGCGAGGGCGTATTGCGTGTCGCTATCCAGATGTCGACTACCTCAGCGCCCCAATTCGCCTGCTTTTCTGTGTCTCAGCTGTCGCAGCAGAGGCTTCCCTCTATCGAACCTTCTCGCGGGTCAAAACGTTGGCCTCTCCCACTGTCCTACCATGCACACAGGTTGAACGAATGCACCCTATACGCGAGCATGAAGTGGCAATGCACAGAAAAGGTTACAAGGGCCGAATCGTTGCAGGGTTACGGGTGCCCAAGTACGCTTCAGGTGGTGCCATCCCCGAAATCTCTGCCTATGGTTGCAAGGGGCCCCTCCTCTTTTCAGGAGGGAGAAACTCGAGTCCCAAGGCATCAAAAATATCCTTTTCTGTCTTGCATGGAACAAAGCCCTTGACTTGAGTCACTCCGGAGTCTCTACGAACCACGTAAAGCCCGGTATCGTCCAGGGAGTATCCGAGCCTCTTGGCCAAGGCGCGGGAACTACGATTGAAAAGAGCACAGCCCGTAAAGTACAGTAGGGCCGTAGCCTTCATCTTCTCAGGATATATCTTGATATCAATACGACGAGCCAAAGTGGGACCTGGCCATGCAGCAGCACAGACAGGGCACCCAGCAGCCGCCGAACGACACCAGGGATGCCCTGCTGCTGCTGCTGCACAAGACAGATTGGTGTTTTGGAGCCTGTTGTACAAAGGCGGCACTGACTCCCACCGTGGGGGCCAGCAGCAAATACCAAAGTATCCTTCGCTGCTTCCCTTTTCCTTCCTTGTAGATGCTACCATGCGGACTGGTCGGGCGATAGGGGAAGGAGAGGAGCCAGGTAATGACACTTCCGTGCCCCTCTCCTCAGAGCTCTCTGCGCCAGCCTGTGCAGCTGCTTTCGCTGAAAATGCTGCAAAGTCCTCTCTACACTTTATTCTCTTGTATTGCAGGTCATCAAGGATGAGCCCTTGCTGCCGTAGTAGTTCAACTACCCTGAGAATCAGGCGCAGCAGGTGCAGAACAAAATTATAAGCGCAATGCAGCAACCCCACAGGCATGCAGTGAGGCAGGCAGCGAATTCCACGACTCGTAAAGACCATTCTTGAGGAAATACTGTCATGCCTGACTCTTAGACAAGATGCCCCCACACTCCATTGGCCCTATGAGGTACCGCCTTGAGTTCTACCTGAAGATGAGCCTGGGGTTTGCACAGTCATTTTTTCTCAAGAGAAGCAAGTCTATATCTCCGCACTCCTCGCAGCCTCGGCGGAAGCTCCCACAACAAATAGCCTCTCGCAATGCACCAAGATGCTGGGCCTTATTTCTGCCGTAAAAATAACTGGTGCAGGAGACGCCGCAGCAACTGCAGCACAAGCAGTTACAATCTGCACCGGCAATGCAGTTGCTGTAATTGCTATCGCAGCTACTGAAGGGACCGCTGTCGGTGTTGCCACAAGGACTGTGCAGCAACAAGCGCTTAACAAATGCCCAAACAGCATAGACCTCAGTCCTGGAGATCTTCACAGCGAAGGCTTCGGCGTAACGCAAGCTGATCGCCTGCTCTTTTCTCAAACGGAATGCTGCCGTTGGTTGATTGATTGCTGAGTGGACGTGCCTGCTAACAGGGAGGCCACGAGATGACTGTTGGTGTTGTGACTGCTGTTGTAGATTCTGCGAATGCTGGTGCGCACGCCTCAAAGACTGTATCGAGAGGCCCTTGGTGTGCCACGCTTCCGCTGTATTCGGACCCACCCCAAAGATGAGTTGCAGCTGTTGCTTCGCTGTGGTGGCTGCGGTGTCCCCCTGTATCACCCTTATTCTACTGCTGTTGCCTCTCTCAGCAATTTCACATACTGTTGCCATTACGGAGGGTCCAACTCCAGGAAGGTACCGCAGTAGATGCAAGTTTTTTGAAGTAAGACCTCCTTTGAGCACAGCCGTAGCCGCAGTAGGTGCAGCAGAGTCGTAACGGCGCCTACCAGAGAACTCAGAGGGAGCTTCTGAGGAGTTGCAGGCAGCGGTGATAACAGCAGCTGCCCTTTGGAAGCTTAATGCCCTCCACGTGTCTCCCTGATGTTGATATTTCTCGGCCAGATCCTGCAAGCCGCCAACCACCAAGGATGTCAATACAGGCCCTGTTTCTTCCCCTGCTTCAGCTTCTGCTGCCAGTGTGCCAGCTGAGCAGCATCTCAGTGGCACTTGCATAGAGCAGACAGCTGATGTCTCGGCTAACGTCCTCTGCTCGTGTGCCTTAGGAGCATGCTGCAAAAGCTGCTCATCCTGCAGCTGTACAAGTTCCTGCTGGTGCACCTGCTGGCCCTGGGGATCCGGATCCTTTCTGGGTCGCTTCGAAGGGGGCACCTCCACGGCTGAGGCATCTGCTGATGGTAGCAAGCTGCTTAATGTCACAGTCTTTACTGCAGTTGTTGCTGCAGGCTGTGGTAGAGGCTGGTGTTGCGTCCTGGGATTGCTGCTAACGGCTAGAGCTTCAGTGCGCCGTGATACTTCTGCATGATCCTGCTGTTGGTTTTCTACAGTTAGCTCGGACTCAGCAGAAGCAATAAGGGCCCGGAGTGCCTCGGGCGTTCGCGATCTCAAGATGGCAGCCACAGGCAGGGAGACGGCCACCACCTCTGGTTCATCATCTGAGCAGCTTTCTACTAGCTTGTCTGCCGTTGCTCCATCCTGTGCGGCCGCTGGTACCGTGTCTGCTGTTGTACTCGTAACGTGCCTTATCGTTCGTTGTGCCCGCGTTACCTGCGCGTCCATGTAATGGCGTCCGACGTATCCGCTCTCACGAGCTTCTTCGCTAAAACAGTGACATTTGCTGCCTCGATATTGGAAAATATTCTCTTCCATCGTTGCCACAGGGGTCCTAAGGCCCCTCAATGTTCGTACGCTAGCCCTGAGCCCACGACACGGAGGTTACTCCCCGCTCATCTCTACTACAAGCACTTTCATGAAGCCATCTCGCTTGGCAGGTTAACTTTGAAGGTACTTTCCAGCTGCATAAGAGAATTCGCCCTCGAAGCGCCTTAGGAAGATCCCAAGAGCCCCGTGAGGTCACTCGTTTCCGTAAGCGGCCGTCCTCAAGCGCACTGAGGGGGTCTCATAGGTTTGATGAGTCATCAGAAGGGGTACATTGAGCCTAATTTGAGGATAAAACTCGATAATACTTCGCGGGAATTCTTATCCGCACGTCGGATACCTTGGGTCTCGCTGGACATGACAGGGGGATCTCGTGTGTCAGCGTCTAGAGGACCCTAAAGACGACTTGGGGAACAAATGCGATTTTGAAGTTTGTCGAAGCAATGACTAGCACGATAAAAGCCCTGAGTAGCCTATTTTGAGGTTGGGCGTCTTTCTTTAGGGCACGCTGCTAGACGGGGCACTGGTTCGAAAGATCCACACTTGCTTTGAAACTAGCCTGTTACGGGGGCACCCTAATCAGCGGGGTGTGTCGACACCGCGGTTCCAGTAACAACGGGATGGGCTGGGAGAACTTGACCCCCTCTGTTCTCAGTTACTCTGTAGCGCAATGTGGGGTTTCCGAAGAGGGTGCATTCGCTCAGGTGAATCCCCCACCAGTTCGTCAAAGGGCCCCTCATGAAACATCTAGTTAGTCCCACACATCTAGGGCCGTACAAACATCCGAAGGGGCCCCCCACCCTGTAGGCGGGGTCTTCGCGCTACTAACGCTGTAAATGTGGCAGCTCAGGAGCTACATGCTCGAACGAAGAACGACAGCATAGGAGCTACAAGCTCAAACAAAGAGACGCAGCAGCACAGTACAAGAACAAGCCGAACACCAAGACGATAAGTGCGGCATCAGGTGACAACAGCGTTCCGCCCTCGCAACATTTTCATGATAACAAGCGTGACTGTAACCCCAATACATGCTGAGCTGCAGCTGAGATTGCTGTAGTTCTTGCGGTTAGAGTCTCTGCAGAGATTCCACCGCTGCGCTCCTGTAACAGACCTGCCTCCCCCTGCTGCTGTGCTTTCTAGGCTGCTGGCGCCATACCACGTCTATTGTAGTCTGCTGCACCTGCGCCATTGCTACATTCGCCCCCCTCCCCCGAATCAGGCTGCTGCGGGTGCTGTCAGACACGCCCTTACTATCAGTAATCGCGCTGCAGGCTGCTGATCCTTCACAAGAGGGGTAGCGGACGGTCCGTTGACTCTCAACTTAGGCATAAATCTCCCATCTAGAGAACAGCAGTCACTCAGCCCTATACCATAAAGCTGCACTGAGGGCCCTCAGGGGTTCTCGGGACGGCCTCGGTCCAAGAGAAGAGTCTCTCTGCCGCCGCAACAACAAGCCGGTTGGTTTGTAGTCGGAGGGCAAGCAGATGGGGAGCCCTTTCAAAAGCTTCCCCTTGAGAGCTCCCTGATATCCTGTTGAATGCATGCACCAGGGCTTCTGTACGTTGCCTCTCGAGCCAGAGCCAGGCGGCACTGCATGAGGCCCCCACGATGGTTCCCAGGGCAGCCCACCTAAACGCCATCACTGCTAGCCCTAAGAGTTCAGAGGAGAGGGCCGGGAGAACTGGTGGATTTCAGCGGAGCCTTCGCGCCTGCCAAGCGCTGCTGTGTTTTCGTTGTGCACACAAAGAGCCGTGCCGGTGCAAGGCAGACAAGGGGGATGGCGGTTCAGGGGGGGCGAGCCGAAGACAGGTGAGGTGGCTTTTTCTGGCGAGAAGCTGTGGCCTGATTTGGCGTCCTACCACAGAACAGCGTCTCTTTTGAGTGTTTTCAGCCGCTTTGAATGCCTTTGAATCACGAAACAAAGGGGCAACAAGTACACCACGAGTGAAGGAGCCTTTGAAGAGGGATACACGTGAGCCAATAGAGGACTACGTCAGGGGCTCCCGGAGTCTCTCTCTGCCATTGACGGAAGTCTTTTTCTCATCTCACGAGAGACAGAAATGTTACACAAACAAACTGTACTCCACGTCGAGCCGACCACCACCGCAGTCATGTACGCCCATAGCACAAGGCCCCAGTGGGGCCCCCGAAGTCTACTCGTTTACAATAACGCTCTTAACATATTTCTAGCTATCTAAAAGAGATATTGGAGGTTTTTCAACTCCAACAGCACTGTTGGCTTGGACGATGCAAGCACTTTGCAGAACTTTGTTTGTGTGCGTGTTTGTATGTGCGCCTTGCACGTGGACGGCATTGGCAAAGTTCATGGCTACTACTCTGCATTTCGCTCAGCTGATGCCATCGTAGCCGTCCCCTCTGCTGGTGCAGCAACGGTTGGGATATTTGCCGCCGCGGTTGTAAGCTGCTGCAGCAGTGCTGCTGCCTGAGATGCATTAGGCGCAGCTTGCAGCAGTGCGGCCCGCAGGAGTCCGATTCTGTGCTGTAGCTGCTGCAATGCGGCGGCTTCTTTGGCAGCTGTTGCTGCGGTGGCGTTATACTCCTCCATCAGGGACCTTTCCTGTGCCTGCACAGGGATAAGCGAGGCACAGAAGCGGAGAGAGAGCATCAAAATGGGGTGCTGGTCTCATGAAGCTGGCCTCCTGCTATCCTCTCAAGCGTAATTGCTACTTTCCACGGCTGCTCGCCTGGAAGGGTTGGCAGGCGACTAGCGAGCACAAGCACGGGCACGCCATAAGCAGCTTTGTTACTTGGAAAGCCAGAGTCAGTTATAGTCATAAGTGGGGGGACTGCGCATGCAGGTCCACGTGGAGGGGCTTTGGGGGCGCTTAGGAGCGGGCAATCAGGCAGACAGGCAGCGATTTAGAATGACAGGAAACGGAGAAGAGCACAAACCGACCTCGTGTTGCTGGGCTGTCAGCTCAAGATATTTGGTTTCCTCTTGCAGCACTCGTAGTGCAGCTGCACAGGGGGGCCGTTTATACACTACCTTGACCCTGCTTGTACTTTTCGTCGTATCAGAAATATTAGTAGCCTCCTGATCCTCTTGCTGGGATGCCTGCTGCAGCGTGTCTCCACAGTACTTTGAGGCGGCAGCAGCTGCAAGGAGCTGCTTTCGCCGGGAAAGGGGTGCTCTCCACGAGAACCCCGAGGGCAAGGACCATGAGCAGAGCTGTAGCAGCAGCAGATCCGCACAGCACGAGAGGTCTTCAGTAGCTTCTGCTAGCCGCTGAATCATGGAATCTCGAAGGGGGGGCTGGCGGTACACTCGACCGGCCACCACTGAGTAAATGCGTCGCTGCTGCTGCTGCTGCACGCCGTGCATGGATTGGCGGCGTTCCACGAGGGCGATAAGAAAAATCGCCTTCGTTCGGTAGTACTGGCAGCGCTCGGACAGAAGGGCAGCAGCAGCTCCCGCTTCATCGTCTTGCTGCTGCTGCCCCTGGTGCTGGGGGGGGGCTGGAGGCGCAAGGGCATCTATGCTCTGTAGGTTGTGTTGCACGACTTCGAATACCAGCCCCTCTGTACGGGCAATATCTATGGCCTCGCCTAAGCGCAAGCGCTCGTTTAACAGCAGATGCTGCCTGAAAAACCCCTGGGGGCCCCCCCCCTGTCCCTGCACTCCACCCACCCCATGTGCAGAAACAGCGGTCTGTGACGCTGGGGTTGGTGGCACTCCGCCCGCTGCAGCGGCTGCCGCAGCTCCGCACTCGGCTCTGACCTCTGCGTAGAAGGGGGTGAGGCAGAAGTAGTCAAGCGCTGCTGCGGGAGAATCGAGAGGGCGTCTGCAGAGGAACGCCCAGTCGATGAACTCGCGCTGGCTATCGCGACGTAGCGCCGTCTCCCTGTAGGGAGGCCACTCAGGAGTACTCCCCATGGCGGCTTCTGCATGCGACTGCACTGCTGTACAGCCACGAGGAGGCGTAGAAGGATCGCGATGAGTGCTCTGTGGGATTCCCTGCAGTTGCTTTCCTCTCTCGCTGCTACCACGGTGCTGAAAAACAGAGTCGTTTCCCGAGTCAATTGCAGTACGCGTAACACTCTGTAGCTCTCCTTCGCCGAAGCGGCATTTCGGAGATGAAGACTTTCTCTAGGAGGAGGACAGCCTCCCGTCCCGCCGTCGCCCCCCCCCTGTTGGCAGCTGGGGAGACGCTCAAGAGGCCAAATCACCGTGGTGTCGCTTCTCTTTAGAGCAAAAGATATTTGTTTTTCCTTTTAGGCGTTTAAGGGGCGTAACGGGGAGGCTCGCTGGCCCCTTTCAGTGCTGCCTTGGAGGGGCCCCTGACTGGACCCTGAGGTTCGGAGTTCTGGTCACTAGCGGCTACTGTGCCGCCCGCTCCCTTCCCACGTGAAGAAAGCGGCCGGAAATAATACAGGAAATGCCTCTATTGGGGGGTATGTGCGATTGAAGATCTCTTCCTCTGCCCCTTTTGGTGCTCTGTGTCCTTCCAGGGGGCCCCCCCCACCTTGTTTCCCTACTAGGGGCCCCCCAGACCTCCTCCTAGCGAGGGAGGCCCCTTCCCTGGCATTGTTTGAGGAGGTTTCCAGCGCCTTTTCGCCGCCTCCAAGCTACCCCTGCAATACGCGGGGAGTGCCTCCGTGGGCACGAGCCACCCGCCTCAGGCGGCAGCCAGGGGCAAAACGCACGGACGAAAGGGAGCTGCAGTAGTCGGAGGCTTTTTCAGGCAGCACCAGCAGGAATCCTAGCGCACCAAGCGTCGATGTCGAACTCTGTAGCCTTTCTTCCACGCGCTGCTCTGCAGGCGGCGTGCTTCATGAGACCTCCTGGCAGATTCAAGCGCGCAACTTTGCGCGAAAGCCCTCGTCGATTAGGGGGGCCAGGAGAGTCGCTGGTGAGGGCAGCAGTCCGACGAAGAGAGAAGGCTCGGCAATTCACTCTCCTCCCTCCCCCCAGGTACAAATGTCAACAACACGTGAAGCGGCAGGAAAGCCCTTCCCCCCCCTGTACTCACCCCGACGCTCCCCGACAGCCACACCAAACATCCGGAGAGAACGAGAGAGCGCTAGTACAGAGGGGGATGCAGCACCTCGAAAATAGGGCCCACAGAAAGTGATAGCTCGGGAAAAAGAGGATCATCACGGTGTGGGGGCACGATGTAAAAATCCCTGTGCGGCGATCTCAAGCAAAAGCACGCAAACACCTCCCAACACCAGCATCAGCGCCAGCAAGCAGAGGCACTCTTGGTGACGATGGAACGGGAAAATGAGACTTTTCCAGCTTTTCATCGGGCAACTTGCATTCAAAGATTCCGCCGCGTGCTGCCCACGACCCTTGCAGCAGCCGCCATCCAACGATACCCCATGTGATGGCTGTGAACCTGCCTTCAGGAAAATTCCAGTGCCACATGCTATCGAGGAACGTCGTCTTGAAGCCGTGCGGGGCGTCCCCCGAGTCTCTGCAGAGGCACTGCAACTGCGACTTTCCTTTCTCCTTGGCCCCTCTGCACCGCTGCAGCAGCAACAAGCCAAACTGAGGGAGGGTCTTACACCGTATCAAGCAGAACTGTTCATGTGGGAGCGGCAGGTCGGCTCCATTCTCCAAACAGCAGGAGCTATAGCATGAAAGGCCGCTTGATCTCACGTTTGTGCAGCCGCGGTGTGGGGTGTGGGCTCCCTTTGTTGCTCCGTGTATCAGCGAGCCTCCCGTTGTTGCGTCTTCCAGCTGTCGCAATCTGCATGCCTGTCTTCACGCGGATGCGTTGAGCAGCGCATCTTTCTTAGGGCCTTCTTTTCGTGGTGTCTTTCCCAATCGCCTCCTCACGCATCGCATTCTTTCTCCGTCACTTCATTCTGCTTCCCCTTCCCTCCTGCGACTGCCCTTTGCTGAGGTTGAGAAACACCGCTGTGCTGCCGTCCGTTGTTGATGCGCGTCTTGTTTGGGCTTCTTAGATGCGGGAAGTTCGTCGAGTGTATAGGGCTCAATTCTTGCAGCGTCTGGCTGAAGTAACTCTCGAGGAGCAACAGAGGCACCAGCAGCTCCTGCAACAGACAAAAGAAGGTGCAGTTCTCGATAGCGAAGCAAAGAGCGATTTTCTCTTAGGAAACGCATGGAAGCGGGGGGTGGGGGGGGTAGCGGGGCAGGGAGGGTTGAGGTTGGGGTGGGGGACGAGGTAGGCTTCGGAGTTTTTGCGCGGCAAAGCAGCTGCTTTTCTCCTAAGCCTTTCTGGCGCACGAAACATCCACTTACGTATTTCAAGGCTTTGCGCTGCGCATTCTGCTGCCCCGTAGACAAGCGCGTGCGGCGCGAAGAAACCTTGCAAAGGGTTCTTGAGGCAACAAAAAGGCGTGCGATGCTCCTGGATAGGCAGCAGATAGAACGCAAGGGTTAGCTTCCGCTGTCCATAGCGATTTCTCCCACGTCCAGAGAGTGGCAGAGGCTTTTTGAGGGAGCTTCTTTTGCAAGGGCTCTCAAGTGTTGTTTTTTCTCCCTGCTGCCGTAGTCTGACAGAATAAGACTGGTTTCTCTCTGTCTCTGTCTGTCTCTCTCTCTGTCTGTCTCTCTCTCTGTCTCTCTCGGCCTGGTTGCATGCATGCCGCTCTTGCTTTATCGCCTATGCTGCTGCAGTGACGCAGGCAGTGCAGTTGGGTCGTGTTTCTCGAAAAAAGACGGCTAATCTCCTCTGGTTAGATAAACTCCAGGTACGTTGCGAGGCGTAGTAGTTTGATCCACCTTTCGATGGCTCTGCAAGGAGCTCTTTCCGCAGGAGTGGCCTCCAGGTTTGCCCTTCTGGACGTCAGTCATCTGCCCCCACAACACGCAAAAATGCCGTAATTATACAAGGTTGAGGCAGAGCAGCGATTCCCCGAGGGGCTTTTCATGGATAGATGACGAGCTGGCTGTGCACCCGATTTTGAACTAAGGGCCTTTATCCCCGCTGTGCGGCGCGATTGCGTGTGGGCAGAAAGCCTCACATTACCAGCGAGCCGAGAGAGAAGCTCTGGAGGCTAAGGGCCCAGGAACCCTTGACACGCCAAAGGACAGACTTCGCGCGGAGGCTGAGGCTCGCAAGGAGGCCCTTAGGGGGCTTGAGGAGAGGAACGTATCGGCAACTCAACTTTTAGAAAGGCTAGGTACGATTTAATGCTTGCTGTGACCGCTTCTCCTACTGTTTGCAGTATCTGCTACTGTTGCCGTATCTGCCCGCCACTCCAGCCGCTCGCCGCTGCATTTGCTGTAGGCCCCTCGGTGTGGTTTGCAGGCTTCTGCGAAGAGACTCGCAAGGCCCCAAACAAAAAGATCACGGGCACAGATGACATCTTCAGGTGACGTTGGTGCTGTGGCGTGGCTGTTTCCCCGTCTGGTGGCTTCCGGCTGTGGTGCCGTGTTTTTGTTTCTGCATGCGTTCTGCTCTGGCAAGTGCTGTAGGCGCTGTGGTACAACGCGCACAGCATCGCGTGCTGCTGTATGCGCTCAGGGAAATAATGGAGGCGTCGTTTGCTTTACTGCCAGAGGATGGGCCCTCAACAGTTGGAAGACGCTCCAAGGAAGGAACCGAGACACGGGATAAGGCCCCACTGTCAGAGAAGGCAAAGGCCGCAATGCAATACGCAGCCTTCTCCAGTAAGGCTGCTGTTATGCTTACGACTGCTTCTGCTGCTCTTTATTTTTTACCAGTTGCAATGGGGCAACATGGATGCCGTGCGGCGGAGCTCGGAATTTTCATCGCGCTGTTTGCTACCTAAAGCTAGCCGAGGGTTGCATGCGCTAGTTGTGCCCTGCTAAAATCAACTAGGGCTGTCAGTGGCTGGGTATGGCGTGGCGTGAGGAAGCTAGCTGCGGTTGGTCGCAGCAGCAGGCTGTGGAGAATTTGTTTCTGTGCGCTCTTGGCAGACGAGGAGAAGTTGGCGCTAATTGACGAAAAGCTAGAGCAACTGACACAGCAGATTGAACGCCAATCCGAGGTCAGAGGAACCCCAACAGATCTTCTTCTTGTGCAACTGAGGGACCACCTCGAAGCGGCGAAACAGGCTTTTCTTGTAAGAAAAAAAGAGGACCTAAACGACCTCAGTTGGTCCCAAGGAGCGGTGGGGTCGGGTTAATACAGTTGCCCAGAGGGTGCAGGAAGGGCAGAGACTGCGAGGGGAGATACGATGGTGCCTAGATGGAGCAGTTTAGAGCACTTGGTGGGAGCTACATACAGAGAGTGTGTGAGAACGCTCGCGGTTACAGGTTTCTGGAGGGTCTTATGGGCAGTTGGGGCTAATGGGGTCCCTCCTCTACGCTTTCTCCTTAGCTACCGAAGCCGGCACTGCGCCTTAGAACTCGTCCGGCATAATCAGAACTGATGCTCTGGTGTGGATGCGCTGCGTTTGAAGGAAGGGCAGTACCTGGAGGAAACTAGCAAAAGGGTGCAGAAGAAGCAGGGTCAGATGGTGCAACAGCAGCACCATGACCACGACGACACCCAGGCGCCTGAGGGCGATAAGGAGTGAGGGAAATTCAAGACGAAAAGCGTTTGATGCCCATATCGCACTTATGGGGCTCTCTAGCCAAAGTCCAATGTACTACTCCCTCCTGTATATCAGCCACCTGTCAACGCCATGATCTTCTAGGACCCCTGAGGTAGCTATGTAACGCTGCTGCCCGATGATGTTTCCACGGTTTCGCCAAAGTTTTGCTGGCTTCTTATTGTGTGGAATCATCGAGCGCGGCAGTGCGCTCAATTTCAGGGATTCAGGCGATACACGCAACTGCCACTGGCTTTCTCTGTAGCAACCCATGCCCTCACGACCACCCTAGCCTTTTTTTCTGCAATCTGGGAATTCGGGACATTTTTGAGGCTCATTTTGTGCCTGAGAAACCTCCCTGCACAGTGGTTTCTGTCTCGCGACATTAGCGAAGCTACAACGCCACTCAGGAGCATTAAGGGGGTTCCCGCTGCCCTCACTCAGAGCTCCCCCAGAGAGTTCCCTAGTGTTCCTAACTTCGTTACGAATATTAAAGCCAAAATGCAAAGCTTTTAGGGGCGTTTTCAGCGCTACAGATAATGCCAGGGAAGATGGAAGGCCTTGTGCTCGTTCAGAGCGTGCGGGGCTGCGGTGACTGCCTGTGCGACTGCCGCAGTGTTCCCCCTGCTGTTTTTTTCGTTGCTTACAGAGTTTGTCATCCTTGGTTCTACATGTGTTTATAAACGCGAACTCAAAGTGCTAGAGATAGTCGCAAGACATGAGCATCGGGCCCCCGGTAGCGCAAACGACCGGGGGTCTCCAGGTGACCTTGAGGTCCATCCAAGAGTAGCTGCTGCTGCTGCTGTTATTGGTGGCTTTCATATCGGTTAGAGCACACGTGGCGCAAGTCTGTACTACCTAGGTACCTGCGGCGTGGTTAGCCAAAATACAGCAGCGATAAAGCTTGGCCTACAGCCACAGCCACCTGGGGTTGCCCCCAAGGCCCCCCTCCCTCCCTGCCTAAACAATGCAAAAACCGAGGGCCTCCTCCAGACAAGAAGGCGCTTGTAGCTGCAGCATTCGCGCCTACTGTTGCTGCTTAGAGGCGAGAACTGGGCGCACGCTGCCGTTATTTCAATAGAGCACACTACAAGCAGCGAAAGAGGCCCCTAGCTGCAGCACAAGGCCCCTCTATTTGCAGCAAAGAACTCGTGCAGGCACTTTTCTCAATGCCCTGGTTACGAGGCTCCATTGTGGGCCCCCGAAAGAGCAAACGGAGTAGCGCTGCGGCAATTGCCGCAGCGCTGGACCAGCCCCAGACGCACGGAGCAGAGCCGAACCAGCCCGACAACCAACAATTGAAAGCCCCGCAGAAAGGCCAGCAGCAACAGGAACTCAAGCAGCAGGATCAGAGAGAACACCAACAACAGCCAGACGAAAGCAATCATACGCCAGCAGTGGAGTTGCTTGACCAGACGCAGCAGCACTGTTCGACTAAAGAGAGTCAGTCCGATCCTGGAGAACACCAGCATAACCCACACCAAGGGAGAAAAGGTCGAGGGGCGAAGGGAGGAGAGGCGTCAGAGTGTCCGCCTCAGCAGCAGCAGGAAGAGCATGCGACCGCACTTCAAAAAAAAGGGCAACAGGAGGAGCAGGAGGAGCAGGGGCATCAGCCCCTCGCAGGTAGCATTTGTACAGCTGAGTGTGTGTAGCTGTTATTACTTGACCGAAAAGGGTACGGTTGGGGGCTGCATCTTTCTGGAGTATTTCCCTTTGTGTCTGACTTACCGCAGCAGCGGCAGAGGCCGACAGAGCGGCTGCAGCAGCAGCAAATGCAGCACCCGATGGAGCAACAGACCTTGTGCTTTCCTCTACCCCCCTTGGCTCAAGGCTGTGGCGGGGTCCCAGTGAATTGCCTCCTTGGCTACCGTACAACTCTAGAGGATCATTTCGCCGTAGCGTTTCGCAGGAAGCAGCGGATGGGCCTGAGGGGCCTCAGCGTGAGATTTGTCACGGTAGGGGGAGGGGGGGTGTTTAGGAAATGAGGTTTCCTGCAATTCTTATGAAGGCCCTTCAATTTACTTTTTTCGAGCCCGATAGATCGTTTTTCGTCAGTCACGTGAATATCCCCCCTCTGCATCCCATGGCTCTGCGACTACACAAAGGACGGGGAGTAGCACCAGCCCGCCGCTTTCACTGGTATTTTCTTTGATGCAGTTTCAGGAGGTTCAGGAGGCAAGCTGGTCCTTCAAGAGGGAGCTCGAGAGGGTCCGTTGCTGCAGAAGGGATGCGCGGTTTGTGTGCGCATTCGTCCAGAGTCCTTTGATGAGGCCCAGACAGGGGCCCCGTGCTGTTTGGAGTTGGGGGCCCGACTGGAGGGCCCCAGGAGTAGGCAGAATCTGCTGGTTCATGGCTTGCGTCAACAAGTCCATCGTTTCTCGTTCGATAGAATTTTTGACCAAACAGCGTCTCAGGGGGAAGTCTTTGCGGCTGCATGCCTACCGGTAGTCCGCTGTGCTCTCTCGGGCATTTCCGGGGCCGTTCTGGCATACGGACAAACTGGATCTGGCAAAACATATACAATGACTGGACCTCTGGACGAATCACTCGCTGATCCACTCATTGACAGGGGGAAAGGCACGCAGCTCAACAAAGCGCAAGCAATTGCGTATAACTCCAGACGCGCGCAGTCACCAACATCTCCCAGCGCGTGGGTTCCTCCAGCAGATAGGGACCGCAATCCTGATACAAGCGCGCAAAAAGCAACTGGAGGAGGAGCTGGTGGACGCCCTTGGCAAGCCTCAGTACTCAGGCAACCCCTTGGCGAGCCTCCTGGGGGCCATACACGCGCCTCATATAATACTTTTGGCGTGTCCACTTTGCGGGATCCTGTAGACACCGGTATCCCCCGTGCTGAGCGACCCCTTCGGGAAAGCCTTTTCTGTATGGAAGATGCAGAAGAGGACAGCATATTACGAAAGCATTCCGCTCAAGTAGCTGACAGTAGAGGCCTCATGCCGAGGGCGCTGGAGGAATTATTCAAGTTCATTGAGACACTGAAGCATCAAGAGGCATCAGAAAAGGCTCCATTAGAGTCTGCACCTAGCGAAAAACTTCCGGAAAGCCGAGGCAGGGCCATTCGGCGATCCTCAGAAAATGATAGTGGAGTAGCGCAAGGCATTCCCCAACAAGGACAAATGGAGATACAGCTGACTGCAACTCTGGTAGAAATCTACAATGAAAAGATCTTCGATCTTCTAGACCCATCGAGAGGTTCTCTAAATGTGCGCGAGGCTCCGAACGGGCAGACGTTTGTTGTGGATGCCTTAGAGGCTGAATTGTACTCCTACCCACAGGCCCTCCAGGTAAGATAAGACCTTTGCCAGCTGTCCGATCTGGAAACTCCAGGAAGCAAAAAACAGATTAGCGAGCCCACCGGGTGGTCCGAACAACCTTGTGCGCCTCTCGACGTAGCCCAAGCTGGCCTTTAATAGCCTCTGTCTCTTTCTTTCTTTTTCTTTCTCTCTCTTCCTTTGTCTTTCTCTCTCTTTCTTTGTCCTCCTATCTCTCTGTCTCTCTCTGTCTCTTTACTGCTATTTTTCCGTGCAGTCTCGTGTGTGTATATCCCTTGTATCACTATCCATGTTTCGAAACTACCTTCTTCTTCCCGTCTTACCACCCTCTATCCCGCTCTCGTGTATCTTTTTCTTCCCTATCCCCCTTTGCTTTTCAGGTCATTCGTCGTGGGTTGCAAGGCCGCGCCTGTGGTCGTACGGCAGAGAACTCTGTATCCTCCCGCAGCCATGCAGTGCTGTCTTTGACTCTGAGACAGCGCCGCCGCTCCGAAGGGCGACTGACAGAGTCTACCTTAAATCTGGTTGACCTTGCAGGTAGTGAAAGGGGAGACACATCGATGGGAGGCAGGCGGCTCCAGGAATCTCAAGCCATCAATAAGTCTCTTCTCGCTCTGGGCAATGTTGTCAACGCTCTGGCGGGAGGCTCCCAAAGGGCCGGGGCCCCACAAGGGCCCCACGGCAAAGGGGGTGGGCCCCCGACGTGGTGTCCCCGACGACGGCATGTACCGTACAGGGAGAGCAAGCTGACCCGTCTCCTGCGGCACTCTCTAGGGGGGAGCGCCTTTGCCGTCTTGATTATTTGTTGCTCCCCGCATAGCCAGAACCTTCAAGAAACACTCTGCTCTCTCAGATTCGGTGACAGGGCCTCTCGGTTAGAGAACAAGCCAGCTGCACAAGACAAAGTCTCTGTTGCTGCCCTCAGAGAGCAGCTACAAGACACCGCGCAAACAATCAGAATGTATCAAGCATGCTTGCGCTCCCTCAGGATTGCTGTTGGCCAACAGCAACAGGCCATAGGCGTGCTACAGCACCTCATACCGACGGGGGCCCTTGTTTCCTCCGAGGAGCTCTGCCTCCTGCAAGCTGCTAAGGCGGCAGCAAAGGAGGCCATATTAGCTGACGCAGCAGCGCACCTCCCGGGGGGCCCCAGAATACAGCGGGGACCGGAAGCAGGGTTCCCCAAAACCCTGGTGTCCCCCCGAACCACTAGAGCAACATCTACTGAACGACGCACGCAGTCGTGTCCTCCCTATAAGGGGCCCCCGCGGCAGAGCTGTGACAGGGGAGAAGCAGCAGCGCTCTGGAGAGGCCGAGAAGGCACTCCAGCTACCGGTAAAGGCTACCAAGTGCCTCCAAGGGCCCCCTTCACATCTAAAGCGGCAGCAGCAGAGACCAGGGGTGCTGCAGCCGGTGCTGCAGCCCGACGGGTTAGAGGTCTCGAAGAACAGAAGAGCAGAAACAGGGAGGCAGCCCCAAGAGGAAACGTTGCACGGCACACCCTCGTGGCTGCAACATCAGCAGGAGTGACAGCGGCGGCAAGAGCACGAGCAGTAGGGGCACCAGCAGAAGAAGCAGCAGCCACACCAATAGTAGCGAAGGCAAAGGCAGCAGCTGCACCTGGAGAATCGCATGAGATTGAGCTACAAGCTGAACCAGGAGAGTCATGAGTGAACTTGTCACCCCGGTTATGGGGCTTTTAAGGCCCTCCACCTCTTTGAGGTGTAAAAGGGACCCTCCCTTCCCTCTTTGGAAGCGCCGTAAGCTTTTGGCGCATCCAAACGCCGGGCGTGCGACTAATCGGTCTTTTCATTACTTAAAACCTCTTGAGGAGTCCCCAAACCACGACTTGGTAGCTGTGGCATGCCTCTCTCCCTCTCTCTCTCTGCACAGCACTAACAACACCCTACTTCTTAAATTAAAAGCCGTGAAAAGGTTCCGCTACCTCTCTCTCCCTTCAGTGGAGCTCGTATGCTGAGGCCTGGTGGCGCCTTGTATGGCCTCACAGGGGGCCCTCCGAGCCGCCTGTGTGGCTCCCATCTTAAGAATTTACAGCCAATGAGGGGATTCAAAGGGGAGAAATAGAGGTACACACTTAGTCAAGATGCACTATGTTTCCGCACGCTTCCTCGCTTCCGCACACAAGTAATCAAGACTGAGGGCATCCTTCAGGCGAAATTACTCAACAGAGGCACTGGCTGTGCATAGACCGCAAGGCCCTTCTTCAGCCTGACCCACAAGCGCCGCAGGAGTGCTGGAGGTTCTGACGGCCCCTACAGGCTCCAAGACGTAGCTCATTAGCTTGGGAGGGGCCAGTTCATCAGGAGTCGTGCGTCTTAAAGGCAAAAAGAAGCGGCCCATAGGCAGCCATCCGCAAGGCCTGTGCCTTAGGGAAGGCTTCTCCTGGAGAGAAGATTCGCTGGATCCCTCAAGTCCGTAGAGAAACGCGGTGCAATCGTCAAGCATCGCGGGAAAGGTAAGAGCATCGGGATTGAGGGGTAGGGCCCCCAAAGGCCCCTCAGGGCGTGCGTCCAACAGCCACACTGTTACACGAACCGCCAACAGCGGCAGAAGCGCTGCTGTGGCAGCAGCCGTCGCTGCCGCTGGACGCTCGTTGAGGGGCCTCCGAGCAAGCGCGAGATTCCTTGCAGCCTCTTGGATCATCGCCGCCGCGTTTCTTTGATCAGGGGGAAGCTCAGCGCCCTCTGAGAGAGCCCTTGAAACAGCTCGTACAACCGCGTCCATGTATGCGTGGGGAGGCCCCTGCAGTCTGAGACTCCACCGCCACTGGGGGTTCTTATCCCTGAAGACTGCGGCACTCGCGCCTTGCTCCGCGTAGAGCAGAGGCTCCTGAGTCGCGGGAGGGAGGGGCAATCGGCAGCCTTTCCCCGCAGAGGCCCCCTCAGACAGACTCTCTGATAGTCTGGAGAGGCACGCAGCAACGGCAGGCACAAAGGTTATGGCTGCAGTCGCAAAGGTTGAGGGGAGAAGGCCTGCCCAGCGGCGGAGATTCCGAGCGCCCCCAACGCGAAGAGACACCCGAAGAAGGCCAGGAGTCGAGAGCGCTTCTCTAGGGGCCTGTATTGCTGCTGCTGGAGGAGACGCCTCTGCGGAGAGGTCGTCTCTTGCAGCCACAAGCGCCACTGCTGGTTCCGAAGTACCCCTCGCCGCTTTGTCTGAAGCGTCTCGCGCACTTCGAGGCCCTCGTCGTAAGATCGCGAGGAGTTCGCGAAGAGCGAGCTTCATGGTTCCGACATCTGCTGCTTTCTGCGAAGAAGGGCGCAGCGTTGCAGCCTCCGTCTCAGCGGTGGCTGCCTCCAGAAAGTGGCAGCACAGAAAGCTGCGTGCAGCATTCCACAGATCGAACAGCTCCACAGTCTTTCCCTGAGCCCTCCACACCTGTCTGAACGCCATACACCCGTGCAGCAACAGCCACTCCTCGGCTGTTAGGGACGAGCTGCTGCTGCAAGCGGCACTGCCGCAGCTTCTGCTGGAGACGGGAGACGCCTGCGTTCCATCCCACGCGGCGCTCTGGGGGGCCCCCGAAGCCATCGACCGAAGCAGCAGCGACTGAAAGGCACTCCACGAAAGCAGTCCAAAGCCAAACGCCTCCTCCTCTCGCGGTTGATTCTGCCGACGCAGACCTTCAAGCAGAGCACCCAGAAAGGGATGCAGCTTTCGGGAAAGCTGCTGGAGCGCAGCAAGAGTCAAGAAAGGCTTCGCCAGCACAAGCGCGTCAGGGGGCCCCCGGACGGCCTTCTGGACGAACTGCATGCATCCCGGAGGCCCTTGATCTCTGAATGCAAACGCACAAGAATTGCTCTGCTGCGCATTTGTGAAGAAAGGAGCAGCAGAGGGGTGGCAAGGCCAGCCGCTGTGATGTAAGAGGGCTAACGAGGGGAAAAAGAGCGACGTCACCATACCTCAGAGAGGCACAGAGGGCTTCCCATGTTACCCACTCCTCACTGCCCCGTCCAGGCAGCTCTGCCTCGCTGTTGCAGCGTCTTTTCCAGCGGCACAAGAATATGCCAGGTGGCAGATCGGATACTGCAGAAGCCCACGATGGGGTCGCTTCCGAGGGGCCTCCTTCAGCTATTAACTCCACCGACAGCAGCAACCTTCCGCGCACGAATCCCAGAGAAACTCCGCTTCTGCTTGGATATGCCGCAGCCACCGTCGTTGGAGACGTCCGTTCCGACGCAGGAGCTTCGGAATCGCTCTCTAGGGGCCTCCCTGGGAGCATCAGATCGTCAGGCGGCCCTTGATGCAGCAGGAGGCTCAGCGCAGCCTCCGCAACGGGTTTGCCAGCGCCTCCAGGAACGCCTAAAATAGCGCTAGCCAGCGCTCTTTCCTCCAGAAGGCAGGAGGCCTCACGCGTCTCCTCGATCAGGCAAAAAGACAGATGCGAAGGGCCTCTGCGTAGGCACACCAGTTCACACAGGCAGTTATCAAAAATATGCAGGAGGAAGAAGGGCCAGGCAAAACGGGCAATAGAGCGGCAAGCGAGACGCTTCTGCACCAGCAGGCTTCCTGGGGATTTTCGAGCAGCAAGCGCATGTTCGTTCAGCTAGACAGCAGCAGACACGCGGGAGGGGGCACTTCTACCCTCGATGAAACCGCCCTTACAGGTGGGGTTGCCCTTCCCTTAGGCCGTAGTGCTGCTGTCGCTGCTTTGATCGCTGCAAGGTGAACACAATACCAGTTGCTCCGAAGGCTGCAGGAGGCATTAGTACGAGGATCCCCTCAGAGCCTGTGGGGGTTTGCGGGGGAACCAGAGGAATTCGCCAGCGCTGAAGCTCGCGATTGCGTGGAGGCTCCCCGTGGAGAACGATGGTCAGACTCCAGGTAGAGGGTTGCTCCTGCTGCTGCAGTGCCTGCTGCTTCTCCTGAGCTGATTCTGGAATACTCAGAACCAAGTCTGCGATCCGGATGCGCATGCATGATGATGCGCTGATGGGGAGGTCCTCGGACGTTGCTGACTGCTCGCTTTGCAGCTGCTCATGATGAACGGTGTCTCTCTCTGCGTGCGGCTGGGAAGGCAATGCTGCTGTCACTGACACGTTCTCTTGTGGGAGAGGGACACCCTTTGGGCTTGCAGTTGCAACAGAGGCGACAAGCGGCTCCTCAACGGATTCGCTATCCCTCTTTAAGGGCTGTTTCGGGTGCTGCTCTCCGTTAGACTGTTCTTCTTCTCGATTCTCAAGATACTGCAGCGTTTCGACCCCCTGCTGCTGGTGAGGGGCCTCGGTGTCTTGCTCTAGCCGCTGCAACAGCCTCTGATGCTGCTGATGCAGCAGTGCGAGCTGCTGCTGCAGTTCCTCGTGCTGCCGCCCCTGGAGTTGCTGAGCGTTGCCTTCGTCATCGAGCTGCTGCTGCTGCTGCTGCTCCTGCTGTTGCGAGAACGCCGCCTCGTGTGCCTCTTGCTGTACAGGCGTCGGCTGAAGGGAGTGCTGCTCAAACGGCTGCAGCGTGCTGCTGCTGCACAGCGCAATCGCTGCTGCATGCAGCATCGGGGGCTTCAGCGTCTCCGGTCCTACAATCCTTGCCCGATACCACAGACGCACGTCGACTTCCATGATGCTGCTGCCTTCGCGCAAGGCCTGAGAGGCTCTTGCCGCTGCTGCGAGCTGCTCTTTGCGCAGCAGCAGCACGTGTCTGCAGCAGCATCCCCAGAAAATGGCCTTAGGCCCCTCCTTCTCGAGCACGCTCAGGAGATCTAGCAGCGGCAGACTGCCGATCCACCTACCCTCTGCCTGGTGTTGCTCCTGCTTGACAAGCAAGAAGAGAAGGGGATCTTCAGGTCTTAGAAGTGTTTGTAGTACCCCAGAGGCGTCCTTGCCAGACAACAAGTCGCCGCAGCCGCTGTTGTTGTGTACAGTCGCCTCCGATGGGAATGCTGAACGCGCCAGTAGCAAAGCCTCTGCTGCATCCGCCGCAACTGTGCCCCTGCCGGCTGCCGACACGCCCTCTGGAATGTATGCATGCAGCTGCTCTTCACTCCCCAAGAAGCTGCACGTCATCCGAATCGCTGCAGCGGGTCCTGCTGTAGCGACCCCACAGCAGCGCATGCGCGGCTTGCTGATCTGGAGTAATAAATCGTGCTGTACGAAGCAGGACTTAAAAGCTGCAACTAGACGCTGCTCAGTATCTTTGAAGGGCCTAGACGACGGTAATGAAGCTGCTGTTGCAGCTGCTGTTGCTGTGTGGGCACGTCTGCATGTGGCTCGCGCAATACCGCTGAGATCTCCATCCGATGCGTTTGGTAGTGGGGAAACATGCGGCTTGTGATTCGGCTGTATTGCGAATTTGGGTGCCTCCCCACTTTTGTGGGGTTCTTCCTTACATCGCAGAAGCAGCAGCTGTTCGCGCTGCCGCTGCTGCTGGAACTGCTGCCTTTCCGCGGCTTCATCTAGGAGGAGAGCAAGCAAGTCTATGCATGCAACAAGAGACACCTGCAGCGGCAGTTTGCACAAGGTCAGTCGCATTGAAACAGGGGCACTCACAACGGGAGCGCTCCTGGGCCTTGTAGGTGCAGCAGTAAGCGAAACGCAAAGCATCTGTAGAAACGCATTGAGGGAGCGGGAAGACTGCTGCCACCACTCACTGTCTGTGCAGGGGTTGCCTCAGACTGCTGCTGGCGGCTTTGCAGCTGCAGCAGCACCAGCCACAGCTCAGCAGCCGCTGAGCACCCTTTTAGCGCGAAGAACGCCTTGAATTTTTCAGGGCTTATCCAGCTCGCTTTGAGCTGCTGCTGCTGCTGCAGCTGCTTCAGCAGCAGCTGCCGTTCTCGCGGCACCGAACGGCTGCCGAGAAAGAGCGCTGGCAAATGCTGTTGCAGCTCTTGCAGCTGCAGCTGCAGCAGCTGTCGCAGACTCTCCGGATCGCAAATACTCCGCACTAAGGTCTCTGCAGCTGCCATTATGCACGGACAGTCTTCGGTACTGCTGCCGCTGCAAACGCTGCAGCCGCAGCAGCAGCGACGCCCTCCTCTCCTTGGAAGCGTTGCAACGAGCGCAGCTCGCCAGTCTTCAGCGGAAGGTCTGGGAGCCCCCGTGCTGTCTGCGCCGCTGCACACTGCTGCGAAAAGCTGCACTGCATCGAGCGCATGCAATGCTGCAGTCGCGCGCATGCGCAGCAGGAGCTGCTGGATCAGCTCTGTGTCGCAGAGGGGGGAAGGGGGAGAAGGCGCAGCTGCTGCTGTAGCGCCTCCTGCGGTGCTGCTGATATTTTGCATTGCAGGAGCAGACTTCACGAGATACTGTTTAAGGGCTGCCTGTAAGGGCCTCACGTACAGCAAGCCGCGTTCTTTATCCCATACCCGCCGCTCATGGTGCTGCTGTGGCTGTAGTGACTTCAGCAGCAGCAACAGCTCAGGAGTGGTGAGACTGAAGCCACCTCTTTCCAGCACTGCAAGGGCCTCCCCTACAGGCAGAACGCCTTCGTCGCTGCGGGAGGTTTCCTGCGGAGAGACACCACAAGAGCAAGTGCCTGTGATCTATTGCACCGAGCTGCCATCTGAGCTGCTTTTTTGGCTATGGCTGCTTGAGGCACCTTCCCCTAGATGCAGCAGCTAAGGTTGTCTATAGCACCCCACAGCGAAGACGCAGCGGCTCGTGCTGAGGCTGACAGCGGCCCTTAAGCTGGCGCAGCTGCTGCTGCTGCTTCGCTCTCGAGCTACGGCGTTAATAGTCATAATTTCATGCTGCATACCTCTGCTGCAGCAGCAGGAAGAGCACTCGACGCAAGGCACTGCAGCAGGGGGAGCTGTCTCGTGCGGCTTCGCTTCGCCGCATCTCCCATGGCTCGGAGGATCATTGCAACATCGCAGACACTCGGTGACAAGCCTTGATCCTTCCCACACCTGCAGAAACACCAGCTCCCGAAGCAGAATACTAGGACTGGACGTGTCGCTTGCATGCTTCTAGGCCTTATTCTGTCACGGGCTGCATGCAGCATCAGCAACAAGCGCAGCAGCGACATCACGCACCAGTCCACAAGTGCATCTACGTCAGCAGCAATGAGGAGGCCCTCTGCAACGGCTCCCGCTACATCTTCCAGCAGAACGCGGGGGACGAAGATCTGCCCTTCTGTCGCCGTTGTTGCCTCGATTGCTTCCCGCTGCTGTTGATACTGCGGTGTATTGGCAAGCCGTTTTCCAGCTGCCTCGAGGAGGCTAGCCAGAAGCTCAACTTCCGTGGCAGAGCCTTTTCCCTCCTTCTCCTCTTCTTCTTGTTGCATGCGCGCCAGCCGCTGTCTTAGCATCAGAAAGAGGACGCGGCAGGCGGCACTGCTGCTTGCTCCCCAAAACTGCTTTTGAGCAGCGAGCGCCTCAATGAGGTCTTGCACGCGCAGGAGGGGAATTCCCAGCTGCTGCTGTTGCTTTCTGCTGCTGCGGCTCTTGACGCGCGGTTCACGGAGCTCTGACTCCTCAGGGAAGGCGAGGCGATCGAATAGATCATCCGCTACTGCAGGACTAATGAGAGCTGCGCGCACTGCTGCAGATCTCCTGAAGGCAGTCCTATAGAGACAGGGGCCCTCCAAGCTGCTGCTGCCGCCGCTGCTGCTGCAGGTAAGGTGGGATACGGCAGACATGCTACAGCCTAAATGAAAGCACAGATCTGCGAACGTCCAGCTGCTGCACAGCATCTTTTCGCGTAGCCGCTGGAGCGCAGGGTGACAGCGCAGGGCCGTTGCATGCAAACGTTTGCGGGGTTGCTGCTGCAGCGGAGGATCTGCGTTTAGGAGACTTGCCATCTCGAGCGTGCTGCCGCAGCTGTCTGTCATATTAAGATCCTGTTGCCGACTCTGAAGCACTCGCTCTCCTTCTTGTGCCTCAAGCCGCCTAAGGACTACAAGGGCTCTGCTGTCGCGCTGCAGCTGCAGCAACTCCGCTTCCTGCAACAGCAGCTGCAGGGAAGCCGCAGAGACACTGCCACGCGCCTTGGGATCTGCAGCGTCGAACAGCAGGTGGAGCGACGTCCTCACTGCATTTTGCACGGAGCTGCCGCTGCTGCTGCTGCTGTCTAGTGGCAGAAGCACCAAAGCGGCCTCTTCGACAAAAGCCCATCGAGAGACGTCGGTTGGCGAGGTTGCGGATGCTGCTGCGGACGCTGCAAGGGGGATGATGTGGTACTTGATGCGACGGATAAGGGATTCAGCGGGGGTTTGCAAGCTTTCTTCGGGAGCAAGGCAGTAGTGTTGCCGCTGCTGCGCCTGTAGCAAGCGCGAGCAGCAAAAGGCCTCAACGGAGGTGTTGGCTGCGCGCAGAGCGCGCAGCAGCAGCAGCAGCAGCTCGTGATGCTGCTGCTGGAAGGCCTCATAGCTGCTGCGAAGCCTGCGAAGCTCAAGCAGACCCTCTGAGCTGCTGCTGGCAGACACCATTCGGCTGTTGTTGTTCAGCGGCGCTCCGACTCCGACTGCAGTTTTCGACAAGTAGCTCAGTCCAGCTGCCTCGATGAGGGCCCCCAGTCGTGTGCCCCCCACAAGACGCGATGAGGTGCAGTCTCTGAATGCAGGCAGGCAGTCATGCACAAAAACATGCAGCGACTGGCAGCAGACTCTTGGAGTAGGTCAAGCCTGCCTTCCACACATGCGATCAGGATAGCAGCAGCAGACGCGGCTCCAGAAGCAGCAGCGCTCACACCCGCGCGCATACAGCTGCAGCCTACACAGTTGCTGTCGCCAGCGCTGCATCGACGCGTGCGAATGGCTGGGTACTGAAGAGACAGCAAAAGACATCCTGGAGGACGAGAGAAGCCAACTGCTGTGCCGCATCTACCCACAACTGCAGCACTAACAGACAAGGCTCCCTCGCACTGCAGCCAGAATATTGACTCATGGCAGCGGCATGTAACAACAGCTGCAGAGACCGCGCAGTAGAGGGCCTCATGCCAAGGCTTTTAAGGACCTGCAAGAATCAGCATACGTCACACCCCTCGCAAATGGCGCATGCAGCCTCTGCATCTTGTGCCGAAGAAAAGCCCTATTGTTGCGCAAGAGACACTCCATTAGGCCTCATAGGCGTCTTTTGCATACCCTGAGAGTCTCCGCTCCAGCCAGAGGTGTCATCATCCCGCTAACAAGCCCTTCCGCATGCAGAATTCTTTCAAGAACGCCCCCCTTCGGGCCGGCTGTAAGCAGCTGCACGACGTCGTCTCTCAGATCTGCTGCTGCTGCTGCCGCTGATGCTGCTTGCTGAGTGCCTTGCAGCAACGCCTCCAGACACCAAGGGGCACTTCCCGATTTCCCCCCACCAGCGCGTGCAGCCCTTGCGGCAGCCTCACGCGTTGCTGCATGCAGATAGGGAGGAAGCCTCCTGAAATCCGTGTACCTGATGAAGCCTTCTCCTCTGATATCGAGCAGCGCCGTCACCAACACACACAGCTGCAACACAGCAGAAGGCCAGCACATATGCATTCACATACACATATACATTCACATACACATACACACATAGATACACATACACATATGCATACACATACACATATGCATACACATACACACATAGATACACATACACATATGCATACACATACACATATACATACACATACACATATACATATACACACACATACCCACATACATACACAATATACATATACATATACATATTCATACACATATACATCATCTGCAAGGCGCACCAGCATCAGGCAAAACGAAGTAAAGTCTTACAGGGAACAATCAGCACAGCGATTTTCCGCTGTTGCAGCGAGAAAACTTACATAATTTGGAAGCCCTAGGACTGCCTCGATACCTGCCGCTGTCTCCTTCGTCGTCAATTCTAACGCGTGCATAGGATCTGGATGCGTAAAAGTTTCCTCCGAGCTGCTACGCCACGCCTTGCTAGCCGCAAGAAGGGCAGCAAAGAGGACAAAGGGGGGAAGGCTAAGAGCTGCAACTTGAACGCACTGCCAGTCCTCCGCTTGCAGCACCTGTCTCCTAACGAGCCAAGGCTCGAGCTCCACGTGGAAAAGAGAAGGCATCTGCTTCTGTTGCTGCTGCACAGCAGCTACCCAGCTATACGCATCCCCTTGGATGCTGCTCAGCACACCAGGAGAGACACGATTTGCATGCGGCACTGCTGCGGCGGCGGCTGCAAGGGCAGCATGCCCTCCCCGAGTCTGCTGCAGCAGGTTGGCTTGCACTGCAGCGGCTCGCTGCTGGAGTTGCTCTAAACGCACCGAAGTCTTTGGGTAGCGAGCGGGGGGGGGCCCCCCGGATACCCACGGAAGGGCCCCCCACATGACCAGCCTGGCATCTGCTGCTGCAACAGGCAGCTGCTGCTGGAGCAGCAGACAGCACCGCTCAGCACTCACGGATTCGCCCAGAGTCTCAAGAGACATCTCCCCCGCTAAGTCTACTCCTGCTGCTGCCGCTGCACCATACACCTCTGCTTCCGCTGCAGCAACACCACAAGGGACTGCAAGCCATGGTAGCAACTGCTGCCGCTGCAGATGCAAGGCGCTAAAAGCCGCATGAGCCGCCTCCAGCAACGCACTGCTGTTACTGCTGTTGTTGTTTCTGTCGTTCAGCAGCCCACTGCTGCTAGTGCTGCTGTTGTTCCCGTTGTTGTTGCTGTTGTTGTCGCTGTTGCTGAGTCGCGGGATGCACGAGACAAGCCACTGCAGCGCCTCGGCTGCTGCTGCAGGGGGCCCTAAGACACCCAGAGCTGCCCATACACCTGCAGGGGAGGTAGCGGACTCGACGCCTTGCAGCTGAAGCTGCAACGGAAGTTCGGGAGCTTTTCTTCTTGCTCCTCCTCTTGATGGCGACTGAGGCTCTACGTTAAGGAACTGCTGCAACACCGAGGCGACGTCGCTGCAGCCAATGCAGCCGAGCAGCAGGCGGATGTACAGACTCCGGAGCAGAGACTGGCATGCAGGAGGGAGCTGCTTGAGCTGCTCCTGCTGTCGCTCGGCACTGCCTGCAGAACATGCCGCGTGTGGATCTCGCAGCCGTTGCGATTGGAGCTTCCAGTGCATCAGCAACAGCGCATCAGCTGCCTCCCTCAGCATGTCTGCTGCCTGCTTCGCTCGAGCTGCTGCGATGGTCTCCGAGAGACTCGGGGAATACGCGCAAGTGCCGTGCTCTGCTTCGAGGGCTGCTGCTGCTGCTGAAATACTCGGCACGGCTACCGTCCCCTCGAGTGCCTCCTCAGCCTTTCCACAAGGCCTGCCGCATGCATCTTGCGCGGCTGCTGATGCTGCTGCTGATGCTGCTGCTGTAGCAGCTGCCGCTTGTACGTGGCTCAGCAGAAGGCTGCAGCGAACGAGGGCTGGATAGCCAGTGCCGCGTGTCTTCAGAGGCTCCACAACTGTTGCAGCATCGCCGGTGAGGACTGTCTCCTCGGAGGCTTCCGCAGCAGTTGCTGCAGCAACAAGCTGCTCGAGCACCAGCGTGCGGTCTGCGTGGGCAGCTTCTGAGCCGTCTCTAGGAAGACTCTGCAGAGAGAGCAGCAGACACGCCAGTCGGAGGTGTGCGGATGTCAGGCTTGGTGCTGCTAGTGCTGCTGCTGCTGCTGTCTGCTGCTGCTGCTGTCTCCGTGAGGCCTCGTGCAGCAGCCTCTCCAGGATCTGTTGCAGCAGGTGTGCAGACAGCACGATCTCCTTCTTTGAAGAGCCGCCTTGTTCTGCTGCTGCTGCAAGAGGGGCCGTGGCGGCAACTCCAACGGCTGCGGCTTGCATCAGCTCGGTGTGAAGCCTCCCGCTACCGATAGGCTCAGCAGCAAGAACGCAGCAGCAGCTGCTGAGTGCAGTCGCAGCAGCGAGCAGCGCACTCTCCTCTCTGGCGCTGCGGCGACTCAGCAACAGCAGCAACAGCTGCAGATCCACGAAGCCTTCTCCTGCCTCATCGAGAAGCAGGAGCAGCTGCTGCATCTGCAGGGAGTCGGCTGCCAAGCAGACTCCCGCGCGAAGCAAGACGTGGGATACATCCTTTGCAGTCATGCGAAAGCGACTGCAGCGACTCCCGCTGCTGTGGCTGCTAGCTGACAGCGCATGCGTCCTCAAAGAGAAGAGCAGCTGCTGTAAACGTCTCGCCACTGCACCCGCTGTGTCCGCCCCTGTGGCATTTTCTACAGCCGATGCCGCAGGCTGCGAGAACTCATGCTGCTGCAGCAAAAGCTCCCCAACAACTGCCTCCGCCTCAGCCCTACGCCTGTCGATGAACTCCCTGACAAGCTGCACAGACACGTGAGCCTCCTCTTCTCCCAGATCGCGCTGCTGCTGCTGCCGCAGCTCAGGCTGCAGCGCCGCAAGACACTCCGTTGCCTTCCTGCGGCTTGCTGGCAGCTGCAAGGCAGACGGAGGACTGCTGACGTCGCTCCAAGCCGGAGCAGCAGCAGCCGCTGCTGCTGCTGCTGCTGCACCCTCTTCCTGATTGTGAGCTGAAGGGCAGCGCGTGGAGGCGCATCCGAGAGGGGTAAGCACGTCGGTAGCAGCAGCAGATTTACCTTCCCATACACCAGGATCTGAGGGCAGCTTTCTGATTTCCAGCTCGAATTTCCGCTGCATCTCCACTAGCGCATGCACGAGGCTCTGGGATTCCGAGAGGCTAAGGCCTATCCACGCCAAGCGGAAACGCAGGGTGCTGCAAAAAAATCACACCTTTATGAAAGCCTTGCATGCTGTGAAGTACACCGGGCTGTAGACGCTAACAATGCATGCAAGGCACACAAGAGTTCGAACGGCGGGCACCTGTGGTACGGCTGCAGCAGCACCTCGCAGAAGGAAGAAAGGGAGAAAGGGAGAGAGAGACAGAGAGACAGAGAGAGACAGAGAGATAGAAAGAGAGAGACAGAGAGATAGAGACAGAGAGAAAGAGAGACAGAGAGATAGGGAGAATAGTTTACCTGACAGGTATTGAGAAGTCTGTAGCCTTTCTTGGGAGCTCACTGCAGGAGTTTGATTTGGAGGTGAGAGGCTGCTGCAGGTGTTGTTGCTGCAGTTGTTGCTGCTGCTGCTGCCGTTGCTGCTCCTCGAGGAGAGAAGAGGCAAGTCGCGAGCCGGAGACGTCCAGACGAAGGAGTGAACGGTGCGCTGCAGCAAGAGTCGCATCCGCAGCAGCAGCGGCAGCTGCTGCTGTCACAGCAGTCGTTGATGTTGCTGCGCTTCGCGCGGCAGCTGCCAGATGTTTGGGGGGTGTAGAAGGCCGTGGCTGCCGCAGGGGCTGAGGGGGAGACTCTTTGCTATCATCTTCCTGTTCTGCCTGGTGCATGGGCAGCGATTCTTGCAGCTGTTTCTCGAGGAGCTGCGCAGGTTGCTTCTCCTCAGGGAGCGCCTTCGGCAGACGCTCCAGACGCTGTGCGTGGCGATGCTGGAGGGAGGCTACAAGGAGCTCAACAGCCTCCGGAGGTCCCCCCAAGAGGCGCAGGCGTGCCCTTAGCAGCGGCTCTCTCGAGTGCAGAGACAGCAGCACATTCTCAGCGTCAGAAAGCACAAGCAACCCCTGCTGCGGCTGCCGCAAGCTTTGAAGAGTGATAGCCTCGGGGACGGTGATGTGACATATGGCAAGGCACCTCGTTCCTGCTGCCACTGCTCCCTGCGCCATACACTGCGACCCAAGCCAAGCCTCAACCGTCAAGCGACGTGGCAGTCCGCTGCGTAGTAGCAGCAGCGCTGGCGGCGTTCCTACAGTGTCTGCTGCAGCAGCAGCTGCTGCTGTTGCTGCAGGCTGAGCTACCCAGAAGGGCTCAAGAGCAGTTCCTAACACTGCAGCCTCGTTGCTGCCGCTGCTGCCATACATCGCGGGGCTGATCTTTATGACCCCGGATACGATGCGTGTGGTGGTGCTCACTCTGCATGCAAAGTGGAGGTATTCGCCGCTCTCCAGAGACTGCAACAGCTGCACATTCTGCAGAACAAGAGCCATACAGGCACAGTCCTCTGCCGGCTTCACGGACGCAGCACGAGTCGCTGTTGCTGGCGCTAGCGACGAGACAAGAGCCGCTGGAGACAACAACCCCCTCAGGTGAAGATCCTTCTCCGGGGCATGGGGTGTAGGCGGAACCGACTGAATCAGCTCATCACGGTGCTCATCCGCTGGTGCGATTGCTGCTGCAGGTGTCTCGGGGATCTGCGCTCGAGGGGAAGCTTTGGGAAAAATGAATTCCTCATTTGCGGTCACTTGCGGCTGCTGCTGCTGCTCCTTGAGCAACGTCTCCGGTGGCACTTCAGCCCGAACAAAGAGACGTCCTGCAAGCGGATTGCGATGCAGTTGCAGCTCTCGTCGTAGTTGCTGCTGCTGTTGCTGCAGTAGTAGTTGCTGCTGTTGTTGTTGCCGAGGGAGGCCCTCCCTGCTGCGGCTGCGGTTCTGGCTGGGCGTAGTACTGTGCTGCATCAACGCGTAGAGATTAACCGCTGTAAGGTCGCTTGAAGTATCCAAGGCTGGATTTGTGGGCGCCCCTCCTGGCTGCAGGTGCAGCTGTTGCTGCTGCTGCAGTTGCAGCTGTTGCTGCCAAGTGAATTCCCCTAAGGCGAGGGGTCGCAGTCCAGTGGGCAGCGGATGTAGCCATCCATAGGATCTGCAGACTTCAGCGAGGAGGTGTCTCCTCCTGCGGCTCCTGTTGACAGCGCTTCGAGGGTGCTCCAATAAAAGAAACAACAGCGGCTCATGCTGCTGTTGCAGCGCAACTGATTGAGGGCAGCAGAGCACTTGCTGAATTTGTAAGAGCACCCCACATTGCCGCTTCACACCGCAGCAAATCAGCTCGCGATGCGCAGGACCCTCCTGCACTTGCTGCTGCTGCTGCTTGGGATGACACCCCTCATCGGCAGCACTTGCAGCAGCACTTGCAGCAGCAGCTCCGCTGCGTGTGCTGCTGCTCGCTCTGCCTGTCGGCACGGAGATGTACAACACGAGCGCATCTTGTTCCTTCGGGAGATGCCGTGCGAACTCACTGCGCAACTCCATTGCTGCCAGCAGCAGTCTCAGTTCTCCCTGCTTTGCATCGTCTGCGGCAGGAGCTGGCGATGCGCAGGCTGCCGCAGTCTCGGCTTTCCGTCTGCTACAGGGGCCCCCAGATGTACTGCGGTGCCGCTGGGGGGCCCCCCAAATGTTTTGGGAGGAGGCAGCGCGAGTTCTCCCGCAGGGGTCACTTGTCTTAGAGGAGATGCGAGGTGCTTTCTCTTGGCGAGTTTCCTGATGATGGGGGTGTTGTGAGTGCTCTTTTTCAGAAGAGGCGAACTCGGCGGCAGACGGGGTGAGGGGAGAAGCAACGCTTAGGGGGTCGCTTGCCACGAGGCGCAGTTCCTCCAGTTGCTGCTGCAACAACAGCTCCCGCTGCAGAGAGTCTGCCCCCTGGTTCGGCTGGTGGAGCCCATACAAAGGGCTACGGTAGCCGGCTAGTCGCTCAGGAGAGACTGCTGATGCAGCGGCTTCTAGCTGCTGCCGTGGCTGACGAAAGAGCGGCATGCAAGGAAGGAGGGGTGGCTGCTGTTGGAGGGGCGCACAAGAAGGCGAAGACGGCACAGAGCTTTGAGGCGAATCTTGAGGTTGGGAAGCCTCACATGGCTGTTGCAGCCCGCAGGAGTAGTGCTCGATTTGCGGCTGCTGTCTCTGTAAGTGCTTTCTGCTACTTAGGCCTCCTGCCATAATCGCTGTTTCGACGAAGCCAAGCTCTTCGCTTTGGTTGCATCCGCTGTTGGTGTCGTTGCTGCTGCTGCTGCTCGTGCTGCTGCTCAAGCATGGCTCCGTCTCTAGACGCCCCCCATAGCCCTCTATATTGGGAATGTCATCGCTATAACTGCTCGTCTGTAGATCCCAGTGCGTCTGAAGATCGCACTGAGGTTGGCTTTGGGGGCAGCAGCTGTCGGGAGAAGAAGGGGTGAGGGACGCCATCCTTCCGCGAGTAGCGACAGGACTGCCGCTCTGCGGATCTTAGGTAGTGGAATGCCTCAAACATACACCAGGAGAAGGGCTGCCTTTGCTGGCGCTGAGGGGGCACCCGCCTTCTCGTGATCCCTGCTGCGCAAGAGGAACCTGACACTTCGCGCTCCCGCCAGGCTAGAGCAACAGGAAATGCTGCATAGACATGAGATCTGCGCATAGCAGCCTCATGAGGTCCATCTGATGGGGGCTGCGCTGCAGCCGGATACCGCCTCAGCAGGTGTAGCGACAGCTGTACCAGCAGCCGCAGCTGCCGCTGCGGCAGCTGCTGTCCTTTAGGTTCGTAAGGAGTCTTAGGATTCGCTTGATGTTCAGGAGCTTATGAAAAGCCATATAAGTGGCTGCGCTGCGAGGGGCCCCCGCTTCTCTTGTGCTGCCGGTCCACGGGAGGTGGTGCCAGGTGGGGCCCCCAACCCCACCACAGGGCCCCTCGTCACCCCGGTTGCACTTCTTTGTTTGTATCGCAAGGTCCACTGTAGCCCACCTTTTCTCACTAGAGTTACCGTCGATTTAGGGGGTCCGCGCCTCTCCTAGAGGCCATCAATAGCCTTACCCACACGCTCCCGCTCTCACTCTTCATGTTCCCATGCAACTCCAAGGCTTTCCTGGTCGAAAACCTAAGGCTGGGCGCGACGTTGCCGTCAAAACGCGCATTCGAGATCAACGGCTCCCCAGCTCTACGCCATAGCCCTTCCTAGCTAAGGCGGCTGCTGCTGCGAGGACAGCGTGTCTAGCAGCGGGCCAGAATTCATCTAAGACACTTTCCACTTTACGCATTGTATTTTACTAAGAACTAGCTTGAAAATGTCTACTTTTTGGATCGGAGGTCTATATACACTGCACGCTGCAGGTCACACACGGCAGTCTCCACACGAAAAGCATCGGTGTAGCATGCCTGTGCGCCACATACGCTGCTACGTGTAACTGGGTGTCGCTTATTGAGCCGATTGCTTCAACATGCAACAAAAGCCACCCACACTTTCTGGATTGCTCTTCATCTCAGAATCCTGGGCGGTACAGATGGCTGAATGACAAAACGGGGGAGGGAGTATTATAGGCATAGCTACCATCAAACACTCCCTACTACATTAGCAATATTTAATATATATTTTGTAGTGAGAAAACCACTTGGACTGTATGTCCTTAAATCCCATATGCTGCAGATTTCTGTTAGCTTGATACAACGAGACAAAATGATGTATATGTATGCGTTAAATGCTCTGGGGAGCACGCTGCAAGTGCTCGGATCGTATTGAGTGTGTAGCTACCAGCACCTTAGCCCTCTCCCTTCCCTCGCTTTAGAACTTCTGAGGGCTATGCTCGGGCGGGCAAGAGAGAGCTGCTTTTCAAGAGACTTAACGACTTTCCTTTCTAGTTTGTATTAAGTCTGGAGGTAACTCCCTAAGGAGACCTAGGAGGGAGCGGTGCGCCGGTGACACAGAAACGCAAATATCACAGAACTGAGAAACGACCTGTATGCAAAACTTGAGGCAAATCTCTTTCCTGAATCTTCGAGACCCTTTTTTCTCTCACCATTCCACTAGAATTCGACCTCCAGTGGAACCTCAGCCCTCAACAATCCTAAATTCCAGCACTTTTACGGCTCCCTGTCGGCCCTTTGCTCTTGCGTTGGCTAGTCGCCTGGGCAGTGAGGTCCCAGGAGAATTCAGGCAATAGTGAAACTTCTGTAGGAAGTCATTGTGACAGTTCTGTGTCCCCTGCCACTCCTAGGGAGGTTGATAGAATAAGAAGGCGCGAAGATTCATGAAGGAGTCATCAATGATCCTAGCCGCCAGTCACCGGGCAACTTCGACTGGCTACCTCGTGATACACCTCGCAAGCCCTGACAGCCCACAAGGAGCGAATGTTCATTCTCGAACCACCCAGCGGACTGCCGCGTCTCATAATTTCCAGGCTACCTTGGCTCTGGTTTTGCGTATCCACTTGCGTGCGCAGGCCCTCTGTTGCGTCTTTTAAGCACTATGTGGACTCATTTACCCAGCTGCTCGTAGCGACCTGCCGCGCGCAGGCAACTTACACTGACTTGTATCGTATGGAGCTCCCTATGTGTATTTTGCAACAAGTAGCATCTGCATGAACCCTAGGCCCAACATTGATACATGCTTCCTTACTTCTTGACAAAATGCAACCGATGTGCTAGAAGGCTTTTTCAAAAGTACGCTCACTAACTTTGAGATAGATACGCTTTTTATGTGAGGCTTGGGGCAAGGCGCCTTCCGAAAGAAAGCCAAAGAGAAACGGACTTACACCCAGAGGACGCCCTCGAGGCTGGAGAGCATCCCTTATTCCCAAGGGGTGCAAAGTACATACGCTCACACGAGAGGAACTCTACAGACTCCCAGACAGGGCCCCTATAGGGGACCCCTATAGAAGCACTTTGGTGAGGCGAAACGTACAACAACAAGAACGCCTGCTCCCATAACAAGGAGCTCGGCCTTTGGCACTTGCATGAATAGACACCTTGCAGAGGACATTAATTGGCGTGTGGGAGCCTTCTGTGTGGCCTGCAAGCCCACGTGCGTGTGTCTTGCTGAAGAGACGGCACACGGATACACGATAAGCTAGCTGCGTCACCTCTCCAGCTATCCTAACGCGTGACACCGGGCTAGCTTTGCCTCCCCCTACGGCTTCGGTACGTGCGCGATCCGCCGTCTCTTTGACCAATGAGCATGAGACCCTCCTGCAGCGAAAAAAGCAGCCACAGTAGCCGAAACAGACAAATAGACGGTGAAGAAGAGAGGCGGTGCTACCCTACTTATAACCAAAATGACGCTGGTTGCATGCATGCAGTTTAGGGTCTCCCTGACTCGGATGTCTTGACTGCCCGCCAGCCTCCGCGCTGCGCTCAGATGGAACGTAAGATCCTGCTCCTGCAACAGCAGCAATCGCAACGGCAGGCGCAGCGGCAAAGTGGCGTGGAAAGCAGCGTTTACCGAGTCTCGATCATCGAGTCACGCAAAGGTCGTGCAAGGACGCCTCCCCCTCCCCCGCGCCTAAATAGCTGCTCTAGCTCCCCCAGCTTGTATCCTCCACATCCCCATCCGCTGGCGACAACACATGTGCAGCGGAAGCACTAGCTACGAAATTACTTCTTGCTTGAGTTCTGCTATTCGGCTCTGGAGGGCAGCAATGCGCGCCGCCTCAGTTTCCCTGAAACCACCAAACAGAGACAGAGGACTGAGGCAAGTAAAAGAGCTCTGTAAGACCCCCAATGCAAGGCACCCGCAGAAAAAGGCACCCGAAGACGCCCCCAGGAAACGTCAAGCTCAGCGAAAGACACGCTCTAACAGAGAGAAAAAAAGAATGGAACTGGGAGGAGCAAGATGGGGGAGCAAGATGTCATACTCTTGAGACCTTTGGCTCTCCCGATGCTCGGCAGCCTCCTTGCAAAGACTGTCGTAATTGCGACGAAGAGAAGGTAAGCGCTCCCGCAGCCGCCGTTGCTGCTCCTTCAGACGCCATTCTTCGGATTCCAACTGCGCACCACGACAACAAAAGGCCCCCGAATAGAGACCCCCCTTTGACCTCCTCTCCGCGCCTTTTTTTCTCGAGACAACAGTGATTTGAGGCTAAAGGGCTACGCAGGATGTACCGAGGAGGTGTCGCTCCGCGAAAGCTGCAGCTTAGCCTCCAGAGCGGCCACAGTCTCTTCTATCCGCAGCAGAGCAGCACAACATTCCTGTAAACAACACCTTTGCGCACCGAGAGAAGAACATAGGCTGCAGTTCCAGTCACCCACAGAGACCCCCTGTCCGCCTCTAAGATCAGGTGAAGCGCTTCGCATGCCCACTCCATTCCCCTCCATCGAACTGTGGCTTCCACACCTCTATAGGAACCGAGAGGTTGCGCTCCGTTTCCTTGATTTTCTTCTTGTAGTACAGCTCCTGACTCTCCAAAGAGGCCGCGAGAAGCTGGTTAAACTCGGATACCCAGCCCCCCTTGGTGGGGGGCCCCTCAGAGGTAACAGGGGGTATGGCACCCGAATCGCTGGGGGCCCTGAGGGCTTCGCATTGGGGGTCTGCGTACAACAGAACGACGCTTTTTTGTGCAGCAGGCAAACTCACGCGAAAGCGCGCCGGTTCTCTCTCTCTCTCTCTCTCTCTCTCTCTCTCTCTCTCTCTCTCTCTCTCTCCTGAAAATCGACTCTCTACGCACTCTTTGTACAACTCCTTAGGGCCCCCTTGCTGGGTATGGCCCCCTTACTCGGCGTGTTGCCTCCCGCAGGGGGCCACACTCAGCAAGGGGGCCCTAAAGCCTCACGACTGAGTGCCTCGAGAGCGCAGAGGAGGCACAGGAGGGAGAAGGCACCAAACGCGGTAGCCTCACGAAACACGGTAGAAGGCAGCAGTTGAAGGTGCGCCATAGGGGCCCCTAGGGCCCACACTGGCCTCCACAATACCTGCTGCAAGTTCTTGGAGCACTTTCGTCTTCTCGCCTTTTGGAATGAGGGAATCCACGAAATAGCCGAGCTCAAAGTCGTAAACTCGGTTCGAAGCGCTCTGCGAAGGCAAGCAGCCAAGCGCTAGCAAGCAGAAGGCTCACCAAGGGCCAGGCCCGCAGAGTGAATGAAAGGGGGGCCCCTAGGGGCAGAACGGCTAAGAGAGAAAAGGGGGCTGCATGCGTGCAGAGCAAGGTACGCTAAGAAGACGCCGAAAACAGAGCAGGGGGCCTCGCTTGTCTGCTCACCTCTAAGGCGTGGGCGTGCGACATCTCCAGAAAATGCGAGAAAGCGTGACACGTCTTGCGGAGTTCTCTCTGGGGCCCTCCTTCCCCATGGACGGCTGCGGAGGCACCCGCGTTCGCTGCTTCCTGGAATACTGGAACTGTGTCGCCGACAGGGGAGGGGGTCTGTGAGGCCCCCCGTTGGGGGCCCCCGCAGCCCGAGAACCCGCATACAAGGCACACCATGATGCCTTCCGTCTCGCCGCATACGGAGCAGCAGGAAGGCTGCAGGGGATGCTGCTGGTATCGACAAACAGGGCAAGAGACGTCTCGCCACTTCCTCAAGCAAGAGACGTGAAATGAGTGGCCGCAGAGTACGGCCAGTGGCATATCGCTGCAGGGCCCAGGGGACCCCCCACTTTCAGCTCCGCTCGCTACGGGGGGGCCCCCCCCTCCAGGATGCCCGCTCGTGCCGCAGGGCGACCCCCCGGCAGCCCCAAGGGGCCCCCCGGAGGGGCCCCCCCCCGGGGGGCCTCCTCGAGAAGGTGGCGTTGGCGAGGAAGCCGCTGCAGCGGCCCCCTGAGGGGACCCTTCCCGAGGCACCCCCGGAGTTGCTGCTGTGGTCGACGCTTCTGCTGCTGCAGCCTCCGCAGTCTCTGCCAGTGAAGTGGACTCGCCAGCTGAGGATTCGTATCGGCTCTGTCGGAAGCCCCCCACTAGGCCCCTAGAGGGGGGCCCTTCTACCCCTGTGGGGCCCATCACTGCAGAGGTGGACGGGCCGTTCGCATGCGCCGCGGGTGCTGGGGGCCCCCCACCCCCCGTAGCAGCTGCCGCCGTGGGGGGCCCCGCGACTGTCAGCCGCTCAAGGCAGACCGCGCAAAAGTGAAGAGCATCATAGCATGGGAGAAGCTGTAAGGGGCTCACGAAGGCTTCGCGTGCATGGAAGCCTTCTGAAGTGGCAGGGGGGCTGGTCGCTGCCACTTCGGTTCTGGCAGCAGTGGGGTTATCCTTTCCCGCCAGAGACGGAGCGGCGGTTGGGGGGGGGGGGCCCCGCGCGCCGAGCAGACCGGTGGGGGCCCCCATCGAAGGGGCCCTTGCAGAGCCAATCGGCACAAGTGTGACTGGACGAGGAGGCGCACTAGGAGACTTTGTTCTGGAGTCTGCGAGTCTGCGTTGCAGTCTTGCTGGCTCAGTCCTTGGATCGACGGGGCAAGGGCCCCCTAGGAGGCCCCCAGGGAGGGCCTCCCGCTCAGGGGCCTCTCTCCGGGTTTGTATCTTGAGAGAGACGTCTCTGACAAGCCGCAGCTCGCAGAACGCGCCCAAGGGGCCCCCGAAGAACACCCCATTCAGCGCCTGAAGGGCCCCGAGAGCCACAGACCGCTCGGCTTGCAAAAGCATGAGGTACTCCGAAGGAGAGGGGCCTTGCAACACCTTAGCCTGCAGAAAGGGGTAGCTGCTGCTCAGCAGAAGATCGCAAAAGGCAGCAGGAGGCACGTACGTCGGCACTCGGGGAGCTACAAGCACGACCGTGCAATCGTCAGGAGTCGCATCCCAGGGGGAGGGCCCTACAGAGGCCCCCTGCAAACAGTCCTTAAGAGGCAGCACGCCAAGAGCAGGATCCGCGCTGCCAGCTCCCGCATTGCCGCCGCTGCACTGTCTGCTAATTGCTGAAGGGCCCCCCGCAAGAGGTCCACCAAGGGAGGAAGCGGCGGGCATGCCTACGGAAGAGATCCCCTGAGCCGTGCCCGTCATGGGGGCCCTCGCAGGACCCCCGGGGGCCCTTGGCGCTGCAGCCATAAGATATCTCAGAATTCCAGTTATGCGCTCTACTGCGGGATTGCCGCAAGAGTAGGGGGCCTCCCAAAGGAGGGGACCGGGGGCCCCTGGGGCCCCTTCTGTCAAAGGAGGCGCAGAAAACTTGAGTGGAGGGGGGCCCTCGCAGGGTACCGGATTGGAATCCTCGAACGCCTCGGGCAAAGGCCCAGACATGGGGGCCCTCCTGACGGTGGAAGGGGCCCCCCTGGGTTCCGCCCCCTCCCCTGCATCCCTGTTGCTGCTGGAGCTCTTGCGCCAGTTGGAGCATTTCGCATGCGTCCCCATGAGGCTTTATGCCTTTAGGCTTGAGTGTGAGGCTTCGTGCCCCCGAAAAGCCCAGTGGCAATGAGGGGCCCTTCCGCTGTCGGGGAGTCAGGGCATGCAAAAGCGACTGGCAACGATGCTCGGGGGGCCTTCAAGAAAGGCATTCGCTACTCTGGATACAGCATACGGATTATTCGAAACCCATACCCTTCGGAAGATTCAGCCGGTGTGCTGCATGCAGGTCGTGCAAGCTAGGGTGTGTGCGGGGGCCCCTCGAACAGGAAGCGCTAGGGCCCCTTATTACGTGAAAGTTTGTCCCCAGTGTGCACTGCGCCAGTGCGTAATACGTCCTAGCACGATACAGACACGCAAATAGATCCAATTCACCAGGATGACTATGGAGAGGAGGGGGGCCTCCTCCGGCGCAGGGGGCCCCCTCTGTCGGCGGGTCGTGTGCCCTTGAGTGAGCGGAGCGCAGGGGTCCTCGAGAGTATTATGCACGAACAGCAAAGTGCCACAATGCTGTGTTTCTGCTTTTTCGATGTATGCGTGCCGTATACCTCTATCATTTTGTGCTTCTGGGTGTTTTGGGGGGCCCCGTCGCTTGTTACATTTCCCCTGCGCCCCCCCTCTTCGGAATCTCGGGAGTTTGGAGCCTTTGTCTTTAGAGGCCTCTACTTGCTCTTCTGATCTGTGTCGTTGATGCCTCGCAACTCTCCGTCCTTTCTCCCCATCCCCTTTCTTCCCTGAAAAAGTGGTTGTTTGAGCCGTTTGGCTGTGGCCGCTCTGTGCAGCACTCCCTCGAAGGTCCTCTGCTCCGCAAAGGAGCTGCTTTTTGACATCACCCGGAGGAATACGATCGTCGCAGGAATCATAGCGCCTCCTGCTGCAGCGATGGCTGCGCTGCGTCCACTGACGGCGGCGGATCTGCATGCGCTGGATGTGGTCAACTGCGATGTGTTCACGGAGACATTTGCACATCCCTTTTATCTTAAATACCTCTCCTCTTGGCCAGATCTCTGCTATGCTGCAGAGGCTCCCGACGGGGCTGTGCTTGGCTACATCATCGGTGAGCGCCTCCTTCCGCATGGTGCACCGAAAACACGAATAAAACATATATATATATATGTAGTAGATAGACGCATCTATGTACATACACATATGTGCATGTTCGTATTTGTATGCCGATACACACGGGCCCTAGAGCGGGCTCTTCAAAGTGCCCTAGCAGGATTGGACGTAGGTAAAAGCCGCAGAGTCTTCCAGACTATTATGGAGCTCCCCTTGGACGGCTCCCTTTGGCCCCCAGAGCTTCCGTCAATAAGGCTACACCTGACCCTCCCCTTCGCTCCCGGTTCTTCCTCCCTCCCTCCAAGCTCCTCCTAATAAAATGTTCAGTGAAAAAAACACCCTTCGAGGTTCCCCTAACAGAACACTCATGCTGCGCGGAAGGAGGGGGTCGAGAAATCCCCGTTTTCTGCTTTCTAGTAGTCCCCCTGGCACTTTCCGTTAGGCGTTTGACTGTCACAAATAAACGGGGGAAGGGAGGGAGGCCTGTGCGCCTCTTCAGGGGTCTTCTGAAAAAAAAACAGTCCAGCAGCTTCTCACTCCTTCTTTTTACACTGCTAGGGGAACGTTTTTCCTAAGTCGCCTCTGCCTATGTGCCACACTCTTGAGTGTCCATAAGGGCCCTCGCAGATGTATATTAGTGCCAGACGTGGAGAGACCCCCGATTTCTGCTCCCGCCTTTCTGCTACTGTTTCGAAGAGATTGCATCTGCACAAGAGGTTTCTTGTCTGCGCTTCAGGGAAGGTAGAAGGCGTCGGTGACATGTGGCATGGCCACCTGACAGCTCTCTCCATCGCACCTGAAGGGCGAGTATGCGGTGTTGCTGGGATTCTCATGAATCGCCTAGAATCCATCTGCAGGTCCATCTACAAGTGCTACTTCATGGATCTATACGTTCGTGTCAGCAACCAGCCCGCCGTGGCCTTCTACCGTAAGAGAGGCTACAAAATATTCAAAACAGAGAAGGGTTATTACTCCGGTGCAGAGGATGCCCTCGACATGCGCATGCCGTTCTTTGAAAATGATCCACAGGGGATTTCCCTTAGAGGCGCCGAGCTCTCAGATGGGGAAGCTGAAAATTCTCAACCCCCGCAGGAGCAGCAGCACGGAAAGAAGAAGAAAAAGGGCAGAAAGTAATCCACAGACAGAATCCATGCTCATATATTTTTGCCTATATTGGCGCACCCCTCGAAGGAGGCCCTCGCAGGAGTGCACCTGAAGTTTGCTTCAGGTAGTTCTCGCCCCCTTCTTGTGATAGTCTCTAGGGGCCTCAACGACATTCCAATGTGCTATAGATCCTTCACTAAGAGACAAGACTCTCCCGCAGGCTCAGCAGAGCTGGGAGCTCTCCCCTCACTGCGTCTCTTCCCCTCAGCTGCACCTGGGGGCCCTTCGTGCGACATAACTTATAATAACTCCCACTAATTGGCCTTAACAGGGGGCCCTGATCAGGGGGTATTGCGTTTGCGCTCCGGCTGCTGCTGCTACTACAGCTGCGGGTACCCTTGCGACTGCTGGTCCTGGAAAGGGAGTAACCAGGAATCCAAAGCAGTCGAAAAGACGGCGGTTTGGAGAGCTTTCGGGTTCATTATTTATTGCATACCGGGGGCCCCTCCTAGGGGCCCCCAGCGAAGAGCTCAAGAGCCCCTTTTTAGGGCCTCGATTTCAAAGGGGCTTGCGTGGCAGCAGTCACGCCGCTGCCGCGCTGCTGCTGCGCTACGGAGAAGGGGAAATCCCGTGGATCCTTGTAGCAGCAGTAGTCAGTAGGGCGCTCTATAGGGGCCCCCTACACTCCCACAACACAAGCAGGGGCCTATCTCGGAGAGTCCCTGACCACCCTCCTTCCAGTTCACAGGGTTAGGCCGAAAAGACAGAGGCTTTAAAATGTCATACAGGAGCACCACTCACATATAAGGGGCACAACGCGCATGTGCCGAGAGGCCTTTATCTCATTTTGGAGTTGCCAGGCACCTAATAGTGGCCTTTTGGGGTCCGCATATGGGCAGAAGGGCTTCCGTGCTCTGCCCCCCGCCTCCTCCGCTTGGTGCACTAATTCTACTAGTTTTGCATCCTGAGCAGTTTGGTGGAGTCTGCGGGTTCGACAGCGGTCCCCCGATCATGCTGCTGCTCGTGTTGCTGGGACAGTTCCATGCTGATGCGGTCTATGAAGGCGTCGGTATTTACAACGGCTTCATCAGTTGCCTCCCGTCGCAGGCCCTTCTGTTGCAGCAGCTTCGTTTCCGCGTATGTTTCCCCAGCAGCTGCATGATCCTGCGGAGGCGGGAAGAGGGGCTGCCCCTGCATGTGCTTGTAGTGACCAGAACTTGGCTCCCCCTCACTGATCTGCTTGGAAGAATCCTGTGGAAGCGCTTGCTGCTGCTGCTGCTGTCCGTTTGTAGCGTGCATGCGGCAAAGGCTCTCCGAAGCTTCGACACCTCCCTCAACGTCCGACTTGTAGTCGAGAACCGTCATATCGAGGCTCTGAGGAACGAGGAGTATATCCCTGAAGGCCTGCTGCAGGAGCAGGTGTTGGGAAGCCAGCTGAGAGCATGTCGGCTGTCCAAGAAGCTTCAGAGACTTGAACAGCCAGTGAGCTCCCGGAAGCGAGCGGCAGAGCTCTAGACACGCCTCTCTCTCCCCCTCGCCGTCGCCAATGGATACAACGCAGCAGGGCCCCCCCTCCAGAGCAACGAGGGGCCCCAGCGTCTCCGTCACGAGCTCAGTGAAAACACGGACTTTCCAGAGCCTTTGAGGAACACCCTGCTGCTGCAGCCTGTCCCTCGCAGAGAAGATTGCAATCTGCTGTTTCTGCAGCTCCTGCCAAAGAACGGGCATAAATTTAGATCCCGAACGCTCAACCCACTCCGCACTTGCGTTCGTTACAAGCACAACTCGGCCTCCCGCTAAGCATAGAGACAGAGTCTGCAAGACTCGGCTTGTGAGGTGCTGCAACTCCTGCTGTAAAGCCAGGGGCACTGCGTCCCCTAGACCAACACGATGCTGCACGGCAACCCAGTTGGTGGGCAGCAGCGTGTCGTCATAGTCGAGGATTATGAGCGTGTTTGCGGGTGTACAGACAGGATTGCTGTTGTTATTGTTAGTGGCACTACTTTCGGTAGGGCTACGAGAGTCGGTGCAGGTTGTTGAGGAGGCAGCAGCAGCACCGCTGCTGCTGCTGTCGGCCTTGCTGCGAATACGACTACTGGGCAGGCAAGGCTGGGGAGTCTCGCATAGCTCCCTCATGCCTTCTTGTTCATGCAGCTGCTGCCGCGCGTGTTTCTGGATTATCTGAGAATGCGTGGATTTCAGAGAATTCATGTTCAGGGGGGGTTGCTTTGCTTGATGCTCATGCTGCTGCTTGGGGGGGGGTGTTGCGGGCTGTGGAAACTCTTGATGGGGGCTGCGTTGTTGCGACTGCTGTGAAGCATCACCTTCCTCGGAACCCTTACTTGGTGGTTTTTGAACTGCGACCTCTCGCTTCTCAGCTCCTTCGATTGTGGACGTCATTTTGCTCTGAGCTGGGAGCCGCAGCATCGCTTTCTGCTGCACCGGTAGCATCTGCTGCTTGTGCTCACGCATCGGGGGATGCGCCTGTGGCCGTGGCTGCTGTGCATACTTCGCATGCACCTGAACGCAAGGATCTTGCTGCCGAACCTTCTGCGGCTCTTTTTGGTGCAGCTGTAACATGGGCTGCTGCTGTTGCTGGTGCATCTGCGGTTTGAGGTGCTGCTGCAAATGCACCTGTGGGGTCTGCTGCATGTGAAAGAGCTCGTGTTGCTGCATTTGTTGGTGGATTCGTAGTTTGTGCTGCACCAACATGTGCTGTTGCAATTGCTGTCGCTGCTGGATTTTAGTCTTTGGGTGCACTACCAGGGGCTGCTGCTGCCGCATTGCATTTATCTCCTGCCTCTTGGTAGCCAACAGTGCGAATTGCTGCTGAAGTTGTTGCAGCTGTTCTTGAGAAGGCTGCAGCTCCTTCTGCAACGTCTGGTGCACTTCGCTGGCGCTGCCTCGCCGAGCCAGAGGTGCCTGAGGGAAACCCCAACCCTCCGGCAGCACAAAGGAGGAATGAGATGCCGCTGCTTGTAGGCGTTGTGGGGCCAGCGTCCCTGCTGCGGAAGATGTCTTCGTATTAGCAGCACTCCTAATGCCGAGAATACTTCCAGAAGCGTTAAGAGGGGAGAGTGGCTGCGAGGGTCCAAAGAGGCCCTCAGGATCTAGGGCCTGCATCCTGGGGAGCTCCATCAGCAAGAATTTGGGGGGAACAGGGGCTGTTGTGCCCCAAAGCTGAATAGGAGGTAGAATCCCGGGGTGTCTGTGTGTCTAGCTGCCTGTCTTGCTGGTGTCGAAATCGAGTAAGGAAGAAGACAGAGGAGCGACAACTGTCTCGAGGGTCTCTACGTACAATTTCATGTATCACGACCTTTCCTGAGGTGCCTCATACGTCAAACCGTAACTTATCTGCTGTATAGACGAAGGTGGAGAAGGAGCATGTGCAGGAAGAACCCCTGCGCGAAAACACTGCCTCCAGCAGCACTGGCGGCAGCGGCTGAGGAAACAGTCAGCCCCCAGGAAGAAGCCAACGCTTACTGCAGGGTACAGAAGCTGCGTCATTCAAGGATTGACACTCGCGAGGCAAAGGGAAGAAAACGAAGTTTGGGGGCCTACGGTGCTGCCACGCTAACGCCGCGCGTCTTGTCGATTCCAAGGAGGGAACGCTTGCAGCCCCCGTTTGGGGCATTGAAATCCAAACACTTCAACCTGCTGCCGTAACCCGAAACTCCAGGCTTTATACTCGAAAGAACCACAAGGAGCATGCGGCGAATGTTGTGTAAGGAGCACAGTTGCTCTACGAAAGGCCTCCGGCGCCTCGAGCCCAAACCCTAATCCCCTAAGCTCTGTGCGTTGACAGGGACGACCAAGAGGGACTCTATGAATGAAATGTGGCGAGATTCACGCAGATAAATACTTAAAAACACGAAGGAGTCCCAGCTGCTGTGAGAACACCAGCCCAATATGCTGCTGCTGTTGTTGCTGTTGCTGGCGCTACCCCGCGGTTCGCTGCTGCCGACGGCCTACGCTACATAGCCGAGACTGTGCTTGCTGCAGCTCCTGCAAATATGTCTACTTGTCTCAGCTTCCACCGTGCGTTGGGCATATTAGCTATTTTTTATTATATTGCCCTCTTTGGGGTGGTGCTGTTCGCATCACATGGGCTACGTTAAAGGGCTTTGCCCTGTGCGTGCAGCGGTCAGCAAACCGCTGGTCCAGAGTCTCATGGGGGTCCGCTTGACTGAAACTACAGTATACACCGATACTGTCTCCCCACTGGAGTCCGAATAAGCATGCCATGCTAATCCTGTCACTAGAAACCCCATTGATAGAAGCGTTACGAGCCTAAAACAGCGGTGTATCAGCCGGTGGTGGCCTCGTACCCTGGTCCGTGCGCTCGATGGGTGGGATTCCGCGTTTTGAATCCCTTTGCATATCACATGTCTTATTATTGAATTCTTCCCTTATCAAGGTAAACATGTCAGAAATAAAGCCCAGATCAAGCCTGTTCGCCCCAGAAAATGCATCCCTCGCTTCCTCGTGTCTACCGCAGCTCGCTAGGTTTCTAGGTGCGCTTCTACTGCATCCCATTTCAGTACTCAGCCTTCTCCATTGGGAACGAAGCGGCTAGGCGGAGTTTCTAGGCATAGACAAGCGATGAACCAATGTATCAGGGAAGAATGACTGCCAAGAGTAAGGACCCCCTGGGTTTCCGGGCCCAACTGAATCGTGCGTCGCTCTGTGACCTGAACAGACACATCATAGTTCACAAACGCGTGAATGCGTGAACTTAGAGGCAAACGTGCCAAATGCTCGATTCAGTTGTAAGCATTGAACGTCCTTGGGGTGGCCACATGAGAAACATCCCCCGCCGAACCTTAGAGGCAGTCCCCGCTAAGGCTGTTCGCTCTCTTTGGGGTAACCAAAGCTCGTTCGCGAGCAAGGCACTAATGCGGGAGTGCAAGTTCCATCCCGTTGTGCACATAAACGCCTGTGTGGCGTAGGCTCCCCAGTACTTGTTCCTCTTTGGCTTTTCCAAAGAGGTACGATTCAGCCCCCAAAACACACTGGCAGTCGCCGCAAGCTCTTTGCAGCTTAATGTAATGCGTTTGTAAGTGCCCTTTTATTCTGTTGGGGTCGTATTGGCTGCCGGATTGTCTTGTTGTGCGTGGTGCGGCTGGTGTGGCTGCTTGTTCGGTGTTTTCTTTGTCTTTATCTTTTCGATGGTTACGGCCTGGAGCGTCACCCTGGTTGTAGCTGTCAGTCTGATTATGGGAGAGGCAAGGAGGATGACTTGCCCCACGGCCTGCAGTGTCAGATTTATTTTCCATAGGGGAAGCAGGGAGGAGGAAATGTAGGGGTGTCTCAAGCCCACCTTTGTGTACTGTCCGGCATGAAGCAGCTGGTTGCTAATGAAGGCCACTTCATTCACAAAGAGATTGGTCAGGCGAGCTTCGCCGCACGGTGATCCAACCTCCACAGTAACCATATAGGTCCCCAAACTGAAGTAGGGCAAACAACCATATGTGAAGAAGGGGATTTGTTACGCGTGCTCAAAGTTGTATTTCATCTCACGATGGCATGTCAATGGACCATGAATTCGGGTAGTCACAGTCCACAAAAGGAGAGCAGTGGTCTGCTGCAGAACAGTTTGGCTCCGGAAAGGAGACGCCGCTTTTGATGGAGGAACTCTCCTTGCAGTCTCCCGGATGGAAGAGGGGAGCCTTGTGCTCCCATCCGAACACAAAAGCACCGCGGCGAGCCTTTGGTGATCCATCGTCTGTTGCAGGAGTGGCGATAGTTGGCATGGGGATTTCTTTCTATATAACGCCAGAAACACAGCAGCACCAACCTTGCTTAAATCCTGCTGGAATAAACCTAGAAGTCATTTCTCCGAAGGAAATAGAAATGCTCTCGCCATTATCCTCTTTTTCCTCTTCTTTTGCCTATATGTTACATATGCGTCTTCCCTTTCTCATTCCCGCACAGAAAACTGCGCCGCCAACCTGAATGCAGGGGATGCCGATAAATGCCACTGAACCTCCAGTGCCCGCGGAGGTGTCGAGGGTCCTATTGCCTACACAAATATTCGAAACTCTGTTTGCTACCCTTGCTGCTCCCTAGATGCGCCGAATATCAACAAACCGATTATTTGGACTTTTGCACCCCGCACAACTCTTGGGGTAAATTGGTAAGTATGATCTCCGGGGGTAACGGGGAACTTCAGCGTTTCTTGTGTCCCTAAGAGCCAGAACGGAGGGTTACACTAGCAGCAAAAATAGAGAGAAAATCTCATAAGATACAAAACGAACCTGGAAATTCCACCGCAATTTCCGTTGGCCAAGTGGCTGGGTCATCCAAAGTCTTGAACTGCAACGGAATGAAGTGAATCACAGCGGAAGTGCCACTGGAATTCGAAAGAACGGGCATACCTGCATTTCAGAAAGCTCCACCGGCACCGTAAATGAGACCATCAAGTTTTCGCCCACAGAACGGCCGGGAGGAGTCCTCCAGGAGCCAAAGGGCATGTCCATGTTCATTCCCGATAATCCCGCAGTGCAATCGTGTTGCGCTGCCCCAAGATTTTTCATGCGTCAATCACTCGCCTAGACTAGACAAATCCGAAGCGTCGAACAATGACCTACGTGAAAGAGCAGATGACTGGGAACAGGTCTCGAAAGTGGGCGCGCGTGTCAAAGACACAACCACTGGTGCTCCTTGACAGGAATGCACCGAACTTCTCACGGGCTCAAAGAAGGCGAAAAAGGGGGTGTCTGTCTAATCCGTTTGAAAACTGCTCTGACCGCTTTGATCTCCGTTTCTTGCTAACCTGGGGGCACGTCGAATGCCACTAAGCCTGGGAGAATCCTTGCAGAGTATATACTGAATCGCTGCTGCTCTGAGGCTTTGACCTGCAATTCGATTCTATGTGGCAGCACACACACAGCCGTAGTTACAACCAATGTACGCCTTACGTCACGAGATGATGCAAAGTATATGCTTATGGCGTTGTCTACGGCCGCGAACTTCACTGGTTGAAACACGAGCTGCTGAGAGGCAGACGGAGGCACGGCTCCCCTCGGAACCCCGACAAAGACCACGCACTCTGCTGATACTTCAAAGTGAACAGTCGTGTTCTTGGGATGCTTTTGCGTGCGCAAGAGACGGAGGCCTCTGTAGTATGCTGGCACATCCGCAATAAAGTGAGAACCCGAGTCTATGAATGCGAGCTGGCCGTCATCAAGGGTGGACCTGATCCCAGAAAAATATTGCAGGCGGTAAAGCCATAAAATGCAAGGGGTCGCGCCGGAAAAGTCTCACAGATCATAATCATTGCCAGGAAGACCCGCAATTTTCAAAAGAGGTGGAGAATCGCTTTGGAAATAGTTTTCCGGCGGAATTGTCTGCTCAGGTAGTGTATTCGAAGTCCACCCAAGAACCGCTCGCGCCTGCCGGACAAAATCAGGTGTTTGTATTCACGCTAATGTGCAGAGGACAAACCGAATCTGGGTTCTTGTATTTATGAGACGAGAGGTGGAAGTATTCCACGCGAAGGCGGTGTCTGTGGCCAGCTTTAAGATCCTATTCGTTCAATTGATATGCCATTGTTTGGGGCACTACAAATCGAGACTTGCATACCTGCGGGCTGGAGAAGATTTTCGCAACCCCTGTAAAGCCGGAGGGGGGCAATGGCTGCACTGGATCTTCCGAGAAAGCTGCGCTTTCTTCTGGTGCAGGCATGCGGTCCACGATTATTGGGGAGTCGTCCAGAAATACTCTAATTCCACAGTCCGCATATGTGAAGAGACGATATCTGTCTGACACCGTCGGTACAAGGTATCCATCCCATCGCACAGAAAAAGACTGAACAGGAACCCCCGGAAAGGGTGAGGAACCCTCAACTTTCAAATCAATCGTGGCGTCATCCTGGTAGCCAGCAGGCGGCCCCCGGAAAAACGGATTGCTAAAGAAAGTTGCCCGAACGCCATCTGGCGTAGGCTAAACAGAAGGTTTGGTGTTATTCAAATATTTTCGTGCGAGCATTAAAATCTTCGGAAGCGCACCTCGTCTTCGTAGCCGCGGACCGCTGGAATTCGTAGTATATGTTGTTTCCAAATACACGAACCCAAGCCGCGATTTTAAATAGAATTAGCCATACCAGAACAATTATTGCGGTTATTGCTAGCCTCGTCAGCGTCTCGTTCCACGTCTTCCATGACGTGGGCAGCAACAGCCTGCAGGGCGCGGACCTTCGAAAGGTTGGCTTGCAACTCCTCGAAGGCCCGTTTGGACCCTGAGAGAACGTCTTCAATTATCTGCATGCGCTCTGCTGAGGCAGTTGAGGCCACGCAAAGCTGAAAGTACAGCTAGGTCTAGCTTCGATAAATTCAAGTTTTGTGCAGTTTCACCTGTTCATATTTTCTGAGGGTGAACTGTAGACGCCTATCGTTAAAGTTAATTATTTTGTGTGAATTTTTGCAGGCTGTCTGATGCAAATGTCACTCGTACTGGTCCTGCTCTTGAAAAAATGCTGCCATCTGCTCCATTTCGACTTTCTTTTTCTTGGCAAGGTCGCTACAGCAGAAATCGATATTCCACTAGAATAGATGAAAAGACCATGCTTACCGATATGCGACGCGAACAGCCTCATAATTTACGACCTCTACAGTGGATTGTAAGCGGGTTTCTTATGCTTTAGAGAAAGAAGCCAAAGCCACATACCTTGGCAGTAGTCCCAGTCGCGGGCACCTTTTCCTAGCAGTTGAACCTCTACGTAGCACCATTCTCTGCCTGAGAAACTCTCTCTATGTTGGAGAAGCCACGTTATACCACGAAAAATCTGGCATACCAGAAAGGCCCTCTGGGTTACGCGCAGTTGTGCAATCTGTGTACGTGCGGTCGTCTTGCACGAAAGCCGCTGCGCAAAGGCGGCCGTCTACCGTCTTCCTGTGAAGTTGTCTGAACTCTGTCAGACTCTAAATCCGGATATCAATACGAAAACAAGCGTGATCAGCAAAGTATTGTCGCACCTGTAGGGCTTTCCTATCGTATCCTGCATCTTGGGCCCCGCTGCATGGCATTCGAGATGCACCGAGGAGCCCAATAAAGAACAGCCACTTTGGAGTCATCTCAATGAGGTTTCTAAACCATACGCCTGACTATAGGAAGGCCAATAATCAGGCGATCAAGCGGCGACTCCGCTCGGGGAATGTTGTATCCAACCTGGGCGGTTGGCGGTGGTGCGCGTACACCGCAGCTTCTGCCAAACTGCAGAATCAAAAAAATGTTATTTTCGAGGAGAACAATCAGAATAGCTCTACGCATCATCATCGTCCTCTAATTTGTCAATTTCGTTCATGGCAGTCAGCACAGACTGCCCGATTTCTAATTCTTCACGTGTGAGATTTTCTGCCGATGTCTCAAAATCCTTCTTCCCCACATGGTCATCCTTCAGTAGCTCTTTGGTGGTTTTGCTCTGCTCGATCTTCTCCCTAATTAGCTGCACGATTGCCTTGTCTGTGCGACGAGATAGAACTGAAATCTTTCGCTCAACATCCCTTTTCAAGTCCCAATTCGGCCGGCGTGGTGCCACTTGAGAGAGGATGTCCTGAAACATAAAGTGAAGTAGAAAAGGCCAAGTATAACACGTGCACTCAAGAACTTCAAAAATAAGTACTGGGATGCCGAGAGTTCCACATGAGTGGCGGGAGTTCCACTCATGAAGCGAATATGAGAACCATAAAAGCACTGGCAAACCTCGTAGGCGGGGAGTAACTGAACAAAAGAGGAAGAATTAGGGTGATCTAACACCGTTAAAGAATCAAGAAAATACAACAGCAGGCTCGTGCATACCTCTTCTTTCGCAGCCTGAACGGCGCCCTGAGCCTCTTTGGCTATTTGCTTTTCAAGCTCGTCGACAGACGGCCTTGGAAGACAGAACAGTCGGAGCTTCGGATCCTTTGGAACGTAATTCCGAAAACGGATTTCGGGTGTGGATTCGCGCTCCCTAAGCTCTGTTGCCGCCTCTGCGTCAGTCCCCATGGCCAAATCTAGTCTTCAGCAACAGTCCAGACGGGGATGATAACAATGGCAACAGCAGCCAAAAATAGGCCTGGAACACGGCGACAAGCTAGAAGAATTGGATGATATGGGAATTACGAGGAAACTGCTGCGGCCCCGCTGCTACTTGAAATCGCGGTCATTTCCCACAGAATTGCTGAGCTTGGCTGCGCCGGGCAGCTCGAGTGGCAGCACAAACAAAACCGCTCTTCGCTTTACTATAGCTCTCTATTCCGAATTAAAGGGTATAAGCAAAATTTCTCTTCAGCTTCTTCATGGGTTTTCCGTGAAGGCGCTGCCGATACCAATCACCCAGCCCCGTAAGAGGTACATGGGAGATCGGTTTTTGCTTGCTAGCACACATGAATTTGAGGACGCCTTTTTATTTGAAGTATACAGTAAAACGTTTTTGCATGACTGCCAGAATATCTGCATGGGTGCAGCGGTTCACGGGCTCTACCCACAACATTAACTTTTCGCCTAGTTTCCGTCAGTAATCCGACAAGCCGGCGGGAGTAAGGACAGAGGTGGTAAAGGCAAAAAGATTGAGAGGGGGAGGCCAGGATAGTTATGGTCATTAGTGATTAAGGCTGGGATTCTGATCAATCAGCTGACGGGGCGAGCAAAAATCGCTGAAGAAGATGGTGCGACTGCTACTGCGCATGAAGGCGGACCTCGAGAACGTCGAGTCAATTGAGTTCCCAACAGAATACACCTGGAACGTCGATGGTCAGTCACCACGACTGCAGCTGGAGCAAGTAAAGCGTTGTGGCCAGATGACTTACCCTGGGAATTACCTGGCAAGCACAGCCAACTGTAGCGAAGCTGGCAGAGAAATTCGTACGATGGGCCAACAGGCAACAGTGGCATCTGATGTATATACAAATTACTCTCCCTTTCAAATTTTATAGCTACATTTGTCCAGTTGTACGTTGCTCAATGAACGGTGTCCTAGTATGTGCAGGCGTTTTCCAGCTGTGGGCCCTAATGGCCTCTGTTGATTCTTTTTGCAGTCACTCAAATGGGCGGCACAGAGGAGCGAAAGGGAGTAACTTTTTCGGCTGCAGAGGAATTCGATATCCCCAATAGCAGAGGGTACGCACTCTAACGCTCCTGTACAGTACAGGGAGCTTCGTGGAGGCTCGAGACCACCGACAGGCCATGGGGAATTCTATCACTTGCGAGGCATTGTAGCTGACAATATCCCTTAATAAAGCTTCTCGCACCATGTTGCGCATTCTCGAAGCTACTCACGCTCGCAAAACCTCCGTATTACGCGTTCATGGATGCGCGCGCAGAACAGCAAATCTGATAATTAGATTTGATGGTAGCAAGCACTCGGCCACCATAAATGTGGAACAGGTAACAGCGACCTAGCCAATCAGTTACTCTGCAGCGCTTCTTCTTCTATCACTCTGTGCTGTGGATGTTTGCGCTGGATCTACCTTCGTATTGCAAGACATGCGTGAGTGGCCTTTCGAATGATGCACATGGCTGCTTTCTGCTCGCTCCCTATCTGTGTCTCTTTCAGCGTCCTCCTCACAGTTGCCGCTTTGCGTAAATTGAAGTGCGTTGATGGCTCTGGATGCGCTCGAAAGATTGCTCCTTTCAGTCATTTATTCAACATGGCGCCGTTGTGCTACATGTTTCAGGTAAAAGGAGTCACCCGGCCGTACACCGCAGCCGACAGCGGCCAGTTCGTTCCCATTGTCGCATTTGAGTGCAGAGGGTGAGAAGCACCCGTTTCTAGGATTCTTCGCAGCAGCAGCATGTCAGAGGATTTACCCCATGTTCCGAATTAGCTGCTTACTTGTCGTCCCTCCGTGCCGATAACGCGCCTTATTGTAAGCGCGAGGTCCATAGGTTCAAACCTTGAGTTTCGGGTCTGTCTTGTGCTGCGTGAAGCATGGAGCCGACAAAGTGGACACCTACAGCTGGATGCATAGTCAAAGGCTCCAAAACCTCCTTTAGCGACGCTGATCTCGCGGAGGACTGGGCCGAGTTCGACGAGGTGAGGAGCCTTAAAGGCGTTCACATTCGATCTAGCTGAGACGCGCTGTCCTTTGGGTTTCTATTTTCTCGGTTTTTTCTCATATTGAAGTAGAGTGCAGGGGTAGCCTTCATGCATCGTGAAGAAAAAGATGCTGGTGGAGCCCCCGGGTGACAGTACCGCCGTTCCCGTACGTACGGGATGCATGTGCGGAACCCCCACCAATGACATCTGTATGGCTCTCCTGGGGACCCTGTCAAAGCATGTGTTAGCGGGCTGCTAGGCACGAGCGTTGCTTTTGCAAGCATGAAATAAGGGGCCATTTGGATACATGCAAACCTCTGCAGGCCGCAAATGCAAGCGTTGGCATCTACGACGTGGAGTTCGACTTTGTCGTCCACAAGGGCTAAAGTCGCACACGTAGAGACATATATGTGTACCTATTTAGAGAGGCACATAAAGGCCACTAAGTACTTTCCGCGGTACTTATTAGTACCCCTACTGGGCCATGCTGTGACTCTTGGGCAAGCAGCGCACCGCTGCGAAGTGACCCTGAGATGCGCAGCTATGAAGTGGCCCTTTTGGAAACACCCGGTAAGCGGAACGCTTTACGCATTGAAGCATTGGCGAAATTGATCGGAAGCAGCGTGGCGAAAGCAGCAGCACTGCCTCTCTGTGCTGCACTTTCTTTGTGGCGTAGTGCCTTTGCGCTGGCACAGACCCTCACATCCCAGTGACTCGTGCAGAGTCAGCACTCATCTCTCTTCCTTTTTGTAATACAGTGCCTCAGATTCATGCTTTACATACAGATTATTAGTGGGGGTTCCTCGCGTGCAACCGGTACACGAACGGCGGTCCAGCGAAGCACCCCTGTGGGGCCTTGATATTCTGAACACTTGTGCGTGGCCTCCATAGCATGAAAACTGGGGACCGTTTGCTGATACCTCCGGCATAGAGCTTCTTGCTCTTGCCTGCGCTATATTGCGCAGTCTGCTGCTGCGCCGAATTGGGAGCAGAGCGACCCAGAAAGTGCCTCCGGTTGGGTGGCTGTCAAGCTAGTGGTGGAGACGCAGTTTGGCTGCTTTAAAGCAGCAATTATTTGCGCAAAGAATATTTCTAGGGTCGTCCGGTGGCTCGTAGAAGCTCTCAAGACACCTCAGGCAGCGCAGCCCTGCTGATGCAGCTCGGCTACACGCTGCTGCGGAGCCCTCTGTGAGGAGTCTTCTATGGATATGGCCGAGCAAAAACAGCCGTAAATGTGCATTTTTGATTTGATCAATGGAAACTTTTGCTGCAACAATGTTATTTCGTGCCTCTATGAAGCTTGGGGCTGTCCCATCACGACCCGCGAGCTGCGTTCCTCCCGCAGCATTGTCTGCAGAATTTCAGTCATACCACCGAAAATCAATTCTATAGTTGGCTGCGTCTGTTCACTTTGCATCACGGGCATTTTGTTGGTGCAGCAGCAGCATCCGTCCTTGGAGTACCTCCACCAGTGACCGCGCGCTCTCGGCCAGGGTAGCAACGGCACCAACGGCAACAACGTTAACAGCAGGGCCTAACTGCAGTAGAGGAAAAATCTTGGCAGCACAATTGACACACAAGCTCTTCCCACCCCCGGCTCTCAACAACTAAGAAATCCCCAGCTTCCACGCCTTGATACCGTGCGGCAGGCAGCCGTCGGGTCCAATTCGCTCACTGAGCAGCCATAGGAGCACCGGCATAAATCGTTTGCTGCTGCAAGACGCGAGGGATTACATCAGAGACAGCACAAGAGGCAGCGACGAGGCAGCAGCCGCTCCTGCGTGCTTGCCGGCTGCAGCGGCGAGCCGGGAGTGCAGCATGGGAAAGGGCAGCAGCAGCAAGGGAAGCAAGATGAAGCGCAGTAGCAGAAATAGTACGATGAACACCAATGAAGCAGGGGAATGCCCCTCCTTGGCTTCTTCCTTGGCGGCTCACCAAGCGTGTTCTTTCTTCATGCCCTTCGCTGCTTCTTCATCTCGTGCTATTGGAGCTCCCACGGGTGCTACCAGCGACAGCAGCAACGCAGCAGCCGCAGCCTCCGCGTTGCTTGCAGCAGCTGCTGCTCCCTGCTGCAGCTGCCCGCGAACTATGGCAGGGGACTGCAGAAGGCTGCGTGCGTGGGAGAGGCGCGCGGAGGTGGACGCCGTGCAACAGCCCCTGTTGTACGAGCGACTGGCGTGTCTGTTAGAAGAAACTGTTGTAGTGCCTTGTTGCTGCGATGAAGCCAGCTGCAGTCGCAACAGCAACAGCAGTCGCAATGGCAGTTACAGCAACGAGACGGGAACGGCCGTTGTTCCCCCCAACACCAACGACACCCATAGCAGCGATTCGTTGCGGACCCCCGAGTTTGCTGTGAGGCATCCAGACACAGCAGCTTGCAGTCAAACGTTCCCAGAGCCCCTCCATACGGAGAGCAACAGCAGCAATAACACGAGCAACAACAGCAGCAGCAGCAGCAGCAATAACAGCATCCCTCTCCCTGATAGGAGCAATGGTGCAAGCAAAAAGAATGTCCACTACGTGCGGCGGAGTGTTGCGCTCTTGCTGCTGGGCAGCACAGACTGCAATGCGATCGAGCTGGACGTGAATCGAACTTTTCCCTCCATCCCCTTCTTTAAGAAGGAGGGACAGAACGCACTCAGGAGAGTACTCCAAGCCTTCGCTGTCTTCGACCCCGTGAGCCGTCTGCAGCAACTGCCCGCTTCTGTTGAGCCGCCACACATTGTGCTGCTTTGCTTGCGTCTGCCACGCATGCTATCGGATGGGTGTGTGTTTCCGGCTGCTGCTGCAGGAGGTGGGGTATGTTCAGGGGATGAATTTCGTCGTGGGTGCTCTTCTCTACCACAGCAACACGACAGTGCATTGGTGCTCACGGGGCCCTCCTGGCTCGGCTATGAGGCTGCTGCAGGAGGAAGAGGACTCATTGGCAGCGGGAGCGAAGGCAGCTCCCTCAGCAGCCGGCAGAGCTGCAGGCACAGCAGCCAGTGCCGCACACTTTACCTTAAGGACACGGGAGAATAGAGTTTTTTGGCTTTTGGTGTCTCTTTTCCATTTTTATGAGCTGAGGAGGCTCTACCTTCCCTCCCTCCCCGGAGTCTTCGAGCGTTGCGCGGCCCTCGAGAAGATGCTCAGTGTACAGACACCCGAGCTTCTTGAACACCTTGTGAGAGAGAGGCGCCCTTGGGCTGTGCCTGCTGCTGCTGCAGCGTTTGCGCTTGCCTTATGCCATCGGCATCTGCTCAATTCTCCAGGATTTCGTCATGGTGGAATAATCTGTCGAACACTGTGTGCCTTCTAGGAAGGTGCTGCTGGTGCAGTGCAACGGGGGGCGGCGTTGCTGCGGGTGCTGCGTGCGGCCTACACTTTTGGGAAATGTCACATGTGACAATGTCACATGTGACAATGTCACATGTGACTCTGCTTTTGCAGCGTTCGTGTGGTGTTTCTTTGCCGCTCCTCACTTCGGACTGGCTGCTGACGCTGTTCGCATACAGCATCCCGCTCCCCGCCCTCTCCCTCGTTTTTACGTGAGAATCCCCTTTGTGTCTTGCGGTTATACGGCATCGAGTTTGGAGGCTCAGGGTTGAGGGGGGACTCATATTGTGTGTCGTTATTGAGCTTTGGGTGCTGGCCAGATTTTATGAGGCCCCTCCCAATTCTTGTTTGAGCTTCGGCGTGTTGCTTGTATTTGTCCCCTTGCGGCAGGCAGTTCTTTGAAGAGGGCTGGGTGTTCATCCACAAGTTGGTGTGTGCAAGGCTGAAGCGCATGGAGGCTGCGATCCGGGGAGCGACGGATATCGTGGAGGTTGTTACCATAGCCAAGGCACGTGTCTTGTGCTGCCCGTAGGGCCCTGCGTGGTGCTGCCTCGTGCTGAGGCTGCCGTCGTGGTCTGTCTGCGTTTGAAAGGCTGGTGCTCAGGGGTGTTTCCGCATCGACCTGACCCTTATGAGCGGCAGCGCTGCTGATTCTTGTCTGCGTGCCTTCAGACATCTCCTCCTCCAGCACGCTTGGGTTTAGTAGGAGGCACTGTCCTCTCGTGGCTCTCTGCCGCTTCGGAGAGTGCGGCGCGGGCTGGCGTCGGGGGCGAACAAGGATCGCACATGCTTCAATCCTTCTCTACTGCCATCAGAAGACACCAAAAACAGAAGCTCTACCCTATTTCTACCAATCCTTCGGTAAAAAAATTTTCATGCTTGCGTTGCTGACTCTGCTCCTCAGGCTAGGGTCCTGTCCTCTGCCCCGTCACTGCAGAAGCTGCTAGCCCTCTTCCCATCGCTTCTCCCACACACCCTCTGCGAAGGGGGGAGTAGCAACACCCTTGTGCTTGCAGGAGTGTGTGCACAAGGGATCGCCCAGCGCATTTATCTCGATGCTGTTTTTTTGTTCGGGGCTGTCTTGTGGCAGAATGATCCCAACAGCTGCGGAGACGATTCTGCATGGTGTGCCATTGTGGACGATGTGCTTGAAATGAGCGCAGACAGACTCGATTGTAAGGCCTATGTGCTCGCTGCCTCGGAGTTTTGCTGTTGCAGCTGCTGCTTCTGGTGCTATTTTTGAAGCTCTCACGATTGAACAGTTCTTACTGCTGGATTAAACGCAGCCGCTTGTTCTGTGGCCTCCCTATGTATCCTGGCTCTGAGCTTGCGACCAAGTGCTGCTGTTCATTTTGGCATTGCTGCAGTTATTGAGATGGAGTTGAACATGCTGCAGCAGCAGCGACCGCTGCCTCCCCAGGCTGCCCCCTCGGGGCCTACCGACCCCCTGTGGAGGCGTGTGGACGAGGCAACGAAGTTGCTCTCACTGGATAGCTGCTCGCCTCCTGCCGCTCCTGATGCGGGCGCAGATTCAGATTCAGCAGCAGCAAGCTCAGGAAAAGCAGTTTCCAGTGCTCCTTGTGCAGAAGCTGCGGAGACTAAGGCACCCCCTGATGTTACCGCCTTTACGTCTACCTCTCCCAAGGACGCACCACTCACATCAGCTCCGCCAAGCAGCAGCAGTGGGGGCAGTAGAGGGACCTCTCGGCCCTTCGAAATTAAAACTTCAGACCGACTCTACGTGAAGCGCACTGCTGCGCTGTTGCGATCCCTAGGACGGGAGAAGACAGCGGCAGAGACAGAAGAACTTTGTGGCATTGCCCTGGCGCACCATCGGCTGCTGCTGCACATCTCCGCTCAGAGACAGCACCTGCAGAAGCTAGCCAGGCAGGTGCTAGCGAGGCCCACGCAGCTTCTTTAGAGCCTCAGCCACTGGCTGGCTGACGCAGCGCGGTATTGATTGTCACAAATCCACCACCAGCATCAGCAGTGCTGGTTGCAATGAAGCAATGCTCGAGAGCTGCTACAGAGACACAGCTTGCGAGAGAGACACAGCATCAGCATGACCGAGGAATTCAGCTTGTCTCGGTGCTGCAGCAGCTATTAGTGTTTTTTTTGTGTCTGGATATCTAAGACTGGCACTTATTGCCGCTGCTGCTCCTCGACACGCTGGTGCCGTGCCCTTAGTTGCGCTTCTTACCGCTGCTATCTATGGCGAAATACCTAGATTCACAGCCCAAGTGTATTCGTAGCTCACAAGGGAGTGTACGGAGGCGAAATGAATTCACCGAGTACTCTTTAAACGCTGATACAGTTCGAAGTAGTAACACTGACAGTAATTGGTAGCATTCAGTCTAAAAACATGGATTAACGTGGACAGGCTCCCCATGCTGCGCCTCTCCTTCTCCAGATGGGTATTGTTGCAGTAGACACCTGGAAGTAGCTGCTACGTTAGCGCCTCTAGCCCAGTGTGGGGTACCGGTTGTCCACAGGCAGCTGAAATACCCTTCCAGACGACATTGCAGACCCTCGAACGCGCGTTGCAGTTGTCAGGGCGCCTGTGTATGGGATGATTCTACAGCGGAGAGTCTTGCGGCAGGGCGAAGCGCATTCTTGCAGAGGCCACTTCCTGGAGGCCCCCACCGCATAGGAGCAAGCCATGATATGATTGAGCACGGTCAGAATTCGGGTAGCTCAGGAATGGGGAAATGGCTAGCAACGATTCGCTCGAAGCTCTTGAACTGTGAACTTGGATGCGCTTTCAGCACGGAGTTCCGATGATCGACCACCAAGATATAGGACGAGATTAAATTCTCTCAGCCTGTCTCTTTTCTGACCCTATTATGTAGGGATTGCGATTTCCTGTGTCGTGCCGAATGCGCTTCAGGTGTATCGTTCTTGTCGCCTTTTTGTGGGGGTTTATCCCCCGCACCCCTGTACTGCTTCCTTGCCCCTCTCTGACTTTTATAAATTGTTCTTCCCTCGCCAGGTCTGCTATAATGTACTACGGTCTTGATGCATACAAGAGGGGCACAAAGTACTTACGAGGACATCAGTTGCCTAGAGGTTCAGCTCTAGCCAGTATGGGTTGTGCATCGTTGGAAAACTGATACGTGGACAATCGAGGTTTGATGTAGCTCAAGCAGAGATGTTTATGCTCCATCTTCACCTTTAGTTGCAGGGAAATTTGAATGTTCATAAATGGTCATTGAGATGTGCGACAATGTAGCAGCGCTCCCCGAGTTTTGAATGCGTAGAGTCATTCGGAACTACCTAGACGTAGCGTGGTCGTTCAGCTCCTGAATACTCTGCTGAACAAGAATGCGTTGCATCATACGGAAATACTTAATGAGAAGATCCAATACTGGGGAGACGAGGCGATGACATTTGGCAGGCGTCCCAACGTTCCTGCAAGTCAAGGCGCCAATTCAGCGTCCAGCTACTCTTGACGTTCTCTGTGTAGCGGTCTTGGGGCCAATGCAGCACTCTGTAGAATCAAGCTGTTAGCCTTCGTTCAAAAATTAGGTTGTTCAAGGCAAGAAAGTGGAACCAAACGCACACCCTGCTGGCATTGTCTTCTGCTGCGATTCATCCCATGCCCAAATATCAACCCTCTAGTCTGACAGTGCAACACCAAGCAACCGATTAAGCGAAAGCACAATTTACTTACAGCGGAATTACTTGCAAATGAGACCAACAGCATTTCCCTCACACCGGTAACGCCCCATTTAGGGTCTTCATAGGGAGTCAGTCAACTCATTAATCAATGGGTAACCAACAGGAAGTTAGGGAGTGTTGTTTGAAAGGAGCTCCGTCTCTCCCCTGTCCATCCACGTGGGGTTCCGACATGAGGGGAGACGGGCAGCTAGAGTGTGTGTAGCTGCGCTTTCAAGGCATCCCGAGCATTCGCAGCTAGTTACACATCGCACCTGGAGGCCACACATACAACATTGCGTCTTCTTATATTGAGCTTGTGCTACACTGTAACAGATAAGAAATACGAACACACACATCCAATAGTGCATATTTCACCATATATTAATCAATGTGGCTAGTTTTAAAAAAGTGCGAAGGCATAGCTTTACCTGCCTCAGTACTGATCAACGAATAAGCTGAATGTTGTTGGACACATCGCAGGGCAGCGAGTATAGCAAACCAGGCTGTTATTTTATTTTACAGTACTCTGCTACCAGTACCCAATTTTTAATAAGAATAAAGCTCACATCGGCCGAATTCATGACTCAGATGCCCATGTGTGGTACCAACTTCTTTACAGCACTCTTAGGCGTCTGCAGGACCACAGAGCAGTATATGCCTCAGTGGCGACCTGGCTGGGTGAGTGCAAATCTCGGAACTGATATAGTTGTGACTCGCCCTACTACCTCTCTTTTGCTTCCTCATTCACCCAAAACCGACACTTGGGGATGAAAGAAAGCGGCCTCTGTGTGGAGCAAGGGTGAGCTGGCTTCCAGTTCTTTAGATGACTATTCAGGTAACAAGCTCACATATGAACATATTTAACAACCGTTTCAATGTATCGTTTGTAGCGGAGCGGGTTACCCTCGCCGAAAATAAATAAAACCATTTGTGGGATTCCTGGCGTATATGTGGGATGACCTGTAGAATATTGAATTTTAGATTGGAGTACACATCAACGAGCAAAGTTATGTGTTGGGCTTGTGTATCATGTTCCCTCGTGCAATTATATGTAAACGTTCGGAGTACCACACACATTGTTGTGTAGCGGCTGTGCTACATTTTGTCTCCTCAGTAAATTAGTGATCTTCAAGAACTAGATGTGGTTGTTCGGTTTGTATTTCCTTTTTACTGCAGTGTAGTGGTTGCTCATCACATGAGAACGCATTTTTGTGCGCGTGCTACCAAGGTGCCAAGTGCAACTAAGTGCTTATGGACAAAGTACTTCGACGATGCAAAAACACTCACACTGACACTCGTTGCCCCCGAATATCTGAATACTGAGGGGTGCTACAAGGGGAAGAGGGATCTCGTTCGGAAAACGCTCAATAACTTTCTATTGTGTTTGTATTGGGCCTGAAGTTAAAGGTATCCCTATGAATACGTTAAATCGAAGGTTACATGGCTCAGCCACTTGAACCCGGGCAAGCCTTTCCCCCCTCTTGAGAGGAGCCTGTAGTACAAGGACAGCCATGGTACTGGACTGGTGGGAAGATGTTCCTACTAGCGTTCACTCAACTGTTGATGTAGTTAAAGGAGCCCTGGTGTCTTGAATGAGATTCTAGGAGGGGAGGTGCAGAACGCCACCAAACGACGTTCTAGCCTCAAACATCACCGACGAAGCATCCTGACAGAGCTAGTCACACCACGCCAAACGACTCGGCTTGCTGAAAATGAAAATTGCATCCATACTCTTAGCATCCTAGAGACTGCAGTAATGAGACTGAACCCAGGATTATCCCTTTAAACTGAACGAAACACATTTGGAATGCAAACGAAACCCTTTCAAAAGTATATTATGTCCTTGAATTTTGGGAGTCGGGCCAACCAACAGGTTTAAGTACCACTGCATATATCTGTACGCGACACACTCCGAAGGTAAAAAGCACCCAAAGCTGGAGCCTTTGCGAAACTGCTGCCTGTTTTAGCTCCCTAGTTTACATGCGCATTCCAACAGGCGTAACATCGGCTAGACACAGGGCAGCAGCTGCTGCCGCAGCGACTGTGCCCTTCTCCAAAATACTACCTGCATAAGAAACAAATAACAGTTATAGTGCAATGGCAGAGAGCAGCAAGGCTGCCTGCGAAGAGGATTAACAGCTGCCGAAGATGCTGTGGAAGCCAGCCCTGTCATGCGGACTGCATACACATACAGCCTTTGCAGTTGTTGTTGTTGCAGTTGCCGCTGCCGCCCTTTTATCGATTGGCGCTGTGCAACACAGCGAAATGAAAGATTACTATTCTTCTTCTACATAGTTAGACGGGAGTCACTGCTATTGTTACCGTTTCAGTAGCCGTGCTGCGGTCGTTGTTGTTGAGAGCAGCCGCCGCCGACGAAGGCCGCGCCGGAATCTCGCGGTGGCTGCTGCTGCTCTTCATGCTACAACCTGTAGCCACTGTAAAACTCATGCTTCTGCTGCACCGATACAGTGTACACACGGATCTGAGGCCTAGCAGCCACTGCAGCCGCTCTCCTCCTACTGGAAGCCACCCCGTCCCTTACCTGTTGCCGCTCTCGGTAGACGCACAGACTGCCTCCTGATCCCTCTTATCGACACGGACGGACAGAAGGACGGACGGCTTTGAACCAGGCAGCCCTACGGGAGGAGCTCCAGGGCCAGGGCAGCAGGTGCTGCTGCTCATCTCACACTTTTTCGAGTCGCGCACACGTACCAGACAGCCCCTAAGGGGAATGCCTGGGCACCTCAAAATCAGCGGCTAGCCGTACTGCTGGAGCGCTGCTGCTTCTGCTGCAGCAAAAGGAATGAACGGCAGCAGCAGCACCAGCGGCAGTTGCAGCAGCGGCAAGCCATGCCACCCAACACGCCTGCAGGCCTCCTCACCTACGCGGATGCCTTTGGGGGACTTAGGATCACCTATTCCTACAATGAATTCTACCAATAGCAGCTTCAACAGTAGTGGCAGTAGCAGCAGCAGCAACACCACCAACACCAGCATTTCTGTGCGCGCCGAACGGCTGCACCAACTGCTCAGCCGTGAAGTGATTGACGCCGGTGAGCCTTGCAACTGCACCCTCACCGCTCGTCTTCTTGTTTTCTTAATGCATGCATGCGCTACATGGCGGCAAATGCGGCATCACTTCTGCTTATGTCACCACCACTGTTATTGTGCAGGGGAGCTGAGAAATCTCCTTTGGGGTGGTGTTCCCAGTTGTTGCGCACCAGAAGTTCGTAGCGATGCGTGGAGGATCATGCTGGTATGCTGCTGAAATTGCTGCATCTAATGCTAATAATGCTGCTGCTCCTGCTGCCCGGTGCTGTTGTTCCATGGGGGGAGAGGGGGGGTGAGGCGGGGTGCAGTGTCTGTCGTCAGTGCGGGCTTCCCTGATGCCAGCAAGTCAGCGTTGCTGCAGAAGCTGTAGCGGCTGTAGGATGCTGCTGGCATGCCTTGCGTGTTGCAGTCGCTAGCTTTTTCTGTGCTGCTGAGGGGTGTGTTTCCAAAGATGTGGTGATGCTGGGGGTGTACAATAGCGGCTCGGCTTTGATGTGTGATGAGTCGATGCCTCCCTTAGGGCTACTTGCCGCTCACGCGCGACAGGAAAGATGCAGGTAACTGGAGAACATGTCTTGCGCTCTAAGTACACTTCTTTTCTGAGATAAATCCGCTTTGGAGTGCAGCATCTCGCGCACCCTGCAATGAAAGAGCTTTGCAGAGCTGAACGCAGCAATGGAGATTGATGCTCCAGCTGGGGTTCCTCTAGTAGTGCAACTGTTGCATATTTTGATGAGTGCTGCGTTCATGGTAACGGTGCCGCCGTTGCTGCGCTTCAGCCCTTACGAAAAAGCGAGCCGACTATCAGGAGCTTGTGGAGGTGGGCATGACTTAGAGTATTACACCACGGAGCAGGGCACAGGGTGCATGGCGGAAACTGGCTCACGACTGCTCGCCATCAATTGCAAAAAAATTCATGACTGAAAGCCTTCATGGGTGCCTAAGGAGGGTGCTTCTTAGAAAGGAATTCAACTTTGCTCATGCGTTTGGCATGCCGTGATGATGAACGCAGCATGATAGATTCATGAACCCCCGTCGCCAGACTGTGATCTCTTGCTTCGCTGCAGCAATACTACAGCCGAGGAGATGTGTCCGCGGAGGAAGTGAAGCTGCTGAAGCAGCTCAGAGTAGATCTTCCAAGGACCCATGCGGGCAGGAAGTTCTTTGCACACCCACGTATACAGCTGTAAGTCCTAAGCGTCATGAACACTCTACTGAAGCTAAAAGAGGAGGGCTACAATTTTTGAATAATTCTAAGGATCGGGTTCAGGGGTTTTTTAGGCGGGGTGATAAGGAAAGCAGAAAGCGGATACTCCTGCCGCAAGCGTATGTGCAAATTCAAAAAAACCAGCGCGGACAGGAGAGGGATGTGGTGGTACTCGAGTGTCTGCTGATGGTGGCCCTTGCGTTGCATTTTCCGGCTGCCACGCCTCCCGCATGTCGGTGCAACAGATCTGTCGGCGCGGGTGTCTTTGCAAATGTGTGCAGGGGTATGGAACGCGTATTGTTTCTTTGGGCGGTGAAGCACCCCGCCAGCGGCTACGTGCAGGTTAGCAGACTACTTGCAGATAAGAGAATGTCAGAGAGGACGGGGAGCCTTCGGAGATGCGCGTTTGGGGGTCAAGAAGCTTGGCTGCTTTGTTTGCGAGTTTTGTTCGGCCCAGGGCATTAACGACTTGCTGACGCCGTTTGTAGCAGTCTTCCTCCATGCGGCCTTAGGTAAGCTGCGTGGCATATCAGGCTTTCGGTTTGTTGTCGCTGGGGTTAAGCCTTTTGCAGTTTCGGAATTTCGTGCTTTCCAAGTTCTACGGATATGCACTAGTGTCTTTTTCAGAGAGAGACAGAGACAGAGAGATACGCAGAGAGACAGAGACAGAGAGAAACCTGCTGGCACCTGATCTGTTGCAGTAGCTGGAGTCAAGAGTTAGTTTTGGCGTGTTGTTTGCGTGCAGGGAAAGATCCTGAGGAGCTCTCCATTGATGAGGTAATAATAGCTGGCTGTCTCTTTGGCAGGCCTAGCAGCAGCAGCAAGTGTAGCAGTGCGAGCAAGCGCAGCTCGCAAAGCCCCTAGCAGCTGCCATTCATGCTGAAGGCGGCAAGGGTGCTGTTTGTGCATGCTGCGATTGCAGATAGACGAAGAGGTCTTGGTGCAGGTTGAGGCAGACAGTTTCTGGTGCCTTGCGAAGTTATTGGCGCATATCCAGGTTTGCTGCTGTACACCCGAGAGCTGCATGTTCTGAGGCTCTGGAGGCTGCTGTGGTGTGTATTGTTGTTTGCATGCGCAAATAGTGCTCCTGGTCCTGCTGTTTCTTTTTCTGTCACGGCATATATGGCCTGTAGCTGCACGGCAAGTGGTACTTGAACACCTGTTTATTTTTCTTGCCCCTGCTGCTATTGCTGCCACTGTTGGTGCTGCCGTCGTTGCAGGATCATTACACGTCTGGCCAGCCAGGCATCCGCCGTCTAGTTGTGCGGCTGCGGGATATCGTCAAGAGAGTTGATGGTGTGTAGTTACTGCTGCTGCTGGTGCGGGTATTAGCCGTTTTTGCTGGATGCTTGTCCGTTCTGCTGTAGATTTTTGTGGCAGTGTCTCCCTGTGGAAGCGTGTGCATCATCTCAGAATGAACGTGCAATATGCACCTGCTGAGAGAGAGAGAGATAGAGAGGTGATAGATGTGCACTGACGCACGCCTCGGCGTTTGCGGCTGTGTGGGGTCACTGATACAGAAGGACTGTACCAACACCTGGAAACTCAAGGGGTTGACCTTCTCCAAGTTACTTTCCGCTGGATGAATTGTCTTCTCATGCGGTGAGTTGCGCCTGCTTTTCCTTATCTAGCCCTTGTGCCTCCTGCTTCGTCTGTTGCTCCCGCAAGCGTCTTCCTGGGTTCCTTGTTGCAACGAGAGCAAAGGATCGTTGCGAGTTGTTTTGCGCTGTTGCAGTGTGTGTGTGTGTCTGTGTGTGTGTGTGCCTCCTTGGGAGCGGTGGTGTGGACAGTCTTTGCATCCTGCTGCTGCTACTGTTGCCTGCCTGCTGCAGGGAGTTCCCGCTAAGCTGTGTGATTCGTCTGTGGGATACGTATATCGCGGAGCAGGCGGATGGCTTCTCTGACTTCCACGTTTATGTTTGCGCAGGTGGGCCTTGTGCTGTTGCTATTGCGACTGCTGCTGCCATCGCCGTAGCTGCTTTTTTCATTTGACAGACACTCTTGGTGTTGCAAAACAAAAGTGCTAGCAATGCGAGAAGAAGGGGTATCCCCCTGAAGGCTATCAGCGCGCGGCTGGGAGGGGGCAGTCCCAGCACCGACACCCCTGCTGCAAGCTCCTGCCGCTGGAGAGAGAATCAAAACAGAACATGCAGTGTGTGTGTGTGTGTGTGTGTGTGTGTGTGCATTTGTGTGTCTCTCTGTCCACCTTCAGTGTTTCTGGTATACTGGTCACGGCAGCTCAAGCAGATGGACTTCCAGCAGGTCAGATGCCCAGCGCCGTGTAAAGCCGCCGATGCTGCATTTCCCTTTTCCCTCGCTGTGAAAGCCATGCATCCTGAGCTCCTATTTTCTGTGCTGTTGCTGCTGCAGATGATACTGTTCATCCAAAACTTCCCTACTGCAACTTGGGGGGCTCAGGAGATAGAGACGCTTCTAGCTGAAGCGTATGTTTGGCCCTTGACGCGATTTGAGCTGCTCTGTAGCAGCTGCTGCACACAGTTAGTTTGTATACGGTTTCGTGGCACTGCAACACTTTGTCTTTGCTGCTCCTTTTGCTGCTGCAGATTTGTCTTGAAGTCTCTATTCCACTCCGCCCCTAAGCACCTAAACTAGTCTCGAAGATCAGCCCCTGCAAGACGCTGCTCTTGCCAGGCAGCAGCTGCTGTAGCGGCTGCTCCAGCATCTGCAACAGCTGCCGCGTGCTGCAGCGCTTCTTGTCGAAAGAAAATATTTTGGGACCCACGCTTGACCTTGGATTATGTCTCCTGCTGGACAGACAGACACCCTAGGGACTAAATAGCGGCAGACTGAGTCCTCCGACTCTAGGAATCGCGACTGCAGCATCAGATCAGATCGAGCTGATACCACGAACGAACCCTGCTGCAATTTTGTTACGTCAGCGGCAGCAACAGAGAAAGGTTGACTCTGTTTCGCTGCATCAATAACAGGCATGCGTTTCATTTCTTTTAAACTCGCAGAGCAGATGTAACGGCTTCTTGTGCGCTGCGTGCTACACACCAGCAATGGCGGCGGCAGCAGGTATTTTTAAAAGACACTGCACATTCTTGAACAACGATAAAAACTGGATATCGACCGTGTAATTGCGTGAGACAGTAACTTCACGCGAGGCGGCGCTCCTTGCTCTCTACCGTAAAGGTATCGCACGGGTATGCGCCAGAAGCGATAGTCTCTAGGCTACCCTGCATGCGCTTCAAGTCGCCATTCCGTTCCCCGATTGCCCTGTATTCATGTACTACCTCTCGCCTCTCAAAACTTCCGTAATGAGGCGATTTTTTAAACAAGACGTGCATACTCTCCACCTCACAGTGTGGAACGTAAATCCCCTGCAAGGGAGCGCTACCTCTGGCTCCGCAACCCCTTAGTCCATGCAGCTGCCGAGGCGTCTTTCAGCGCAGGGCAGTGGCACCTAGAGCTCAGGGGGTACATGAGAAAAGAGGAACGTATCTAAAACAAAGGATGAAGAAAAAAAACGGACGGCGTCTGAAGGTCATATTTGTAAGGGCACCGCCGCACATGCATGGATGGATAGCTATATGTGTGTGTAGGTGTGTACGCGCGTGAATGCATGCATGCATGCAAAACAAAGAACAACGGAAGAAACGTATTTTAAAAAACTAGAAAAATAATCAGCGCCTTTTTGAATCATTCCTGTGCCGCAAATACTGTGCGCGCACAGGCACACTGCATTGTCTAGACAGATACCCGCTTCGTACGCGGTACACGCGCCTACGGATCTGGAAGGCGACATATATTCCTGCCCAGAGTGCACGGGTAAATGCAGCTTTTGGTAGCTGCTGAAAAGCAATAGACAATGTTCGAGTGGCCCCGCATGGCTACAGACAGGGTGATCACACAAATATGTACACAAACCTACAGCTAGAGCGCTAAGCACGTTCAGCCAGGCGGCTAGCCAGCCCACACATCCAAAGAGGCCGAGCTATGACTTGTTGCTGTGGAAGCGCCGAAAAAGGGGATGCATTTCTGCTGTGATCTTCGATCCACGCCCCCCTCGGGCAGCAGTGCGAGGAGTTGCTGATTCAAAGGCTGCAGCAGTGAGGCGCATCGGAGGGCATTCCAACGCGCAAATGCAGAGAAGAAGGACCGTCCTACGGCATGGCGCTGTGTGTATATATATATACTTACACATTATGCAGAGACACGAAAAAAGAGATAAGGCGGGCTCTATCTGCATGCATAGCTGAGCATTCATGCGATAATGCAACTGCCGACGAGTTCGTGTACATCTGAAGACACGTGTCCGTACAGCACAACGCGCGACCGCGGGGAGCATCCTAAATTTTGAAGGCGAGAAACTTGCCTGAGAGTCCGGCAAGCCCGCCTAATACGAGCCTAGCTGTGGGCTGCTGCTGCTGCTGCTGTTGTTGCGTGGAGGGCAGGTAGGTGCCCTCATCTTCATCGTCGTCGAGACTCCTGTCGGCGTCATCCGTCAGCATGATATCTCGCAAAACCCCGAGCTGGCGCTCGCGATCTCCGTACACCAGCGTCTGAGGCTCCAAGGGCAGATCTCGACAATGCAGCACTCTATAGGAATACCCCTGATCGCAAATTTCGACATGCAGCATCACACACGGAGAAGCTCTGAATCGCCAGGCAACCTCAGCAGCGAAAGCCTGGGTAATCATGCAGAAACAATAGCGCTCCAATGCGTTGCTTCGCCCAGCAATGAGCTCTTCCTGTCACCGTCCCCTGTTTCTGCCAGTGTGCACTTTGCGGATTTCTTTCAACAGGCCAAGTCAGTCGAGGGGGTACAATGAGCCTGGAGGGCTGTCGAGCTACACGCTGAAGGGGTTTTGGATTATTATGGTTCTTCTTCCAGTAGACAATTTCTCATATTTAGGCACTAGGGGGTGCTGTGCTGACCTGATCGATGATGAATTGTTGGCGCTTGTCGGCATACACCATCTCGAGAGTGTCTTTGCTGATGAGGGAGTAGAAATATGCGTTAAAACCGCCTTCCTCCTCCGATCCCCGAGGCTTTGCGCGCAGAATACGCCCCAGACGCTGAGCCTCTTGGCGTCTGTGCAGAACGTACACCGCAACACAGCGCACCTCACAGTCTCCCTTTTGCATGCGTTGACTCGTCGCTCGTGCATGCATGCATGCCTGCATGCATGCGCCATGGGCTTCTTCTCGCAAAAGTGCAGGTGGACACTTGGACTCCACTACGGTGCACGCTTCTCCTGGAAAATTCAAGAACGCGCTTTAAAAACTGCTCTTTAGCTGTCGCTCCAGTCCCTTGCGTTGCAGTGCCTATTCCTGACCTGGAAGCGAAGTTGAAGGAGATTTGAATGACGACGTTCGCGCAGGGGATGTCGATTGCATTGTCGCCAACCTTGGAGAGAAACAGGGTGTTAAACGTGCTCTCATTCTGCAGCACAACCCCCCAAAGGCGTGTCCAACAGAAATGAGCGCACGGCGCTCCAAAGCTCCGTTATTGACCACGCAGCTGCCTTGCACGATCAAATGTCGAAAAAGGAGGCTGCTAGGATAAGCGCTTCTGAGGCTATCGGCGATGCCCATTTTTTCTTGCACATCTCTCGAGGTGTACGACTGAGGAACGCTTCACGCGCTTCCCCTAGACATGGATCATCACCTTGAATTTGCTGAGGATTGCCATTCTCTCTGGAGGAGAGACCTTCCCGTAGATGAAAGGCCTATTGAGGGCTCGAGCAACGTGCAAGAGTGCAAAGACATTGTCTGAAAAGACGATGACTTTGTCTCCTCGGGATTCGTGGAAGCGTAAGAGAAATTCGCACACCATCAGTTTCGTCGGATTGCACACCCACAACTTTCTCTGCTTGGCATGCGGTACCTGCGCACGCATTCAATACACTCAAGCCTCAGCGCGCATCCACGTGCGGTACAGCGCAAGTCTCGACTTCAATTCTCTTTGCCCCCTGCATTTCTTCCCGTCCCCCCAAAAGCGGTTCTAGCATCTCTAGCTGGCTGTTGCTCCCCTGGCTAAAAGAACCCCTCATGAGCGAAAATGCAACGGCCCTAGAATGAAGGAAAACATCAAAGAGGCCAAGTCATTTTTTACCCCACGCAAGCATCTGGAGCGTGAGTGCAGCTCCGGCGAGCTAGATGGCAGCGCATAGATCCGCTGCCTTCTAGCTTTAGCGCGACTATGTGCCCTCTGCTAAGGCTTAGAAATCGCACATACACGAAGGTATTCTCTGTAGAACTCGGCAGTCATGGGGCACCACACTTCTTGGCAAGACACCTTTGCCAAATAACCCTGCAACAGCAGCCGCATCCACAACTTGTATGTTTGCATACTTCGTTCCGCCCCCCCAAAGTCTAAGCCGCGTGGAAGGGGAGGGGCCTAAGCACCCTCCGTAGTACAAACCCTAAATCGTGAAAAAACTGCGCTAAGGCGCTCTCCTCGGTCGATGCTCCTGGCTTGGAGACGCTACAAGGGAAGCACATGTGTGCGCGTCCTATCGCCGAGGCTTGCCTGATTCTGCAAATCAATCCAGTTCGCCTCGTACAACTTCGGACCAATAATCCACTGGAGATCTTTAATAAGGTCGTCCTCACGCACCAGCGTTGCAGTCAAACCTAGGCGGCAGTGAGCCCTGCATAAGAACAGAATGCCGTAGACATAGAAGTCGTTGCGCGAGAAAAATCATTCGTCGAGTCGCGCGCAAGGACGGAAAACTGGCAAAGTGTGGCAGGCATGCCTACGGCGAGCGATTCGCAAAAATTTTTCAGAAAGACGCATGCATGTATGTTTGCACTCATCACGCAGACCAGACCAGACGCCCTCAAGGAAAGAGCAGAAAAATACGGCAGCAGAGGCGGGGCCGCGTTGTTGAAGGTGGCAGAAAAAATTTCCCGAATCTCGAGAACGCGCATGCGTGCGACACCATGAGAAAGAGCGATCAATGCATGCCCAACAGAGAGCAGCACAGCCCTCCTCTGCGAATAAAGGCCATGTGCATGGAAAAGGCATATCCGGCTAAAAGCTCGATTAAGGTTCCTTGCACGGACGACATGCTTGCTGCGCAGAGCGCAGTGTGAACTTCCCACGCCTCCTTTGTATTATCTGTGCGCTCTTGAATAGTGCTTCTCTTGCCTGACAAGGTCGTTAATCCTCCGAAACGCTGGAGCGGGTGCAAATTGAACTTCGTCGAAGATGATGAGTCCCCACTCTCTTTCTTTGATCTGCATCATGATTTGTTCTGCAGCAGTGCTGCGCTTCCCAGAGAACGCCAGCATGGTGTAAGTGCTGATGAGGACGCCAGCTGAGTCTAGAGGCCACAGTTGCTGCTTCGTTTCTGCTGTCAAAGTCAATAACCTGTCAGGAACGATGCTCGTGTACTCCGCGAATTGTTTCTTCCATTGTTCGACTGCCACAGCAGAAGTTGTGAGCACCACGGTGCTCTTCTGCAGTGTACAGGCAGCTGTAATGCCCGTTAAGGTCTTCCCCGCGCCACACGGGAGAACGATGATACCACTACGTGCGCGCCCGTTGCTAAACATCTTTCGCAACGCGCGTTCCTGGTAATACCTAGTGGCATGTCAAACAAAAACCAACCCCACCCAAACACGATAGGCGACACCCACATGCAACGCGAAGGTGCCGATATATGGACTCGGAGCCACGCCGTAGACAAGACAGAGACACAATTAGCAGGATGAGGAGCAGCAGCAGAAAAAAAGAACAGCAGCAGCAGCAGAAAAAAAGCAGCAGCATCACCAACACACATACACACACATACATACACACACATACATACAGATAGTCCCCCAAGAGACAGTCTCAAAGAGGCACAGTAGCGACCAAATCTTCGCCAACAGAAGCCTAGTGCGTGCACACGCGCAGCGGCTGGACCTGATCTTTGTGGAGGATCGCAGAAGAAGACTGCTTATGCGGAAGTTCTTCGTGTCTCTCCTAAAGTCGTATTCGCTAAGCAAGGGGCGTTGCATGACTTCTATGGAGAGTCGCTTGACCTCCTCCACCAGCTCGGCTCGAACTTGGAATGAATACACCTGAGGAGGCGCAAGCAAGCCACTACGATTTGGTCGAAGCCTTGGAGTCGAGACGCAAGCGTGTGTTGAGGGGCATGTCTGAGTGCATATTTAGAGCTGCACACACGTGTCTCTCAGACGCTGCGGAGTCAGCACTCAGCTGCTGCTGCCCGATCTGCTGCAGCTGCAGCTGGTCCGCCTCGTCAGCACAATCGGCAGAAGCAGCAGTGAGCGTGTCTCCTTCTATGTCGGAGCCAACAGCGTTCCTGTCGTTAATTGAGGGGTGTCTGGAGGCAGCAGCTAAGACTGCAGTATCCAGCTCCGAAGGCACAAAGGCCAGCTGAGAAGCGTCTAGTGTTGGAGCACTGCTGGTCAAGTAAACATTTTCTTGCTGCTGCTGTTGTTGCTGCTGCTGTTGCTGCTGCTGCTGTTGCTGCTGCTCGCTGCCGGGGACTGCCGCTTGCTGCTGCTGCTGCTGCACTAGGCGCATAACTTGCTGCTGCTGCTGTTGCTGCTGCTGCGGCAGCAAGGATGCGCTGCGGATGCGGGGGTTCGAAAGGAGGTAATCCAGTTCTTTCTTGCTGGCAGACTCGATGAAGTAGCAGCTTTCATTCAATACCAGTTTGACCTAAACGCGAGTCACCCCAACAGCACCGCGTACACGCGAACACTACTCGAGGCTCTTCTTCTACTTCGCCTCCCCCTCCGCCTCCCCAACTATTTCTCTCTCTTTCTCTATCTAGCTCTCTGCATGTCTATTTTTCTCGCCAGCTGCAGATGGGGAGACTCTAGGGTGGTACCGTGCGCCGCGCGGCACAGAGAAAACGCTTCCGTTAGCTAGCACGGCGCTCGCAATCACCCAGCCACAAACTGCCTAAGCCTTAACTTTGCAGAGCGACTGCCACACGCGAGAGCGCAGCATTCAGAGTAGCGCCCATGCCGGGAAGACTGACCTTGCCGAAGGCTGCCGAGACATTTTGTATTTGTTGCACGAGCTCCTTGGGGAGGATGTTCTTGCTGAGTTTGTTGAGATTGGTCAGCAGCTCCGAAGCAGTAAGACCAACGGATATAGCCGCATACAGGGAGAAGACCGTCAGCTGCAGCAGAGCAATTTTCGCATGTACCGGAAGCACCAGCTCGTGAAGAAAACAAGACTAGATTCAAGGAGGCATTTCCAGCGTAGTCTAGGGAATGGCAAGGTAAGGGAACCTCAGCAGCCGCAGCGTCGTGCAAAGCAGCGAAACAACGCGCTGTCTTCTGTGAAATATTAGCAGCCTAAGCCGCATGCAGGAAGAGCAGAGGCCGCAGGTGCTGCTGCTGCTGTTGCGGAAGCAGCAGCAGCACGAAGGCACAAACACAAACACATATTCACATATTCACATACGCACACACAATGCTCACTTGGAATTCGTGCATCAATTCGCTCCGGCAGATAGGCTCTGCGACGGTGACAAGAAAGTCATTAGCCTGTTTGCTGCTCGGAAGGAACTGCTCCAGCAGCAGAAATCCGTCTCCACAAGCCCAGATAGGCCTTTCCTGGTGTCTCTCCTTGAGAACTAATGCTCTGTAGTCTCTTAGGCCCCTCTGCTGGAGGTGAACGGCGTCTGCCGTCAGGGGGAGCTGCGTGAGCTGCAACATCATGTTGGTAGTGTTGCCTTCCGGGAGACTGCCCAAGGCAGCACTCTTCGTGGCGAAGCCAACGGCTCCAGAGAGCCCCTTCTTTGCTGGAGCTAGCGAAGGAGGTCGATAGTTGTTATCCCCTGCGGGAAGGGATGGTATAGTGCCCCTCCTGCGACACCCTTGCACACGTGCCGCTGCTCCGAATACACCGCTTCCACTCGTCGCAACCACACACATACACGTACACAGAGAGAGAGAGCGAGACACGAGAAACACCAGCTCCCTATGGAAGCCTTCTAGGATCGCTGAGCCTTTCGGAAGGGACTCACCATCCCTTGCTCGTCCGCATCCGCTTCTTGTAGGGGTCGCCTGAGAGAAGAAAAACACCACCCCGCGAAGCAGCTTCTGCAGCGTTCGCAGCCGGAACGGCAGCAGCAAAAGAAGTCTTCAGAAGCCCAAGCAGAAAACAAGAACATACCATCACCATCAGCAGAGAGAGAGGCACGAGGGAGCCAAAACTGTGCCAGCGTGTTAGACAAAAGAAGGCGGACGAGGGAACAGCGAGAGGCGCATGCGTGCGCATACCTGCAGTCTCCATGGCTGCAGAGCTGGGTCGGTAGGAGGCTGCTTATGTGCAACACCAGCAAGTGGCTGCTCTTGCCTTCTTCCAGTGGTATCCCTGCGGCCGTTCTGTCTCCGCCGCTTTCTTTACCGGCACATCTACGGCTACCCCCGAGAAGAACTCGCTCAAAGCGCTACGGCTGAAAAATTGAGTGCCATGCGGCAAATAATGCTGCAGCGCAGCTCCTGCAAGTCTCGGCTTCCTTGCTGCAGCAGCAGCAGCAGCATTGCCTTCCCCTCCGTCTGTTTCCCTCGCTCCTGCTGCTCTTGCGTGCTACGCAAGTCGCTTCTTGGTGGGTCTGAGCAAAACTACCAATCAAGTGCGGCGCAACACGCGTGATCAGCCCATGCGACAGCCTGCCCGTTCAAACTTCCTGAGCAACTACTGCAGCCAAAAAAACAGAATCCGAAGAACCAGAGGCTGTTGAACGGCTACCCTGCTGCGCATAATTTGTGCAGGGTACGCCATAGAAGTGCAGCACAATCAAACTAATTACTGCTGCAGCAGCACTCTGCGTCACGCATGCATGGGAACATCTGTCAGGCGCTGTAGCTACACCCGGGGAACGCAGCCACTGCAGCAGCCACTGCAGCTGCCGCTTTCCTTCATGAAAAAACCCTCAAACAGCAACTGGTTCGCGCGCATCATGTGCAAATGCAGATATGTGCTTTTCGCGAGCTTCGCTTGATTTGAAGTTCGCCGCCATATGCAAAGCAGCGGCCGCAGCAGCGCGTGCTGCTGGGAGTGACCCTGAATGGCTTCCCACCGCATAAGCGGCGCCAAATTCTTCAGACACTTGCCATAACGCAAGAGAAATATACTTTTCCTTTTATAATAATCCCCCGGCTGCAGATTTTTTCCTCCGCCAGTCAGCAGCAGTGCCGAAGCAACAGGAGGGTGGGAGCAGCGCAGCACCCGTGCCGTGTTGCTGTCCAAGCTTTGGCAAACCCCTACGCTGTGCAGCAGCCTTGTGTGTATGTCTCTCTACCATGCGGCTATTAGGGAGAGGCTGTAGTGTCCTCTTGAGGGCCTTAGGCCAAGCAGGGGTAGGCTGCACGTGCGGCGTTGTTTTTGCAGGGTTTGTGGTGTAGGATGCTCCTGGGTGCGTTGCATGTGCGCGCAAACTTTGCGAGACACAACTGAATGTCAGGCAGCAAAGCCAGTTTCAGGAGTCGGCGGTCCAGATTCAGCAGATGCAGCAGCAGAGTGTACATACATGCCCCTGCGGCGCCGCGGAGAAATGCGGATCTTTCCGCTGTCACCGCAACAGCTGCAGCTGCGAAAGTGTGTTGCTGGGATGCAGTTCTCATGAGGCTTTCTGCCAGCACACGCAGCAGCAGCCACTGCCTCTGACCCATTTGCTGTCTGCAGATTCTGCACCCGCTGGAGCCGCGCATGTAGATCCTTTGCAAGCCTCGACAGCTGCGGCAGCTGCATCGGCGAACTGGTGTGCCCTGCCAGCCCTCCAACAGAGGGTCAGTGAGTTGACTAGCCTCGTGTCGCTGGGTGCTTCTGAGTACCGCGAGCTTTTGATGCTCGTGCAGCAGCAGCAGCAAGCGGAGGCAGTGCATCAGCAACAGCGCTCCGAATTCGCAGTCCAGCAGCAGCGTTTGCAACGGGCATACGCTGCACTGCAGCAAGACTTCGACGCCAACTACCGTCTGTTTGTTGCTGCTTGCGGAAAGCAAGAGCAGCAACAAAAGCAGCTGGAGGCCGCTCTCAAGGAAGTGTACTGGCAGCTGCAGCGGGAAGTCAGTAAGGCGGAGGCTTTGCGGTGTAGCAACACGCAGCTGAAGCAGCAGAGCGCCAACTGGGAGCAGCAGCTGCAGCAGCAGAAGAAGCGGTATCAGCAAGACATCCAGGCAATGCAAGAGCTGCTGCAGCAACAGGTGGCACTGTTGCAGCAGCAGCGGCTGCAGCAAGAAGAACTGCGACAGACGTGTAAGCGGGAGGCTGAGCTGAAGCAGAAGGCTATCAAGGATTTGCACGAAGTAACAGCGGATGCGGCAGCAGCAACAACCCGTCAGCAGCAGCAGCTGCAGCAGGTCCTACACAGCATGCAGCAGCGCTGCGCAGAAGAGGTACAGCGTCTGGCAGCGGCAGCTGCTGCAACGAGGCGGAAGCAGCAGCTGCTGCAGCAGCAACTTGAAGCCGTGCAAAGCTCGAAGAATGAGGGCAGCACTGCCTTGACGGCTGCGGATCTCAGAGAATGTCAGCGGCTGCGACTGGAATTGCAGCAGCAGCAGGAGGAACGCCATAAGGAACAGTATGAGCTGCAGCAGGAGCTGCAGGAAAAGCGAGTGCTGCTGCAAGGAGAGACTGCGGCGCGCATGCAGGCAGTGGCGAGCCTCAATAGCTGCCAGGAGACAGTGCAGCAGCAGCAAGTTCTGCTGCTGCAGCAGCAGCGCCTCATAGAACAACTCCAGCAGCAGCTGCACCCCGAACGGAGACTGAAGAGTAGCAGCAGCAGCAACAACAACTGCAAAGTTGAAGCGCTGCCTTCGGACTGTGCAGACGTTTCAACGGCAGCTGCAACGGCGTCGGAACAGAATACAACAGCCGCAGCACCTGACGCATTGGAGCAGCGCAGAGAGGACGAGAAACAGGAGCAGAAGGAGACAGAGCGGCAACAACTGCATGAACAAGATCAAGAAGGGGCAGCGACGCGTCTGTTGCTACGGTTCCTCCAGCAAATAGAAAGCGGCTTCGGAGGGCTTGAAGAAGAATCGCAGCATCCCCACAAGACTATCGACGCAGTAAGTGCGTTGCTGGGCAAGAGACTGCAGCAGTTGCTGCAGCAGCGGGCAGTACAGGAGCAGCACTTGATCCGTTTGCAGGAGGCAGTGCAACATCAAGAAGCGGAGCGTCGTGAACAGGAGATGCTGCATGCATCTGAGCTAGCCATGCATCGCGCCGAGTTCGAGCAGGTAGGGACGTAGGCGAACGCTGCCGCCTCTACCATATATATATATATATATATATATATATATATATATATATATGTATATATATGTATATATATGTATATATATAGCGGAGTGTGCATGATTGATGGGTTAGTATGCCTATTCCAAGGGTGTTGTGCTTGGCTGTGTATCTCCGATATTCGCTGAAGTGGGCGTGTATTTCCGCAGGAGTTGGATCGCATGCAGCAGGATATGCAGCAGCAGTTCGAAGTGCTCTCGCGGCAACTATGCAGCAAAGTAGGAGCCTGTACAGCAGAAGCAGCAGAAGCAGCAAGGGCCCTTGTAGAGCCGATGCACTGACCCTTCCTGAAGCACAACAGCGTTGCTATGTCTGAGCCGCCTGCTGTTTCAGTTTGTTGCTGCTGCGGCTGATGAAGGAAGCCGAAGTTCTTCAGTCTGACGACCAGTTGCAGAAGGCGGAGGCAAGGCTGCTTCGGCTGCAGCGGCAGCAGCAGCGCTGGCAAGCCTCCGTTCTTGTACTACCAGGATCGAAAAGGGAGTTCTCGAGCGCACACTGGAGCCGTGGTAAACGCAGCAGCGCGCGCAGGTGCGTTGGTAGTGCCAGAGCGTGCAGGGGTAGGACAGGCTCTCACGCTTCCGCCTCCTGCGGAAGCGGTGGAGGCGCAAGCAGGGAATCTTCGCTCTGTGTTTCCCCCCTTCAAGCTGAGCACCGCCACGGGGAAACAGAGACGCAGCAGCAAGTGTCGCAGGACGAAGCGCAAGCGGCAGAGCTCGAGAGATACCGAAGGGCCTTCAGTGCCATGCGGCTGCATGCCGAGGCGGTGCAGCAGCAGCACCAACGGCTGCTGCGGAGCAAAACAAGCGCTGTTGCGGAACTGCGGCAGCAACTGCAGCTGTTGCAGTTGCAGCAGCACCATCAGCGCCGGCAGCTGCAGCAATCTCTGGAAAAGGCCGAGGCTGACAACCAGGTAAACGCTGTGCATTGAAGGGTGTAGAATGGATGGCTGCTTTCCACGCCTTTGCATTAGAGCCGCACGCTAAGCCGTTGGGGTCTAGAGTTCAAGAGGCCTCCCTCTCTGCACTGTGTGTCTTCGGCTCCAACTCTGCAATGAAACATGCTGAGTTGCGGCACAGCACTACGAGCAGCGACAAGGCAGCGCACGAACTAAAACTGCATTTGTCATAGAGGCACACAGAGGAAGCAGCAGGAGCAGGAGCAGGAGCAGCGACTACAAGCGATGGAATGTTTCTTGCTTCTGACTAACCTCAGGCATTGCGGGAGGAGGCCAAAGCTTTGCGTGCCACGATTGGTGATTTGCAAGTGGGTGGTTGATGTGCTTGTTGCATGGGGTACTCCTGGGGCTAGGGTGTGGCTCTTCCCGCTCCCTATGAGAAGGCTTCCATGACGGGAGCTTTTTGTTGTAAGGCTGGTATGGGCAGTTAGCGTCTGGATGCTGCAGGAGGAGAGAGCCTCGCTGCTTGACGTCTCGAATCGTTTGCACTTCGAGTCGCTCAGGAGCGAACCCGCGTCCGCCATTCCAGGTGTACCTACAGCCAACATCCAGCGCCTGCAGCCACAAAAGCAGCCCTCTTCGCCTAAACAGCAGCAGCCGCAACAGCGACAGCAGCACTCTCAGCCGCAACAAGAGCAACTGCAGCAGCAGCAAAAGCAGCAGACACAGGAAATGGCACTGGCGGTGCAAGGCACGCATGCAGTGGCAACAAGGGTGAAGCGACTCTCTACCCTTTCAACCCCAACCTCTCATCGCGCGTAAGGCAGTCCAAAATACCTAAGTCTTGGCGTTTTAAGGTTCATAGGAGACCTCGAACCGTTCTCCAAAAGCCCGTATAACAAATATATCATGAGTTAGTTGCACTCGGCTCAGGATGCAGTGCCAGCAGGCCCTTGGGGTCCGCCTCAAGCAAGAGCAACAAAATAGACAGCCAGAGCAGTTGTTGCGGATGGGGAGGAGCTGTACCAGCGTGACGGACAAGCCACTGCGGTGGATATTGGAAAGGACGGTGTGCCTTTTAGTGCCGTTTGCTACATGTCGCTACAGCATATCTTGTCGATCGTTGGCAAATCGCATTTCCCTACAACCAAAATGATGTGCAGCTCAGCAGTGCCTCCCTGTAACACCACATATATGTAGGCCGCTTGTTTTGTACCTTTGCGCCATTCTCTGTCGGTGGAAGGCTTGTGAAGAGACGTGAAAATAGTTGTATGTGCATCCTTACTCTCTTGACATTTGAACTCGCTTTTGTGTAGGGCTCTTCGGCAGTCCTCGTGCCCTGGAGGCTGGCTACTTCGGACCGCAGCGAGTGCACTTCCTTAGAAGCCTGTCCAAGCATACTGCCTTTAGCTAGCTTCCATAGACTGCTACAAGAAAAGGAAGACTGCGAATTCTAGCGTAGCCAATTTGCTACGATGTTAAAAGGCTTGCACAATGCCTTTTTAGAGCCTGGGATTTGGCATTTTTCAGTTCCCAGGCGCAGATTTACACTAACTCTGGGTACCTGAATTCATCATGAGAATGAGAAACGAAAACATTGTGAATACAAGCCAGCTACTCTCAAACACAAGGCGAGACTACGAGAGATTGCCACAGAGAGGGAAGACAGATAACAGTGGCAGAGCTAGAGGCGCTTGCATTCAAGTATGAAGTGCTGCTGCTCATGGAGCGCTCTGGAGGCCTGCCTTGCACTTTAATACACAGCCCTGTAACTCTTCATCCGAAATTTCCCAACGGAGGAACTCAACTCCAGACACTACATAAACTTTGTGAAAGTTGCTGAATGTTCCTTCAAGGAGCTCCCTCAAAACGTAACCGCTCATCTCAGGATTCCACCATGGGGGGAGAGGCACGGCTGCGATGCGCGTTGGTGCATGCTCTCAGCATTCTAGGCCTTCACAGCTAGCTACACCTAGCATTTCAAACGCAGGCACGCGTGAATGCGTCTTCTTGTATCGAGCTGGCAGTGCTGTGATGGACGTAAGCTATACGACCAGCCGAACTCGAGAGTCAATATTATCAGCTATATATCTTTCTTCGAATATAACTGATGATATTCAAACGATATAATAGACAATAATTAAGGGTGTCATAGCCCCCTACAAAGTTGACGAGCAAGTCACGGGAGAATCGAGAAAACTGAAGCCAGAGAACTACGAACATACCGATGTATCGAGAAATAAGAAAACTTGGTTTGCAAAAGCCACAATTAGACGAACAGCCGCTTTAACTGTGCTGTCCCATGACAAAAGTGTTTCTAGAAGTCCACGATTCGGTTCATGGATTTGAGCCTGATGCAGCAAAAAGTAAAGCAATCAAGGCTTGGCCTTAGCCCTCACGCACCCGCAAGGCCGCTGAGAAGTCATATTGGTATGCACTTTATTGCTGAGATTTCATTCTTGGGCGTGCGCGGATCGCTGCTCATTAGGCTAATGTAATTTACAAGAACGCAGCCTGCGGCATGGACAGAGGATGCTGAGGCCGCGCAAGGCTACTATCGGCAGCCTTGAAATACCTGCGGTGCTCACTTTGTCCCATTATGACCTCCGCCCCTCCCTAGCAACCGACGATAATGGAAAAAGGGTGACAGGTATTCTGTCACCGCAAAGCACGGGTTCTCCCTACGCACCAAATGACTGCTTGCTATGCTCATCTCTTCACCTAAATCGAGCAGAGGTCAATAGTGAGGGAAAGGGAGCTCTGTGAGGCGTGGTGGGGGTGAAACCATGCCGGCGCCATTTTTGTGGCCATCATTAAATCTGACCCTCAGATTTAATATACCCACCGGAGAGTTTTCAGGAATCTCATGATCCTAGAGCTGTTCACTAGCTTCACCATTGTTGCCACAAAACTCTCAGGTCAACTGCATGAAGGACACCACCTAAAAAGTCGTCGATGCGCCCTCGCGACTCTACACCGGTTCAAGTTTCTGCGGGGCAGCCACTATTGTCCCTGACAACTAACAGGCTTTATTGAAACTGCTTGGGTTTTATGCTTTCGACAGCCATGCATTTGCGAATCTTACCAGAAGCGCGAATGACCAAAGGGTAAAGCACTCTCACGCTGGCCATGACGCACTGTCGTCTCAGAAAATAGGTGCCACGTCGCATGTACATTCTGACTTTTTCTGCAGTGCTTTTATGCGCGAAGCGCACGATCATGTTCTTTCGGTTCATGGTATAATTCGCACGACCGCCGTAAAGCTCACACGGTCCTTCTCGTGCATTAAGATGCATCGCGTGGAAGTGTTGTATGCACTGCTACGCCCAAGTCGTCAGCAGGTGAAGCCCCGCAATATTCATGCGTATGACTTGTTGGAAATCCTCCCAGTTTTAAAAAGGATTTTGATTTATCTGACGATGGATTTCTTAGATGGACTACATGAGGTTAAGTGCCAAGAACGCATGTACGTCGCTGTCAATAGTCTCAGCAAATATGCCCACTGCATCGCTTGCTCCACCTTCTCATGACTTAGAAGGTCGTGAA